CCATTCAGCTCTACCCGTTCTGCCGATACTTACGTGCACCTCCTACCTCCCACCCACATACATCGTGCTTCCCCCACCATCAAGACCACTACCCCCCCGTCCTCCCAGAATCCTCTCTTCCTCCCGTCTTCGCGCGGCCATTCTTGCCCTACTCGACCTGTTTATCCACGGCCGTTTCGGAGTACCCGGAATCGGTCTTCCTTCTCGGACACCTTCCCACCCTCCCCCCACCACGGTCCATATCGAGCAATCATCCGAACCAGGCAGTATCGAGCATCGCCCGTTGTACCCGTACGCACGCACGTAGCAGCAACAACAGCCGCACCGAAAAGTCCAAGATCCCCCCCCCTCCATCCATCCAATTCGCCCCACCACCCCTCCTTCAGGCCGCCCTGTAAAATAGGTCGAGTCGAGAACGCCGCGGCCGCACCGTAAAAACGCACAACCTCCATACCCACCACCACCACTACCTCCACCACCTACACCTACACCTACACTACCTCCACCACCACCTCCGCCATCACCCCATAGTCCATCGACGGACAGAAACGATCGAAACGTATCTCCACGAAACAAAAGAGAAGAGAATAGAAGAAAAGAAAAAGAAGGAAAGAAACCCCAAAGAAGGAAAGAAACGACGAAGAAGAAGAAGAAGAAGAAGAAGAAAAAAAAAAAAGCGAAGAAAAACGAAAGAAAAAATCTCCCCTTCTCGCAGACATCTAAAAGACGACCGGTCGCATCCAAACTACTACTACCTACCGCTCCCTCCGCATTTTCTTCTTCCCCACGAGTTAGATATACCCGCCACTCCCTCAGCCAAAATCTCTCGAGTCCTTCTTCGTTCGGGATCGCCAACGGGGTGTGATCTTCAGAAACTCCCGCTTCCTTCGGCGTATCTCTCCCACACACACGCAGCTGACCGAACTGGTCCGTCGAAAACCACGTCGGTGATATCCTGGACCTGATCCCTGGTGCTCACTATTCGCCTCCCCGGTTTATAAAGAAGTTTTCGCCTACGTGAGTCCATCCGTGTTTCTTCCTCGTATGCCCCGCCCCACTCCGAGAATACCCACCCTCCATCTCGCACGATTCCAACGATTCCAACGATTCCAACGATCGAAAACGAGCATCGCAATCCTTTCCTTACCGGCAAGTGTCAGCCATCAATCTTTGGCTCTCGGTTCGTAGCGGGTTCCTTGAAGCTAATTGTCATAACTGTCCGCAGAAACCCAGAGTATAATCCACAAAGTTACGACCGCCCCGATTACGACTGCCTCTCCGTGTGTGTGCGTTTGCGTGTGTGCGCTCTACATCGGATACCGGCTTTCTAGGTCCTTTTTCTTTTCTTTTTTGGACACGCGACGATCCTACGGCTTCACTTGATATTCCTCGAGTCATCGCTCTCTATTTCTCCGCCGCATTCCTTCGTCGTGACCGATAAAGATACCCGTTCCTCGCAGCCCTGGCCATTTGTCGTCGGTGACGATTACTCCCAATCCTTCCTCTCTCGCTCTCGGCAACTTGCTCCTCGAGTATCAAGTTTGGATTCGTCGACGGACCGTGCTTGAAACTCGACTCATCTCGCGCGCCCATTCAACCCATCAGAATGGTCACGGAAACCCTCAGTGCGCAGCCGCAGACTGCTCAGGACAGTGCTCCCATGACCGGTACCCACGCTCAGGCAGCGACCGCGAATGGTACGTGTTTTGTCCGTTCTTTCCGATGGCTGCCGATGGAAATGCAACCGCCCGCTCCGGGCGGAGAGATTGGGTGGGAACGGGAGAGAGAGAGAAAGAGAGAGAGAGAGAGAGGGGGGGGGGGGGGGGGAGCGAGAGAGAGGGAGCGAGAGAGGAAGCGAGAGGAAGCGAGCGGTAGAACACGCCTTCGCTTCTTCCCTGCCAGATACCCTCTTGCGTTCCTATTCCTTCCCGCAATTCCCTCACCCCCACCGTGCCGATAAGGCTCCGTTACCATAGAGAGGAGTGTGTCCGCCATCGAGCTGAAGCTAATTGGGATCTCAGTTGGCTCGCAATCGCCAGGTGCTAAACCGCAGCCCCCTCCCAAGACGGACAAGCCGAGACCACACGTCTGCCAGACATGCCAGCGCTCATTCGCTCGTTTGGAGCATCTCAAGCGTCACGAACGCTCGCACACAAAGGAGAAACCATTCGAGTGCCCGGAATGCACGAGATGCTTCGCCCGGCGCGACCTCCTCCTGCGTCACCAGCAGAAGCTCCACATGACGGCTACCCCCAGTAGCCGCCCAAGAGCGGGTTCCCGCAGGGAGAGCACCAGCTCAGTCGCCACCACCACCAGCACCGGCAGGGTCCGCAAGAACTCGATGTCGAACGCCACCACCACTCCCGTCAGCAACGGCGATGGCGGAGCGTCCACCATGCGCGCCCGGCCGCGAGCAAACACCATCGCTCACATCGATTCGTCTACTCTAGGTATGATTGCGAATTCGGGGAGTATGAGTTTGAATCAGGCAGGGAGGGGTGGTCCTGGCAGAGGCGGCCCGGGTGTTGCAAACATGGGTATTGGAAGTTTCGGTTCCTCAAGTCACCATGGTGAATCCAAGTAGGTTTTAATGAATTACGACAATTATGTACTGCTTGAGCTTACGAAGTGAAATCGCAGCCTGCCAAAGATTGATACCTCCATTTCATCGTTAGATCTAGGTGGAATGATGCCCCGCTCAGCCGGCATGCTGTCGACCTTTGACGATCTTGAAGGCTTCCTGTTTGGTAACACGGTCAACCCCGCGGCGCTGCACTTCAACATGTCGCCACTGCACCAGCCGATTGGTTCGCCGACGTCGCCGTTTGGACATTCCTATTCCGGCGTTGATAGCACTTACTACTCGGTCGACGACGGTGATGATGACTCGGAGTGGATGCACATGCTGGGACAGGGCATGATGGCCGAGCCCGTTGACCAGTCGTCGCCGAGTGCCTTCAGCACGACGTCGGGCGGTGCCATCAGCGAAGTAGTCCTCAGCGAGCCCATGTGGCAGACACACCACAGTGGCATGCCGTTTTCCGATTTTAGAACGCCGAACTTCAATGATACCCCACCGCCTGGTACCTTCCCATCATACAATTCATTAGTATATTCTCGTGTAGATATCTAATGACGTATCTTGAAAACTCCCAGATCCGTTGTCCGTTGAACCGTCCGCGATGCACCAACTCTTTTCCTCTCAGTACGCGAGCACGCCCACTGACGGTCCGACATCGGGATCGATGCCACCGATGGGCGGCAACAACAACCATAACAACCACAGCCACCATAATAGTAATAACAACAGCAGCAGCAGCAATAGCAGCAGCAGCAACAGCATCAACCTAATCCGCCAACTCTCGGCGGCGGCGGAGTCGGTCACGGATGCCACACGCACCGCCCTGGCCACCACCTTGGTACAGAACTCGGGGTTCGGAGTCGGGGGCCACGGCCACGGCCACGGTCACAGTCACGGCAGACGGCAGTCGCTCAGTGCCCAGTCACTGAATCCCAATTTCCCAAAGCAAGGCATCAACCTTCCTCACACGAAGGAACTCCAGCGATACGTTGATGCATACATCCGATTCTTCCACCCGCACCTCCCCTTCCTTCACCTTCCCACCTTGCGCTTCGACCCGTCGTACAGCAGCGGTCAGCACTCGAACGGAAGGGAGTTCCTCGTGCTCTCCATCGCCGCGGTTGGCGCGCTCTACGAGTTTGAGCCACAGGCGGCCGGCGAGCTCTTTGAGGCGGCGAAGAAGACGGTCGAAATATTTATTGAGGAACGGCGGAAGGCGGCGGTTAGCGCGGCCACCAATGGACTGCACAGCTCGAGCTCCGGAACCGATACGCCCGTCTGGCTCGTTCAGGCGATGCTCCTCAATGTCATCTTCGGACTTCAGTGCGGCGATCGCATGGCCGGAGAAGTCGCCCAGAGCCACGTGTCGACCCTGGTCCAGCTGGCGAGAGCCGCTAGCTTGACACGGCCGGCGCCTTTGCCGACCGCGAACTCCTACCAACATCAGCATCAGCACCAGCATCAGCACCACCAGCACCAGCAGCAGGATGATACGGACATCCAGATGGCGGATCTCGAGTTGTCGCCGTTCGGTGGAAGCATGGGTAGCGATGGATGGTCCGGGCTGGGAATCAAGGTGGAGGCGGATGACAGCGTGGAGTGGTCCAATTGGATTCTGGCGGAGGAGAGGAAGAGGACTCTGTTCGCCGTTCACTTCCTGTCCAGTCTTCTCGTCGCGGCTCACAACCAGGACCCGAAGCTGGTCAACAACGAGATCCGTCTGGACCTGCCGTGCAGCGAGGAGTTCTGGACCGCGCCGACCGCAAACGCGTGGAGCCAGAAGGGAGGATACATGGCGGCCACTCAGAGCTCGCCAAACTTTGCCGCTGCTCTCAATGGCCTCCTGTCGGCCGGACAACAGCAGCAGCAGCAGCAGCAGTACGGTTCGACGAATTCCTTCCAGCATTTCTCGAATGGCCACCAAGGCGGAATCCAGCCCTACCCACCGCCGGGGGTCGTGCCGAGCACCTTTGGATGTCTCGTCTTGATCTGCGCTCTCCACGTGTACATCTGGGAGACCAGACAGAGCAATCAGGCACGACACTGGACTTCGACCGAAGCCGAGAACATGCACGCGCACATCGAGCCCGGACTGAAGGCATGGCAGTCGGCGTGGTATCTGACCCCGCACCACAGCATCGAGCGACCGAACCCGTTCAATATGGGTACCCTTTCCGCCGACTGCATCCCGCTCCTCGATCTTGCGTACATCCGTCTGTTCGTCGACCTCGGAAGGGCAAAGGAGTTTTTCTGGGCCCGCGACTACGAGGGCATGGCCGATGAGATTGCCAAGGGCTGGGAGAATGGCCAGAGCACGCCCATATCTTCGGCGTCGTCCATCTCGGCACGGTCCGACTCGTCCTTCTCGAACGCCATCTCTCCCCCGTCCTCTCCCGGGTCGGCTTCGCCGTCGCCCAACCTCGGACCCATCAAGATGGAGCCCGAGATTCCCCGATACAGCGATTCTTCCCTCCTCCACATGCTGCCCTCCACCAACTACAACACGAACCTCGGTGGTGCGTACTCGAGACGGGAGAAGCACCTGCGCAGAGCCGCCTTTTACGCTGCGGATTCTCTCGCCATGTCGGACACGCTGTGCACGTCCAAGACGACATCGTACGCTGCGAGCCAGGAGCTGTGCCGCGAGCTACCGATCCAGTCGGCACTGTGCACATTCGATTGCGCCCAGGTCCTAGCCGAGTGGATCGCGACGGTGCAGATGCGAGTCGCGCCGTACATGGGACTCATGACGACGGAGCACTGCGACCTGGACAGCCTTGAGGCGTTGATGATCTTGGAGACCGAGGACCGCAAGTTGCTCGGCAAGGTCAGGGACATGCTGCAGACGGCAGAGTCGAAGGTTTCCATGGAACAGCCGCGGACGGACCACCCATTCGTCCTCAACAGCGGCCTCGGTCCTACTGTGCTGCGGGTGAGTGCGTATCTGCTCGAGCAAGCGGTCGTATGGCCTGCTACTCGGCTCATGGCGCAAGCACTCCGCGCACACGCAGACCACATGGATACCCGAACTCGGAGCGTGCTGCCACTCCAGAACTGAGCGGATCGCCCCCGGCACTGCCCGCGCACAGCCACTTCAACATGACTGCCCGAATCTGCGCCGTCCTCTGCATTCCCGGCTATACCTTCGCCCTCCCCCACTGAAGCCCTGTTAATTCACCTTTCCATCTATATTCATCAACCACCTTTCCTCCCTCCTCCTCCAGCATCCTGCCGGCGATACTGGAGGACTTTTGACAGTATTCATCCACTTACGGACTTTATTCCGATCTGATCCCTCACCTCTCTAGGAGAGAGGGCTCCGAATTTCCGAGGAGGTGGAACGAATCAGGTCTTGGGTTTCATCAAGTTCCAAGTTGCCAAGTAGTACGCCAAGCTGCTTGGCTTCCTGCTTCTGTATTCCCTGAATTTATCGTGTGCTATTTCGAGTTGTCTTTGGCATTGTACTGTTGTTGCCCTCCCGCGTGTATTTTTTGTGTGATTGCGAGTCTGCTTCTATGTTGATGATTATGAGGGATGATGATTTCCCGCCTGGACTTTTTTGTTTTCTTTTTCTTCCTTGAGTTTCTCGGTTCCACGGCAGCGCACTGAGACTGTGGCGGTCATGAGCCCGTGAGTAAATATTTCGGTTTGGTTTGGGGGTTTAAAACATTTTTTCTTTTTCTTTTCACTATTACGCTTTTACTTTGTTTCTGGGGGTTATGGCTTGGTCGGGCTGGTTGGTCTTTTTCTGGGGGCGGGGCGGAGGGGGGGGGGGGGGGGGGGGGGGCGGTTCTGGTTATGTATGGGTTATGTATGGGTTTCCTTCTTGTCATGTCACGGATGAGTGTGTGTCTGTCTACAAATATGTATTCGAGTGTGGATTCTTGGGGATTTTATTTCTTATTGCCTTGGATTGTGTTTGTGTGTTTTTGCGTCCATGTGTTATGTGTGCGCTTGTGCTTGTGTTTTGTGCTTGTGGCTTTGATAAGTGTGCCTGTGAGTGTCTGTGTGCGGTGTACGGAGCATGTATTTCTTCTGATTTCTTTCATAGTTTTTCTTCCCAGCCGATCTGTCTGTCTGTCTATCTGTCTGTCTATGGAGTGGGGCGTGAAAACGGTGTTTGGTGAGATGTTTTTGATTATAGTTTTTTCATGTTCACTTTACTTGACGACTTTGTATGGGGGGGGGGAGAGGGGAATAAACGGGATATTTGTGAGGATTTGTGGGGATTTGTGGGAATTGGACGCGGGAATTGGAATTGAATATGAATATGAGGATTAAAGACGATGTGCGGCTGTGATGTGATGTGATTTGATTGGGTGTGATGTTGATGTGATGTGATATGCTATTGTACTGCTATGATGTTATGCTGTTGTGCTAGCGATGAGTTACGAGTTTACAATGGACACTCGAGATGGAATTCTCTAGAGCAATACCGGTACCTATCGATGCTTCTCTCTCTTAGAGACGAATAGACCTTCGATGCGGTGATGTCGAGTGCCCATTGCCCAGTTCCCAGTTCCCAGTACTCAGTGCCCACTGCCCAGTGTCTACAAGGCATTTGGAGTCTCGGAAGTTAGAATCTTGGAAGTAGGAAGTCGGAAGTTGGGTGTGGTAAATTTTCATACCAAGTGTGTGGGGTGCACACTTACCTGTTACACAGGAGATCACTCGCGCCATCCGCTGTCCGTCGTCCGCCGGTTTCGAAACTCTATTCTAGTCTGCTTTGCGGTCCTATGTTACTTTGACAGTAGGTTGGTGCTCGCTCCTACTTCTCGATCAATTTAGCCCAGGTAGTAGGTAGTAGGGAGTAGGTATCGCATCCTCCGGTTACCTACGATACATATTTCGCTCTCGCCGGGAGCAGCGAGCAGTGAGCAGCCAGAAGTGAGCAGCGAGCAGCGAGCAGTGAGCAGCGAGAAGTGAGCAGCGGGTATGATCTTAGAGTAACTATAGAATGACGAGCACGACGAGCAAGCCTTCGAGTCTTCGAGCCTTCGAGTCTTCGACGGCAAGAAGTCGACTGTCGAAATCGCCCATCATGTCTGTGCTGGGTCGAAGGCCGCAGGTCGCAAGCAACAGCACAGCCGCGTTGCTGCAATGGCTGCAATGGCTGCTGGATGTATACTCTAGTATCACAAGGCTGTGTCTAATATTCTCTGCTCTGCCGGCATAGAAACGGCGAAACGGCGAAACTACTCTACCTACATCATTGGACGACGGGATACTGGTCTGCCAGGGGTGCACCGGTGGACAGGTGTACCGGTGGGCAGCAGCGGATCGGCATTGGTTTGGCACGTCGTACACACGTCTGCACAAGGTGATTGGACTTTTTTTGCGGGGGCCTGGCATCGAGTAGCACAATGAGACCAATAGGTGGACTGTCACACAGGGTAGACGATCGAGTTCCTGTGTATAGCCACAGAGCTCAGAGTTGCATATGAGCTGCATCTGAGCTATGCGTCCGTTTCCCCTACGGGTTTGTTATGATATATCATTCTCTGATCGTGCGAACATTCCTAGGAACCCAAGGCAGCAGCTCATCAGCCACAGCTGAATACAGCTGAACAGAACAACCAACGGAAAGCAGAGCGGTTATCATGTCGCGGTGGTCACTGGTGACGTCGCGCGTCCTCTTACTCCGCAAACTCCAGCGGTGTAAAGTAAAGTAGGTAGTTGGGCACGATGGATGAGGCGGAGTCGAGAACAACTCGTCACCCAGGGATTGGAGGGTGCCCAAGTCCCTACTGCAGGGAGTGCCGCAGCTCTCACCAGACATCATTCGCCGCGACCTCCAGCCGGCGCGGCGCAGCACCCACGGCCTGATCTTCCGCGGCCCAGGATGCATCTTCACCGTGGGCACTGCCGCCCTAACCGACCGCTTCCTGCTGAAAGACGACACCGGCGCCTGGTACCTCTTCAACATCGACTGGTCCACGCTCTCGGGCGGCGGCGGCGTTGCCCCCGCCCTCGCCGCCTTCAGCATCAACCTCTGGCAATCCCACAGGTGCACGTCTGCCGGCCTCGTGGACCTGTACTGGGCCGTTCACGACTTCGACTTCGATTCCAACGCCGTCGACACTCTACCACGCACCTTCGCGCACTCGGAGATGACGCACGACATCACGCGGACCCTGGTGGCCACCGCGGGACTTCAGTCGCGAATTGACGAGTTACTTCGATAGCTCCCTGTGGGATGCGATGAATGCTCCGCATTCTCCCAGGATCCTGCCCGGGACTGGCCTCGCAATGTTTGTGGGTAGGAATACGAGGAAGGAGCAGGCTTGGTGCTTGGGTTAACTACCTACTTACCTACATACCATAGGTCGTTACGTGCGTGGATATGTACTCCACCAGCTTTGCTCAATGTCCTGGCGAGAAACAGGCACCTAATGCACTCTCACAGTCTCACCATGTATGTAGTACTTAGGTGGGAGGAGCTCGAGTGGCTCGACAGCTGATCGCCCGACTCCTGAGGATTTCTGCTTTCTTGTGTTCTATCTATGTAGAATACCTATTTATGTCTCTCCGGTTTTCCCTTCATTTCGTCAAGCCCGCCGCCGCCGGTCTCGAACTGCGGGCTCCGGGCCCCGAGGGGCATCTCACAATTGCCGAAAAGATACCCATCATATATACTCCCGCATTTGCGAACGTCGAGTACATCAGTAGTTATCGGCGCCGGCAAGTGGGTCTATACTTACTCTACCTACTCTATAGTACACTGGTAGACTGTAGTGATAACAGGTGATTGAACACGGATACCGACTGGTTAGTTTGTGGTGGATGGGTCGTAGGATTTATGCACATATCACTAGGTATTAGGTCCCAATAACTATCTCCTTCATTAACCTACTTAGGTAACTACGACTTCGTCCAGAATGAGCCTGCGAGTAACGATCATGATCCACCATGCGTGCGTACATACTTAGACAGGTTATGTACTGGTATCAAGCACACCCGCAGTGGCAACCAGTGTTCTCCATAGTCCAGTCCAGTCCAGTCCAGTCCGTTCGGAGGTGTCTGTCGGCAGGACGGACTACCTAGTGCACCAGTAAGGTCGACGGGACGGACTTTAATCGACTGCAGTCGACTGGCAAGACCGGTAAAAAAATCACAAGGCGACATGAATCACAAGAGAAATCGCTGCGCGCGTATTATCGGTGGTTGTATGTAGTGGCTGAGGGAAGTATGAGTGTACTACATATAGTATGAGCACGGGCTGAAGATGACCCCGCTGCGTTGCTGGTACCTACTGGACGAAAGTGAACACACGATAGTGGGAAATACTCATATTTGGTGGGGTAAGTGCTGAAAAAAAGTGGCACTTTTTTTCACTACCGGACTGCAGTCGACTGCAGTCCAACCCCGTCCAGCAAATTGGCGGACGGGACAGACTACCTTCTTTTATCCCGTCCTCCAAAAGACACGGACGGGACTGGATCTTGGCAGTCCGTCCCGCCCGGACTGTCCGGACTGCAGTTTGGACCGAAATATGGAGAATACTGGTGGCCACTGGCTGTTTGTCGATCACATTCCGTTCCACCTCGGTACGTAACAGCACGCAGCGGGAATCAAAGCTAAACGCCGACGATGGATCGCCTTGCTCTGCACTTTTCAACCTCGTACATAATCTCATTTGATCACCGCCTCGTATGAAGTATGTACCTAAAACATAGGGTTCCCCACTAGATTCCGCCATTCTCCACCGCCATTAATACTCTCTATACCCTAAATTCTCGTGCATGTTCCAAATTCCTTAAGCATTAGGCCAATAGTGACCATCCCTCCAATCGCTGCGGCGGAGTAAACCACGAATGGTACTATAGCTATTATAATCATTGCAAGCATTGCCCTAGGATAGGCAGAGCCGGTGGACTTCAATTGTGCAAAGCTGTTGATACCTGCTCTGACTACCGGCGCCACCAATCCGTTACTGATACCTACCGTCAACCATAGCATTGACCACACACGCTGCGCTAGCGTACTATTTGCGGGCCGAAAACGAGTAAGGGCATGTATGGTAACGTAGGGTAAAATGGAAAGCAATTCGACAATCCCTATGCACCTCATGGCCCTCACTCCAGCCATTTCCCGAAAACACGAATCTTGAGAAGGAAAGGCAGAACATGCTGGGATAGTAATATCCGCTTTCCAAGCTTCAACGAAACCGTATGTCCGTTCTTCGGATCCAATCCTGACTGTGCTCGGGGCGCCGGTTTCGTCCTCGACTCCGAAAGTCGCGAATTTTTGGTCTTCCCCACCCGCACTGGCCTCAACAACCTTCCCAACCACACCATCAAACAGTCCTCCGCATGCTCTCGCCTCATCCATCTCGCGCGAGCTGACCAGATACAGGGTTGGGTATTCTGGGGTTAATAAACTCCCGACGAGGTTGACGATGGACATCATGGCGTATGGAATGACCGTAAGACCGAACGCCGAGTATCCATATCTTTCGATCTGGGCCCCCCGAGTTCGATACAGGATAATTGCCGATGATATGGATTGACCGACCGCGATCACGATCTTCAGCGCATTGTAGGACGAGGATATACGGACGCCATTAGGAGCCTGGTCTTGCTCAATGGGGATCACTGTGGCGTGCGACGGCAGGATTGCTAGCCGGTAGCCCTTTGGCAGCTTATATAGGCCATGAACGATACGTGATCCTTCCATCCCGGCGTCGACTAGAGGGTTAAGTGATTCGGATAAGAACCACTTGGGTTTACCGACACACATTAAGATTGACTGTGGACCGACAGAACCGCTTCGAACACAGGTTAGCCGGTGTAGTGTCTCCAACGGATGAGCGTACAATGAAACCTACCTCGGGATCTCCATCTGGCTCTCCTTCGTGGGAGAAGACACTCCTTGGTGCGCGTCGAGGGTTTCCTCCGTATCGATCGTCGAGTTGACCTTCCGTTGATCGATTATAGGGAAAACCTGGCCGCCCTTAGGTTTCCACTTTGGTGAGCGGATGACTACACAGAGCGCCTCTGCAATAGCTGCTCGCCCGAGTTCATCCTTAGTACGTATGGCACAACGCATTATCCCATTTATTCCTCGATACATCCCAGCGTAGGGGTAGAACAGGGCGAGCACGGAACTGATGACAGTGGACCGGAACCTCTCGCCGGGTAGAGGATTGACGGTTGCCGCATGCGCAAAATAGTTGAGCAGGAAGAACAATGCGAAGTCGCTCCAAGAGGTGGGTAGACACAAAAGATTTGGGTCACCGTGGTTGGTAGCTCCTTCGGGAAGGGAGACGGAAGTGTTGTGAGGGTGGGCGGAAGCGGCGCGGAGGAGGAGAAGCCAGGCAAGAGTGAAACCGCCTCCCCACCGGTAGCAATAGGATGTGAACATTGCTCGTAGGCTACAGAACGTGTGGATTTCTCGAAGTATGTAAGTATGTATGAGATGCAAAGTCAAAGTAGAGAAATGTGCGAGGATGCGACATTTCCCTTGAAGATATAGCTGTGGGGCTGAACAAGTGCCGGTGCGCGCGCGGAGGGGGGAGGGGGTGAGATTCCTCGCTTGACGGAAGACAGCAAACGGTGCTTTTTTTCTGTGACGGGGCGGAGACCTGGACGCAGTTAACTAGGTAAATATGTAGCTGAAGTATGCAAGAATAACTATCGTCAAATGGAGTGCCTTCGAGCAGCCAGAGTGAGACAATGCTATATGATGTGTCACTTCGCTATCTACACCATACATAGGTAGGGTATGTTATGTAGAACATCCGCAGGGACGGGACTCGCCAACTGGTGCAGTGCACGAGTTAGTGGAAGCGAAAATGGCCTAGAATCTAGAATGCGGTTACTCTACTTGTGTATATACGCGAATCATTGACCAAAGAGCGTCGATTCAAATGTGCCAGAGAACTTTCGGAGTGAGTAGATAACTATGAGATGAGGTATGTACCAATACTTCGAGCAGGCTGGGAAGGAAGACGGTGAAAATGAAAGATGATGGAGAGGTTGAGGTTGTATTCAACTTCAAAGAGCCATCTAATAAGGCTCCTCTCTGCTGCCTACAACTTGCGGGGTCATTCGATTCGGCTAGCCTCTCCTTCAATCATATAAAATCCTCGATCTATGGTTCGCCATAGTCTATATAGGCTGCATGCGAAATAAAACAGGAAGATCTCTCTCTCTCTCCTCAATCTATCGTATAAGGTTTAGCAGGAGCGCAGAATCCAAACCATCACAAAGACGAATACATCCCGGCAGGTTTCACTGCGGAGTATGTGCGAAGCTGAAGCCTGATTGTGCTCTTCAAAGCACAATGCACCTGCTGCAGCGAAGATGTTTCACGGGATCCACTAGGAATGCCTCTCTTATTCTTCACCGTCTGCAAGAGTGAGCTTAGATGGATGGCGAGTGCTATGGCGAACACCGGTACTGCCTAGTATGTACGGCCAACCCAGCAGAAAACTATTTAGCTGAGACTTCCAATTCTTACGTCTCATCGTCCCCTAACAACCCCCATTCTCACTCTAGGTACTATTCCATGAATCGTAACGCGCTAGAGTTCCAAAATCGCCTCAGAAATGGCCACTCCTCCGCCCACCTAGTCGCACCCCCAACACCCCGGATTAGGGCTGTGAATAGAGAGAGAGTTGTTCTTTAGGTTCTAATAAACGGTTTTAATTATATTATGGTGGTTCTGATGATGGTTTAAGGCACACTAAGCACTTTCCACCCAGAAGTGCGAATTCGCGTGATTTGCACAGCTTTCCATGACCATACTAGCCCACCACCACATCAAATCTTGCCCTCAACCTCCAGAACTCATACAATATGATGCAACCGCTCTTGAAATTGCTGTGGCATAGCGGCGTCCCCCGGAACTTGCGCGATCGTTAGGTTTTGCCCGCAAATGTCGACATTTTCCCTCCTTTCAAGATGAGGCTGATTGTTGTCCGGCGGTCTACCTATGCCATCCTAACTACAGTAACAAAAAGATGTATGTTAGGTTATCTTTTGCAGCAATATTGAAGATTTTATGCAACTATCAGAGGTAAATATGGAAGAATGAAAATGGCGACTAGGTACTCGAGGCAGCACACCAGATGAAGAGCAGCCGATTAAACGTCGAACTACTCTTTTTCTGGTTCTTGTTAGCGAGGCGAGTGAGGCGCAAGCATAGCGGCGCAGCTCAGCGGCCGTCTCCTCCTTCTTGTGCGCCGGCCCCATGAGCGCTTCAATTTCTTGTGCGCCGGCCCCATACAGCACTTCTCCTGCTGCTTGCGCGCCGGCCCCATGCAACGCTTCTCCTCCCTCTTCACGAGACCGAGGCTATCCCTGACTGCCAGGAGGAGAGCTTCACCGGTCCTAACGGGACCGGGGGACAAAGGCTGGGGGAGGAGGACCCTCCACGATGTGCTGAGGTAAACATTCGGTGCTCGCCCCAAGCCCCCAGCTCGTTCAGTGCCTCCGATAGTCCAGTCCAGTCCGTCTTTCGGCAAAAGTCGGACTGGACTGAGAGGTTTAGTCTGGCTGGAGGCATGGGCTGGACTGGGCAGTCTGCGCAACTGGTAGTTAGAGCTGGACGGACTGCAGTCGACTGGATGGACTGGTACTTTGAATGGAAAATATTTCAAATCAGTAATGCAATTTTTGTACACGTCTACAGTACAGCTATGCAGATCATCCCCGTACTTTGCATTGTGCATCGTCTCCATCTCCTTGATATCTCCCTTTGCAGCAGCTACAAGACCATCTCGTTGCTAGCTTTTGAGACATCCCAGTGCCTCCAGTGCGTCGTTATCCATGTTGCAGCGGTGATGAGGGAGAGAGATTGTGGCCCCACTAAAACCCCGTTCCGGCTCTGCGCTCGATCATGGCGGGAATGCTCCAATACTAGAGGCCAATTCTAGCGAAGTCTTTCCAGCCAGGTTCGTGTAATTTATTCGCCCAGTACTGTACCGCATTGTCGATGGTATCGCATGGAGTCCCTCCATCATACATATCTCGATGCTCAATACGTTGTACCTAGTGTACGGCGCTTGCGGTTCCATCTGCTCTTTACCTTCGCGGTAGACGGTGCGTCTGCTCCATCTGCATCAATTTCAGATATATAGAGAGCTGGCTTGGTACGAAAAGATAACACGTGATAGGTTGAAAGAGTTCTGCCCGTTAGCCACATAGTTCGACTGTTCGACCCAAAAAAATCAGAAGGTGGCGGTCTGTCAGTCGACTGTAGTCCGAAGCGGCAAATTTTTTGGACGGACCGAATTCAAATCGTCCTCTAATTGTATGGACTATAGTAGACTGATGCAGTTCGTCCAGCCCGGACTGCCGTCCAGACTCCGAACTGGACTATCGGGAGCACTGCCGGGGAGTTACGACTCTTACGTCTCTTCACCCCCCCAACCAGTGTTTCCCATAGGTACTTAGGTAGTCGGTGCCTTTTAGAGGACGAGATAAAAGTAGTCCGTCCCGTCCGTCCCGTCTGCCAATTTGCTGGACGGTGTTGACGGTTGGACTGCAGTCCACTCTTATCAGCACCCACCCCACCATATACTAGTACACTATACACATTGAACTTCATCCACCCCCAGCAACGCCGCAAGCCCAGCAACGCCGCAAGCCCATCTTCGTCCAGTACCATCTTCGTCCAGGACCATCTTCGTCCAGTACCGTACTATACCAACAAAGCTGCGCCACACAGTGGCACAATCTTCGTTCAAACCCAGCAACGCCACGGCGTCATCTTCATCCAGTGCGCCTACCCTACTTTACTCATACGTCCTTCAATCGCTACATACAACCACCGATAATACGACGATAATACGCTGCCGAGCTTTCTCTCGTGTGGTTCATATCGCCTTGTATAATAGATATACCCAGTCGACTGCAGTCCGTTCCAACCGACCGACCGGCCTTACTGGTGGTAGGTAGTTCAGCCCGTCCAACACACACCTCCGGACTATATATGCCGAAAAACCCTCCCAAACCCCCCCCATTCTCTTACCACATCCCATCCCACCGATCGTATTGTCACAGGTATCCATCTTTGCGCCAACTCCTCGTCGCCCCCCCCGCAAAAAAAATCCCCAAAGCTTACGCAAGAGACGCAAAAGAATACCGACGTCGACAGGATTCGAACCTGCGCGGGCGAACCCAAGAGATTTCTAATCTCTCTCCTTAACCACTCGGACACAACGCCTTGATATGGCTGCTGCTTTTGTTAGAAATATAGCCTACTAAAAACGAAAAGAAAAAAGGTAGGCTGGTGGAGGGTTGGTAATTTGGTGGGTTGGTGGGTTGGTGGGTGGGATGACGGGTTGATCATGAGTGTGGCTATAGTAGCGCGGGAAGGTGAGGAAGCGATATGCAGCCAGAATTTGGAAATGTGCACCCACGTCCGAATCGGCATAGGCCGTGGATTGCAGCCTGGAGTCGGAACATCTAGGTATGTGGGGGGACCACTGATTCTAGGCATCTTCTGTCAAATATACACCTTACGGCTCTCGGGTGCTCTGAAGAGTCTGGCTCGGCCTACGAGAAATATCACCCACCTCTCCTCTCCTCTCCGGTCCTACCCCGTGTAGAATACCGTGATATTTCAGACAGATATAAAGCCGCATTCGTGCAGAGCGACGCTACGCTTGGGGAGATAGACACCATCCCACCAAGGACTAAAGTAGATGCGTAGCAGCACCAGCCGTATCCCCAGCCACTGTGGCCACGCCAAGCTACACAAATCCTACGCTACAGCCACAGCACATAGTTCACAAGCGCCAGGAACATCATTATTCATGGATCCACATCGGGTGAACCCGGTCATGACGTTTCACTCGCTCAACCACCACCCAACACTCGTCATTGTAAAAAAACGGAGATTCATCATTATTCCGTTTCGTATCGCAGCAAGTCACCACAATCAATGGCCCGCCAAGACAAAAGACAAAAGACGCCACTGTACACCACCGTAAACGACACCCCCACTCTCCATCCCCGCCTTTTCAACCTCATTAAAGCAAAGAAAAAGAAGCAAACGAGAACAAAGGTATCAACACGTTTCAATTACAGGAACGAAATGAAAGTAAAGTGTACAGATCCGAGCCTAAGCCATCATACCGATCGCGAACGCACCGGCGATGAGGACCACGAGCATAGAGCTCATACCCATCTTGCCGGCGCTTCCGGTAGCAGTCGCCAGGGCTCCCGAGGTGGTGGCTGAGCCGGTAGGGGTGGCGCCAGGGAAGGCGGGCTCATCGGTAGCGGTGCCGTTACCGGGCTTGTCATCGGTGTTGTTGGGGTTCAGGACGCTGGCTTCACGTTAGCATCGAGTAGGGGAGGGAAGAGTGTGGGGGGGGATATACTTGTCGATAACGTGAACAACGCCATTGTTGGTAATCACATCAGCCATGAGTACCTTGGCACCGTTGACGTAGACATCAGCACCTTCGATAGTGATGGTGAGCTTGTTGCCGTTGACGGTCTCAACCTCCATTCCGTCCTCAAGGTCGGTCGAGAAGGCACGAGACGGGACGACGTGGTAAGTGAGGATCTCCCCAAGCTGCTCCTTGGTCAGGTTGGCGGTGGCACTACCAATCGCATCGAATGCGGCGTCTGTGGGTGCGAAGACGGTGATGCTATTGAGATGGTTGACGGTGCTCACGAGGTCGGCCACCACGAGAGCATTAGTGAGAGCTGTCAGATTCGCAGCCTCGGCGGTCAGGGACACGCTCATCGGCGGGGCGAGGAGAGAGTCGATGATGTGTACGATGCCGTTGGTGAAGCGAACGTCCTTCAGCAACATCATCAGTAGCCATCCATACCAAACCGCAGCAGCAAGAACAGGCAAACGTTAGCAACTAACCGTATCCGAAATCGAAACCCTCATTCCAATACCACCATACACGTACGGCTTGTCAGCCTCGATGACCGCCTTGACGACCTGACTATCACCCTGCGTCAAGTTCTTGAAGTCAGGGTACTCTCCGAAGGCACCCAAGTAAGTTGGAGCAAACGCCGGGGTTTTCGAGAGCACAGTCGACGGGAACGATCCGTTGAGGACGTGGTAGGAAAGCAACGCAGCCACCGACTCGCGCGTGATGTTGCGAGCCTCGTACATCTTGGTGAACGTTTCGAATGCCCTGTTGTCGGGAGCAAAGACGGTGATGTTCTCAGCCGCTCCGAGAGCACTCACAATCTCGGGGAAGGTCGACACAAGCGACAAGAGACCACTCAGCTCCGAAGTGTCGCCCAGGAGAGTGACAAGGTCGGGGACTGCCTGGCCGAACGCCGTGGCGGCGAACGAAAGGGACAGGAGCGAGAAGAACTTGAACTGCATCTTGAACGTGTATGACTAAAAGTTCTGCTGTGCTTGTGCTTCTCAGGTGAGTGCAGGGAGGGAGTGTGTTGTTGAGCTAAGACGGATGCCGAGGAAGAAGTAAGGACGATGGGGGTATCGTCAAGAAGGAAGGGAGCAGGTGGTAGTGGTAGTGAAAGGGAAGGAAGGGGAGGGAGGGAGACACAGAAGAGCAGTTTAAATAACGACACCACAAGACCAGACCAGCCAGAGGCTACACCATCCTTCTAGGGTCGTCCCACCACCTCCAATGCCATCCAATTCAATGCCATCCGTCTCTGACCCGCAGAGAGCAGCAAAAGTCATGACGTCGACCATGTCGTATCCCACTCTTGGCTGTGTGTATCGAATCGAGTGAGGGGAATCACTCCTTTGTCTTATGTGCAGGGCAGGGCAGCGAAGGGCAGCGATTGATTGCACCCACGAAGCCACCTGCAGATCAGCACCCCCCGTTCCGCTGTTCTGCCTGTTCTTCCTGTTCTGCCTAGCAATAAGTTCCCGGAAACGCCATTTCCCCACACGAACCATTTTTGGCGGGGATCGAGATCCACCGACCATCGACCCTTCTCGATTCCCGCACCCACATGTAACCCCAACAAAAGGCTGGGCAAGAAATCCCGATTGACACACCATGCGTTGTGTAGCCAGGGTGGGCCAGGGTGTGGACTGCAAGGTACCGGGAGGGACAGCATATCTACACACAACGCCGCGACATCGCAACGGCCATGGGCAAAAGAAACAATCGTGATACCTAGGCGCTATGTGAAACTCTGCCAATCGAACCAATCGCACGCTCTGCACCTGCACCTGCACCCCGCAAACAAAACAAAACAAAACAAAATCACAACCGAAAAAAAAAGAAAAAGAAAATAAGAAAATAAGAAAATATCAAATCGTGAAAAAAAAGCATCCGCCCGTCGTCGTCAATTCGTGTGCATCACATCACATCACTTCCCGCCCTTCATAATATTAATCAGCCTCTCAATCTCGACCATATCCCTTCCGACCGCCTTGGCCCTCAATCCCTCGAGCGCCGCCACATCCTTCGCCCTATTCGCCTCCTCTGCCGCACGCATGATAAGGCCGCAGCGCAAGTACATATCCAGCCGTTCCTGCCAGGTCAGCGCGGTGCACTTCGCGACAAAGACCGCGGCCACACGGGTATTCCCGGCGGACAGACACTCGTTGAAGAACGGCTCCCAGCCGATCGGGCTCTTTTTCGTTTTCCCCCACTCCTCGATCTCGTTCCACTCTCTCCTCGCGACGAGCGCGCGCAGCCGCAGCCACCAGTACCGCTTCTCGGGCACCTTGAAGTCGTTCTTTAGCTTGGCCGCTTTGGACGAGTAGCCGGTGCGGATCAGCCGGAACATTGTCTCGTTGAGCGAGCAGCCCATGAACCGCTCTTGCGTGTCGCGCTCGAAGGCTTCTTGCAACTGCAGGAGCCGGGCAGATTCTTCGAGCGCTTTAGATTCGAGCGCGTGGTCTTTGCTATCCAACAGAAGCTTCTGTGCCACCTTGAGCTTCTCTTGTTTCAGCTGGAGATCTTTCGCCTCGAGACTTTCGCGGAGGATGACGTGTGCTCCGTCGGCGCGACGGTCGTCTTGATAGTAAAAGTCCTTCAACATCTCGAGATCCGTCTCTCTCGCCGAAGACTCCACGAGCGCAGCCGCAAACGGTCGGTCGTTGATGATCCGGAAGAAGTTTGCCAGCGGGTGCTTCTTCTTGAGGTGCAGAAGGACGAAGAAGACGAGGTCGGTGTCGCCCGATTCGATCGCTTTGTCGAGCGCGATCTCGTCTTCTTCCATGCTCAACAGCAACGGGACTTGGCGGCCGGCTTGTGGCTCGTAGTTGAGGAGCTGCGTGGCGAGCCGGCCGCGGCCTTCGTCGTACGCTGTTCGTGCGATCTCTTCGAAAGAGATGCCGCGCTTACCGGTCAGTTTGGAGACGACCATGCGGCAGATGCTGTCTTCGTCGTCGGATGACATCCGGACCTGTAAGCGGTGAGCATTTCGTAGCAACCCCCTATCCACACCGTAGAGGACGAACCTTCGTGCATGCCCAATGGATGTAGATTCGATCCGTTGGAAGCCTGAGATGCTCTGATATCCGCAAAGCCAACAGGTGCTGCTGCCGATTCACCAGCCGCAATATCAGCTTTTCGGGCGTGAGTCGAAGAAACCTGCCAGTCTCAGCCATCTGCAACCCGCATTGTAGAGTTTTCTCATACGCACTGTTCGTAGGTGATCGGTATGCCGACTTCAAAGAACCTGACCGCGTTCAAGACCCGGAGTGTCTCGCACATGTCGACAAAATCATCACTAGAATACAGCGCAGGCACGCTTTTGCCAAACGACGCTGCCTTCAACAGCTGTTTCTGCCAGTACGCCGAGAACTCGTTGCCAGCGGCCTTGATACAAGCGTCGACTGCCTCCTCGATGTTTTGCCGGATCAGCATGATATTGTCGTCCGCTTTGGGCGACTTCTTTTCCAGCTGGTCGACCGCATCCAGCAGTATCGATGCCGGCGAAGTGGCGCCGATCTTGAATATCTCCTCGGTAACATCCGGCACCTTCTGTAGGAACTCGCACTTCTCGGCAGTAAGAAGCCTCACCCCGTCTATATCCGGAATGAGATGGACCTTGCCATCGTAGTAGTACTTCAGCGCCTCGCCCTTCGGCCCGACCATGTGCACCTCGTCATCCCACGCAATAACCACACTATCGTTGCCGCACCACTCCACACTCCTCGGCAGCATCACACTTCCCATGCCACTATCATACTCCGAGAGCTTCTCCTGAAAATCCGCACGGATGACCCACAGGCGTCCCTCGGTGGTATACAGGGCGACATACTTCCCATTCGGGCTGACCGAGATATGCATGAACGGGCCGTTCTGGAGGTCCTGATCCTGTGCATCGGTAGGGTCCACCACCAGGATCGTCTGGCCGGTCGACAGCAGCACCTCGACGTGCCGCGACAGCGTGTACGCCGGCGGAATCAGCGCCCACGAGTGGATCATGTCGTCCGAAATGAACCCCGACGAGTCCGCGAGCATCCGTGGTCGCGGCTCGTCGTACCGCGATACGGCCACAAGCCGGTTCGTTCGCAGCAGCGCGACAAATCCTGTAGCCCAGAACCGCACCTCTTTCACGCGCACCAGCTCCGCGCCCTACCCAATCAGCCCCGCGCACCCCGCACCCCACTCCCCCTCCCCTCCCGGATCAATCAATTACTCACATGCCCCAGCGAAAACTGGGTAAACTCCCCTTGGAGATCGGCATAGCACCTCACGTTGCCATCCTCTGCGACAACGAGCAATTTCTCATCCTCACTCCAGCCCAGGCCCCTAATAGGGCCCCTATCATACGCGATCTTCCTGAGCAGTTTTCCGGCGCACGAGTACACGTCAATGCTCGGCTTTGCTGCCGCCGCGGCCGCAGCACTCCCGCCGCGAAACTCAGATAGCGCCTCCGGGTTCTTCCACAAAGCGATCGCACCGCTGAAGGGCGCGCCGGCGACGAGGTAGTGCGAAAGGTCCAATGATGGGAACAAAGAGGAGTATAATAGGATCTTCCGGTAGTACTTGTCCTCGAGCACTTCCCAGTCCGAGGTCGCGGAGGGGTGGGTCATTGCGCGTGGAGTCGTGCGTGGAATCGTGAAGTCGTGGAGCCGAGTAGTGGAGCAGAGGAGAGGTGGAGGTAGAGCTCGCGACGGGTGTTGGCGAACGACGCACGACGCGCGACGCACGCCGCGAGGAACGCTGGGTACTCTGCTTCTGCAGGGTTCAGGGATTGGGTTACGTACGTCATGGCCTGGCATGGGGGAGTGCTGACGATCCTACATAGGGTGTCGAACGCCCATTCCCCCACCACAACCTACGGTCTCCCATAACTACCCCTATTCACACGGACGTGGTCATAGATGGCAGTAAATCCCCTCAATTGAACTCCCAAATCCTCCCTAAACTTACTAACATGCCCTTTACACACAGGTAGCATCATAATAACCAAACATTAGCTACCACTACCTTCCCCTATCATACACGGACAGACAGACAGACAGACAGACAGTTAAGGCAGCAGCGTCACGACAGACAGCACTCTAGACAGAGAGGGGATAAGAAGAATAGCGGTAACGACAATTACAAGCACACGCGCGCAAAGACAAAGGATTTATAAAGCAACGCAGTCCACCCATGCGATTAGACCCCGATCCCAACAGCCATCAGGCATCCGCCAATCCCCACCCAATCCTGATCAACCTCCTCCTCCTCCCCCCAATACCCGCCCATCCAGCGCCCCACACATCCCTCTCGCGCACGTCCATCCGCGGCACCGGAGATTTCTACTCGCCAGTGGGCATTCCCTCGACCTCGACCGACAGCGTTCTCCAGCCCTCGGCCTGGAGCTCGGCATACTTTACGCGTTCGACCGCCCACTCCTGGTGTAGCCTGCCGACATGGTACTGACTGCCCTGGAAGAATATGAGTTCGTGGAGGACGCACTCGCGTATCAAGATCCCGCGGACACGCTGCCGCTCGATATCCTCTCCATCCTTTCGGATTGCGTCCTGCACCTTTTCGATTTCGCCGGGCTTGACGGCCTCGGTAGGTTTGGCGCGCAGCTGTTCGAGCTTTTTCCGGTTGGTGTCGATGCGCTTCGTGAGGAATGGGATGTTGTTCCCTGCAAGGCGGTCATAGCGGTCGAAGAGCTCGCGCATCGAGACGAGCGTGTCGCGCTGCCGCTTAAAGTCCTCGAGTACGCCGGCGTCCCACGCTTTTGCCTCGTCTTCGAGGAGCGCGCGCGATTGGTTCAGGCTTTTGGCGACGGCTGTGAGACCATCGTTCAGGAGAGGGATGTCGCTCGTGTCCACCGCGTAGGTGGCTTCGCTTGCGTCTGTGAGTGAGCCAAGACATGTTGCGAAGCGGCCGTAATCTGCTGCAATCCCTTCATGTCTTCGTTCCAGACGCTCTACCAGGTTGCAGAGTTGGATGTACATCTCGGCGCTGCGGCGGAGGCCGGAACGGACGGTCTCGAAGGTATCGGTGAGGTCGGGAGGAAGAGAGGCTTCGAGGTCGGGTGGCAATGAGCGGTTGGTGAATTCTTCGACGATACTAAAGGTAGCTTGTTTCCGCCATACGGAGAGCTCGGTCGGTACGGTGAGGAACATGATGACCAGCTGCTCTTGCGAGAGTGTGGGGTGGCGTACGAGCGCGTTCACGAAGCGGTGTAGGCCGCGGCGCCGACGTTCCAGGAATTCGGCATCGGCTGATAGGTAGTGGCCGTTAACTATTGTCAGATATGAGAATAAGTTGCCGTTTTTGCGTGGCGGCGGCGGCGGGGAGGGACTCACCTGCAAGTCGTTTTGGCGGCAGGAGCGGAAGCTGTCGGAAAGGGTATCTTTTGTGTAGACAATCAAGCAGCCTATCGTCCATCAGTACGAGAAGAAGAAAAAAGACACTCCCGGAGAACCCACCAGACAAAGTCGCTGTATCTCCGCACCACGCGACTGCCTCTCCGTTGGCTAGTAATCTGATAGTTCCTATGCTGAAACATAAACATGCCCTCTTTCTCGGGTAGGATATTGACATTAACACGTTCCTCGGGCAGTTTCATAGCCGCTCTAACCCTCTCCATCGAGAGCACGCCGTTTCCATTTGCGTTTCCGTTTCCATTTCCGAGCCGTTCGTCGCTGCCATTGACCCGGTTTCCGCCCAGCCCACCAAAACTCCCATGCCTCGCGCCAATCCCGGGATGATCGCTAAAGCCCATGATACTCTGATTGTAGGTACTTCCACCGTACGTATCAGGCTGGACATAGGTATCATTCCCCCAGGTAGACGACGTGGTGACCCTGCTTGGGCCGGTATTACGCAGCGCAGCATGGATATCATCAGGCTCATCCTCCTCATCGTCTTCCCCCTGCTGTCTGTCATTCCTCCCATCTGTCTGCGCGCCAAACTCCGGCACCGGCGGTTGCACCACCGGCTGCGGGGGCGGCACTAAAATCGCCGGAGCTTGTTGCGTCGGCGGCGGGCCCCACGGATGATCCTCGACACTAGTGGCAAACAGCGCCGCCGGATTGCCGGCGCGCACGGGTTTCGTACTTATTGGTGTGCTCTGTTGGCGCGCGACAATGGTATTCGGCTTATCCGATAGCGGACTCGTGGGGATGTCCGCACCGGAGCCGGAGTGTGTGTGCTGGTGGTGCGAATTGCGATTGCTATTCGAATTGCTGTGGTTGTTGTAGAAACCCTCGGCGCCTGTGTCTTCGCCGAGGACCTCGGGCGGTGGGGTCTTCGGCCGCGCCGGTTCTGGCCGCTTCTTGGGCTCCTGCGGAGTGAGTGTCTTCAGGTGTGGTATCGGCAGTTCTACTCCCTCCCATCAGCTCTTCCGCGCGCACACCGGGGGAGGGGAGGGCGGGGGACTACTCACTCTCCCGCCTCACATCGACGGCGTCAACGCCAATATCCCTATCCCCCTCCTGCCACAGGCCCACCATAGCGAGTAAGCACCAAACCTCACCTCTCCCGACCAGATCCTTCCTTCCCACGACGACTTCCCAGATTCTATTCCGGTCATCGCCATACACGCCAGCTTCATCGAGCACCTTATCGGCTGCGCCATGTGCCTCGACCATTCCGTCGGCGCCGTCACCAAACTCTCCGACCAGCTTCCTGTACACGTCGTAGTAGACAACGGGGATATCCGCGTTATCGGCGGTGAGCAGGCTGCGCACCACGTCGCCGAGGTTCTGGGAGCGGTTGCGGTGCACGCGCGGCGAGGTCGCAGCGCCGCCGACGGAGGAGCCCCAGCCGCCCGTGCTGTCGACCGCGTCGTCGTCGAAGAGCGAAGGCGACCCCGAGAAATCGGGCGAGGCGAAGAGCGAGCGCGTGCCGGGGGGCGATTCGCCAAAGAGCGACATGTTGTGTTTGGGGGTGTGTGTGTGTGTGGAGAAAGAAGAAGAGAGCAGGCAGAGGTACGGTATCAGCAGCAGCACGGGTAGGAGTACATTAACTAAGCAACCAAACAGAAGAAGTGGGAGGAGAAGATGAGCGCTTGAATTTGTTTAGTTTTTTTGCTTTCTGCTCTAGACTTGAGGTTCGGACGTGGCGGAGCAGCCTGCAGCGGGGGGGCGGAGAGGAAGAGGAGAGGGCGGGAAACGTGGTGGTTGGTCGTGGAGGTTGTCGGGTCTGCACACTTCAACTGACACCCTGCAGGAATGACGTTGCCTGCCCACCCACCGAGACAGATCAAATCTTCTCCTCTTTGACTTGCTGGTTGTAACTATGAGCGGAAACACGCCCCTCCGTGATACGAAAATTAAGTTGCTGGAACGGCCTTCGTTTTCCAACTTCTTCAATCTCGAGGCAGAGAGCGCAGCTTAGAAGAAAGCGGGCACAATAGTGCTGTTTGTTAAGCGCCAGGCAGCAGACACGAACAAGCTCAATCAATCCATCACAGCTTCCCACCCAGCCGCGGCGATCGCACGAGTGCAGCATTCGTCACAGGGACGCACTTCCAATTTGATTGAACAAAAAAAGATACAGGAACCCACATTTGGTCGCCATAGTTCAGGTACTTCTTGGGCCGTATGCGACAGTAAATCGATGTTCTCCCTCTTAAGAACCCACTTTCAACACAACAACTATCACCACCTCAGTCCAAACCACAGCCTAAGCATGAGTACATCTATTCCCTCGTCTATATTCATAAATACTTCAAAACCAAAGCCAAAAGATTAACTAGAGTAAATGCTACACCATATCCCCCTCCCTCAACGCCCTGCCTGGCTGATCATCATACACCAATTATGGATTTACCGAACTATTCCGATCCGTCTCCAAGGGGTGTGTGTGCTGTGCTGTACCGTATATGACTTCGCAAAACATCAAGTCATTATGGAAAAGGAAAAGAAAAAAAAATCCAAATCAAATCCCCATCCTTCACCTACGCCCCCCTGACAGAAAATGAAAATGAAAATGAAAAGAGAAAAAAACTGTTTGTGTACAACAAATCTAGAAGGGATGAAGGTATCCGCAAGAGAGAAGAATTAAAAGTGCTAGCACTCGCCACTCGCACTTGTACTTACACTAGAATACAAGCCGGATCGAATATCTGGAGACGAAGAGGTGAGGAGGGAAACCGCGGTTGTGGTAATAATAGGACGTGGAGTATATGGCTGCCGAAGCATTACCACATGATCCGTCGACCCGAAGTGCGCCCGTCTAGAGAACTTTCTTGAGTTTGGCCTCGCCGTTGGCAACGACATGCCCGTTGGCCTTCTCGGTCAAGGTAATCTCGATCGCGGGGTTGCTGTTGATCAAGGTGTTAGCGTTCACGTTGCATCCCGACGAATCAGAGGGAAGCGTACATCTCATCGCCCTGGTTGGAGCTCTCCTCATCGGCCTCGGCCTCATCTTCGCTCCTCTCATCGACCGCCTCCTTGTCCAACACGAAACGCTTCGCAATGCGCAGGATGAACCACAGCCAGAACAAATTGACCGCTTGGAGACTGCCGAGAAGCGTTCCGGAGATGAATTGCGCAAGTGTGCACTTGTAGTACCCGGCCTGCCAGTCCAGGAAGAATGGCCCGATGGTCTTGAATTGCATCGGGATACTGATGATGATGCCGAGATTGATGTAGTGGCGCATGTAGATCCAGACGAAGATGAAGAACCCAAAATACGGACCGATCAGTGGATGGTCCAGGTAGTTCAGCGTCTTCGACGTAGCGAGGAAAAAGTCGCTAATGTCGTGCGTGACAAACACGGCAATCCCCATGTACGTGAAATGGAACCTGTAGCTGAGCGAGATCAGAGACAGAGTGACCACGTGATGCAGTACCAGTTCCTTGAAGTCTTTGCGCGGCTTCTCCAGCTGCAAGAGGAGAACGATCGCCTGCTGAGTCCAGTATGCAGCCTGGAGGAGATAGTATGCCTTGAAGTCGGCCGTGTGCGTGTGGTGCGGGTAGCGCTCGTAGTATCCGGCAATGCGGAAATACCAGACTTCGGTGTGGTACATCACGTACAGTCCGTAGGGACCGAACACGGCAAAATACAACGCCGTGTATGTCTGCTCCATGAACCGAGCGACTTTCGCCTTCTTGGTGATGCCGCAGTAACGAGCGATGGGTCGCAGAAGCCGTTGCATCAACAGCTCCCGCGTGAAAGAGAAGAAAAAGGTGTAGAACAGAACAAAGCAGATGTCCCTAATCCCCTTGCCATACTGGATCGCATTGGGGTACATAGCCGTTGGGTCCGGTGGTCGAGGATACGACAGGAATATTGCCGAGTGCAGAGGATTATCGGGGGACGGGTGGATTGCGTAGCCAGCCAACGCGATCAAGATGACCACCAACGGATTCACTACCGACGACAACCACCTTCACAGTGAGCACACTTGCACTTTCACTCCGCCATCGTCATCGTCATCACGCCGGGGAAGGAAGATGGTGGAAACATACGCCATGTATTCCGATACGACAGCTCTCGATACCACGTCAAGAACGTCCTCGCTCGAGACCTCGACGACCGCCGTTCCTTCGACAGCGCTTGCCGCCGACTTTTCGATGCTGCTCTCTGCAAAACAGACGATGACGCCGTCAGCAGACTGGTTCCAGCTTGCTTGTCCCCGTCCTCCTTCTCTGCGAACTTCAGGGGGTCGCGTGTAACGGGATAACACCACACCTGTGAAGTAGTTGTGCCCATAGTCGACACCGCCGGCGCCGACGTGTCCCCCCTGATGTCGGACCCGAGTGAAGACTTCCGCCGCGGTCTGGCCATGTTTGCAGCGACGAGGAGTGCGGACGGGAGGGTGACTGTTTAACGAGGCGTGTGTATTTGTTGAGGAATCCGACGATGACGCTGCTGCTGCTACGGGTGTTGTTGTTGTGTTGTTATTGTTGTGGTTGTTGTGGCTGCGCAGGGGAAGGTAACGAGTGTTCGATACGAGGAGGACGGAGGAATTGTAATCCCATACGCAAGCTTACGCAGCTGAGCCTGACCAGCGAGAACGTGCGTGCAACTGATATCCGGCGGTGATGATTCGAATCAAGCTGTGTGTATGGAAGAGGACAAGGAGGGTCTCCTATGTTATACTGAGTAGTGGCGTGCAGGGCGGTCGTTCTTGAACACGACTGATTGGATTGGGAGCTCGGCATCTTTTTTAGTGCAGGGGCACCAAAACCATCATCGGCATTATCGGACTCCGGGGGCGATCCTTAGTGTGACTGCGTGAGGGAAGGGAGAAGAAGTCTCCATCCTATGTACGTACTCTATGTGCCTAATGTATGTAGGCTTGCTTGAAAAGGAAACGAAGAAGAACAGAGAATTCGGCCAGTCCCACCGCCACTCGCAAAGCCCGAGCCGCCCAAGCCTAAGCCCGGGTGTGTTGGAGCTGAGCAGCATCCCTCCCCCAGCCCAGCCACGTAAGCAAGCCGCAACGCCAGTGTCGGCCGGAATTCAAAACTCGAGCGATCGCCGCAAGCCGCTGCCTTACACGTGACCCCGGATCCGGAACCCGCAAGTACGCTCACCCGATCCACAGGCGTGGGGGCGAGCCCACCACGCGTAGCCAATCGTTTTGATTATCCATCTCCGCCCAACTACATGCATACATTCGGGCGGCCGGAAAGTCTTCGGACCCCGTGACCGGATGGGAGATCTGACCGTCGACACAATTCGTCTTTTGCTACGAGCTTCTCTCTAATCTTATTCCATCCACTCTATGTAATAGTCACGTCGGTCCACAAACTTTCCGGCCGGCCGCCCGAGTACATAGAATACAGAGCACCTACTACCTATAGTAGTACATTCTGACTTATCTACAGACTTTCCTTGGCACGATGCCAGGATTCTGCTGTAAGCTCCCTCCTGACCTCCAACTGCAGCTATGCATCGGCACGATGAGATTCCGAGGATGAGCGAATGGTAGCGGAGGATAGTGGGGGAAAGGGCTGAAGCAGACTTCGGTAAAGACTTGGGCATTTCGCCAGTAGGGATCAAGTGCGTGGAGAAAGCTTAAGTCTTGTATGCTTAATTCATGAACACGGCATTCTTCTAGTGGTCTATGTATTTGGGCGGCTCCTCTCTCCTGAGTCTTGATAAATCCCCCAAGCTGTAGCTTGAGAGAAGACGGAGTGAGAGAAGACAGAGTAAGTATCGGGGAAGAACCGTCACCAGAAAAAAAGGCGAAATACCATTGCTCATGTCCTCTTTCTATGCAAACCAAAATACATATTGCTTCTCTTCCAACGCCAGTATTACCACCACACAACAACTCGGAAGATGAGGGGATATCAGAGACCAGAGATGTTCTCAAACAGGACAAACCGTATAGCCAGGTAGTTTATATGGCATCAAGGAAGCCCTACAAGATATACACTCCTACACATCGCGTCACTCGGCCTTCAATCTTGATATTCCCTGCAGGGAGATGAGGAGTCAGGATGGAGGGTGGTATTATGGTTGTATGGTTTTGGAATGGACGAGGTATGACCATGGGAGGTGTGGCCGAGAAAGAACGAAGGTGATAACAATTATAAAGAAAATACAGTACACAAAATAATATGTTGATCTACTCCAAAGGATTCGTCGTCAACAAACGAGCCAAGAAGGTTTTCCATATATACGCCGAGTAGGTATGTAGGCGCATGCTAGATGCCGGGCGTGCTTGATGGATGCGATGAGCATTTCTTTGTTTGATCCCACACATCGCAGGCTGCGTAATTCCACTCTACCTCCACGTATTGTATTCAACACTGTCCCAAATTCCAACACTATCCCAGCTCTCCCACTCCCATCTTACACACCATTCACCCAAGTTTCGCACTTCCTCCTCTTCTTCATCATCAACTTAGCCACCCACTTCAGCACCTTCGGCTGCTTCCGGCTCTTTTCGCTGCCCCTGATGGAGACCAAATCTACCGGACTACTACTTCCCGGCTCCAGCGGTGACAGCTCAAATCTCTCCTCGAACCGCGAGCCGGTGGATACGCGGAGCCATGCTTTCTCCTGTGTCTGAATGTCAGCCATGCTTAAATACGGTGAGGATATGTGGACTTGTCCTACTGATACCGGTAGACTGTCTCCACCAGCGACCTGGGCTGGCACTGTGATGGTGAGTGGTGTGGGGATCTTCGCGAACATGGGCTTTCCGTTCGATGGTGAAGTCGTGACTGGTTAAGCGTTGGATTTGGTAGGTAGGAGGGTGTGAGGAGACAGAAGTATTTACGGTTCACGGATGAGTAAAATATGGAAATGTATCTGCTGGCTTTCATCTTGAATTTGTGGGGCTTGTGCTGCTATTGAATGGGTTTCTCGTCATGAGTGGTCAGGTTCTTTCGTCCCATTGGTGGAGTTCGCGTGATTTGGTTGGAATCATGGAGAATGATCGTTCTATGGAAAGGCCATCAAAGGTGATTCTTGCACATAATTCATGTTGCGTACCTGGGACCTATTGTATGTACGAGTAAGTACTGGAGAGCCGCCGGCGTGCCTGGCCCGGGTCAAAGGGCTTCGTGAGCGTCAATCCGGGTGATACTCTGTCAACTACTGTGGCTTAATGGCTCCTCCCAGCCTCGATCCTCCTCAAACGCGAAGGTCCGAGTGATATTATGTGAACCATTGTAGCTCAATGGCTTCTCATAGTCTTGATAAACCTCAAGAGTCTCCGCTAGCGCTATCACGACCCGTATATAATCAAGTTCTTTCGACCCTCTTATTCCTTCCTACAAATTCTCCCTTACGACAGCATCTTCCGACAGCTTCCTCCTACAACTTCTTCCAACATCTTCCAACATCTTCCTTCCAGAATTAAAGATTCAAGATGAGAACCCGCAGCAACTTGTTCGTACCAGTTCCCACCACTCTCATCACGTATGAACTTACAAGCTACCAGCGAGTACACCCTCCCAGCGTGGAAGCGCCTCCCACCGCGACGTCTCAGCTGCACCGCCCTCGACCTCGTCCTACCGATCCACGCAGGCAACAAGAACCTCAACACCCGTCGGAAGATGCAGCGGGTAGCGAGAATGATCCAGCGAGTCAGCCACAACGAGGCGATCCAGTCGCAGCGCGACTTCATCTCTGACTGGCAGGCGGCGCACCCCACGACCGACGAGGAGCAGGCCGCATACAAGGCGATGCTCGAGGAGGCGGAGGCCGAGATCGTGGCCGGCCGCAAGGGCGGGGAGGGCTGGCTGGATATGAAACTATCCGAGGAGAAGTACTGTCCCGGCGATTACGAGCATTGGTTGGCGGAATACTTCTGGGTGGGGAAGCCGCAGGCGCCGCCGATGAAGTGGACGAAGAAAGACCACAAAAAATTCATCAAGAAGAGGTACCCTAATGGGTATCCTCATATCCAGCAGCTGGAGGCGGAGAAGAAGAGGGGGAGTATCTTGGAGCGGCGGAGGAGGAGGGCCTTGAGGTTGAGGAGGAAGGGGAAGTACTAGACGCATAATGAGTGCCTTATGGCCAGTTGCGCAATGACAGCGATACCACTTCTTCATCAGACAGCAAGACTAGATTCTATATCTGTGACTACTTGACTGCCATCGGTTTTTTATTTGATCATACTCGTGTTTAGCTTACTTGGTCTATGGTGGTGTACTTTTTCTCTATTAGTCTGCCCTCGGATTCTTTAAAATTCTACTTCATAATTTCTCCAATCGAATCATTTCCCATGAATTAACCACATACTGTACAAAAAGTAAAAATTGACATTATATTAATCCAGCAGGCTTGTCGACACGGTGACCCAATGGTGTTAGTTAGATATCAACACGAAAAAAATGGTGTATTAATCCGTAGGTATTTTCAAATCCAAGGGTTACTACTGTATCAATTTTCCCCGGTTTTTGCTAAGTATTGTACCTACAGATACCTGAAATGCCCATAGCCGAACATGGGAAACTATCATGTTTCATCCGAAACCCATAGGCAACTGCAGCCATTATCAAGTCTCACATAAATAATATTAACTGATCCGAACTTCTACTGAGGGGTGACGTATGGTGGTCACGACTTTCGGTGTGGCGCCAGACGAACTACACCCCTGCCCCGTCGAGTTCATACTTTGGGGAGACAGCGGACTAAGGAGCTGTAGGGGGTTAGCGCTGCCAAGGAATGAAGGTGCATGTGGTGCTATCGAAAGAAAAGTAACCACCCCTCCATCGTCATCGTGATATCCGCAACTTCCACAACCAAACCACGCACTCCTCCTCCAATCAACCGGGAAGGTCAATCCCGCCACGATGCTCTCCCGAACGATCCAGCATTCCCTCCGCCGGAGCGCCGCTGCGTTCACCAAGCCACTCACAGCAGCAACATCACCTCACCTCCAGACCCGCACATATGCCCAGCAACCACCGAAAGACAGCACGCCTGCTGAGTCCGAGCCGATCCTTCCGACCGATGCCACTGCCTCCCCTCTCGAGAATGCTTCCACCACTACCCGAGATCCTCCCCAGGATGCGGCCGAACAGCCCGGCCCCAGTACCGGCTCGCGCTCGCGCTCCAAGACTGGCGGCGATGGACTCCCACGATCTGCGTACGTCTCGTCGACCGACCGGAGACGCAATGCTATGGCAAAGTACTCCGCCTATGCTGCACTGCTAGGTTTAGTCGGCGGCACACTGTACCTTGGGCGTGATTTGGAGCCGGATGAGAAGGAGGTACATCCGACTATTGGCAGTGGATGGGACGAGTTCTTTGTGCGCGTGAAAGCTCGGTCAAACGACTTCATGAGCTTCTACAATGAGCCGCCGTTCGACAAATTACTGCCCGATCCTATTCCCGAGTATGGCCGGCCGTATACACTTGTGATTGCGCTTGAGGACCTGATGATCCATTCGTCGTGGTCGCGCGAGCACGGCTGGCGGATTGCGAAGCGCCCCGGATTGGATTACTTCCTTGCCTACCTGTTTCAATACTATGAGGTGATCGTGTTTACAAACCAGCCCGAGGCAATGGCCGCGCCCATTCTGCAGAAGGTCGACCAGCAGCCTGGATACATCATGTTCCCGCTGTTCCGTGCGCACACCAGATACGTGGACGGAAAGTATGTGAAGGACCTTAACTACCTCAACCGCGACTTGAGCAAGGTGGTAATGCTGGAGACGAACCCGGATGCGTGGTCCGCGAACCCTGACAACACCGTCAAGCTGCCGCCGTGGAAAGGCGATGCCAATGACCGCGATCTGGTAGCGCTGATCCCGTTCCTGGAGTACATCGCCGCCATGGGTGTGAAGGATGTTCGGCCGATCATCAAGGACTTTGAGGGCACACACATCCCAACCGAGTTCGCCCGGAGGGAAGAGCTCATCCGGATGCAACTGAGGAAGGAGCTCGGACAGAAGAAAACAAAGAGCAAGGGGCCGCCGTCGTGGATGGTGAGCGCGCTTGGTATGAGGCCGAAAGACGATCAGGAAGAGGATGTCAAGACTTTCATGGATCTCGCCAGAGAACGCGGCCAGCAGAGCTACCTTACCAACCAGAAACATCTGGAGTCGCACCGTGAAGATATGTTGAGGGAGCAGCAGCAGGCTGAGAAGGAGATGGCCGAGCAGATGAAGACCAGTCTATCCAAGATCTTTACTGAGGTGAGTTCCAGCGCCCGCTTTTTTTGGCGACTGATGAACTAACGGTGAGATAGGGTCTGCCGAAGCAGCCAGGACAGTAGATGGACAGATTGTTACGGGGGAGGAAATGTAAGAAATTCGGCGACTGTATCATAGGAGATTGTGCTCTGCTCTTTCATTACCGTACTTTGGAATGAACATACTACCTATACTGCTTTTTTAACTTCTGTTATGCGAAAGTTTTGGAAATGGGAACGGCGGGACGGGTGGGTTTGTAATCCACTCGAGAGAAGAAGATGGGTGTTGGATGTTCAAGTGCTATGTACTTGATGTACGATAGTGTTCTGAATACAGCGACGAATTCCGTAGATGATGCTGGACGTGGTCCGATGTCTCCCGCAGTTGTGTAAATCAGAGGCTGGCACGTGACACATCACGTGAAGGCTACCACCGGGTAATCTCACGTGCCCCCACAGCCAACCTTTTCCCTACAGCGGCGGGCGGGCATCAGCAGCCCTCCCGGACACCCCCACCACACGCACGACTACAAAATGCTCTACGAACTGATCGCCTGTGTACCTCTCCCCCGCGCTCTGCTTTTACCCCCCGCGTTTCAACCTCACTAACCTCGGATTTTTCCCCCGCGCCAGGTCCGCCCCAGCGCCGCCGGCCTGGGCGAAGTCCGCGAGATCGCGAAAACGTGCGGGATGGCGGTGCTGCAAGGCGGCGGCGTGATCCGCACGATCCAGAACTGGGAGAAGCTCATGCTGCCGCGCCGCGTGCGGAAACATCAAACGTACTACGACCGCGGGCACTACTTCCTCATGCGCTTCGACGCCGCCGCCGCGACCCAGAAGAGGATGAGGGACGTCCTTGGCCTCGATCCCAGGATGGTCAAGTTCAGCGTCGTCAAGGTCGGGCAGAAGTTGGAGGATGTGGTGAAGAATGAGTAGGCTGGTGGGATGGATGTACGGGGGGGAGGGGGGTGTACGATTATGGATTTGATGCGTGCCCGGGCGTGTGGAGAAACAGGCTGGGCAATATATTGTGTTCCGGGCTACATGGCTGGTTTTGGTACGGTGGAGAGAACTCACCCGCTTGCTGGTTTGGGGTCTTCGGGACAATTCTGCTGCCGGATTGACCTCGGGGAAGGCAGCGCCTATGTGTGAGACCGCCCATTCATGCGCTTTCCATAGCTCTATACGTACAATCATCACACGTCCACGGTCGTGCATCAATATCTACTGGTACAATGCTCTTCCCATGCATCCATCACACTCCAGAACCCAACGCAAAAGAAACCGAGAAAGATATCCACCTCCGCAGAAACAAGAAGAAATAAAACAATTGCCGACACAGCCTAGCTAGATACATAGCAGGAAGCTACTTACCAACGGCCTGTGTGCTACCATTGGTTGCGCTCGTCTCGTTCTGTGCCTCTGAATCCGCCACAAACAGACCCATCCACTCCTAATTGGCTCCATGGGACGAAGCGACTAAGCCGATGGACCGCCGTCCTCATTCTCGACAAGGACGACCGACTCTCCCAGTTGACTACCCTCGTCGTCTTCGCGAGTTGCATCAGCCTTAGCAGCTTCCTCGGTGTGCTTAGCCTTTTCTTTGGCGATCTTGTCCGACTCGATCTTCTCTAGGATCGGGACACACCCGCCAACGACCAATTTCTGGGCAACAGCATGGCCAAAGACCTCAGCCTCAGCCTGGCTGCTAACCTTCGCGCGCTCATCCGCCTCGACATTCTGTGTGCCATCCAGACTGGATACACGGACAAGCATGTGCAGAGCACCATCCTCTTCCCAAGTAGTCTTGACACCGATGGGGACACTGCAACCGCCCTCGAGAGTACGCAGGAGTTCACGCTCAGCGTAACAGGCCAATGCGGTAGGCCCATGAGTCAGTCCTTTGAGAACTTCGACGATATCGTCATCGCCGGCGCGGATCTCGATGCCGATTGCGCCCTGGCCGACGGCGTGGAGGACCTCGGGTGCATCGAGGTATTCGGTAATGCGATCACCAAGACCAAGTCGCAGAAGACCAGCGGCGGCCAGGATTAGCGCATCGTATTTGAACTGGGGGAGGTTCTCGACGTTGTCGAGTTTTCTGAGTCTGCTGGGAACGTTTCCGCGGCAATCGACGAGGACGAGGTGGGGGTAAAGACGTTTGACTTGAGCCATGCGGCGGACCGAGGAGCTACCGATGATCGCGCCATCGGGAAGCTCGGAGAGGGACTTGTAGGGGTGGCCAGCACGGACCACGAAGGCGTCGCGGGGGTCTTCGCGCTCCAGGATAGCGGCGAGACTGCAGGTTTCGGGAAGCACGGTCGGCATGTCTACGGAAGTTTATCGTCAGCAACGAAAATTCAAATGCTCGGGAAGGATTAAACACACCCTTCAGAGAGTGGACGATGATGTCCACCTTACGGACAACAAGCATATCCTCAAGTTCACTAGTCCATAAGCTTTTACGTTCCATCTCGTGTAGTGCAACGGTCTGATTCTTGTCTCCGGCAGTCTTGATAGCCTGTCTTCCGATCTCGAACTCGGGGCCGAACTTCTGGCGCAAGAACTTTTCCACGATAGCGGTCTGGGCTAGAGCCAGCACCGAATCCCGGGTTCCCAGCACAACGCCGGGGCGTTTCTTGTTGGGGTTGAGGTGAGGGGTGATTTGCGACATGATTGCGGCGCAGATATATGCCAGGAGGTAGGAAAGCATCGTGGCGAGGAGATGGGGAGGAGGTGGGTCCTCAGTGGCGGCGTTAGGTTTGGTGTCTATATACGGGTCCTAGTGCGCACGAGTAAGCGATGTCTCCGTGCGGGGGTGCTCTATGGAGACATTTACCGTAACTTCGGATTGGTGAATACGGTCGCGGGAACAATCACGGGAGCAAATTCGAGCAATTAATAGCAACAAATGTGGTCCTCGCCGTCCTTGCAGCGGCTACGAGTGTGGGACCCGGTTATGCCTCGGTGTGGCAATGATGGTGGTGATGGTGGTATCTGTGGAGGAGTTCTGCTGTGGTACAACATGCCGTCTATATAACCATCCCCGCGCCCAGGGGGGTCCCTTAACTTGTCAAAAAATCACCGGTATGTATGACTAGTACATAAAGCCGCGGTCCCTTGCCCATGCAGCAATTGTCGTCGGTGGCACGTGTCGTACTCACCATTTTCCATAAATTCGCATCCTCACAATAACTAAAGCTTTTCAATGGGTCATGGATCGGTATAAAAGGAATTGAAAGTCGATATAGTAACTGTACATTTTCCAACACCAAAACAACCCGCAAACCCCACCCAAAGTCCAGCATAAACTCCCTAAAGACTCCAAAAAATGTATCTATGATGGCATTGCCAAACAAAAACTCCAGATGTCGGCCCAAGAAATTCCTCGCCAAAGGGTGACAATCCCTTGCGGTCTCTAGTGATAGCCATACAAATACCGCGTTAAAGGTGACGTGAGTTCGTATGTTTGCTATCGGACATCCGTCATAATCATCGTTAATCACCCGCGAACCCGCCGCGAAGTGATGCGCGAGATGCTGGTAGTCGATGTGCAACTGCATTGCCGGGCAAAGCCTCATCACCTGTACATCATTCGCCCAGCCCTTTTAGTGGGGAAGGTTTGCTCTGCTCCCACTTTTGGCTCATCATGCGGATCTTGTCCATGAGATGATCGACGCGGTATCCGCCTCCCGAGCTGGTCTGTGTCTCCATGTCGATCGTCTGCATCGCCTCCGCCATGACTCGGCCATGAAATGCGTAGTGCTGCTCGATCGCGTGTCGTCCATCGCGCGTCTTTGCGTTCGGCACTACGTGGCTGCACCGTAGCCCGTCGAGCGTGCATTTCCAGTACGAATCCTCGCTCAACATCGAAAGCCGTGCACCCAAGTTCCTAGTGCCTTGTCCTGTCGATTTCATGGATCTTTTGGACATCTCTAAGTTTCCACCGCGTCGGTACTCGCTGATGTCGGGCGTCGGAGGAGGGGACTCGGACGGCGAAGACATTATTTGCCGCTTCAACCGACTTTCACCGGCGACAACGATGGTGTCTGAGTCACATCGCCGTTTCAGCCGTGTTTCGATCGGTGAGGCATCGTCAAGCACTGGGTAGCTCTCAGGACTTGGGGGTTCGATGGGTATTTCGTTACGGCTCGGCCGCAGGATCGATCGGCCTTTAGACGACACTGTCTTTCCGGTCTGTTCCTCCAAAGGTTCAGGCGTGCACTCCATGCCATCATCATCATCATCGTCACTCTCGTCGCCGTCTTCTTCGTCGTCTTCCTCTTCGTCTCCGTCATCGACCGCCGGCGTTTCGAAGGCCGGGTTCCGTTTGGGCTCCAGCCTATCCTTCTTCAAATGTCCGTAAAATATCATGACTTCCAACACCGTTTCCTCGTGCTCCTGCTGAAAGTGTAAGAAAATCGGTGAACGTTTCCACATCTCCGCGTCGTTCTCGGGTTTCAACATCATGAATAGCAGGAATCGATGATGCGTCTCGAAGATCTTAGATGCCGCTCTTGCCGTTCGACATTCCGGTTCGACTCCTATGTACTGTTGGTTCCAAATTAGCTTCTCTTCCCTCCGGATCTCGGGCAAAAGCAATCGATCGCGAGGGTCACTTACATCTTTGAACATGTCCATGACAGTATCCTTCAATGGCTTACCACGCCCATGAAATTTGGCATACCTCTCTCTCATGAATAGCCATGCGTTCGCCTTCTCGACCAGCGTCGCGAAATGTGCTCGATACTCCGGGGCGGGGGAGATGCGGTACCATGCAGCGCCACCGAGGACCCAGATCACCGTCTCCATGACGTCGCTGCCCTTCCGTATTATCTGCTCCATGCTAAACGTAACGACCTTGGGAATGATGATATGCTGCGTGAGGGCATCAGGAGTGCGCACTGTCACCAACCGCCATCACCGCAATTAGCCACCACGCAAGAAAGCAGGGGACAACACTCGCGACCAGGGAACAGAAAGGCGTAGCTACCGAGTTTTTTATATTTACGAGGGGTAGGTCCCAATCGCCCCTTAACGCGAAACGGCCCGAATTCGGTCACGTCGAACAGGTTGACGAGCTCTTCCGGATGTCCACGGCGGAAACGGACAACCGACACGTCGGAGAGCTCAAGGAGTGGCCATTCCTCGACATCTTTATCGGCGGGTCCGGGCAAGAGGGCTTGCGCTTCGAACATGACGGCTTGGGGTTGGGTTGGCGAGCAGATGGCTGATGGCCGATGGAGATGTCTTGCGAATGCGATGAGATGAGGAAGACAAAGAAGGCTGTGGGTGATTGTGGACCTTGAAGAGCATGGGTGAGATGCACGTGATGTGCACTTGACACTTCACTACGGTAATCCATGCATAACCTCGATAGGTTACTCGTCCACAACTAGATACTTCTTACACAAGTATCATACTTACCAACTACCATCTAACGCCTGTGCCGTACCGGTAGCACTGCGACCTGCTTTTGACAATGAAACCATCAATAGGTACCTCCGACTTACCAATTATCACCAGGGGGCGGATAGAATGGATAGGAAGCTTTTTGGCGAACCAACTAGGTAGTCACATTCGCGGGCCGCTGATATACCTTAAGTACCTATAAATACCACCAGCTCCCATCACAAGATAACTAGACTCTAGACTGCGGAGTTATTTTGCCAAGCATCTCTGGAAGCGTCACCATTCACACATTGTTGCAGAACATACAGAAAAGTACTTCTCCGAAATCTACCGCCAAAAAAAGAGCACATTCAAGCAAGGACCACCTAACGTAGGCAAGAAATGCACATGGGCTGATCAACGTCTGTACTTCAACGGTGGGAACACTTCCCAGTGAGATTGCAAGGCGAAGTTCAATAACTCTCAGACCGCAGCAAACTTGAGTCCAAAATTTATCCTGGCATTGTGCTGCAGTTTCCAAGACAATCGTGGAACCAATGAAGCCCATGGCGATAGGAAGCACTCAGCCGCTGCACTTGAGCCCCACCCGTCTGCGTGCAGGTAGACTGCTTCTATCTTCACGTTGCTTCCTCTGAATATATCTTATCGTTAGATCCCCTCAGCAGTTTTCATTACCACCATTTACCTACTCCGAGAATCACGCCTATTCCAACTAAATTACTAAACGACTTCGAAGGTGATAAAGGTGGAAAGATGGCAGGAAACGAGTAGGTGCATAGGTGCATGGCCGCGCCCCACACCGAGCTGATTAGCACAGTGGACAAGCCAACCTCAAGGCCGCTCTTCGCGAATTTCATGGACTACTAAGTCCACAGGAATTCTCAGAACTGTTGCGATTCTCGGGACCATCGGCATCAAGTGTTGTCGAACTCACTGCGATCATCGATGGGAAAAAGCCGAAGCACAAGTACGGCAGCCGGAGAATCCAGAAATTCCTGCAGTCACTCCAGCAGTTTACTACGATAGTCGACACTTTCGTTTCAGCGGAGCCAAAGATCTCCGCTTTGGTATGGGGCAGCGTCAAGCTGGTTATACTGGTATATATTCGAGCTCAAACTTGGTTCAAATAGCTATAGCAGATTCAGTACTGACACCTACTTGTGCCAGATGGCCATGAATCTCTGGGACTACTTCGACAAGCTCTCCGAGATGTACCAGCGGCTTGGAGAACTATGCCCCGTCTTCGATAGGATCCAAAAGCTCTACCCCAGCTCTGCCGAACTTTGTGATGCCGTTTGCGCATTCTACTCCACTGTCATCTGTTTCTGCACCAAGGCTCTTGCGTTTCTCAGGACTAATGGTGGGTTCGACGTTTCTTTGTCAACTCTCCTATATGAATGAGAACTGGATTGACCCTGCGTGTGTGAAGGCCTGCGGGCGATGTGGAAACCGTTCAAAGCCCAATTTCCGGATTTGGAGAACCGCCTTCGTGATCAATCCGAAACAATTGACCGAGAGCTTACCATCGCGTCCGAGACTGCTGCACTACGGGATCGACAAGCCGGCATTTTGTATCGTACCGAGGGAACTAGACTTCGGGCCATCGAATCGGAACACCGGGCAGAATCCCGAGAATGGAGGTTGCAACAGGATATCAAGGAAAAGGGTGAGATCAAGCATGCAAGTGGGTAAACTGAAACTGACATCCGACCGCATCTTCAAGAGAAAAAGCGCCATCGACTATTAGAGAAAATATCGGATTACAACCACAGGAGCACTTTCCTGAGAGCTCGCTCCCAACGCCACCCGGGTACCGGTCAATGGTTATCAACAACTCCCGTTTTCCAAAAATGGTTCGAAGGAGACTGCTCGAGTGGATTGTGGTGTTATGGAATCCGTAAGTGTTACCCTATTTCTCGCGCACTTCTTTAGGCATTATAAGTTATCTAAAGTACATGATATCAGCTGGATCTGGGAAATCTACACTTGTGACCGGTGTCATCGATTATATCTTCTCACAGCAGGGCCAGACACCCAGCATGATATGCTATTTCTTCTGCGACTTTGCTATCCGCCAGTCTTTGGAAATACGCACCGTCCTGAGTAGCTTCATCAAGCAAATTTTGACTGTGTTTACCAAGACACCCCAGGACCTCGAAGACGGGCTAGCGAGAGACTTCGGTGCTCTAGACGTCGAGCCAACGATGGATCAACTGTATGAAACCCTGGTGAAAGTGGCGCAGCTTCCTGCGAATACATATTTCATCGTCGACGGGTTGGACGAGTGCAGTGATCACGAGCGACGGCGCTTGTTACTCTACCTGCGGAAACTCACCACGATTCGAAAGAACGGAATCAAGGTCCTTATTTCCAGTCGTGAGGATGGCGACATATCTCAATCGGTGGAGAAATTCTTCAAGATATCGTTGGACTCTTCTCAACAGTCCACGGATATCGGAGTTTTCGTGAAAGCGGAGTTGCAGACAAGAGTGGAAGAAGGAAACTTGGTTGTGGGGAAACCATCCATGATACAAGAGATACAAGACGCCCTGGTTCGCGGATCGGATGGAATGTATGTACATATCCCTCCTCGAAAAGGCTGTTGATTCGAACTAACCCCGAGGCGGTAACTAGGTTCTTGTGGGTGACATTACAGCTCAACGAAATTTGCGATGAAAACAACGACAACGACATCCGCAAGGTGCTTCGGTCTCTGCCACTAGGCTTGAACGAAACATATGCTCGGATTCTGAAGAAGATATTCTCACAAAGGAAACCCGACATAGCCAAAAAGATCCTTACGTGGGTTGCCGGCGCGAGGCGACCTTTATCGTTAGATGAGCTGACTGAAGCAATCTCTCTCGAACCCACCGATACGCTATGGGCTCAGTGCCGTTGTCGCCTTCCAAATAGCAAACTTAGGATGATCCAGAATTGTGGGAGCTTACTCACAGTGGCACATACTGAGACTGGCGATATCGTTCAGTTCGCACACTACACTGTTGTAGAATTCTTGCAGTCTACAGCAGCGAGCTCGGACTTTCAGATACTCCTCCGCAAGGTGAATATACATATCGCCAGGATCTGCCTTATGTATCTGAGTCTCCCCGATTTCGAGACCCAGATCGCGGCTGTGCCAAAGAAATCGGCACTCGAGACGTCGCCCGCTCGGTGGATACCGTGGATGGTCCAATCCAATCCGGCAACAAGAGTTATATGGAACGCTGCAACGGAAGTAATTTGGGGAAGGTCCAAGGTACCGGCAGTGGATGTTCAAGCCTTACTTCAATCTACCATGAAACTCCACTCACAACGGGATACCCTCAAACGCCAGTATCGTCTCCTTAAATATGTCGCCACGTACTGGCTCGATCACTGTTCCGAGGTCTCGCCAGACAGCCAGGACGACGGCGGAAGGACTTGGAAGCTATTCACGGAATTAACGCTACGCAAATCGCACCTCGGGGACATACCTTGGCTAGGGGAGAATCCTGACGGACCCCATTATGCTACACAGTTCCACTGGTGCATGAAGAACGGCCACTCAGCTTTACTCAGATTGATTATGGACGAAGTAGGAACGGGGTTTACTACATACGATAATCTTTTCGGACCAAGCCCTGAAGCCTTTCGCCGATCCTGCTCACTTGGTCATGGGACGCTTGTGGGACTGTACCTAGACCGATATCGTAAACTCTGCGATAGAGACGGATCGATTCATCATGCCGTAGCGAAAGGTCACGTAGGCGTGGTTGAACAGCTTCTGAAAGCCGGTGCCGATGTCCACGCAGCAGATTACAATGGTTTGACTACACTCCATTACGCTGCCCGCGAAGGTCACTTGAATATTGTTGAGCAGCTTCTAGAAGCCGGTGCCGATGTTCACGCAGAAGATAACAGTCGGTGGACTGCACTCCATTGCGCTGCCGGTACAGGCCACCCGAATATTGTTGGGCGGCTTCTGGAAGCCGGTGCCGATGTCCACGCAGAAGATCACAATGGTTTGACTACACTCCATCACGCTGCCAGTGGAGGCCACCCGAATGTAGTTGAAAAGCTTCTGGAAGCCGGTGCCAATGTTTACGCAGCAAATATCTGTCAGTGGACTGCACTCCATTACGCTGCCCACGAATGTCACCCGGATGTTGCTGAGCGGCTTCTAAAAGCCGGTGCCGATGTCCACGCAGTAGATGAAGATCGACTGACTGCACTCCATTACGCTGCCCGTGAAGGCCACCCGGATGTTGCTGGGCGGCTTCTAAAAGCCGGTGCCGATGTTCACGCAGAAGATTCTAGTCAGTTGACTGCACTCCATTACGCTGCCCGTGGAGACCACCTAGATATTGTTGAGCGGCTTCTGGAAGCCGGTGCCGATGTTCACGCAGTAGATAGAGTTCAATCGACTGTACTCCATTACGCTGCCCGTGAAGGCCACCTGGATATTGTTGGACGGCTTCTGGAAGCCAGTGCCGATGTTCACGAAGTAGATATATATCGGTCGACTGCACTCCATTACGCTGCCCGCGGAGGTTACCTGAATGTGGCTGAGCGGCTTCTAAAAGCCGGTGCCGATATCAATGTAGAAAATGGACATGGCGAAACTCCATACAAAGCCGCTATACAGAAGGGACACACCGACGTGAGTAAACTACTATTAAAACCCGGTTGCAATAAAAAAACCTCCCGTTGGAGCACATTAAGCGTAAAAGCGGTACGAAACGATGAATCCTGATAACCGGTATGTCGGGGGATCTTCATATTGGTGAGCGCCGGTGTTACTTGGAACGGTGTTTGGATGCTGCTGTGGGATTGTGGGTGTTTCCGCCATTCTTGGGATTTATGGTAGTACATCTTCATCTTTTACTTTCCTTTGATGGGTGGGATGGATGCAAGTGTGAGGATACGGAGGATTTCTGATGGATTCTCTATGTACGTGTTGATGTTTCGCGTCTGCTCTCGATTCTTGTGATGGCTATCGTGTGGAGGGTTTCATTTCCTTTATACATATGTACACTGCACTGTATTTATTCCTGGCGAGCATCTTCACTTCGGCATTGCGGGAGGGAATGTCTCTAGCTGCGTCCGCGGCTATCTTCCTACTGGAGTAACGGCGATGATCCAAGGTATGTAGGTGGATATCCTTCCATCAGTTGGCGGCGGGGTCCGATACTTCCAGCAACCTTTGCTGACTCCGTATTCAGCGTGGAGACTACCACTATCGGGCTAGAAGACAGGGAAAGGGTTCCTACGTTTCATCGTTATAGAGCTTTTCGATCGAACATCATTCCGGACCGAAGCGTAATGACAGCTATGCAAGTGCCGTGCACGGGTCAGGATTGTAGGCGGAGATTTGAGTCGAGGAATGGATGGATCTTGGGATAGGTTCCGGTGCGGTAGGGGATTATTATTCACTTGGGTATTTTACGGGGGAGTATAGCGTTTGTTTTCGAGCTGGCGAATTTAATCCCGGCGATTTTCAGTCCAAAGTCCCTGGTGATGAATTCATAGGTCTTGGTGCTGTTCATAGTAAATCACTCGCATTAACGCTCTCCCGATTTTTTTTGGGAATAGTGATGAATATACAGTCAATTATATTGCCTTGCGTGCTAAAGGGAAACGAGTCTGACGGCTATGATATGTAGATACTCGCATGAAGACTCGACACTGCCAAGTAAAAGCAATAGAACAAGCAATAGCGTGACTGAAGCATGACGAGTGATATATCACAACATCCACACAATATCAGGGAAGATGCCACAGTTTCCCACGGTACTTTAGAGCATAAGAATCGTTACTTCGTGCCGATTTAGACCACTGGAAATATTGTTCGGATTTATCTCCATATTTTGCAGTTTTATTTACAGGCATACCGTGTCCCCCGAGAGGGATGGCTGACTTGGGGGCCTGAGACGGTGGTTAGACAGCTGGAACATGATAGGACAGGGTCAGGGCAGTGAAATGGCTAGCTAAGTTGGTAGCCCATTCTCCTACTACCGGCTTCTAGTCTTCGGTAAAGCTTAGAGTAGGCACCGGCGCCATGTAGTAGCACTTGCACGACAGCCCGTTCCATATATAAATCTGTTATATTGTGCCATCGGGTTTCTTTGCTTGTGGGTTCGCTTCTTCACCCTTTGCCCCTCGGGAAGAAATGGACTTCGTTAATAACTGCTCCTGTTTGGTGATCACTTGCGGGCCCTGTGAAGTCTGTTCCGGGGCTTTCTTCAAAGTGCCATATTCCGGCGTCAAAAACGCCAGGTATTTCGGACACCGGGGCATGCCGCTGGTCTGGACTATGGCGATGTACCCACTCTTCCTGATCCTGTCTGCAGTTCTGGTAATGGGCTGAACACCGGGGAATTTCTACCCGGTACAACGAGGATGAACAATGTACCTATACGAGTGATAACAACCACACAAAGACAATTTACACTTCCTCACCTTCCAGCCCTACTCCTCCCATCAACACAAACACAGACCCTGAAAATTTCCCCTCGCTGCACTTTCGACAGTCCCATACTCCCATACTGAAGCGGTTTCAAAAGTAGTTTCTAGTTATGTCACGTGATACCTCTACGATGCAACTGGTGTGTGACGTTGTCATGGCAACCACACCATCAAATTGAAAGCACATCGTTCTTCAAGATGCGGCAGCAGCCCATCAACGAATCTAACATTCTTCTATTGTGCTAACTACTCTAGTCGTTTGAAGCCTCCAAACCATGAGCAAAGCAAAGCAACCACGCCGGCCTATGGAACAATCCCCGGTCAGGAAGTTTTGGAAACGGTTGGAATCTATCAGGACAGTCTCCGTGTGAACTCGGTGTGCACATAGAATTGTGGATTGATTGCGGCGCACAACGGTGGAGACTTGTGTTGCGTGTAAGAAGATCAATTCCGAAAGTCGATGCCGCCGTGCCCTGACTTAATTATATTTACTCTACCTCAAAAAGGGTCTCAGTGATGTGTCTCCAATAGAATGCGTGAACGCGGGCCGCGTCGTACTGTTAGAGTATACAGTGGCGGGGTTAGGGCCCGCCACGCAATTGAAACAAAGCGTTTGTCATCTCTCCTGAAACGAACTTACGACGACAAGCACGACACAACGACGGAGCTCTAGCAAGCTTCTAAAAAAAAAGCCTACAACACCCAAACACCACCACCACCGACACCACATACACCGCTACCATCCGAAGAAACATCTATGCTACGCCGGAAACTTCTGGCCGTCGTGTTGGGTGCGGCCTTTGTTGCTGCCAACGAATTTGCCCTGGTATGTGCGCCGAGAGAGGCGGAGATGGTCCCCCCGCCACGCATACGCGGCTCTCCCGGCTGTTACTGACGAGCTATTCCGAACCCATCAGAACACGGGCGATGAACAGCAGCAATGTGCGGGAATGTATAACAAGGCTGCATGGGGCGGCACCATCGATCCGGGAATCACTGTGCGATTCACACCGTCGGAGAGCCACGACGATATCGTCAGCCTGGTGATTTTCGAGTTTGAGGACGAGCCGTATCTCGGCCGCTTCACATCGCCCGATGACCGCCGCGAGAAGTCTTACATCTGCACACCCGAGAACGTCAAGGCTAGCCTGTGCCGTGCGGGGCATGAAGGGGAGTTCATCCTGGCGGCGAATACGAATACTACCAGTCGCGGGAGCATCTTCACCAAGGCTGTTCACCTTGCCGATAAGACACCCATCTACTATCCTATCAAGCGTACCGGATACTATTGCGTCTGGACGGTGGCGTATTCGCCGGCCGACGCGGAGAAGGAATTCACGGGTGTCGTTACGTTCCAGAATACCTACGGCGAGCTACCGGCGAGTCAGATTCCCAAGCTGGCGTTCTACGGCGGACTCACGATTGTGTACGCGGTTGTCGGAGCGCTGTGGGCGTTCCTGTACGTGCAGCACCGCCACGACATCCTCCCGGTGCAGAACTACATCACAGCGATCGTCATTTTCCTGATACTCGAGATGGCTATCACCTGGGTCTTTTACGACTACGAGAACCGCCACGGCAAAAACACTTTCTCCAAGTTTCTGATGACTCTCGTGGCAGTCCTCAATGCCGGCCGGAATTCATTCTCGTTCTTCCTCCTGCTGATCGTATGCATGGGCTACGGCGTCGTCAAGCCCTCCCTCGGAGCACTGATGAAATACGTCCGCATCCTAGCCATCCTGCACTTCGTATTTGGCGTCGTATACGCCGTCGCGTCCCTCACCATCACACCGGAGAACGCGGGACCCTTCGTAATGCTCGTGATCCTCCCTCTCGCCGCCACCCTCACGGCCTTCTACGTCTGGACCCTCAACTCGCTCAAGCTCACGATGAAAGAGCTCGAGGAGCGCAAGCAGCACCAGAAAGGCCTGATGTACCGCCGGCTGTGGTGGTGTCTCCTGACCAGCATCTTCGTGATCTTCGGCTTTTTCTTCCTGAACTCGCTCACCTTCGCCGGCCACTCGTCGCCCGACTTCGTGCCCACGCACTGGAAGACGCGGTGGTTCGTGCTCGACGGATGGCTCAACCTCGTGTACCTCACCGATCTGGCGGTCATCGCATACCTGTGGCGGCCTACGGCTAATAATCGCCGCTTTGCCATGAGTGACGAGTTGGCGCAGGATGAGGACGGCGGCTTCGAGATCGCGAGCATCGGTGGTGGAAGCGAACTCGACGAGGACGAGGATCTGGCAAGGAGGGATAAGGATCTGGAGGCGCAGGCGGGATTGAGGTCCATGGCGCTGCAGGGAGAGGGTAGTGCTGCCAGGCCGACGCCTCCGCCGGCTGCGCCAGCGACGAACACAAACAGGGGTCGGCCGAGCGTCGATGAGCCAATCTTTGAGGTTGGCGAGGGTGATGGGTGGAGTGATGGTGAGGTCATGAGCGATGAGGAGAGCAGTAGTGATGAGGAGGGGAAGAAGAAGAAGGGCACCGAGACAACACGGTTGACTGGTGGTAAGAAAGCAGAGTGAAGGGGATTACATTGAGTTGAGATGAGATGAGACGGTTAGCGAGGCGGAAAGGCATGTGTTTCATTTGTTGCACGAGCACATCCTTCTATGGGGTTTTTTTTTTCATATTCTTTGGCTGTATTTCATTGTACCAATTGCGCGTCTGTGGTCTTCTGTTTGGTATCTACGCGATACTCGTAGTGAGCGAGCGAGCTTGGCTGCAATCAAGTTTCCCGTGAAGACTCATCCAGCCGTCGCTTTCGGCCGTCCGACCAAACTCCGCGCACACCCCACGATCAGCATCTCGGGCCCCACCACGCCCTCCCCAGCACGCGCAACCGCCGCCCTAATCCTCCGCACAACCGCCTTATTGCACGTAACCGTCGTCACGCCCATCGCCCATCCCGTCACAAACACCGCACGACTAAGCGTATCCTCCCCCAATCTCCCCACAACCGCCACGTAGACCTCCGGATCGCCCTCACACAGGACGTGATCCTCAACAACGTTTACTGGCAGCCGCAGCCCCTCCAGCCCGGGCACCTCCCCCGAAAACATTCCCTGTGCCCTAGCCGCTTCACTCTCCGACGCCAGCCCGGCAACGATGGCGAGGAACCGGTCGCGGGCAGCCGCGCACACGATCAGCGGGCGGTCCTGCAGCAGCACCACCAGGCGCGGTAGCAGCGCGTCGTCCTCTTCGTCTTGCATCTGTCGCGCGAGCGCCGGATGCACTTCGTGTATTGTGCGCGCGCAGCTGCAGTGCGTGATGTCGCTTGCGAGCGCGAGGAGGACGGTCGTGTCGAGGTTCTGCGTCATTGCTCTCTGTGTTGGTGTGTGTGGATGTGGGTGGGTAGCTGGTAAAGAGGTGGGGCGAGACTAACATAATGCCCGGCGGTGGTTAATATCCATCGAATGGTCACATGGTGTAATGGTTAGCACGTCGGATTTTGATTCACCCTGGCAACAGGGCAAAAACCGCGGATCGAAGAAATTCCTTCCGGAGATCTGGGTTCGATTCCCAGTGAGACCTTCTGAGTTCACAGCTCAGGCTGTGAGAGTTTTTGTTTTGCTGCATCCATGGCATGCTATGGAAAGATGGATGCAATTTTTCATACGGGATGAGTGCTCCTTCGAGAGACAGAGGCCGAAGCCTGTCGGTAAAGCGATTTTGGGATGTGGTGAGTGATGTGCTGTGAAAATCTTTACCAACATTCAGACCTGAAGTATCGCGGTTATGAAGGATTGGCGGGAAATATGGAAGCAAACAATCGACGTAAAGCTCCTCTCACTGTGCATGAATTATACCACAATCCTCAACGACACCATACCACCCTGGCACTCCCGAGAATTTACACGAGTCCCACATCCACACCCGCATATCACTCGATTTCGCTCCAGTTTCAATTCACCACCATGCACCCACCCCAGCCTTCCCCACCCCTCCCCTCCCTCTTCGATCTCAACTCCCCATTACGTCTCCACAAACGTCATATACTCCTTCTCACCCATCAATCCCTCCGCCTCCAGGGCCTTAACCCCCCCTTCAACCTTAACCTTAACGATCCACCCCTCGCCCTCCGGCGCCCGGTTGATCGTTCCCGGCTTCTCGTTGAGCGCCGCATTGACCTCAACAATCTCCCCGTCGACGGGGGATAGGATGTCGCTGGCAGACTTGACGCTCTCGACGGCACCCACGGGCTCGCCGGTCGTTGCGGCGGAAGGCACCTCAGGAAGCTCGACGTACACCACGTCTCCGAGCGCGGAGGCCGCGTACGTCGTTATGCCAATTGTCGCTGCAGGCGGGGGGGTTAGTAGTGGTGGGAGTGTGAGGGGTGGAAGGGAGGGGGAGCGTGGTGCAAACCGATGTTGGAGTCGGACGCGGTGTCGAGGCTGATCCACTCGTGGTCTGAGGTGTATTTCTTGACAATCTCTGCGATTGCGGTTTGCGTCAGCCTGTCTGCCGGTCGTGTTACTTCAGGGTGTGCCGTTCAAGGTGATGTACCATTAAGGTTACTTGTTCCCGCGAAGCCGCGGGTAAGTCTTGGGACGGCGACGATTCGGGGGGCAGCGGCGACGGCGAGGCGCGGGGCCGCGCGAAGGATGGTACGCGCGAAGGAGGCCATTGTGTTTTGCGTCGGTGGTGGTGGTGGTTGAAGGGAGGAGGACGAGAAGTGAGGGAGGACACGGCTGGTGGGGGATGTGACGCACGCAAGGAACCGATACCGACCGGTATCTTGAATTAAATTCGGTTATCGCTGGCATATGCTTTTCTTCTTCTGGCTCGGCTTGGCGCATGGCCGGCCCTTCTTTCTTTCTATGTATGCATGTATGCATCCTTATCCCTCTCCTTCCCCCTCTCCCGGCCCTAAAACGAAACAGAGAAACGCCATAGCAAGCAAGCAAACAGACAGCACCGTAAAACAACGTACGCACCGTACCAGTACATCACAGCATACACATCAAAAGCACATCGCACCGCATAACCCACAACACTAGAAAGGAAAACGCCATAACCCCAACCCACATTCCCATTCCCATTCCCAATCGCGCCCACTATGTTCCTCTCCCCGCAAACACCGAATACGGCCGAGTCGGCCTAACCGCCAATAGCTGTTCCTTTCCTTGTGGTTTCGACGGCGGTGTCGGTGTCGGCATCGGCGGCGACGGCGAAGCACTACCGTTCCCGTTCCTCAGCGGCGACGGCTGCTGCGGCACGGGGGTAGAGCTCCTGCTGATATTCCTCCCAGCGGGCGCACCCGGCCCGCCGCTGACACCGCCACTGGCCACGAACAGTCCCAGACTCTTCAGATTGGCCAGGGTGTGTCGTATGTCGACACAGTAGAGACCGACATGGCTCATGAGCTGCTGCACATCCTTGTTGATGAGGAACACCGCGTACTCGAAGCGGTAGTAGATTGCACCCTTGATCCACAGCGGGAATGTCCGCGCGCCCTGGATCACACTGATGTCGTCGCGGACGAACGAGCGGCTGCCCATGGGCTTGACGGGGTAGCGGAGCGGTGTGCCGAGGTAGTAGGACAGTAGGTACACCAGATGTGCTACGTGCCCGAGTGCGGCGGATATGGTGGCTTCGTCGTGGTCTTCGTGGTTGGTCGAGGGCAGGTGCAACGAGCGGATCGTGAAGGAGAGGGCTTCGCCGGACGGGTGCGGCGCGATGGGGTAGATCTCCATTAGGATTGCCACGATACGTTTCTGCTGCGCCGAGATGGCTTCGCGCGTGGACGAGAGCGCGATTTTGGAGCGCTCGAGGGTCGTCTGGTTGTCGTCGAGATAGCGCTCGCCGACCTGTTGCGTCTCGCGGCCGCTCTCCATTGCCGCCCGCCGGTTGGCCAGCGAGCTAGTGAGGTCTTGTAATTTCCGCTTCGACGTCTCGAGGCGCTTCCGTTCCGACGCGACAGCTTTCAGAACCGTAGACTTGTGCTCTGCCGCTTGCTCGACAGCTCGGGGGAGCGACAACGCATTCGACTGCAGAACGATGATATCGGAAGTCTGCGCCGTGAGCTTCGCCGAGGTATTGACCGCGTCCTGGATGCAATCCGACAGGGTATTAAGCTTCATGAGCGCATCATACGAGCTCGTAGTCTGCCAACCATCAGCCTATCCGCACCCATCACTGACACATTTCCACGCACCATCGCCGGGTTCCCCCTCTCCCCCATCCCCTCCGTCGTCGCCGCCGCAGGCTCCATTGGTGCCTCCGCCCCCCCATCCCAAAAGCTAGTGTAAACACCATCGACCAGCTGCCAAACAACCGCATTCCTCGGCAGCGGGGTTCGCCAGTCCTCAAGTGACTCGCCCAGATGCACCAGGCCCGCGAGACACACGTCCGCCTCAACGACCAGCTTCCACTCCGCGGCACCACCGCCCCATACGCGGATAACCACCCTCTCCAACCTGGTAACCGCAGGCCCACACTCCGCCAGGTCAAAGCACTGGAAATCGGCGTTCATCGACTTGGCGATCACCTCGCTGACGTAGAGCGGCTCCCCTTCCTTATCCCCCTGCTCCCCCTGCTCCCCCTCCCCATCCCCCGACGCAGCAGGTAAATGCAGCGAAAAAAACACATCCCCCCGACGCCTTGACACAACACTCTCCCACCGCCGAAGCTCGGCAGGACCAAAGCTCTTTGTCGAGCGCCGCCGCAGCGTGCGCGTCTTTCGCGGGTCCTCGCCGTCGCCGTCTTCCACCACTGGGGGTCGCAGGTTGTCGCTGCTGTCGCGGATGTCGTTGCTGCGGCTGTCGCCGCAGCCGTACGGATCGCCGAGGTTCCGTAGTGATATGCCGGAGAGGTGGCGGAGGCGGCGGTTCTGTCACTGTCAGTGTGGATCACGAGGGAGAGGAGCGGGGGGAGCGGGGAGGGGGGGAGGGGGGGGCGCACAGTGCGCAACAGCGTTGGCGGGCGTGGCGGGCGTGGCGCGCTGGTGGTGGTTGTGGCGGTGCTGCTCAATCCGTCGCTTTCTGAGGGCATCGTTTGGTGCTGTTGCTGCTGTTGTGGCGGAGGCGGTGGTGCTGCTTGCTAACTATGTAGCCTTAGGTGAGGTGTGTAGAGCGTGGTGAGTGGTGACGGAGGTTGGAATTAGCTCTCGCTCCGGTTCTCGCTCTGGCTCTCGCTCTTGCTCTGGCTCAGGCTCTGGCTCTGGATCTGGCTCTGGCTCTGGCTCTGGCTCTGGCTCTGGATCTGGTCGGTGGTGGGTAGAGTAGGTAGGGAGCTGGGATTGGGATTGGGATTAGGATTAGAATTTGGTAACCGGACCGGACCGCGCAAGCGCGCGAGGAGTCGAGGACAAGTGTGTGTTCACTGGCAGGCTGGCGGCTCAGCCTTGAGCCAGGATTACGGCATCGGGGATCATCCGTCATCGACCGAGGCCACAGTATGCAGCATCGATTACAGCCTCGCCTCTCGCCTCATTTATGATATCGAATCTGCAACGACGAATTTGTACCTCTATTCCCACTTCACGTAGAAACCACCATCCGCAGATTCTGCAAATTCTGCACAAATTCAATCCAATTAACCCCCATCAATCCCTATCATCCCCCCATCCCCATCCACGATCATGGAACATCCAGAAATACAGCTCAGGAAGAATCGACACTCAAAGAGAAGAGAACAGAAGCACCCGAGATGCGAATAGTTAGAACCAACCACAAAGCCCCCCCCCAACCTAAAACTATGAGAATCCAGCCCGAATGAATAGAAGCAGAAAAGAAGCAGAAAACGAAAACGAAGCGAAGACAAAATGTTAAATAAGGCGGAAGAGACAAATGCTATAGGTAGGTAGCCTCCCTTCACGCAGAAGCGCAGAACAGAAAAAGAGCAATACAACAAGTATAAGTATAAAATTTTGCTAAAGTAAAAGAATAGAAGAAAGCAAAGCAAAGCAGTCCCCTACCAAAAAGAAAACAGAGGGGTTCATTTCCAGGGTGTTCGTAAGCGGCCGTTATGACAAGAGTAAAGTAAAGAAAAAGAGAAAGCCTTCCAGGTAGATGAAATGAGACAACCGTAGAGAAGAGAAAAAGCGGAAAGATGCCAACACCCAAAAGAAAAACGGAGATAGGAAAAACCTGTCAAGGTATGTATCGAGCTCATCATGCGCGAGCTCTTCGCCGCTGCATCCATTCTCCCAGCATGCCATCCAGTTGCTGCGAATCGTCAGTATAGAGGCCTCATACTAAAAAAGAATAGACATACCTTAGTTATATCTTCCAGTCGTCGTGACGACTCTGCAAAGAGCGGCGCAATCTGTGGATGCTGCTTCTGCTGCGGCACGTCGCCCTTATCTTGCTGGACCACAATCAACATGTCCCTGACATCGTTGTCGTCCTCAAAGTACGTCCGCAGACTCCAGTCGGACCAGGTCCTAGTGATGGTATGGTGTTCCACCCCAGTTCCGGGCGACGTGGTGGTCGTGTCGAACGTCGAGGACCTGTCAATCATCTCGGGTGTCGAATTGATGGGCGACGGGGTGTCATTCGACTCCGCACCAGAGGATGTATCGACAAGTAAGTCCGGTCGTTCGGCCGCATCGTGGAATGTTATTTGCTCCGGTGACTCCGATAGTCTGTCCACCGCTCTTTCCCTCTCTTGACCATAATCCTGCTGCGCCGATTGGTACCGCTGCGGCGAGTTCCCTGGCTTGCTATCCTCAGACAGTCTCTGTCGGTAGGGCTGGTAGCTCTGGTAGCTCTGGTGTTGCGAGTTGGTTTCGGTCGGAGAAGTGATTGGCGATGACCTGTCAGTCTGATCCGTCCGGAGAGTGAGTTGCTCCCTTTCGGGCCGTTTGTCTTCAACTGGAGTTGTACCCGAAGGACCAGCCTGCTGCTGCTGTCGCTGCCTGGGCTCCGAGATAGGAGACTGAGCCTCCTTCGTTTCCGAATCGACTCTCCGGATCGTTCCCGCAGTAGTAGCCGCAGCCTGCTTTCCCTTGGCCTCCCGTTCCCGCTGTTCCCGCTCCCTCTGTTGCCGCTGTCTCTCCTGCTGCCTCCTCTGCTCGTCCCTGATCTGCGCATCCTCCCTATCCTTCCTCGTCTCCTCTCCCCGACCGTTCGGTGAATCCTGCGAGGCAGATCTCGAGCTGTCGATAGACTGCTTCTCCTGGCTGCCTCCACCTCCGATCGCAGCAGACTGCAACCACTCCTCGACTTCTTCCTCCTCGTCCTTCCTCCCCTTCTTGTTCCGCTTCTTGAACAGATTGCCCAGGACGCTTCCCTTCCTGAGTCTGGTTGCCGTCTTGTGGGTCGTCGGCGGCGAGATGACATCTTCCGCCCGGTTCGACTGTCGTCCTTCACGGTCCAGCGAGACCCGGCCGCCTTTGATGACTTCCGGTTTGGTCGGGGCGGCAACGATGTCGTCGTCGCGCAGGAGGTTGGGCGTGAGCGTGAGCTTCTTGGTTCCCGTGTTCTCGTCGCGGAAGATGGCCGAGTCGGGATGACGTATAGCTGACGGAGTCGGGTTGGGTCGCAGTTTCACGCCCTCCTCGCTTTCCCTCTTCACGGCAGCTTCAGCTACCCGCGCCTCGCTCCCGGGAGGGTTGAGGACGCTGACAGTCGGCCTGGCCGCCCTGTCCTTTTCCCCACTATCCCTCTTCACAGGTCCCGCCGCCTTGCTTCCTTCCGCCTCGTCAGCATCGTCGTGGACTTCAATGTTGCCATCATCCTCGCCTTCGCCCTCGGCACCCTCGGCACCCTCTTCCTCCTCCGAGCTGTATTCGTACTCGGAAGCTTCGTGGTATATGGGATCCGTGAACTGCACCGTCTTTGCATTTCGTCGGCGCATCGCCTTCTTAAGGGGATTACGGCTCTTCTCGTGTACGGAATCGCTCAGCATGTTGGCCGCCAGGTCGATATTCCGGTGCTTGTTCAATCGCGCTAGACGCTCGGTGGGAGTCTCGATATGTTCGGCAGGTAGATATCCTATCGTGACGCAAGCTCAGCGACGGCTCAGCAAACAGGCAGGACGGGGAGCCAAACGTACCTATCGAGGAATCGCGCACTATCCGCACCAACCACCAGTACGAGTTGCTGTCATCCAGCAGCACCATATGTTCGCCCTTGGCCGCGTTTGCCTGGCCCTCGACGGTAGCATTGAAGTGATGCAGCGCGTAAACCATCTCGAAATCGATATCCTCTACAATCCGTTGCAAGCATTAACACAGATCCCTTCGAGTAGCGGCGGAACAGGAATCGCACCATCAGCGATACTCGGCGAGCTCGACATCTTGTCGAGCATATCCTCATCATCCTCGAAACCGTCGTCGCCCGCGACTTCGGCATCCGCCAACTCCCGATCCAACTCATCGCCCTCCTGCTGTCCCATCTGCTGGTGATTGCCATTACCCGCCGCCGGCCTGTGCTTGTGCCTGCGCCTGCTCCTCCACTACAGTCCGGATCGCTTGTGACGCCGACGCGCCGAAGCCGTTCGCAGTGCTCGATGGATCGCTGGGCATGTGCGAGTGGTCTTGCGCTGCGGGTGCATCGCGATGTTGTAGGTCAAGGGTGTCTATAGGTGCACGAAGATGTCATGATTTAGTCGCGTGCTTCGTCTTTACATCCAGGGGAAAGGTGAGGAGAGAGAGGGAGGGAGAGAGGTAAGGAGGGGCAGAGGGAAGGCAAAGCTAATTCTCCCCGCAGCCGCAGCCGCAGCCGCAGCCGCAGCTCCAGTCGGAGATTGGGTGGTCTCGGAATGACGGGTAGGATACCAGCTTATCGGGAGCGATGCAGTGTAGGGAGATTCAATTCAAGGGGGGAGTTAGGAGTGGAGGGGGTTATCCTACCGGCTCGGACGATATTTGGACGAGGCATAGCTGTGATTGTCGGGTGGATGATTTCAAGAGCTGTCAAGAAGAAAATGAAAGGAGAAAGGGACAATTGCTGGGGGGCCGGCGGGAAGGAGACTATTCTTCAGCAGCGGTTACGAATGGACGAGAGCGGCGACGACAACGATACGCATATGCTGCGATAAGAGCACGGGGAAACGAAGGGAAGGGACGGCGGATTGGCTCGGTGGGTCTGGTTGGTTGGCTGGTTGGACTGGTTGGTGGATGTGGTGCGTATCAAGTGTGTAAGGGTGTTGTCGTCGTCGGGTTGGTTGGTGTTCTACGTATGTTGGTTGTTGTCTGTGTTCCGGTTGTCGCGGCGGTGAAGGGAAGAAGCGCAACAACCTGTTGATGAACCTTGAACAGCAGACAGGCAAGCTCCTTGCTTCGATCAGCTCTGCTTACTGCTGCACAGTGAGGCGGCGGAGGCTGAGCTCGGTCGGTCGGCAAATAGAATTAGAATGGAAGAATCGAAGGATGGAAGGAGAGAAAGGGAGACAGAATAGAGCACACAAACAAACACACACGCGAAGAGGGGAGACGAAGAAAGGGAGCGCGACGAAGGGACCGATGGAAGGGGAAAGGGTTCGAGCGAGCGTAGCAACTACTATGGAGCGAGGGGTGGGAAGTGTCAAGGCTTTGTTTCAACTTCAGACTACTAGTGACTACTCACGAACCCGGTCTTCTTCAGACCCCTCTCGCTACTCTACCACTCTACCACTCTACGATGATGTGTTCGATTCGTTCACCATTCACCATTTTCTGTTGTTGCTCCTCGTCGTCAGTGTTTTCAGATGAGCATCGAACAGACTTTTCTTCTTCTTCGTCTCTAATTGCCGCAAACTTAACACGCGTCCAAACATGAAGGGCGAGAAAGCGAGTCGAGGCGAGTCGTAGGCAGTCGGTTCGAGAATGCCAACAGCCACAGCATCACGAGTGTCTAAACGTGTAACAACGCATAGGGCATACGACATACAGCATGAGTACGGCATCGACACGAAAGAGTGAGTGAGAGTCTGAGTGAGAGAGTCTGAGTGAGAGAGTCTGAGTGAGAGAGTCTGAGTGAGAGATTCTGAGTGAGAGCCTGCGAGACATGCCAACAAGGCGGGTGCTGACAGAGAGCATGCTGACCGACTCCGAGGGGCTTACATACTCCACATACACACAGGCAGCTATTCCGTGAAACCGTGTTCCTCTAGAGTTTTGTGTTCCTCCAGAGTCCGCAGTTTGAAGTTCGAAGTCTCCCCCTGCGCCATCGTACACAACTTGTAAACCCGTAACCGTAGTTACCCCCAGGGAAATTGAAGGGCTCGAGATGCATCTACATGATCCATGGCATTTCGTAAAGAAGTTCTACCGTAGAGTGGTAGTTTTATGTAACTAGTATCTAGTCACGACTGCGTCCCGCCGCCGAAGATGGACCAGCGCGTCGGGCTCCCACTAAAATAGAGTAGAGTACAGTAGTATTTAGGCCAGTCCGGATTGGCTCTGCTAGAGTGAGAATAGGTGCTATGTAACGATTCCATAGTCTAGTCATGAAATATCACTCTGCTCCATCACTCAGTCCCATCAATCGCGATGCTCAAGAGTGCTGGAGAGTGCTCGGGAGCATATTGCCATGGGCGGATATTGCTATGATCTACCTAGATAAGTCGCATGCAATCGATGAATAACGAAACGCTCGAAAGTGCAGAGCAGCGATCTGGTTCGGCCGGGGGCATGGGAGGCCACGTCGGGTCGGATGGACAGTGGACCAGGCAACGCAGTGTGCACTGCAGAGTATACCTACCCTACTATGTATAACTATCGCCATAGTATGATGATATAGATACCCACATACCCACCATTGTAAATAGGAGTGAAGATCCAGTTTCCATTTTGCGTCCCGACTCCCGCAGATTCATACCGACGCTTCGGCACCCACTCTATTCTCTACGAGTGAGTGAGTGAGTGAGTGAGTCGCTGACTGGCCCGAGACACGAGACACGAAGCCCGCTCTTTTTCGCCTCTTCCTCTTCGCTGTCCATGACTCCTACCCTATGACGTGTAGGCACCGGCGATTAGTGTCCGGGCAGTGGCCAGGCGGAGGCCAGGGGCGTCATGGCCAGCGAAGCGAAGCGCGAGCGATTGATACGGGAGCAAGGAGCGGAAGGGTGCTGGAGCTTGACGGAGCGAGGGGCGGAAGGGTGCTGGAGCGAAGAGTGAGAAGCGAGGTGAGGATCCGGCGAAGAATCCTCCAGCACGCGCGCGGCCTCGCAGAAGGATCTTCTGTGGTGAAACTTTCACATGCGATGATGGCGACACCTACTACCTACCTTTATCCAAGTACTTTACTTTGATATATATTCCTCCTTGGATAATCTGTGTCCGATTCAAGATCAATATCCCAAGCCAATGCCAATTGCCAATCCCGCTTTGAAACTCTGCAGCTCTGCAGCGAACGTGCAAGACATCGTCGATTCGCGCAACCTATCGTATCGTGCCCACCACCACCACCGCCGCCCCACCGCCGCCGCCAACTCTGTGGCGACATACTCCAGTCTTCAGATATTTACCATAAACCCCACTCCACTCACATTCCGACTCGCTATCGCTGGAGTCCGCCCCGCAACCGCACATCTCAGTGACGAGTACGAGCAGATACTTGGTACGGGCACAGAACGCCGCCTACCCCTCCTTCCGAGTCCCCTTTTTCCAAGTTCCCTACCAGTATTTGTCATGACTCGTGGCGACAGAATTGGCTTGCAATTAGGTACTGGCTTGTCCCCGAGTCCCGACTCCCCACGTTTTGTTTCTTTTCCACAAGGAAAAGCGCTGCGTGACCTCTCCTGGGTCTTCTCTATGTACTCATAATTCATACTCGAGGGAAATGTTTCCATTGTCTAGTGCCGCACACACGCCCAGACATATACCTACACACACACACACACGAAATCCTCAAGGAATGGGATGGATTCCAATTTCCCTCGCGAGTCGCGGGGGGTGAAGGTGGAAGGAATGAAAAGACAAAGCAGCATTTTCTAGACTTCCAGTGGGAAACATAGCACAGGTGAGCCTTAATACTAGCTCACGAGTGCGCTTCAACCGTAGTGTGGGACAAAGATGGGACAAAGGTGGGATTTGGGGCCAGACCCGACGTGGTCGCCTCAAAATTGAAATGTTCTCTGTGGCTGCTTTTATGTTTGTCTAGGCTGTCGGTAGGTCTCTTGTTCAGCACATCAGACACTATCCACCACTGCAGACATCATCCACCACCGCAGAGGTGCTTTGAGATTGTTCAGTCTGGAGATCACAGGTTGCTTTTCTTTCTTGTTGCTTTTAGTCAATTGAATCTGTCTCATCAGTTGCCCATACCCGTCGAGCCATGGTAGGTATTTCGTCAAAGCACCTTGGTATCCTGATCGCTACAAATCCTCCTGCTGAGAAATTCTTGAATCCTGATACCCCACTGAGACTCTGTGAGAGCAAGGCCCTCATGATCGATTCCGCGTACTCTACATAATCACGTCTTGAGTGGTAGTCAGTAGAGTACTCCACCATCCAGACTCCACATCCCCCCTAGCGCCTCATTCACGATGTCATTCGTGGATTCCAGAATTCCCCTAGCCATGTCCTTAGCCATCCACTAGTAGTTATGTATAGCTCAGCCCGCTGCCCCGGCCTATGTAGCCCAGCGCTAATGTCACGATACCTACATCATACATACATACCGTAGCCAGGTAGCTAGGTATCTCGCATATGCGCCTTAGTCCTGCGCGCATACGTAGGTATATATGTATATTCATAGGTATGTAGGTAACTGGCTTTCTTCCAGGCGGACGAACTGGGCGGACAGGCGGACGGGCGGAGCTGAGCATCCTCAGCTGAAGTTCTTGAGCGATTGGACCAGGTTCTGGGCGTCAACCAGGGACCCTTTGAAGATCGGGGGAAAGTCTGCTTCGAGCTCGGGGCTGTAGTGGACGAGGCGGAGGAGGAGGAGTGATTGACCGTTTCGGGGGATTTGGGGGGCGGGTTTCAGACGTGTATGTAGACACCTATGATTTCACGAGAAGCACGAGGCATTCGGCCGATCCCACTTCCAGTCTCCGGCTCTCCCCGACTGTTCGACATGGTGGTGGTGGTGGCCGTGCGTGAGTGCGTGTGTGAGTGCGTGTGTGAGTGGTGGCTCGGCGGACCGAAAGGATCGACTTTGACTCTGACTGACTCTGGCTGTGCACGGCCAAGAGCTGGGAAATACTCGACGCAAAACATCGTGTGGAGTACGGGGAGAGGGACGGGGCAACGGGGCAACGGGGCAAACCAGGGTTGAGCGAATCGAACCGCACGGTAGTTGGATCGTAATGAAGGTGTGCAACCGAGCCCGGGGGTGGAAGGGAAGGGACCTAACGCGGCAAAGGCGGCGGCGACATTGTGGGGGAAAGTGTGTAGAGTAGGTACTCGGATATATAGAGCATCGGTCGATATCGTGTGTTTTCTTGCGGGAGGTGAGGTGAGGTGAGGTGGGTTGAGGTGTGGTGAGTTGAGCGGCGGGGATGGTGTTGCACGGGTGGTGGTGGGATGGAAGAAATAATTGTTTTCTGCATTGTTTTCTGCATTATTTTCTGGGCTGCTTGTTCGATTTCCGTACAGCCACCACCACCTCCATCTTCTGCCTAACCGAATCCACCGGCTTGTCAGCATTTCTTCTTCTGCAGGGCGGGTGGGGCGCGGGGGATTGGGGGATTGGAGATGGGGATTGCGGATTGGAGGGTGTGTGGAGGTGTGTGGAGGGCAGAGTGGATCGTGGGGTCAACCAATCAGCAGCCGCAGCACCGCATCATAGGCAGCAAAGATAGTCAGCGCAGCCGCGATCCCCACACGATATTCTTTTACGTTGCAGGTCGCCGATAGGCAAAGGGCTGGCGTGGTAGGGATGTTGAGCTCGCCGTGATTTTCCTAGCAGGGCGTTCCGACGCTGCGAAACGTTTCTTCCGCTCCTGCTTTGCCCGATTCTGTTTGTCAAACCCAGTCCGGTGCTGCCCACCCCACCCCCTTCCGAGCAGGTTTTGGGCGATGTGGGTGTCTGCCCCCGGCGTGCGCTACACACACCTGCTCTGCTTCCCCACTCCACCTACTCTAATAATCTGCGAGTCTGGATGGTTGCGAGCGCCATGCATGCTCTGGATCCTTTTATGTACACTTCCGATTTCACCTCCACTCCCTCCGTCTCCTCCTCCAACTATCTACATCACCGACTTTGCCCGCTGCGACTCGTAACCAAAAGCCAAAAAGCCACAATCGAACAAGCAAACTTCACCATACGACCCGCTTCCGTCGCGCATAACCATCCATCCATCCCGTCCAAGGAAATCGTCTGTCCCCGGTCGACCCTCCGTCCGTCTGCTTTCGACCCAGCCATACAAACGTTACCCATTCTTTCCACGACATCCCACGACCAACAACCGGCCACCAACGACACCGTTCGACGAAGCTCAGACTACACACACTCACCCACACACGCCGCCCTTCCGCACACCGCTTATCTAGGTTTAAGGTCGCGGAAAGCTTAGATACAGGTTCCCGCAACTCCTAGTCGATTATCGTCGGCCCGTGTCCCCACGTCCAGGACCCACATTAGCCACTTCCTCCTCAGACGCACCCTTCCCGCTATACGTAAGGGAAAGGGTCCCCTCCGAAACGTCCCGTCGCCTCCAAACGCTACTCAACGTTCAACCTCACCCCGTCCGAAACACTTTCAACGTTCGACACACAGACATACACACACAGACATACACACGAGACTCTCCATTCGTCTCGAAACGTACAACACCCATCTCAACCAAGCACCCACTTGACAAATCAGCTCACACATGCACCATGGATAGTCTACCGATAGCCATATCCCGCTCTAAACGGGAGCACAACGAGCACATTTCGATGGAAAACCCCCAAACCCTGTGTTCTCCTCTGTTCAGCCGCTTCAGCATCGACCGCTCGCCGAGCAGATCGCCGCAATATGGCGCCATCAACTGTCCCACTCCGCCCATCGCCGTGCCGAGACAGCAGAACACTGGTGCCGGAGTGGGGGAGGGCTACATGGAGCAGGCGTCGCGGCGGCGGCGGAAGTCCATCTCTTTCGACCCGCAGGTGAGGCTAGACGGAGGTATGAGGACGCTGTTGGAGGCACCGCTGCCCCGGTGCAGTGGGCCTTTCGACTCCATGACCGAGGCGGAACGGAACTCGTACGAGTCTGATTTCGGGGGTTTGGAGCAGGATCCGCTCACGCCCGGGTCGCCGCCGCAGCAGGAGCCGCGGTCGCAGCCGCAGCCGCTCGGGCGGAGGGTGGGATCGTTCCGTGAACGGAGACGGTCGACGGCTGCGCAGAAGTTTCTGTCGCCGCTATCGCCGCTGTCCAGTGATGGCATGGCGGGGATCTCGTCGCTGACGTCCGAGTCCACCATGTCGTCGGTGTCGGAGTTTAATACACCGCCAAACTCGCTGATTAGCAGCTACTTTGGTAAAGGCCCGATCCGGTCGCCGGGCGCCGACTCTTCCCGTGCCATATCGCTTTCGCCCGGGACTACTTCCCCGTGGTCCAGTGTCGAGAACAAAGAGATACCAAGAAACAAGTCGTTTTCGTTTGAAGCCTCGAAATCACCCCGTCCCAGATCGAGCCGCAGAAAAACTTGTAGTGAGCGCTCTCTGAACTCGTGTTCGTCCAATGGCATCAGCCCCGCGAGTATGTTCCTCTCCTCGTTCGGCAAGTCGTCGCGACGACCGTCGATACAGCAAGTCTCGCCCGACGACGAAGGGCAGGAAGTTGGCTCGTACGTGCTAGGCAAGGAGATCGGCCACGGCGGCTTCAGCACTGTAAAGGAAGCGTTTACCTTCTCGGAAGGCCGCGAGGTCAAGCACGCGGTCAAGATCGTGCGCAAACGCATCCACTCAGACGACGCCGAGAATGACCGCGTGCAGGCCGAGCTCGACCACGAAATCTCACTTTGGCGGTACATGCACCACCCGCACATCGTCTCGCTGATCTCGGTCTTCGACACGCCGTTCGCCACGTTCGCGTTCATGCAGCTTAACGAAGACGGCAGTCTGTTCGACCTGATGAAGCAGCCCGCCAACCGCCGCGGCCTCGCCGCAAAACAGGCGCAGCGCTACACCTTCCAGCTCGCCTGCGCGCTCCGCTACCTGCACGAGGACATGCGCATCGTCCACCGCGACGTCAAGCTCGAGAACTGTCTCCTCGACAACCCGTCCGCCGACGGCGGCGCGCACCTGCTGCTCTGCGACTTCGGCCTCGCTAAGTTCATCAAGAACCCGCACGACTCGGACTCGGACTCGGACTCGCGGCCGTCGACGCCGCACACCGCCGACGCGGCGTCCTACTGCATAACTGGCTCGCTCCCCTACTCCTCGCCGGAGACGATCCAGTCGCCGACCGAAGACCCGTCCCCCGCCGCCGACGTCTGGGCGCTCGGCGTTGTCCTGTTCACTATGCTTACAGGCTCCCTCCCGTTCTCGCACAGCCTCCAGCCGAAGCTGGCTGCAATGATCGTCGACGGGAGCTTTGATGTCAATGCGCTAAGACAGTGCTGGGGACTCAATGAGGTCGGCAAGACACAGATGGAAATGGCGGTCCAGGTCGTTAAGGGTTGCCTCACGGTTAATCCCGAGAGACGCTGGAATATTCAGGATGTGCTCGAGGCCGCGTGGTTCGAGGGCGTCGAGGAGTGAAAAGTTGCTTATTGGGGATTTGTTTATTTTTCTTTTACTCTACTTTGGGAATCTCTCCTTACGGTGCGCTGCGGTGTTTTCATGGGACATATGGGACATGGGGGGACGGAGGGGAAAATGGCGTTTGTCTTTTTGTTGCTTTTGTTTATTCTCTTCTCTTCTTCTCTTCTTTTTCTTCTTTCTTCATTTCGTTTCTTCGTTTGAAGTGGTGTACGATTACTCGATATCTCGGGGTCATTTGTGTTTCTGTATGTGGGGGGAATGGGGAGGGAGGGGGAGCACGTTGCTTATTTTGCGCATACCTATTTCTACTTGCGCGCGTGGTCATGGTCGTGGGTTGTTTTTTTTCTGGCTTTGTACTTTAAATTGCACTGACTGGACTTTATGGGGATTTCTTGGGTGAGGGGGATTGTGGGGGATTTGCGGGGGGATTTTTAGCGGGGTTGTGTGCTTATACCATCTGGATTGTGTATTTTTATTCTTTATCTTTTATCTTTATGTTGATCGTGCATACCGGTATTGCTTTGGGATACTCTATAGTTGGATATGGGGCATATGGGTTGATATGGGGATGGAGGGGATATGGGACGGATTTGGGACGGACGGATGGGAGGTGTGCTATTTATCTACTCAAGCTGCTCTAGTTACATACTATACTGCTATGATATCATCCAAGATACCTACCTCTTGCGTTGAATACCCACATGCGTGGAATACGAAACTGTGTCCAATATTTTCACCTCTCGTCTTCACCTCTCGTTTCGTGCGCATACCATATCAAAAAATGCCTCATCACTCATCACTCATCACTCGCCCATAATCCCCAATCCATTTTGCCCCAACTACCGTAATATATCAAGTATACCAGTATCAAGAAGTCCGGCTCTTCTCCGCCACCGCGCCCTGTCCCTTCGGCATCTTCTTCTCCACGCCCAGCGTCTCCAGATCCTTCGTCTTATGGTAGTGCGGCGCCACCTCGACCAGCCACTCGGGTTGTATCGGCATCACGTTGCGCATGAATTCCTTGCCTGTTCACACACAGTCAGCACCCCCTCCACACACACAGAGGAGAAGAAAGGAGGAACGTACTAGTAAGCACTAACTCAAAATACAGCAGCCACTTGGGGTTAACATCAAAGATGGCAGAGCTGGGGTGCACATGTACTGTCTGCCCATTCTTGACGGTCCTATAAGAATCCCCCGCCTTCTGCAGTCTCGCCGCGTTGGGGAAGAACCCAGCCGTAATCGCCTTCTGTATGGGGACATTATCATTCTCGCCCACCGACGACATGCCCACCTCGACGCGCTCACACAGTCTTGCCAGCTGATCTCTGACATCCCTCGCACGCCCCAACGCGCGGTGCTGCAAAAAGTTCTCGCGGGCCCACACGTAGCTGAAGTCGGTATCGACCCAGGCGTTCCAAATGTTGAGGAGGGAGAGGTGGTCGCCGCCAGCCTTGTGTGTGAAGCGGGCGCGGGCCTGGTCCGCGTGCAGCTTCTTATCTTTTGGGCGGTAGAATAGTGCCGAGGACTCGCCGAGCATCGCGATCACACTCAGGATCTCGGACACACACCCGAATTTGTCTGCGGCTAGGATCGTTTTGGCGAGCATCGGGTCCGCGGGGAATTCGGCCATTTGTCGACCGACTTTGGTTAGCTCGCCTTTGTCGTTGAGCGCGCCGAGCGCGTAGAGGTTCTCGAGAGCGCGGATGAGAGTTTCGGCGGGAGGTGGGTCCATAAAGTCGAACTCGATCAAGTCGTTGATGCCGAGGGACTTGAGCAGGAGCACGACGGAGTTGAGGTTGGTGCGCTGGATCTCCGGGGTAGTGTTCTCATCCAGCTCGTTTTGGTACGCCCACTTGGTGTAAAGGCGGAAGCACTTTCCCGGACCGACACGGCCGGCGCGGCCCATTCGCTGCTTGGCTGCCGCGCGAGAGCATGGCGTGATGACGAGCGACTCCATGCCTGTCCGTGGGTTGTAGACGTTCTCCTTGACGAAGCCGGGATCGATCACGTAGACGATGCCGTCAATGGTCAGTGATGTCTCCGCGATATTGGTGGCGAGGACGACTTTGCGCGCGCCCGCCGGGGTCGGCTCGAAGATCTTTGCTTGTAGTTCCGAGGGCAGGTTGGCGTAGATGGGACATATGATCAGTTCGCGGATCTTGTTTCCAAGTTTTCGAGCTGTTTCTTGCAGGTTCAGCTCTGCTGCTTCGATCTCGTCTTGACCTGTTAGGAAGACGAGGATGTCACCGTTAGGCGGAGTGGTGGTGTGGATCTGGAAGATTGTGGTGATGGCGGCGTTGAGGTAGTTGGCCTCCGGCTGCTGAGTGTAGTGCACGTCGACTGGATATCGCCGTCCGGGGATGTTGAAGATTGGGCAGTTGTCAAAATACGCGGAGAACTTTTCTGCGTCCATGGTAGCACTGGAGATCAACAGCTTGAGGTCCTTGCGGAAGCGTGCAATATCCTTGACCAGTCCGAACAATATATCGGTCGATAGCGTCCGTTCGTGGGCCTCGTCGATCATGAGCGCCGAGTAGCCCCCCAGATCCGGCTCGGTCAGGAACTCTCGAAGCAACATTCCGTCGGTCATGTACTTGAGCACCGTCTTGTCGCTCGTCTGGTCCTCGAACCGGATCGAGTATCCCACTTCGTTGCCCAGTTTCACTCCCATTTCCTCCGCCACACGGGCAGCAACCGACATAGCCGCCACTCGGCGGGGCTGCGTGCATCCCACTTTCATCCCATTCTTGGTGTACCCGGCCTCATGCAAATACTGAGGCAACTGGGTGGTCTTTCCGGAACCGGTCTCTCCGACGATGATCAGAATCTGGTGTTCCTCGAGAGCGTCAAGGAACTGCTGCCGCCACGAGTATATCGGCAGCAGCTTGCGCGATTCCTCGATCGACTTGGCCTTGTTTTCGGCTGCCTTCAACTGCTGGTCCAGGAACTGCTTCTCCTTGTCGGAGAACAGCGAATCCTTATCATAATCTGTGTGCTCGAGGACGAACTTGAGCTGCTGGCTGTCGTCGAATACGTACTCGTAGTCGCCTTCGTCTTCCCGCTGAACGTGTTTGGCTTGAGCTTTCGCCTTCTCCGCCTGGTGCTGTTCCCATTCCTCTTGCTCGGTCACGAACCGCTCCTGTCCGTCTTCCCCCCGATCCACATAGCGTTTGTAGAGTGCTTCCTTCTTCTTCCTGGTGTCAATCTTGCCTTTCTCGGTGATGTAGTCATCCGGCAACATGTAACCATCCAGGTGATCATCAACCTTCAATCGCTCCTCCGCCAGGCGTAAAATCTCCTTATTCTTGGCAAACTCCTCCCTCTCCCGCTTGGTAAGATCGGGATTCGTCCGAAGCTCATGCATCTCCTCCACCACCTGCTTCCGCAGCAGCGCAAGCTGTTCCAGCTCTCGCTTCTTCAGATACTCCTGTCTCGAGCGCTCACGGAGATCCGACAGCGCAGCCTCCCTCGCCTCCACATCGTCCGCCAGCGCCCGACGTTGCGCCAGCAACTTCCCCTCCTTCGATTTCGATGATCGATCCTCAACCAGCTTTTTCGTCTTCTCCTCATCCTTCTCCTTCAACCGTTTCGAGAAGGCATCTCTTTCCTCCAGATCCCTCATTCGATCCCTCTCCGCCCTAGTCTCATCATCCATTTCCTCCTCGTCCTCCTCCTCTTCCTCCTCGACTCTCGCTCGCTTCGCCGGCGGCTCCTCCGCTGCAAGTTCCTCCTCCGCTGCCGGATCAACCTCTTCATCGCCCCATCGGTCCTCGAAGTCTTCGTCTCGCCGCCGGAGCTTCTTGGAGCGCTGGTCTCTGTCTTTCTCACCGTGGTCCCGGTCCTGATCCCTTCGCGACTGCCGGTCCTTGTCCCTATCTTTCCCGTCCCTGTCCCGGTCTCGGCGCTCCTCCTTCCTCACCTCCCCCCTCTTCTCTTTCGAACTCTCCTTCTCCTTCTTCTCCTTCACCGGCACCGGCCCCAAATCGACATCCTCGTCCATAGTCAACAGACTATACTTCTTCTTCTTTTCTCTCTCTGGCCGGGCCGCTCCCTCCTGCTTCCTCGCCCCTCCGCCGCCGCCAACGCGCCGGTAAAGCTCCTCGGCAAACCTCCGCGTGTCGGCGCCATTCGCCGCGTCCAGGAAGACGGCGAGTTTGTCGTGTAGTGACGACGACGATTTCGACGTGCTGGCGGACGCGATCACAAAGTCGATTATTGTTGGGTCGGCGACCCCGATCAGCTGCAGGATGTTGTCCGAGACCCAGTTGCGTGTGTTGGAGGTCATGGCTGGCTGTGGCTGTGGCGGTGGGTGGGTGGTGGGTGTACGCTGGTTGGCCACTCGGTGATGCGCAGTAATGCGACGAAGATGTGTAGGGTTCGTGAATGTCGCGGCGGCGCGCGAACGGGGCTAAATGTCACGTGCGGAGATTGCAAGCTTGGGAATAGCCGTTGGGCCAAACTTCACAGGTTCACGTTCGTCGGACCGCCAAAGCTACCCATAAACCTTCGTTTACGGAAGGCTGGGAAGTTTGTGGTCACCATAGTCTCTCAAGGCCGTATGCGACAATAGTTGATGTTCTCTCTCTCAACTTCGTTTACCTCATTTTCAGTGAAGCTTCCGTTTGCTCTGCTAGCCACAGTTCGCATCGCTATGACTAACTAGTACGAGTCTGAAGGTGAAGCCCGTTCCAAACATGAAAAGAGTACCAACGTAGGTGCAAGTACACGTAGAGATTGAACGGGGAAAATGGTCCGGTCATTCGAGACATTGTCAATAAAACAGAGGACCGAGACGGCCCGCTAGACTCGTCAAGGTACACTGCGGAGCTCCTAAACGTTCCACCAGCAGATTGATAGCTCGAAGGATTATCTAAGCGACACGTTACGATATCTACATGCCTGTAGGTTAGTAGAGTTGCATACCGGTAGTTCGTACACTGCTCGTCCTAACTCCGTCCACTCCCCGCCGCGACGTCAGTCCTCCTCTGCGCACGCAAGCAACATCACCAGTACCGTCGCCACCGCCCTTTTGCCACTTGCCCGCACACCACGTCAACCGCGGGCGTCAAAAGCTGGCAGACCTCCTTATCTCTCCCCCAAATCGATGCCGGAGAAGCTGCCTAACGCCGCACCAAGCAGCAGGAAGAGGAAGCAGGCACCGTCGTCAACATCGTCGATGCAAGAGCTCCCAAATTCTTCGTCATCCAACAGCACTCCTCCGTACCAACAGCCGCAGCAAAGCACAATTACCGACCACTTCTCGCCCCGGGGTCAACGGGAGCAGCTGTCGTCCGCCAATATCCTGCCGCCGGTGAAACGCTCAAAATCTTCGGGATCGTCCTCCGACTCGGTCAAGAAAGAGAAGCAGAAAGGAAATATGAGGCCCGTCACTGAAGCCACCATGATGGATTTCGGTACCGCGATAGCACCTGTCGACCTCACTAGTTCGTCGCCCATCGCCTCTCCCGTGAGACCGGCTGGGCCTCCGCCAGCTGCTCCGTCGACCGGTGTAAAGACGCCCGCGAAGCCGACCGTGCAGCAATCGGGTCCGAGGAAGCTTCGGATCAAGAACCTGCGCCCGTCGAACGAGAACTCTGCCACCGGGTACACCCAGACCACGTGGAAGTCCCTCGATGTGGCATTGAAAGCTATCTATGCACGCGAAAAGATCCCCATGAGCCTGGAGGAGCTGTATAGGGGTGTCGAGAACGTGTGCAGGGCTGGCGGAGCCCACGAGCTTCACCAGCAGCTGCTCAAGAGCTGCGACGACTATTTTTCCAAGGAGTTGAAGCCGAAGATCGTTCAGAATGTCGGAGCTGCGAATATCGAGGTCACTAGGGAACTGATTGTCAATTGGACGCAGTGGGAAAAACAGCTGGTAGCTATATTTCTGCCTTGTCGCCCGGCCTGTCTGCATTGCTTGCTAATATCGGACTCGGAGCGTGCAGAACACGATTCGGTCGATTTTTCTCTACCTGGATCGTTCACACCTTTTCGCGGTACCATCTCGCCAATCGCTCGAAGCCATGGGACTCCAGTTGTTCAGGAAGTACATTGCCGAAGACGCGGTATTGGGGAAGCGGTTTGTGTCTGGAGCACTAGAACTTTACGATCAGGATCGATATAGCGGTGGATCCGAGTCTATCAGTTCCGAGCTACTGACCTCTTCCATCCGAATGCTCACACACCTGGGATTGTATTCGGACAAATTCGACAAGGAATTCATCATCGCGTCTAAGCTCTGGTGGGCCCGGATCGCTGATGAGTCGTCCAAAAACGACCTCAAGACGTATCTCGCCATGTGCGCACGCCAGATGGAGCTGGAGCGCGCCCGATGCGATCGATTCCATCTGGCGATCACCACAAAGAGAGAGTCGATGAGAGTGTTGGAGGATGAAATGATCCGGAAGAAGGTGCCGCTGTTGACCGATAAGGATCAAGTAACGAGGTTGCTGGTGAACTGTGATTTCGGGTCGTTACAGACGCTATATCAGCTTCTGGACCTGGTCAAAGATCCAGGTGTGGAGTTGAAGCCAGCATGGGAGTCGTACATCTGTGACGAGGGCTCCAAGATTATTCGAGATCCAAAGACAGAGTTGATGGTCCCGAGACTGCTCGATTTCAAGGGCACCCTTGATGCCATATGGATTGGCCCTCTGCAGAAGAATACCCTGATCGAGTACGCACTGAGGGACTCGTTCTCGCTGTTCATCAATAAGCGTGAAGAGGGCGCTTCCATGAAGGATAACTCGAAGCCGGCGGAAATGGTGGCCAAGTACGTAGACATGCTGCTTAGGCAAGGCGCAAGGGGACTGCCACCTGTTGCTGGTGCCATCAATCCAGATATGGCTAGGGATGAGGATGTAGCGCTGGCGTACCGTCTCGAACTGGTGCTGGATCTGTTCAGATTCATCCAAGGAAAGGATGTGTTTGAAGCCTTCTACAAGAAGGATCTGGCCAGGCGGTTGCTCCTGGGCCGCAGTGCGAGTGTGGATGCTGAGGGACTGATGTTGACTAAGCTGAAGACGGGTATGCCACATCCTACCCTCTACGTGACAACCGACATTGACGAGTACAGAATGCGGCTCCGGCTTCACCAACAATCTCGAGGCGATGTTCAAGGACATGGATCTGTCCAAAGAATCCGTCAAGGCATTCAAGCTCTCCAAGCTCGGCACCGAGAAAGCCCTGCAGCACGACATACACGTTAGCATCCTGTCGCAAGCTGCATGGCCGACCTACCCCGAGGTCCCCGTCAACATCCCGCCGCACCTCGCAGAGCACATGGAGGCCTTCGCGCAGTTCTACGTGTCCAAACACAAGGGACGGAAGCTCACCTGGCGCCACGCACTATCGCACTGCGTGCTCAAGGCGGATTTCCCCAAGGGCAAGAAAGACCTCCTCCTGTCCGCCTTCCAAGCCGTGGTGCTGCTCTCCTTCAACGAAGCGCCCGCGTCTGGAATCCTGACGTACAAGGACCTGTCCTCGTCTACCGGCCTGTCGGACCCCGAGCTACAGCGGACCCTTCAATCCCTCGCGCTCGGCAAGCTTCGCGTTTTGATAAAATCCCCCAAAGGCCGTGACATCGTCCCCACGGACAAGTTCATCGTCAACGCCTCTTTTGAATCCCCGCAGATCCGCGTAAAGATCAACCAAGTGCAGCTAAAGGAGACGCCACAGGAGAACAAGGAGACCCACGAACGCGTCGAACAGGACCGCCAGTACGAGACTCAGGCCGCCATTATCCGCATCATGAAGGCGAGAAGAAACATCAGACATGTCGAACTCGTTCAGCAGGTCATCGAACAGACTAGGAATAGGGGTACCCTTGATGTCGGGCTTATTAAAAAGAATATCGATAGGTTGGTGATCCCTCACGTTTTGTTTTTTTGTTCCTGGGGAATAAGGCTTGATGCTGGTGGTGGTAAGGTGGTGGTAAGGTGGTGGTAAGGTGGCTAATGAGGTACGACGGCGTGATAGGCTCATCGAGAAAGAATACATGGACCGCTCGGATAACGATATGTACGTCTACGTTGCGTAAGGTAGCGTAGTCATCGTAGTTTCATCTTCATCATCGTCGTCGTGTTCCGTTCACTGGTCGTTCCCTGGTTGGTCGTTGGTCGTTGGGGTTGTTGGGGAGTTAGGCGTGTTCTTTAGTTGGCTTGTTGGCTTGGGTTCTTACGTCTCTGTTCTTCTATCTGGCTCTGTTCTTCTGCCTCTGTCCTTCTATCTAGCTGTGTCTCTGTCCTTGTATCTGTTCTCTGTTCTTCTATCTATGGTTGTTTCTACATATGAGGTAGGCAGCATACACTTGTCACGTTCACTTGCCACTTTCACCATGTACTCTACAATGTAGGTAGGCAAGTACATGTTGACGAGTGCTTGACGAGTGAGAGAGAGAGATCTTTCTGTTTTATTTCGCATACAGCCTATCTAGACTACCTATGGCGAATGCTTGACGAGTGCATGTTGGCGAGTGCTTGACGAGTGGTCCATGTTGACGAGTGCGTCCTGATGCTCCACGATGTACCATGATGTACCATGATGTACCTACGTCAGCGACACTCGTCAGCGCCTCAGACCCAGCGACTCAGAAACTCAGCACTCAGCGACTCAGGCCCAGCGCCTCAGCGCGTATTGCAGCAACGAATGTTCCACCGCCTGTTCCACCAGTTCCACCACCCGCCCTTTCACCATCCTTAACCAGTCCGTTGTAACTATCGGACGAATAGCAGCATCCCAATGCAATGCCCAATCGAATCGTATTCTCTCTCGAGTCTCAACACCAACCAACCACAACTTCCAGTCTCCAGAAGGCAGAAGAAAGACCTCGTAAGTAACTGACCAAGTAACTGACTAAGCTGGAGGAAAACTAAAAACAAAGCCTAGCTTTCTCCCGTAATCAATCTAAAAACCCTAGTCAGTCAACCAATCAGTCAATTTCCAAAATGGCACACATGTGGATGTGGAAAAGACAATGAAACTCCCCCTTCCCCTTCTCCTTCCTCAGCTACTCCCCAGCTACCCCCCACCAACCCACCCCATTGCACTAACACAAGCACAAGCACGGACGATTCAGCAGAAAGTATCATATGAAGCTTCGTGACGAAAGAAGACAAAAAAGAAGTAGGTATATTTCAAAATAGCCCCAAAACCCCCCCAGAGCACCCCAAAACCCCCCACCCCACCACAACCTTCACCACCACCGACCGACCCGCCAACCAAAAAACGAAAAAGAAAGAAAGCAACAAAGAACTCCTGCACCGCTCGCCCTTCCCTTCCAGTTCCCGCCCAGTTCCCGCCCACTGCCCAAGCCAACTATAGCACGCCACCAGGCACCTGAATATTCCCGCCGGGATCACCGCCGAGGGCATTCCGTCTCAGCATGAACATTGGTTTCCTGCCCTCACGATCAAGTTGTTTAAACAAGATCAGCGGTTTCTCCTCAAGTCCCAGACAGCGCTCCTGATCTCCGTGAACGATGTACAGGGCGTACAATCTCCAATCTGCCTGGATGTTGTATCGCTTGAGGGCCGCGGGCAGGACCTTGCGGCAGGGATCGTCCATCGACACTCGGAACGACTTGAATATGTCCGGCTCGCTGCCACCGCCCCGGTCGTCTTCGGGGTACTGAGGTGTTCGCGGGGTTGTGCGGTCGCGGTCGGCGGCGGTGGAGGGGTTGCGCATCGGCTCGGTGCGTCGCGCCGTCGGCGGCGGGTTCGCGTTCATGTTTGGCAGGGATGTGTGATGGCTGTAGCTGGGGTGGTGTATTGCTCCCGCGCCAGGAGAGGTGGGACTAGGGTGGCCGCGCATATCGTCTGCGGGTGGTGGCAGCACCGGCTGGTTTTGGGAGGAAAGTCCGTTGTTGTTCTGGTTGTTGTAGTTATTGTGGTTGTTGTGGTTGTGATTGTTATTTACCGCGTTCTGCTGCATGTTCTCGTATGGGTATTCGGCCATTGGTGGGGGGTACGTCGGCGACGCGTTTTTGGGAGTGCCCAGGATGAGTTTCTTCATCGAGAACTTCCGCGACAGGCCCTTGCCCGATGTCGGCGGGGCCTGCAAGAGCGACGAGCTGGTCGGCGGTGTGGGATCTTGCGGAGGTTCCGACTCCGGTGTCAGCGCAGGCGTCTCGTTCGATACCGGCGGCAGCTCCTGGTTTTTGTTCTTGACCATGCGCCAGACCGGGAGTAGGTCGTTGCGTAATCGGGCCATGGCTTCGTATAGCGACTGGATGTGCGATTCCGCCTCCACTATGCGTTGATCCCGCTTCCGTATGATCTCAATCAACCGCTGGATATCCTGCTGCGTCGCCATCTTGTTGTTTTCGTGTTCGTCAGCAGCTACAGGCGAGAGATCGTGTTAGCGGACGACAATAACTACAACGGGTAGTCTCCCGTACGCACAAACTGGTATGTAGTCGTCGGGATCCATCGGTATGTCGTGGGCCATCTTGACGTTGTAGACGTTCTTCAATATCGACAGACGATGTCCCACGCTCGCGACCCCTAGTTCTTTCAGTTCGTCGTGGCCGAGATGTACCAGAGCTTCTCCGTCGATATCGTTTTCTAAAACACCCCCGTAACAGCAGCGACAGTCAGCTTTCCATGATCCCCATCGAGCCAAAGGCCAAGCTCCCAACACCAAAGCTGCAATCGCACAACTAACCCAGCAGGGTCTCCTGGTATTTCCCTAGACCCAACGACACGATCCATCCCACCACGCCCTCGGTATTCCATTCCAGTATATTCCCATCCGGCATGCCATCCCCCTCTAGCCGTCGATCCCAAGGGGTTGGAGTCGGTTCCCCACCCCAATCCTCATCCCTCGGACTCTTCGCCGCCAAACCCCCATGCAAGAACCCCGGCGACGACATATCCTCTAGGGTCGGGAGTGTCGGAGGGCCGTTATCGTCGTGGTATCGATAGCCGTAATCACTTCTCGCTTCTTGTTGGTGTTCCTCCACTTCCTCGTCGTCGTCCTCGGTCTCGTCCTCGGTATCCTCGTCGGTGTCGTCGAAATCGGTATCGTGGGCGGTGTCTCGCGCGGGCGATATGGGGTGCTGCAGGGCAATGGGCTGAAGCGGTGCGACGAGACTGTCGTGGGGGTTGTTGCGGCTGCTCCAGTTGCTCTTGCTCCAGCTGCTGCTGCTGCCTTCGCCGGCAGCTGGCGGAGTAGATGAGGACGACGTGGTTACCGGCAACGGGAGGTTTGGATGTGGTTTCCTGGACTGCGAGGAAGGAGGCCACGGTTGTGAGGGTGGCGCGGACGCTCGATCCTTGGTAATATCCACCTTGGGCAAGCTTGCTGGGTAGCAGCAACAGCAAGTGCGTTGGAGCAGTAGTAGTAGAAGGGTGGTAGTGGAGGTGGAGGTGGTGTACGTAAGATTCTGTTATCTAGAAGGAGGTCGAATTTCTGAGGGGGGAGGGGGGGGCAGGCTTCTGGGGGCTGGAGGGGTGAGATGGTGGAGGTGGTAGTTGAGGTGGTGGTGGTGGTAGTAGTAGTTGGTGGGTGGGTGTGGGCGGGTGGGTGTGGGCGGGTGTTCGGTCAGTTGTTAGAGAAAAGGGATGTCGTAGCAGTAGCCAGTGAGTACTTAGTTCAGTAGTGCGTGGTGGATGACTACCTAGCAGGATAGAGTGTAGCAACGATGAAAGTGTGGCACCCACCCGGCTTCAGTCGAGTTTGGATTTTTTTTACACACGAGGAGACGGTAAAGCTAGACGACGACTAGGAATACTAAGTTCTCCAGCAGGTGCCTGCTTACTTACTTGGTTGCTTAGCAGCGGGAGAAAAAAAAATTGTAGTTATAAACGTACTCACGCTCAAAATAGCGACAGAGCATTTATCGGAGGTGGGAACTTGTAAGGGGTGGTCTTGCAAGTTGCTTGCCTGCTTTCGAAAGGGGGGGCCAAAGAGCGGCGGGCGGATGACTGGGGGGGAGGGGGGATTTGCGTGGTGGGTTATGGGAGAGTAGCGGGTAACTGGGAGAGAATTGGGAGGGGGGACGAATGGAGAAAGGGAGGATGGGGAATGGAGGCTATTGAGAAGGTATGAAGACCAGGTGTGGATTGCGTGGATGCGTGGATGGGATGGGATGGGATTTGGTGGGATTTGGTGGTGGAGGAGGGCAGCGCACGCGCGGATGGGGAGCTATCTGCTCTAGGTACTCAAGGTACTCTAGGTACTATCATATGTAGTACCTGGGTGCGACTGTGTGTGCTTATGTACGTACATACGAGCGCAGATATGATTGATCGGTGGTGGTCTTGAAGCCAAAGTACCTACTGCAGAGCTGACACTCTCTGCCAGGCACACCCTCCAGAATGGCGAGCAAGAGTTACTTGGTTACCGGATTGCGTGGATGGTTGGTTAGCACGAGTGCTCTTGCAAGGAGCGTATGTGGGTGGGGACGGGGGACAGAGACTAGGAAGAGTAGCGAGGGAAGCGAGGTAGCGACTGGGTGATTCGGCAGCAGCAGCAGCGATATGTATGATGGTGGTGGTGGTGGGAAACTCACATGCGGATGGGTGGGGTGGGGGGAGTTATGTGGCTGATGTGAGGCGGAGAAGCGGCGCAGCATACTCTACGATAGTTAGAGTAGGGCGGGCGGAGTGGGTGGGTGAGTGGCAGTTGACGATGCTGCGTGTGGCCGCCGCAGCCCGCAACATCACATTGCACAGCTACTATACCGTACGCACTTTAAACGCACATGGCATTTCTTACATGTGTAGATAAAGACCTGCCCCCCCTCGGCTTCGTCTTCTTCTTCCCCTTCTTCTTCTTCTTCGTCTTCATTCGTTGGGTTCCTCGGCTTTTCATTTCGATCCCACTATCCACAGTCTCCGCCCATCGAGACGAACGAGACGAGCGAGACGATAATTGACTGGACGGTTAGTCGGAGTAATCTGTTGACATCATTCACTTTAATAGAGCTGGGCTGGTCCATCGTTCCATCGTTCCATCCGAAGGGATAACTCGCACGACAGCTACGCACACAGCACACAGCACACAGCAACCGCCCTCGTCCAGCTTGCTTCACCAAAATCACCAAAGTCACTATGTCCACGAGGGAGGGAGGGATGGGGTGGATTCCGTTCGATGTCTTATCCAGGCCGCTGCCACGTGTGCCGTATAGGTAGGCAGCGAAGACCAACGGCGAAACATGTGATCCATAGTAGAGGAGGCACTCTACATATTGATGGCCGCGCCTTACCGCTCCCGCTCTGTTTCGTTGTATCGTCGTCTCGACTGTTGGCACCGAGGAGTCCACGACGTTTGGAGGTGCTGCCTTACCAAAAAAACGCGATGAGTGGTCAGAGTGGAACGAATTGCGACTCAGGCTGGAGCGGGAGGATAGATGGCGATATGGATGGCACATGTCTAACGGGACATCAAGGTGAGAGGAAGACAACAGACACCACCACGCTTCCCCCCATCCCCGTCCCCGTCTCGCACCCGTCCCCGTCCCGATCCCGCACAGACCTCTCTCCTCTCCACTCCCCTCTGCCTTCCCCTCTCCTCCGTATGCACGGGATGATAGGTCGACAAGGATCCACACGCCGTCGATCCATCCATCATCCATCTCTGCCGTGCCTCATCGACCCACCGACTTTCTCACTCACTCACCTCACTTCACTTCACTCGCTCGCTTATGTACCCGCACGCACGCACGCACGCACCCCCCAGTCCCCACCGCATGCACATGAAAGCACCCATACTCTACATACATATGCACAGTAAGTTCTTCATCTCCGAGGTTCGAGGGGGTATGCAGAGTATGCAGAGTATGTGTGCAGTTATTTGGCGGGGGGGGGGGGGCTCCTTGAACCTTCCTCGTTGCAACGGGGCTTGTACGGGGGTTTGCGCGGGAAACGAGGATCCCTCCGCGTGGCATCTTCCGGCGGCGCGGCGGCGGTGAGGCGGCGGTGGCGGCGGTGGCGGCGTAAAATTAGCACACCTACATACAGGCTACCTACCTACATAGCACCAATCTTGAAGCCATTTTGGCTGTGGCGGTTGCATGGGTGTTCGATGAAGTGGACACTTCTAATCCCGCTTCCGGACGGACTCACTCGCCGTCACGGCGTCGTTTGGACAGTCGCGATTCGCGCATACCTAATTCTACTCTCCGAAGTATGTACTTAGCCGCCCCGCCGCGTAGGTAGTACCTGCTTTCTAGATAGTAAACTTGATACTTGTACATACAGTGGTAAAAAATATGGGCTGCTCGGGACCAGAGTGCAACTTGAATTGTGCAATTCCCATGTTGCTTCAGTACCGTGACAGAATTTAGCACCCAATGTAATGCAGATTCATATGAATGCGCCATGCCCGAAATCCTGTCGCGCTACCGTAGTTGTAACACTCTGTACCGGTTTTACAATGCACATTTGTCTGAAATGCTGGTGATAAACGCCTGATTTTATGACTGCGGGAGCCGGTCTAAATGCTGCATTTACAGGCAGGATGCCCGATGCCTTCAATACATAATCATTTACCCTCCGTAGTGCGATGGCTATCATAATACTAGGCAGCGAAACTAGATGCGGCAATCTTTAGAATGCCGTTTTCTTGACATACTAGGTACTAGGTACCGCACCGTACGAATGGTTGCAGCATTCTTGGCGATTACCAACATAAAGGCAAATGCTCAGGTACGACGACTGCTGCATAGAATTAGGATACCGTCTCCTCCTACAGCTACATACAACGGTTACCGCCGATCACACTCCATCACATCCTCACGATGACAAGTCCTCCTCGCTGACAATTCCTCCTCTCACACCACCCCTCCCTCACTTTCCCCTCGCTGACAACTCCTCCACCCGCTGAAAGCTCCTCTGTCACTTCCTCTGTCACTTCCTCCATCACTACCCCCCTCACAGATAGCTCCTCCACTTCCTCTCGCTGACAGCTCCTTCTCCCTTCACAGACCACTCATTCACCCGCTAACAGCTCCTTCTCCCCTCACAGACCACTCATTCACCCGCTAACAGCTTCTCCTCCGACTGACAGCTCCGCCATAACCCGCCGCGGATTCAGCACTGGTTGTGCTGTGAATACCCCCACTCCCTCTCCCCCCTCCCCCTCTCCCCCCTCCCCCCCTCTCTACTGCTACTAGGCGTTTGCCCTGCTAGACCTGCAGCTGATACAGCACTGGATTCGCCTAAGAAATGCGCTCTCACTTTTACACAGACGCCTAAGAATTATCCTCGCCGCAGCTCTCCTCTGTCATAGCTCCTCCCGCCGCAACTGCTACTCCTCTTGTATCTCCTACTCCCGCCGCAACAGCTACTGCTACTCCCACCGCAGCTCCTACTCCCACCGCAACTGCTGTTCCCCCTCCCGCTGCTACTACTATTCCTCCCGCCGTAATTCTACTCTTGCTGATGTTCCTCGGTTTTTATAGCTCTTCTGCCCGCATCTCTACCCTCGCCCTAGCTCTACTCCCGCCGCAACTATTACTCTCGCCGCGGATGCGGATACAGCACTGGCTGCGCTGTGAATATCACCCACTCACCACTGCTGCTCGCCCAGCTGGCCCCTCTGTGATTATCCACCCCCCCCCCTACTGCTACTGCTACTCCCGCTGATAGCTCATATCTCTTATAGCTAACTCTACTCTGGCCGCACCTCTACCCTCGCTGATAGCTTCTCTCTCATAGCTTTTCTCGGCGCAACTCTCCATTCCCCTCGGCGCAATACATCAACTTGGCACAACACATCCACTTGGCACAGGCGGCCAAAGCCCGGGAGTAGAAAGAATATTAAATAGTGAAGGAAGTAGATAGAATACTAGATAGAAGTTCAATGCGAGACACACTGGATTACTGCATACAAATCGGCCCGTAGTGATATAAAATCTCCATTCACCCCGGTACTATAGTCATAAAATACTGAGATTGAACTAATGCTCTTATCCACTGATTGCACATCGCACGTAATATTGTCTTTTGCCGAGTAGAAAATTCCAGTTGATGCTGTATTGGTCTAGTAAGGCTATGAGAGTTGTGCGAAGACGCATGCATTTGAAAGCCAGCATGCTGCCATACCAATCTGGAAAGTTTATGAGCTTTGTGTGAAAACGCATTCGTTTGAATGCCACTATGCTGCCATAGCGATCTGGGAAGGTTATGAGCGTTGTGGGCATTTGAATACCAGGATGCTGCCATACCGATCTGGAAAGTTTATGAGCTTTGTGCGAAGACGCATTCATTTGAATGCCAGCATGCTGCCATAGCGCAAATAAAATCAAATAACAGGATAATTCACATCTATCGGTACCGACGTGGCAATGCGCATTGCTTTTCTCAGTATAATCAATTTTTGGCCGTAAAGATTCCGCTGTTTTTGGATTGCCTCCAATCATTCTACTGCTGCCTGGGCCTGGTACTGCCTCCATACCGATCAGCCCTAGTTGTTTACCACTGTATCCAGCACAGCACCGCCGTCGCCGCTTCCGTCCGTACCAGTTCCTTCCTTCCTCCCTTCATTACGTAGAGTAGAGTACGTAGAGTACGCTTTCAGATCGATCCGTTCGTGGCGGAAAGTTGAAACATCCCTGAGATGGGACATTGGGACTGTGTGACTGGCAAATGGGGTCCGGATGGGGGATGAGAGAGTGAGAGAAAGAGAGAGAGTGAGTGGGTGAGTGAGAACATCAACCTAGACTGCCTATGGCGACCTCAAACCCGACTTTTCCTGTCAGCTCGTATAGAGGAAGATCTATCGCCATCAGCCCGTTGGCTACTGCAGCAAGGTCGGGATGGTGCTGGAATGAGTGAAGCTGCGGGCGAGATCGTGTGCGGGGGCTAGGTACATAAGTTGGAGATGTTTTGCACTCTGAAATTTTTGATTATGAGTGCTCTCTCGTGGGTGCAGTGAGTTCTCAGACTGCTAGGTATAAAAGAACAGTAGGTATCTCTTGCTCCTGCCAGGAAGAACGAGGGCGGATGGTATGTACAAGCTCATGATCGTACCGTAGATTGGCAGGCTCGGATGCCACTGAGGCTTACTATCGTGTGTCGTAGGTAGGTTGAGTGACCATTGTTGTGAGAATGCAACTTCATACAAAAGGAAATATCACCAGTTCCAAGCCCTCGAACTTATAGCTGGTTCGGACTTCAATAGACGCTGGTGTCAGGCCCGCTTCAGAAATTTGGTCAATGGCCAGCGCGCTGACTATTTCATAAAGCTATCCAGTCATAAAGCAGACTTTAATAAGAGAGCATCACTCGAATATATACGACACATCATCCACAGATCTTGAGTATTTGCGTTTAGCAGCGAGTGATCATTAATGAACCAAGCCCGATGTGGCTAGCCTAATCACGCCTACCGCTAAACTTCTTCGCGCCTCAGGCAAATCCCAGAAAATTTATCGCAGGCACGAACTCACACAGTTTGTCCATAACCCAAACCCGCTCGTGCACCCTCGACCACAACCACAAATACGACCATAACTTACGGACTGAGAGTCATGTCGGTCTCCCTCTCGGCGCCATACACCGTTTTCCCGTTGTCTCTGCCGCTACACCAGACAAGAGCCAAAGACAAGGACGGTTCCAGTTACCGGTCGTGCTACACAGCGCCAGTCGAGTCCCGAAAGCGGAAACGAACCAATGGCGGCAGTGAGATCGCCACGGCGGTGGACGGCGAGGGCGTGAATATCTATGATGTGAATCCAGCACTGCTCCTGTTTCTGCGGCGGCGGTAGTAGTAGTTACTGACCTGCAATTCTCGCAGGTACGGTCGACGCAAACCATCTCATCCTACGCCCTCCCGCCCGCAACAAAGTTTGCGTGCGCCCCCACCTCTATCGTCACGAAGACCTCAAAGACCGCGACGTTCCGACGCACCTACGCCGCGCTATCCGCCCCCAAGAAGCAGCTCGTGTGCTGGGAGGAGACAAGTGACGGCAGCAGCCGCGAGGAGGGGACGGAAACGCCTGTGCAGTACTACTCTACCGCGGGTGTCTCTACGCAGGAAGTCATCTACATACAAGACCTGAGCGCGATTGCGCAGCGCGGGAAGCTGAAGGATGAGCGTGTTGACAGTGGGCTGTTGACGGTTTATGCAGATGGTCACATACGGTTCTTCTCGGAGGACCTGCAGAAATGTTACTGGGATTTCGTTATGCCAGAACAGAAGATTGAGGGTACTAGTGTCGTATACGCTGCTTTGGCGAGCTCGACGGCTGCACGCAAGGCGATCTTCAGCAATCGGTCCGATATTGCGATTGCGGAGGGCGCTGATGATGCGGTGCTTCTGATTGTGACCAAGCGCCCCGCGGCGTACACGGTCCAGTTCGTTACTGTCCCTGTTGTCGCCGGAAAGAAGAACCCAAGAGAACTGATTTCGCTGCCGCTTCCGACTACTGGCAATGTTGCGAAACTGTTTAAATCCACGTTCTCGGTGCATTTCCCTACCGGAACGCTTTACCAATTGTCTGCGGAAAACCTTACAACCTACGATCTGGTTCCGTCTCGGCCGACCATAGCGACGACTCTCCCCATCAAATCCTCCTCGATTCCCGGGGTGCACCCAACGTCATTGCTTCGGATCTCGTCCTCGACCGTACTGGTGGCTACGAATGAAGAGATTACACTTTACGACACCAAGTTTTCGTCGCTGCAAGCCAGTGTATCCATCCAGGATTCCAACCCTTCAACCGCAATTTCACGTGCTTCGACCCCCGCCTCGGCCCTGGTGGGTGCCAGCTCGATCGGAAGCGTGTTCCTCACCACCTACATCCAGGATATGGACCTCGTCATGGGTTACTCTCAGAGCGGCATTGTTGGGATCCAGCTTACACGTTCGCGTGCGGAGACGAAGGAAGGACTGCTGATTGACTCCCTCGGCCGGGGTATCGACGGAGCGGGTATTGCAGCACCTTACAAGACTGGGAGATCAGGCCATTTCCTCGTGAGAAGACAAGAGAGTGAGAAGCAAATGGCAGAGGGGGTTTTCAAGCAGCTGCGGGAGGCTAAAGCATCAAAAAATGTGGTTGCGTTTGAGGTTGCGTTTGCGGAGTATGTTGGAATTCAACTTGGACAATCGGAGAAGCCCTCCACCGATGGGGAGGACGCTGCCATGGTGGACGTTGATGGGAAGGATGGGTCTGCACCGGATAAGGAATCTATGGCTCTTGCTAGGCGCGAGGACTCGGCGGTTGACGGTAATATCGAAATCCCCGAGAGCGCCCACAAGACTTTACGCACCGATTTCGTCGCGGCTGTGTTGTCCATGATTTTTGAGGTTACGGAGTCCAAGGAGAAAGAGCAACAGATGATCATAACCATGTTTCCGCCCAATGCGCTCCGCTACCTCCTGGAATCCGGGAACTTTTCGACACTTTTCTTACCGCTCAAGGAGGGACTGATGAAGGCGCTGCTAGCTCATGATGGAACTTTGCGAACTCTGCAGTGGTTCCTCACCACGCTGACGGACCTTCCGGTGGCCGAGATTCTGACCGCTCTCGAGCTGGCGCTGTCGCCGACAACATCGGTACCAGAGGGCGAGACGTCTGTGATCTTTGAGATCCATCGCGCCGAGATCGTCCGGGTTACGTTGCTACGGCTCTCCACTTTCCCCGCATCGACGATCATCAAGTCTCTCCGTGCCCTCACCAGCGATGCCATCATGTTGCTCATCCGCCTGCTGGAAAACGAGCTCCTGTGCGAGGAATCGGACGAGCCAGGCCAGACCATAGGCATCGAAGACGTTCGCATTGTCGCTGATCTTCTTACGTGCGCCCTCGATGCGGTGGGAATGTCCGGGCTGGTCATGACCGAGACCCCCGATATGTTACTCGGACTCATGGAGAACGTTGAGGAGGCGCTGGACATGGTTGAGCAGGCGGCGGATCTGAAGGGGCTTATGGAGGAACTTTTCCGCCATGTTGACTGGAAAAACGTTGTTAATGCGCCCCCGGCGCCACCCGTACAAGAGCAAGAAGAGGCGCAGGACGAGGAGGCCGCTGCTGAAGAACCAGCTCTCGCCATCGCCGAAGCCACCAGCATGGAAGCCACACCTGCCCGGGCACCGACGACATCGAAGGCCGTCACGATCAAGAAACAACCTGTCGCTCTCCGCAAGAACCAGCAAAAGCGCCGCCGCGAACGCTTCGCAGTCGCCCGCACGATAGTCGGCCACAAAAATATGCTCTCCCGTGCAACCGCCGTCAGCAAATCGGAGATGATCAAACAGGACCGGCCAGTGGCACTATCCACCGCTAAGGGAGTATCCCCCATCCTTCCCCTCGGCGCACTCGCGCTCCGAAGGATTGTCGATCCGCTAGTTGGAAAGGAGTTCATGCTCTCGGGAGAAGTCAACAAGCCCAAGGCGAAGGGTGGCAGGAAGGAGACCATGAAACGCGAATACTGGAGGGAGGGGCTCGCCGCTGGCGCGTATAGTGTCGAGAGTATGGTTGTCTAGACGGAAGAATACTTGGGTGTATAATATTTATTTGTTGTGGCGCTTGTTTCTGTGTGCTTGGGGGATAAAAGTTGTGGATTGATTGTGCTCGTGGTTGGTTACTCCTGTTTACATGTATGTATCGTCGAGGAGAGGAGAAATGCATGTCTTCTCCAACGACGAAAGTGAGATGTGAAATTCTCCGGCGGACAACCACTCAAGTACTCATAATACGTAGGAACTTGGGTAAATACGACACGTTCTACGACCAGTTGCTTTTTCTTGAATTTCGGACCACAAGAAATCCACCAGATCTTAATCATGCCCTCCACGCACCTTTGTGGGCCCGTGAAACAATTTCCAGCCACAGATTGTGGTGCTAAGTCATGACCTCGTGACGAAGGCTGTGGCTTGGCCGCTATGCGCGTTTACCCATCTGAACATTCTAACCGAAAGCACGCGTCGCTGGCGGCACTTCGAGCCAGGAAAGGGAAGCAGTCGAGTGAAGAGAGTACTCTACTGTCCATTGAATTCCCGGGTCCATTTCCTATTCTCTCTCTCTCCCTGTCCCTCCATTACCTTTTTCCTTCCATTTCCTCGTCGTCAGTCTCAGTCCCTTCAGCTCTACTTAATTCTCTTTGCTTTACCTTTCAATTCTCTATAGAGACCGTTTTCTCTAGTTAGATACCGTTTTCTCTAGTTAGATACCGCATCCACCACAAGCCAGCAGACCGCGTCCTGCTGCAAGTCCAGTGGTAGCCAGCCAGTTGAGCCTCGTCGCGACTTCCTCGGAAATCTTCACGCGCCAGCACAACCAACCAATCCAACCGAGGACTTCTTGCACTTCTTTCCATACACTCGGAGCAGACAGAAATTTGCGGATGGGTGTGAATTAACGAGAACTATACAGCCATGCGCACATCTGCTAGTAGCGGTTCTCCGCCGGAGACCGTGCCTACTGGTGGTGAAAATGCCGCCTCGCTACCTGATGCTCCCCCGCCGACCACTACTACCACGGCTACCACGGCTACCATGGCTACCACAGTGGCTCCGCACCCGTTCTTCATGAAGACTTCGGATAAGAGTATGTTTCTCGATCCACCGACTGGCTGGCTCGTATTGACACCCGTGCGTTTAACTAGAGCGAGTATTCGAAAAGAAGCAGCAGGAGCAGCAGGAGCAGCAGCAGGAGCAACCACGAGCACGAGTACGAGCACGAGCACCGACTCCGAACCCCACGAGTGCCTCCGACAACGACAACGAAGAGCAGCTCCCCGAGCGCGACCCGTCCACCTCCTCCTCCAGGCCGAAGCGGGCCCGCAAAAAAGCTACAAAGCCTCGCAAAGGCAAGCTGCCAGCTCTACCGCCGAGGGATACGAAGGATGATGCCCGCCCGAGTTCGTCGGCTATGAACCTGGCATCTGTCCGTACGGAGATTGATCCTGTTACTGCCGCTGCGGCCCCGTTGACGCCGAGCTCGTCGGTTGGGTCTTCGGTTGTTGGCGAGGAGGTTGCGAGTGTGGGGGTGGGGAAGGGGATTGCGGTGGTGGATGGAGCGTTGGCAATGGATGTGGATGTGGTCGCGGAGACGGAAATGGACCCGAATCGGCGGAAGACTAAACGCAGGAAGAAGGCTGCACCTGTTGCTCCCATTGTCACCACCGCAGCCGCAAAAGCGCCATTCCGCATGCCTGTCGACGACGAGGCGGGGATGATTCCTAGCAGTAGCCGCGCGAGCACCCCCCAGAAGCGTGGTAGACTCGAAGTGAGTCGGTTGGATACGAAGCTGGTGATCCGTGCGTCGTCGGAGGTGGCGAGTGAACTTTTGCCAAAGAATGCTGCTGCCATGCCGCCGATGAGCCCGATGTTTCCGCTGCCACTACTTCCTTCAAGCCCGGTGCTTCCCCCGGGTGGGACCATGTCTGGATTTTCGACGCCGATGCGTTCGAGCCTCAAGATCCGCGCGAAATTTGACCGCGAATCGGGGATGTTCACGATCGTTAATCCGTCTTCACGGCTGGGCGATACTTCGCCGACTCAGCGACCTCCCATGAGTAGCCCAATAATGCTGCCGAGTAGTCCGCCACAGCAGCTACGAGTTGGATTACCACCGGTGCGCAACGCATTCGCTTTACTCGGAAAGAAGAAAACCCCGGAGAAACCACCACCTGCTAGAAAGAAGAAGGATACATCAGCACTTGAGGATTCTGCTACGATCGAATCGAAGCCGGCCGGAAAAGGTAGAAAGCCTAGAAGCAAAAAGTCCGACGATAAGCTGCCGTCCCCTAAAGATCAGACGACGGCGGCTGCGGATTCGAAGCCCGGCAGCACCATGATCACCAGCAACAAACCGGCGCACCCATTCTTTAGTGCTGCGGGAAGGAAGAAAATGAAGCAGACTCCAGCCGACGAGGACACAAAGACTGAGGGCACGGCCATCACGCCTCCACAGGGGCCATCTCCCGGAGCCTCAAAAAAACGTCGAGAGCGAAAGGGAAGCTGGGTGTTCTCATCTGCTTTCGGGAACCCCGCCGCAGACCGAGTTGCCAAAAATCCTGCATTGCCGGAAGCGCCTTGGCCTCCCCGAGGAACCGCCCATGTTCGTGGCCTCGACACTTCGGACAACGTTATCGCGCCGGCTCATACCCACGACTTTAAGTATAATCTTAAGCTCAAGGGATCCAACATCGTTGTAACGGCCGAGGAGGACATTCTCAAAAATTTAGCTTCGACGTTGGATCTGCTCAAGCTGAAAAAGATGGTCTCCTCCGAGGATTACCAAACGCTAAAGTACCTCGGCGCCTTGTCCGATGGGAAGGTGCCCAATAGGATTATCACCACCGGAAGTCTACTCCAAGAGATGGTCCGCCCCCGAGTTTCTGCGAGGCTCCCGCATCCGAAGGCAATGTCCCAAGCTGGAGAGGATTCGGACTCTGGTGATAATCTCACCGTTGGTGGAATGAGCGTGCACCCTGCACTTTTCAAGCTCTACCAGCGCTTGGGTACGACTCTCACGGCGTTCGACATGCACGTGTGTGAGTCCTCCCCGTGGGAAGTCAAATATGCCCCCGAGACGGCCAGTGAAATCCTGCAGACCGGACGCGAGAAGGATATCCTTCGGCAGTGGTTGATCGAATTGCGGACCGACAAGGTACACGTGGAGAAGGGGAATGGGGGGAGTGGAAGTGGAAAGGGAAAGCGCAAGGGTAAACCGAAGGCTGCCGCCGTCAAGAAGAAGCGCAAGAAGAAGGGTGACGATCTGGATGGATTCATGGTCGACAGCGAGGGGGAGCAGAGTATAATGGATGAAATTACCGATCCCGAAGAGGATGACTGGCTCAATCCTACCGTGAAGACAAAGAAGTCTACCGTCCGGTCCGGCGACAAGATGAATGAGCTCATCGGGAAGACCAAGGACGCCAAGAAGACAAATAGCATTGTCATCAGCGGACCGACTGGATCGGGGAAGACTGCTGCTGTTTATGCTACGGCCAAAGAACTTGGATATGTTGTCTTTGAGGTCAATGCGGGGACTAGAAGGTGCGGAAAGGACGTCTTGGATCAGGTCGGTGATATGAGTCGAAACCATCTCGTGCACCAAGCCAAGAGCGCCTCGGAAACGAATAATCCATTCTCGAAGGCCAAGACTGCAGCGGCCACACCAAAGGACGTCGTTGCAAAGCTTGAGGACGAGATGCAGATGCGTCAGAAACAGTCGCTCATCCTCTTTGAGGAAGTGGATATTCTCTTCGATGAGGATAAGAGCTTCTGGAGCACCGTTATCACCTTGATGTTCAAGTCGAAGCGCCCGGTTGTCCTTACGTGCAACGATGAGTCGCGTCTCCCTTGGGATGATTTGTCTCTTCATGCCATTTTGCGCTTCTCCGTTCCACCGAGAGCCTTGCTAGTGGATCACCTCCTGCTGATGGCTGCGAATGAGGGCCATCTCTTGCAGCGTTCCGCAGTGGAAGGTCTCGTGCAGGCTAACCGGGAGGATCTTCGCTCATCGATCATGGACCTGCAGTTCTACTGCCGCATGGCAGTCGGAGACCGCAAGGGAGGCCTCGACTGGATGATCAGCAGGTATCCCATAGGATGCGATATCGCTGACAACGGCGAGAAGCTTCGCGTGGTTAGCGAAGATACTTACTGCCCGGGAACAGGCATGGTGAACGATACACAGGGCTTTAGGGAGGAGCAAAAGTGGATGGATGTCTGGGAAGGCTACGGGCTTGATGTTGGTGCTTCGAATGAAGGAATCCGCCGATGTGTCGATGCGATGCCGACGGATGAGCGTGCCGATAGGCTGGCTGCACTCGAGATCTCGGAGACCTTCTTTGGTGCCAGGAGTGATGCAGATGCGTTTGCATCTCTTTCTGGTTCGTATGATGATGTATGTGCATTCCCCAATCACTACCAATGGTGCGAAATAGTACAGTATAGCTGACAAGCCAAACAGCCAAAGCTAGATTTCTCCCTTCCTAAGAGGAGCGGAAAAACAAGGCTGGACGATCTCTGCGGCTACAGCATCCTCCAAACGGAACCCCACATCGTTCCAGGCTCGGTCGAGACCGAAATCACCGTGTACACGCGCTCCCTCGCCCGCAGCTACCTCACCAGTGAAGTGCATAAAATGTCGCTCACGCTGCCACCCCTCAGTAACTCCACAATCATGGAGTCCATCACCTCACGCCACGAGGAAGATGGTGTCTCACGTATGCAGCTGCAGAACCTCTTCGCCCCGCTATCGAAAGCCGAGACCATGTTCGCCTCCACGCCGGCGACTACTCACAGCTGCGTATACCCATCACTCCGCACGCTAGCTACAGAGGTCGCCCCCTATGTCCGCAGTATCCTGCGGTTCGACATCATGATGGAGAAAGAGCGCCGCAGGGCGAGCAACCTGCTCAGTCTCGGCGGAAAGCGCAAGACCCGTGCGGCAAGATTGGCCGTTGAGGGCGGTGATCGCCGGCGTAAAGAGAGGTGGCTGCGCGGGCTCGGTGCAGACGTGGTAGGACGCAGTGCTGGAGATGACTGGGTGGTGCAACCCGGTGAAGAAGAGGATGGCAGGACGTAGATGGAAAATGTTTAATGCTCGAAATGGTGTTTGATCTTACAAATGGGCGCGGATGAAGGCATGTACAGCGGATATTTTTTGTGAGGCGTTTGTTGTTTTAGGGACTGTATTGCTTGCGTTCATGGTTTTTTGTATTTTTTTGTATGTTTTCTCTTTTTTTCTTTTTTTCTCTCGCATTTGATGGGTGGGACTTTACACGGAATTTGGGATGATTGTGAGGGGACTTAGATTTGGCGGGAGCGAGCTGCGGGTGGTGATAGGCGGATGGACTGGACCCTTGTATTACTAGTACTACTTCGTGGTAGAGCTCGAATTGACTGATGCTGACCTTACCTAGCCGTTATGAGTTCCCCACAACCTCTACTATACACTGTACCATGAGCGCAACCGACCTCGAACCTCCGAAAGACCCAGTGCTTTACTCCCATCCCCTCTATACTAGTACGCCCTGTCCCGTACCTTCATCGGACGATGGCGACCTCTGTGTGGAGCTCCAGCCAGACGTGTTCACGTATACGCACCGCGTCCTCTTCGGCACGGACAAGCTAGTTGTTGCTACAGGCAAGCTTTGTCCACGAGGCCTAGAAATCCATCACCCCTCCGCCTCCGGCGGAGAAACAGCCCTCAAGCGCCTACAGATAGCGACCATTGCACCCGGCGATTATCCGCAGATCGTGGACGCGCTGACGCAGCACGCACTCGAGACACGGGACTTCACGCTCGTCGTCAGAGCTTCAGATTCGGAAAAGGTGCTGGACCGGATCCGCGTTCATCGCGGCTTGCTGGCCGCGAGGATCCCCTACTTCCGCTCACTGTTCTCCGGCGGGTTCAAAGACTCTTTGGGCGACGAGGCTACGCTACGGGACGACGTTGTCACCGCTTCCGCGGCGCGCCGGGTGGCGGCGTGGTGCGCTCTCGACTTTGATACCGCCGCACTGGGATTGGGGTCCGTGAAGGAGGCACTGGAGCTCGCTGTGGCCGCGGACTTCCTCTGCGCGGATGATCTGTGGGCGTTCGCGCTGGCCTCGGCCTGGAGCTCAATGCCGCTTTGGCTAGTGAAGTGCGATGTGTGCGCCGTGAGCATCCCGGCGTTCCTGGAGGGGGTCGAGGCAAGCCCCGTGTTGAAGGAGAGGCTCCAAGAGGGTGTGCAGGCGTGTCTACGGATACTTGCGACGCCGGAGGGCGTGCGAGTGTGGAAGCGTCCGTTGATTTCCATGTCGGACGCTATTCTGAAGAGACTGGTGGCGACGGCAGAGGAATACCTGGCAGAACAAGGCAGTAAGAATGCGTATAGGATGTTTCTGTTTGTTTCGGAACTTGCAGCGAAGGTGAAGACTTCGCCGCTGAAGACGAGGTGGGAAGAGATGTTGTTGCACCCAGTGTCGACTGCGTGCGCGCGAGTTGCTGCGGCTGAACTGGGCGACCGATACCTTGTCCGCCTGGTCAAGCGAGTACATAAACTCGTCGTTTGTCGCGACAAGAGCGTGGTGGATGAATTCCTGCAGTGCGTTGCGGGGACCGTGGAGAGACGGAATGTGAAGGTGCTCTTGTTTGGATTGGCGGATGTGACATTGCCAGATTCTGAGGCTGTAGAGAAGGCTAGGGAAATAGTTTTGAAGTGGCTGAAGAAGGAATGGTTGAGTATTGCTGTGGACGGAGGATTTGCGGAGTGGGAGGCCGAGGAGAGGGAGTACCTGGCGTCCAAGCTCGGGATTGCGGTTGAGGATCTTGGAGTGACCGCGAGGGCGAGGCGTGTCGGCAGAGGACATAGCAGCGGGAGTAGGGGGAAGACGTAGTAGCGGGAGTATGTAGGCGGCGGCGCTGCATCAACACGGGGAAGTCCATTCTTTAGAAGGCTAGCGGTGTCTGAAAAGTTATACATACCATCTAGAAACATGATAAACTATTCTCTTATGTGTTTCATTTGTGAACTTTCATCAACAGCCCGAATGGTCTAGTGGTATGATTCCTGCTTTGGGTGCAGGAGGTCTCCGGTTCAAACCCGGATTCGGGCCTAGATCTTTTGCTTTTTGGTTCACGTAAGCATGTTACACGAGGCCTTTCAGGGATCGTGACATGACACGGCAGGCCACCGGGGCTCGAGCTCATCTCTCTACAACTCCCCCGCGCCACCTGCCTTCGAAACACAGCACAACGGCATGGAGCAGAATCGTGCGCTAGTGATTCTGATCCTCCTGATCATCTTCTTCTTCCCGGACGGGCAAGGGCCTGACCGAAGCAAGGAGGCGATCAACGAGATAGCTCACGAACGATACAGCCTCGATGTGCTACGAAACTCGACCTTCGGACATCCCGGGAACCTGACGGGTCTGTTGACGGATGCGCCCACGCCGCCGGGGCAAGTGCGCGAGAAATGGAGGGGGATACGGGCGAAACTGTTGAAGAGCTTTGCGGAGCCGCTGCTGGCAAAGCGGGGGGCGGAGGTGGAGGAGGTGCTACGGCCCCGAAAGTCGGGCGCAACGGTCTACAGGAATGCTACGGGGAGTGTGTTGGGCCGCTGGAAGAAGCAGGAGTTTCCGGATCTGCCAACGACGGCACAATCGAATGTTACGTACCCGAGTAACTTGACGGCGCTCGACGCGGGGAAGTTGATGCTTAGCATCGAGGATACTACTGAGGCTGCCAAGGAGAGCGGGCTGGTGGAGGTCAAGATGGCGCTCAGGATCAGGGATGAGGATGGTGGGAGTGTGGTCGATGTGATGCTTAACGGCGTGCATTTTTCGGAAACGGGAGAGATGGTCGCGGCGACGACTTCGGAACGGTTGGTCATCATCTACATGTAGTCTTGTTGGGGCCGCGACTGATGGTTTGCAGATTCGCCGGAATATTCGCCTTGCCGCATTTCATGCTCCACGAGAAGGAGTACAACCAGTCGAAGGCCCTCCTACTACCGTCGATCGAGAAGGTGGTTGAGAAGATGGAGGCGACACGGTATATGGATGCACCGTGGCTGACCGGAATCGACGGCATGCCCTTGTCCGAGGAGCCGCAGTGCGAGTACATTGCGTACATCCAGCTTCACCCCGTTGATCCGCTGTTCGAACACAGGCCGGGAATGCATACGGATACGAAGATTATTATGCAGGAGATTGAACGGGAGATGCGGTTTCCGACGGGGTCTTCACTACCGCCTCCTCCGCCGCTCGAAGCAACGGTCATGGTGTATTCGCCGAATTGTGGAGTTGTCCTCGTTGCCGACGAGCTGGAGGGACAGAAGGTGGAGCCGTTTTACAGTCAGGCCTCGCATCTGGGACTGGGAGCGGCAGCAGTTGCGGCATTACAGATATGGATCCTAATACGCCAGATGAACGATTCCAATACTCTCAGCACTATCAGTAGAGTCAGCTTCTGGACGATTACCATGATGGCTGTGGTCGATGGATACTTCTTCTTCACTTTCATGATAGTCGCCATCTTCCTACGCGCCTGTTTCCTGCCCATGGTCGCGGCATCTTTCTGTTACCTGATGCTCTCGGCGGTGTTTGGAATGCGGTTCCTGGTCTCCACATATAAAGTCCAACGCCAATCGGCTCCGCTGGCTCCCGCCGCTCCTCCTCCGCCTCCACCGGCTACTGCTCCTTCAGATGGTCTCCCCCTCCCAGCCACAGCCGTCCCACAGACCCCCGTTATCATACCCCCCACAGCAACCGCCACCGCCGTGACCGACGACGAAGTCAACGCTGAAATCAGTGCCCTACACACACGCTTCTACTTCGCGCTGATCGCAATCCTCTTCTTCTCCCTCCATGCCGCAACTTGGCCCCCATTCTACCGCGACATCTTGGTGCATCTCGTCCTGCTAATCATAAACTCCTACTGGATCCCACAAATCTACCGCAACATCATGCGCGGCTGCCGCAAGGCCTTGCGCTGGGAATTTGTTCTGGGCACGTCCATCTGCCGCCTCGCAGGCGTAGGCTATATCTACCTCTACCCGGGCAACATCTTCCACTCGGCGACCAACCCCATGGCCGTGTTCATCATTGCCAGCTGGGTAGGGCTGCAAATCATCGCGCTGCTGGTGCAGGACATCTTCGGACCGCGCTTCCTGATCCCGTCCCACTCGCTGCCACAGGTGTACGACTACCACTGCCCGCTCCCGGCGACCGACGAGGAGGCGGCGCAGGAAATGGGCACGCCGACGGACGACGGCAGGATGCGCAGCTTCGATTGCGTTGTGTGTATGCAGACCGTCGACGTGCCGGTTGCGGGCGCTGCCGATGGCAGAGATGGACTGCTCGGTAGGAGGGGCTATATGGTCACGCCGTGCAGACATGTCTTCCACTCCCATTGCCTCGAGGGCTGGATGCGATTTAGGCTGCAGTGTCCGATTTGCAGGTATGTCGCCCGTATTATAACTACAACACTCGTGACTCCGGGATGGGGATGGTTGCTAACTAATTGGTGACGTAGGACTCCGTTACCGGCTTTGTAGATGTAGATATAGATGTAGGTGTAGGTGTAGGATATGATAGACGTGCGATGCAGTTTTACTTGGTTTAGGCTTTGGGGGTATTTTTTTGTTAGGTATTTTGATAGGTACGGCGTTTTTCCATTCTCCACTTTTTAGAGAGAACTTGTTTGGGGCTGTATGATATGATATAGTTACCTGTATTTGGCACCCACTGAGAATTCGGTTGGAGATATCACTAGCGCGAGTGTGAGTCGCCGATGAGTGATCCTGCGTGAGTATTATGCAGTGCTCGACAATGGGTTTTTATCACCGTCTAGACAACAGTGACCAGAGCGACACTCATTGCCAAAATCTATCCCAATTACCAATCTATTACCCACCACCACCACCACCAGCAGCCCAGCAGCAGCATATTGAAGTCTATACTTGTACTATCTACGGTACATCATCTCCCCCTCGTCTCCCCCCTCCCACCTTCTACTCGAAACCACCCCTCTAGCGAATACAGACAAAAATATAAATATAAATACAGTTACAGTTGTAGAATACAAAAAAACAAACCCCCAGCCACATGTACCCAGTCAGTGAATTCCCGGAACGGATTGAAGAATGAACGAATAAACAAATATTCAGAATGGAAGAATGAAGGATAAACGAATAAACGGATTGAAGAGTAAACAAATATCCAGAACGAATTGAAGAATGAATGAAGATACCGAACTCCCCCAGTGTTCCCCCCCTCCCCCCTTTTCCCATCCTTACACAACTCCAGTCAATAGAGAAAGAAAAAAAATAGTACAAGTAAACAAGGAAAAGGCTTGTCGTCGTGACAAACGGAGCGTATTCACATGCATACACACCAAACGGGCACACACAAGATGACAGTAAAAGAAATGCAGACAGGATGTAGGTAGTTCACCAGGATAAAGCCGGTGAGTAGGTGAGTAGTGTAGGGTTGGCTTCAACCCGTATAAGGAAAAAAGGACTAAAAAGGTGCGGTAAGGGAGGGAGGGGGGCGGTTGGACAACCAAAAAACCAAAAAAAAAAAAACCTGCTCTATAGAAACGAGAAACGAGAATGAACGTATGGTAAGTAGTGGGTGGGATAAAAAAGGTAAGGTAAGATCAAGATAAAAAGTAATAATTGTACAATAGGCAAGATGTAGTAGTAGCAATGTAGTAGCAATGACTGATTTGATAATGGGCAGAGAAATTATGTATATTAGAAATTGGTTCTGGTTGGTGGTATCAAACGCGACACAATAATACAAGGACAACAACATCCAGGTGATTAAGCTCAAGCTAGCTCAAGCTAGCTCAAGCTTGCTTCTACTTATCAAAACACCGGCGCACAACTGTTTCCATCCGTATTAGCCCGTGTTCATTGCACCTTTTGGGAGGGAGAGAAAACTAACCACCAAGAACCTGCTTCTGCTCGGCACTGTTCTGGCAGGCACACTGCAGCATACCACCTTCCAGCAGCATCAACCGAACACTGTAGGGGAGCTCCTGCTCATCGACGTCGGGCAGATCAATCTTCCTCACTTCACTCGAGATGTGGTAGCGCCTGGTTTGCGGCGCGTTCTATTCACCGTTAGCCATCGCCCGAGAAGCAGAGTGGGCGATCGATAGTGACCATACCTCGTCGTCGGTCAGGGACAGGAATAGCCATCCGTCCTCGTCAATCTTCATGTACCTCCGCTTCCACAGCATCGTGTCCGGGAGTTGGACGTTGATGGATCCAGCGTGGAGGAATGTTTTCTTGGCCGACTCGTCTGGCTGCGGCGGTGCCGGTTTCGGTGCCGATACCGGAGTCGCGGCGAAAGGAGGAGGAGAAGGAGGAGGAGAAAGGTCCTTCTTTCTGGTCAACGAATGGCTGACGCGCTGCAGGAAACTGGGGCTCTTGGGCGACTTTGCCGACGAGGACGAGCCACGTCGAGCGCCGCCTGTGAGTGCTGCTGAAGCAGACACTCCTCCCTCGGGCACATCGTCAAGATCCTTAGGCTTGGGACTCCGCGAGAAGATCCGTGGTCGTTGATCCTTGTCCGAGGTGATTCGGCGGCCCCTGCCGGTCAAGTCGACGCTGCTCCTACGGAGCGCAGGCTCATTGGGCGGGACCTCGACGAGCTTGTGAGGGGGCATGGTGAGGATGTCTGGTGTCGACGGGTCCCTCTCCATTGGCGACAAGAGAGATGTTACGGAAGGCGATTTGGTCAGGACGCTCGGGGACTGCATCATACTTGGCTCTCGCGAGATCTTTGTGGTAACCTGGAGTTGCGGCCTGTTATCCTTCTCGACGAATTCAAGCTTGGCACGCACGGGTTCCGCGCGCAAAGTTTCCGTTATCAACGACTGTGGAGGCATCGACTGGCGGTGCAATATTGTCGCCGGCGACGGCGCGAGCGAGAATGGAGGAGCTGGACCGGTGGAATCGAACGACATGCTGTTGACTCTCGGCGGAGATTTGTTGCTCATAGCACTCGGAGGACGGTTGCTCATGGCGCTCGGCGGACGGTTGGCCAAGAATTCCGGGGTAGGGGAGTTGCTCCTGCTCACGGACTGTGTCCGAGACGGGACGACGAAAGTAGCCTTCTGCTTCGTGGACGCGAGCTGCTGAAACTGCTTGATACGTTGAGACACGCTGCCACCACCGCCAGCAGCAGCAGCAGCACCACCACTTCCCACAGTCACCTTCTTCGCGACCACCGGCTTAGACTCCACCCGTGCGCTCTTGAGAAACGGAGCCGATACGGAGCGAGCGGTCTCGACGACGGGCGTCTCGTCCGGAGGAATCGTGGATGATCGTTCGACTCGTTTCGCCTTTGGCGGAGGCATTGTTTTGGCATCGGACGACGCTTTGCGATCGGCCGCTAGGTGGATGCTCTTGCCAGCAGTAGGTACTTGAGTAGGTGTAGTGGTGGTAGTGGCAGTGGTGGTAGGCTTCGTCACCTGTCTTGACTCATTCATTTGCGTTTCGAGTGACACTATGGACTCTCCGTCACTCTCCTCGTCGACATCATCCCGTACTTTAGTCGTACCTTCTATTTTATCATCCTCAGTTTCCGCCGGGGAAGGATGCTCGGTAGCTGTGACGTCTGTCTCGGGTGTCGGCTCGGGTTTCACCTGGTCGTGCCCATTGTCCTCCTCATCGTCCTCGTCCTCCTTGGACGCGTCCACATCGTCTTCCCTCTCCCTTTCCGGTGTCAGGGGCTCTTCGCGACCCTCCAGCTTGCCATCTTTATCGATCGGGGAGTTCAAAGCAGCACCTGTGCTGTTATCTTCTTCCTTTCCCGCCTGGTTGTTTTCGCCTCCTTCCGTTTTATCGAGACGGGTCTCATCGGAGGAGCCTGCAGGAGCAGAGTCGGCAACATTGTGGACATCGTCATCGATAGGGGACATGGTGGAAGCGATAGGGGTAGATTGAGCGGGATCGATTGAGTCGTCCGATCGATTGTCTTCGTCGTCTAGGTCTAGGTCTTCTTCTTCTTCTTCCTGTTCTTCTTCTTCTTCTTCTTCTTCTTCTTCTTCTTCTTCTTCTTCTTCTTCGGCTCTATCTTGTTGTTTCTGCTCTGCGATTTGTTGTTGTTGTTGTTGGTATTGTTGTTGCTGTTGTCTCCTCAATTGCAACGCTCTCATCAAACGTTGTTTCTCTGGTGTAGGGCCGTCGGTAGCAGAAGTCTTGACGGAAGCTGAGCTTGAATAGATGGAAAAGGAGTGGAGCGAGGTCGGAGTGGTGGGTGAGGGTGGGAGTTGCGGTTCAGGGATTGAAAGTGAATGGACGGGGGTAGTAGGAGTTCGGGAACCGGAGGTGGTTCTTCTTGGCGGGATGTGAACGGATCGAGGGACTGCGGCTCGCAGTTCTTCAGTCGACGGCTGAAAGGTCTTCGTTCGCTCGCGCTCGTTCGACGTGTGTGGACGTTTAGGGGGCTCTACATGGAGACGCGGACCGAGCTTGACCTTTGGCACATACGGGTATTGAGAATAGATGTCAGACGCCGACGGCCGCGATGCTGAGGAAGTGGACTTTCGCCGGGGCTCTGACAGAGAAGATGTACCCGAGTCGTATGGGGTGGTGATGCTCAAGGAGGTATTTGCAGATGTGGAGGGAAAATCTCCTTTTGAGAGGGAGAACGACGGCGCGGTCGGATCCCTGTCTTGAATTGCAGGTGCACCGGCCCCTCGCTCATCTGACACAGCCGGGTCGTAGGAAGTGACAACCACAGCAACAGCCACGCCGGAGTAGTTAGGCGCCCCCGCGAGCGCGCCGACAGTAGCCCCGTCGGTCGCTGTTGCCAGGCCACTACCACCACCACTGCCTCCCAGCACAACATGCTGAACTGTGTGTTTTCTCTTGTTGTAATTATCACGCCGGCTAGGCGACGCTTCATCTCCTCCCCCTCCTGCCCCTCCTCCTTCCTCGTCGGCAGATTCGGCGATATCCGTTAGTCGACGCTGTCGCAACGAGCTGTTGGATGACGATATGGATGCCGTGGCCGTGTGTGAGCCGCACACTGAATTGAGCGCCGCGTCGGTCAATTCCTTGGGATCAGAGATGGTGACGATGGTGTCGTGCGGCGAGAATCGCTCGGCGACCAATTGGAAATGAACCTGCGATCGGGCTACCGAGCGATCACCACACGCGTGTCAGCAGGAAGCCCCAGAAAATTCGAAGAGTTTCATCTGGAGTATTTTTTTTCTTTCTTTCTCGTTTCTCGTGTGGAGATCTCCCTCCAATTCCCCACCACCACAACCACCACCAACAGAACCCAATCCGAAACGAACGAATGAAGGGAACAAAACATGTAAACAACAAATAAAAAAATAAAAAAGAGGAAGAAGAAGAAAAGACCCTTTCCCACTACCCACACAACTGCTCCCCCTCTCCCTCTCCCTCCCCCCCCCCCCCCCCAGCTCCTGCGCGCGCTCACCTTTCAGAACTCTCGATGTCCCCTCGGGAATGCATTTGACCAACACATTGCGACGCCGGAAACGGATGAACCCGTATAGCGGCGAATCGTCTGGCTCCGTCGCAGCCGCCTGTCGCATCTCGTCTGCACCATGGCTCCCCTTCTTCAGCAGCTCCACCTCGTCGCGCGAAATGTATTTGATCCATAACCTGCAGGGCGCACACGCAAAACCACCCGGTTAGCCAACCGGTTCCTCAAAAACGGCAATCCTCCGGTTCCTTCTCCTCCCGCTCCCGCTGTCGCTCGCACACGCGCTCTCCCCGCATTGCATCCCCTTTTTTCCTCCCCGTACGACCGCTAGCAGCTGCATAACTGCCCGGCCGCAGCCGCAGGCAGGCAGGAGAGCGACGTGTTGGTGGTGATGCCAACATGTTGTGCGTGTGTGCGAGTGCGAGTGTGCGCGCGCGTGTGCGCCCAGCGGAAAGGAAGCGAACGGCTTCGTGCGTGCGTTGCGTGCGTGCTTTTGCTTACCATCCTCCAGGCTCCGCTTGAGCATCCTCAAATGATTCCCACAGCTGTGTTGAGTCCAATCCCTCCAACGACATCTTCCCATTGACTTTGGGCTTCCTTCGCGGCGGCGGCGGCGGTTATCGATCGATCCGTGGGCAGGAAAAGGCGGCCGTTCGGTGCGTGTGTGCGTCCGTACGCGGGTTTATTAGGTATTGGGTTATTAGGTATCCGGGGGGGCGGGTGGACGGGTTCGGTCGAGGGTCAGCGTGAGCGTTTCGGCGTCGGCGTCGGTGAGCGGGCGGGGCGGTCGTCGGTTTGAAAATGAGCGTGGGTTGGGGGTTGCGAGGAGTCCGTCTGTGCTCTCGGGGTGGTCGTGGAGAGTTCGAGTTCGATTTCGAGTTCGAGTTGAGTCGATCGGTGGAGTCGGTCGAGTCGGTGGTCGAGTCGAGTGAATGGGTTCGTTCGTAGTGTGCGCTGTAAGTCAAAGTCGTGGGTCCGTGAAATCCGAGCGACGTCCGTATTCGTCCCGTTCCTTTCCAGTAAGAGTTTTTTCCCGTTGCTTTTCTTTTTTTTTTTCCTTTCCGCTTTGCAGGCGACTAAAGATTCGTAAAACGGCGTCCGAAGAAGTGTGAGAGAGTGTGTGTGTGCGTTCCGGAGAGAGAGCACGCGCGAGAGAGCGAGAGAGAGAGAGCGAGAGAGAGCGAGAGAGAGCGAGAGAGAGAGAGAGAAGAGAGAGAGAGAACAATAGAGTAGCAACGATCGAGTAGAAGGAGCTGTCGACAGGGCTTCGGGGAGTAAATCAAAAAAAACAAGAAGCGTGTAAACCCACAGCAGCAGCAGCTCTTTGATCGCTCTCGCTCGCCTCACCCGCTTTTGCCAAGCGGGGATCCGTACCGCAGCTACTGTCGAGTCCAGTAGAGTAGGCCGGAACAGAGTGCTGTTCGGGAAGGGGGTGGGGGGCGGTCTGCAGAGTACTAGGTGTCTATGGTGGGTAGAGTACCTATGATGGTAGTATATCTAGAGTGCCGGTATGTAGTTCCTAGTGGTCCAGGCCTCACGATCGATCCAAGTGTCTCAATCTCCTTCTCCCGGTCTCTTCAGCGACTGACTCGCCGTGGTTGTGGTGGCGAAGGGTGGTGGTGGAGAGTGAGTGGAAGTGATCGAGAGACTCGCCACGCGAATGGGGAGAACGGACGACGACTTTGTTCTGGGGATTTTACACACAGCCCCTTGGACGGCTTCCTGGGTGGATAGAGTGTGTAGGTATGTACCGTGTGTACATGTAGATGGTAGATACGTGCAGCTCTCCGATCTTGCACCCTGCCCGTGGACTCTGCATGAAGTACGGTACTCTATCGTGGTATGATGGTCCATGGGTAGGTACTATGCTATGATACTATCAATATGCTGGCTGGCAGGCTGCTTCCTTACTTGCCACCTGCAGCCAGCATCTTGTCGATTCCATCGTGTGAAGAAACGCAGGAGTGCAGTACGTGCGACAGTATGAGAATGTGGGGCTCGGTGGGAGGGGCAAGTATCTACAGAGGTACTCCATGGAGAGCAAGTATGAGGATACTATTTGCTCTAACCTCCTTCCCCTCTACCATCATCTACTTGCCTACTATATGCCATGTACTACCTAGGAGTAGCTCCGGAGTAAACATCTTCCTCATTGGACTCACTCATCACCTCTGCAGCCCCCTATCCAGAAGGATGAACAGGCCACCAAACGATGGGGCAAGTGCAAGAGAGAAATTCGGTTCAACTGTACCAAGCATCGTCGCATACGGTACGGCCTTTGCAGACTACCTACCGGCATTGCGAGTCCACGAGGCTGACACGCCGGTACCGAGGCATGTCGACTCTCGAGTCTCAAACGTCTCGATTCAGGGCTTCTCCGGATTCCAATACAACTATGTAATTGGTTATTAATCCCCAATCGACAAGTACATACGAGCAGAGCAGGTAGAGTAACCATCTAGCCATCTACAAATGCATCGGCCGGCCTCAATTCCATCATCAGTGAAACGAATGGGTAGTTACTATTACCGCACCGTGCGTATCTATAGTAAAGGTATAGATAGTAATAGGCCCTACGCAGTACCAGCCCTCTCCCTGGATACCTAGATAGAAAGGTACATCATGTATCTATATAGTAGTAGGCCCAGAGCCCTCTCCAGCCGTCGAGTCTCCACTTTCCAGCTGGCGACATCCAGCAGCGGCGGAGATCCATCCCATCACCCATCATCCCAAAGTCCACACCCTGCACCCTCCCTCCCCTTTTCCCCCCCATCCCCCGGCCAAAAAACCCCTAACCCGCCTCCTCGCGAGTCGCGTGGCGGTTAACCTTGCACATGCACACACAACTAATTCCCTCCCTGGGCCCACCCCCGTCGCTCGGTTCCTTGCATATGTTTACTCGAGTATATATGTCGAGTACTCTAGCAGCCGAGATGGGGGAATGCAGGTCATATGAAGGCAGGCAGGCAGGTAGGCAGGCAGGCAGGTAGGCAGGCAGGCAGGTAGGCAGGCAGGTGGGCAGGCAGGTCAGACGGTCAGACAGACAGACGGTCAGACAGACAGACGGGTAAATCACCCACCCACCACACACCTGGTACCCGCATCCGCCTGCGAATAGAGTGGAGTATGTATGTAGGATGCGGCTACCTACGATACCGGTACCTGCCTACTATGTAGATAAGTGGTAGGTCATCCGTGAGCACGTCCGTTCCCGCAGACACAATAATAACAGCAATAGTAATAACAATAATCCCATCCAAACTCCATCTTCCCTGAACGCAGCCGCCCATCTCCCATATCTCATCTCCTGCCTACTTTTACCCAGTAGTTACCCCGCTCGCCCAGCTACGCACCTTACAGTCCCCCATACATAGCCCGCATCTCCGGGGCCCGCCCAGACAGTGCCCACTGCCCACTGCCCACTGCCCACAGCCCACAGCTCAGCGATACCGCTTCCAGCTCGATCTTCCAGCTCGATTTTCCGGTTGATCAAATCGGTCATTGGTGATCACTCGGGAAGCACATCCGTGCTCCCAATCTCGATCGATAATGAGTAGGTAGTATGCGTGCTTCGGTTGTTAGCGCGGCGGATATGATCCACAGGGACGGGGGGGGAGAGATGATGGGGAGGGGGAGGGCGAGATCTGGGGGACGGGAGGGGAGGTGAGGGGGGGAAGGGGGGGGGGGGGTGGCTGGATACCTCGGTAGGTAGCTGTTCGGTGGACTATGGCATTACCATAGTAGTATAGCCTTCTTGACTAGCCGAGTAATTTGACGGACGGGCTGGCGCGGCTGCGGCGTGGACAATTTTCTAATAGTACTACATACTGGAGTGAATAGGCGCTGTGGGGAGTGGCAACCACAACTCGATGCGTGAATGCGTTGATAAATTCGAGATGAGCACATACCGGTTCACACACGTCAGTAAACCTCAATGGGTCAACGACAACCCATAATCTATCTACTAGGTATTATAGTAAGTACCCCCGCCCATCTTTCCTTGATCATGTCTTGAGTCTCGACCTCGCTCCAACCGGTAGATATTAGAGTACAGACAACCATCCTCCCTTCGTCACGGATCCACAGACCTGCCCGCCGAGAAGGATCCTATGTATCTAGCGGGTAGAGCTGCAGCCGCAGAGCCATACATACTCTACTTACTTCCATTCACCCTAGCCGCCTAGGAGGTACAATTCCAACTAGATGTCGGTTCGGAGGGTGCTCGTTGATACTACTTATACTAGTATTCACACGATATCACTCGCTCGAGTCCATGGCGGTTTTTTTAACCGGAGATGGATGACACTGGAGAGGTCGGTATCAGATCAGGTACCGCCTATATCAACTGGATGAATACCTGGGACCAGAGTAATACACCCAAATCACTATGATCCGCACAGTCGACAGTCGAATGCGAAATCATGAAACAAAACCAAAACCAAAACCATCAAGGACAGGTAGTGAAAATAGGTATAGGTACTGGTAGGTCCGTCCCGCCCACCGCAATTGCAATATCCCGAGTATTACAGCAAGAATAACTTCTCATCGGCAGCATTGAGGACTGCTTCTAGCCTCTCGCCCCGCATCATGACATGTACTCTAATGTTCATCCATAATGAAAATGTTGGTATGTACGGGCTCATGCCACCGAGGGCTGATCGATCTTGACGGATCATGATGAGACTGTTTATCGTCCTACGATAGGATAGAGGTTTCATCCACTCTAACGCCGCACCAGTTCGAGTTCATACGGACCAAGAAGCACTTATTATGTAGAACCCGCCAATTCCATTCTCTCTCTCTCAAGCAACTGCGCACCACCGACCAAAGACCCACCCCCACTCGTGGATCGCCAAATTCATCGACCAATCCCAACGCCCGCAGAAGAAACACCCTAATAATACAAACACGGATATGATATGGAGCGATCCCTAGACAGGAAAGAAAGAAAAAGAAAGAAAAAGAAAAAGAAGAAAGAAAAAGAAAGGTAAAGGATGGCAGGAAAGAGCGATCCCTATGGACAAGAAAGAGTAGAAGGAAAAGTAAAAGTCAAAGGAAAGCAGAAGAGCAAATCGGGCCGGCATCTAATTCCTCTGCGCCCAGCCCCAGCCCCACCTCCTACCGTTAGTCTCACCACCGTCTCTCATATCCTCAGCCTCGAATCCGTTACCGTCCTGCCTCCAGCAGCGGGCCTGACAGCCGTCGGAGACGGTAACGAGATCGTGGTTCATGGTCCAGGCAACGTCGGTAACCTCCCTATCGTGACCACGAACGAGGGCCACGCCCTTTCCGACCTTGAGGGTGCTGGCGAGAGCATGTTCTCCGTCCTTATATCTGAAGTTGGCGGAGACACGGGGGTTGAAGTAACGCTCTTCGGTCGGGAACACGACGCCGACCTGATCGGACGAGCCGGTGGCGAGGAATTTACCATCGCGGCTGATGTCGCACTTGACGTAGAAAGTTTCGGCGTGCAGACGCGGATGGCTGTAGGCGTGGATCGGGCCCTTGGAGAGATGGCGGGGCGCGTACGCGTAGACGTTGGAGTCCTTGCACACGGCGTACATCCTCTGGCCGTCGGGCGAGATCGTGAGCGAGCTGATGCCGTAATCTCTGTACTGGTTTGGCGGCAACGCGGAGCTCTCGACTGCCTGCGGATTCTTCTTGCGGAAGACGCGCGAGCGGAGATCCCAGACCTTGATTTGCGCATCGTGCTCGCAGGTGGTCGCCACACGGTGCTCGTTCATCCACACCGCCGCTGTGACGGAGTTCACCTTCGGCTTTCGACCGGCTGTGGTATGGACCCCACGGATGCATTCGACCGGCTGCAGGACCGTGACGACATCGCGACCTTCCGAGATCTTCGTTCCTGCCACACGCAAGTCCCAGATGTTGAGGGTTCCATCGCGCGCACTGGACGCAAGCATGAACGGGTTGTGCGGGTTGTATGCGATCTGCTTGACGCTGTTCTGGTGCTGCTTCAGCTGGTACAGCTGTGTCTGCTTGGTGACGTCAAAGACGCGGCACAACTGGTCTCCGGACGCCGTGGCGAGCTGGAGGTCGTCCGGAGACCACGACATATCGAAGATGGCATTTTCGTGGCACTGGAAGGAGAGGAACTCCTTTATGAATCCTGGCTTTTCGTCTTTGGCGGTCTCGACTAGACGCACACGGCCCATTTCGTCACCGATGGCCACCAACGAACTACGGTTGCAGGCGGCGGTACTGAATGGCAAACATTGATCCTCGTTCGAAGAGATGGGGAGCTCGTCCACCGGCCGGGAGTAGAAGTTGAGTGGTTGCGTAGCCCAGTCTGCACTACGCGTTAGCCACTAGCGCGACACGGTCTGATCTGAGAGAGAGTAAACAAACTTCCGGGGTAGAAACTGGTGCGCCCGAGTGCTGGATTGTAGAACCCGTCCATACTCTTCATGAAAAGATGGTACTGAAGGGAAGGTGGCATCTCTCTCGGAGCAGCCTTTGGTTCCTCTTCTTCCATCTCGGCCTCTAGTTTCGACTCCGCTCCCCGTTCAAGATTCTGGGTTGGTGACGGACTCTCATCTCTGCTCAGGCGAACCCGCTTGCTGCACCGTTGCGACGGAGACTCTTCTGGTGAAAGCAGATGTGCGCATGCCGATCTGGCATTGCTTCCTATTCCGTTAAGGATTCGGCGTGGTGTAAAGAATGGATGCACCGCGTTCGAGGACGAGGGTGTTTTGGCTCCCGGAGGTGACGGCAACGAGGACGCTGAGTCGGTCTTCGAAGAATTGGGGGCTGGCATGGTTGTGGAGGTTGTGACACTGACAGAAGCAAAGGGTGAATGGTAGACAATGGTAGAGAAGGTATATGTGAAGGTAGAGCAAAGCCCTACTTCTGGAAAGAAAAGATGTGAGTTGCAGAGAGAAGACTCGCGTAAAGTGTTGTGCGAATACAAAGAGTGAATAGCGAGTACGCTAACCCCTTTAGATTATACCCTTATCTACTTTAGGTTGTGTGTTTATCGCGTCGTCGAGATGTGAAGACGCGGCTGTCACACAGGCAACAACAAACCCTAACCTCCAGTTGATCTACGAATGATATTCTGTGATGTATACCAACCACTAGTTATCTTCATGGTTCCTCATAGAATGCTAGATTACGGTAAAGCACCAAACAGATGGCCGAGGATGTGGGATTCGTGATATGTCAAGATGCAGTCTGGTATAAAGACTTGACTTTCATAGTGGGTCACTAGAGGTGGGACTGAGTGCCCCGGCACGGTGCCCAGTTGATCACAACGGCAAAATGACAAAGATTCAACCATTCGTTCCACAGTAGTGTCCAGTGAAGTATATCAAGAAGGAAGGATCAAAAAAGAAAGAGAGAAATTGAGTATAGAATTTGTTCCCTGGCACTTGTAACCTAGGTAGCTAGATTTCTACACATAGCCACTCCTGACGACCCACTGCAAGCGCAAGGACCACAAACAAAAGTACCCAACAAGACAGAGAGAACTGAAGTCTTTGTTTTGAGAAGAACCACTTTGCTAGACTGTATTGGGAAGTAAATCTGTTGTTTGAACCTTTTGGCATATATACTCCACTGTCCGTGCCCTCTCTTAACACGCATTTGATTGCTTCATCGCCCACCTCATCGGAATTTGAGCTTGTCATCCAGAGTGAAAATATTCCCATCGATCCTGTCCCTATTATCCCACTGTCTTCCTGCCATGTACGGCAATAGAAGTGAGACCAGACAGGTGGAGAACATGCCCCAGGACCTTGAACAGCGAGCAATGGACATGCACATAAGGCATGCAGGAGAGGTGCGTGGGTGAAAGACCATAAGCTGGGGGTGAGGGACTGTAAATGGTAATATGCCCGTAAGCACATAGCTATTTCGGACCTATGTAGGGTATATGCCAAAACCAAAACCTGTCATCCTTCATTTGCTGACCCAATTGATTCCGTCTCATCCGAGGCATTCCCGATGACGGACTGGACGCCCCATCCACAAGCCTGATTCAGCCCCCCCTTATTCAAGTCTTCTTCGGTGGTGTCTGCGGCCATTCGTGGTTAAGCGGTCCGATGAGGTGAACTCGCGGCCGCCAGAGCTCGTCTCAGTTGGCTTGTCTTTGCACCTCTCAGAGTGTTCGCTTTGTCATAAAATCTTCCATTGCAAAAGTGCCTGGTTGCATAACAGTTCTTCCATTGTTTTTATCTTTGTCCAAACCAGAGTTCCCGATCGTCCGTCCGCCAGTCCGTCCTACAGGGCCCAGCAATGTGGTCCCGTTTCGAGTGGACCGGACTTGTTGGAGGATCCCCGGTTACCTACCAGGTAACCCGCCAGGACTGATGAGTTGGGGGTGAGACATGTACGTATCATCAGCCCGTTCGGACCTATGCAAGATGAGCATTTAAGTGGACCGCTGGGAGTCGTATGAGACGTTCTCGGGCAAATTGACCAAAGGGCCATATCAGAGCCGATGAGTGAAATTCAGAGATTTGGAACCGTCGGAAAGGCAGCGGAAGCCATAGGGAGATCGATGGAAGAATCTTAGGTACAGCCGGAATTCATCTGTATTCTTGGTGAGGACAGACGGAAACTGTAGGTACTTCAATCCTGCATAAGATTTACCCCGTCTTCCGCAAGCCATATTTTGAAAGCCCCACAGTATCAGTCTGGGAGGGTCCGGACTATTGGACGGATGTGACGGGCGTCTGGGAGCTCTGGTCCAACCCCCGGAAACATGCACTGGCAGCTTATGTCTCTCGGAAAGAACCGTGCATTCGTCGACACTCTCCTCTTTCCTTGGGACCGGACCAACGGATTGACGAGCCTCTCCCCAATCTAGAACGGCTAGAAACGAGAAAGATCGGGGTCCGTATCGGTACTTATCGCAATGATTAGCATTGACAAGCACAGGATATAAAGGTTGCCGGAAGTTCCAATGGACGGGTAAGAGAGAGGGGGAGAGACAGAGACAGGGAGAAGATTGAAGAAGACGGAAGGCGAGCATACGCTGACGAGCTGCACGGCAAGTTGTCGTACCCAGCCTTGTAGTCTCGACGTTGCTGAGTTGGAATGAGTGTAAGCAAGTGACCAATGGGAAAGGTGAGAGGAAGGGAGTACTGGATGGATTGAGCAGTCAAAAGAGGAACTTACCCTGCTTAAGACAAAGACCATGAATCGGACGAGGTGGACGGCTTTGTCAAGGCCGACGCTGAACTCGAAGGCCTGGAGGATGCCAGCAGGTGTCTGAGCCAGGTAACCCTAACCCATACATAAAGGTTGGTGGGGAGCAGGTGGGGGAGTTTTAAGCTTTATTGCCTTCTCGCTTAGCTCATCCCTGCGCCCAGGAGGGGCCGTTGTTTGTGGCAGGTTCCAAAAACTGTCGCTTGTGCAGCTGCACAATAAAAATGAGGCGACACAGGGACACTGTGCTCGAAATTAAACCGTGAAGACTAAACGACACTCTGTGTGCAGAATTCCATGCCTTGAACCAAGTCCAAGGAGGACGATGGGCCGATTATTCGACACTGGATGGTCTGATTCCACTCCGAAGAGCGGAACATCAACTACAATCTCGACACGAAAGTTGTTGATATCAATGGGAAGACTGACGGCTTTGATATGAAGATTGGTATGAAGATTGATGATGTCAATTCCTTGCATATCAGACGGCTGCCTTCCGCTGCACAGGATCCTCTCTCAGTTGTCACGCTTTCCTATGTACATCCCCTTCCTCAGGAGGGGGACCGTTTCCCTTCGATTTAAAGCCTCGTCATGCCGACCGACTTTCGAAAATCGAATAACACGTGCAGTGGAACCTTGCAGAATAACGCTCGTCATCTTCGTCCTGTCGTCCAACCTGGCCAGGAAGGTGTTACGACAGGATGCTGTGTATCGATGAATTTCCAAGGCTACAGCTTTGTTTTTACTTCTCATTAATAGAATCTATTTAATCTCTCTGACTTACGGACGGTTGGAGCTATCATAATGATGGAGTCATTCGACAGAGATAATACACAACCAGTACACCAACCTCCCAATGGTTAATTCCAAGGCATGTCTTGGCAGACCAATTGTCCGCTGATTTTGGCTCCAAGAATCATGGAGTGGTGCTTATCCTCTCTTTCCGACTGAGGGCTGGGTGTAGTGTATCTACTGAAAAGTTCGACGATGATGTGTATGCGAAGCGTTAAGGGGTTTATTGAACAATGGTCATTGATCGGAGAACTGAACCACCACGGAATGTTATATTTGTGTCTCAGAGATGTCCACTGCACGCAGTGCACCAACCGGACTTGGCAATGACTTTACTGTCACGAATGTCCCTTTCCGGCAGCGTTACATGGCCGGACGTTCCACAGCATGCAGGCGGCAGCTGCCAGCAGCTCCGCACAGAAATAAACTCCAAATTCTCAATCGCACCCACCACCCTTTATAAGTTCACACCCACCAATTCCATCCGACATCTTCTCCTCAACCAGCAATGACAACACTCGTCGCCCTCCCCGCTCCCATCCTCTGCAGCATCTTCGACGCGACCAACAGTCTCACCACTGCCGTGTCTCTCGCCCGCTGCGACAAGCTCCTGCACAAGACATGGACCACGCACCTTTCGACTCTCGACCTCGTCGCCGCCTTCGATGCCGACCCGCGCTGGTGCGAGATCAGATACAAATTCTTTGCTGTGACGATAGCACGGACGGAGCTGGAGGCGGGGGGCAGTAAGTCGTCCCACCATTCACGTCCTGGGGGGTGGGGGCAGCATCGCATCGCCAATCCTGACCTCAAACCTTATGTAGACACGGACATCGACCCGCTGTCGGCGATGAAGTCCGCGTACCGGATAGCGGGGGTGATCCAGCGGACGGTGCGGGAGCTGGTCTCGTACCTCACCGCATCGTGTCCCTCGCCCAGGCAAAAGGCGGTATGGGACCGGTGGCTGCCGCACGTGCTGATGAAGACGCTGCACATGCTGTGGCTGCAGAAGCTGGTGGGGCGCGCGCCGCTCGACCCGCAGTACCACCTCGCCACCAAGACCATGGCCGAGTTCCTGCTCGCGCCGAAGTGGCATACCTGGGGGTTTCCCGATATGCGCGGCGTGCTCGGCGCAGGCACGATCAGGAACAAGGCGCCTGCAAACCAGTTGCTCGAGACGTGTGTAGCGGTCTGTGAGAGGGTCGTCAGGAATAAGAAGGCCCTCGGTGAGGACCTCGAGGAGGACGAAGAGGATAGTGAGGCGGAGGAGGATGAGTTCTATGATGACTCCGAGTATGATGATATCTCCGAGTTTGACGAGGATGAGCTAGATGAGGACGATGCGGGTAATTGGAGCGATGAATGATCTCGCCGCGAAGCCATAATGCATACTACCTAGCGGTGAGGTGAATTACTGGGGCAATCCACGGCGGATGTGCACCACCTCTGCCCCAATAGTTACCTTCTCACCGCAAATACATAAGATGTAGCAATTTAAAGCGGAATTCTACAGACGGGGATTAAGAGAGAGTGAGAGAGCGATTCAGTTTATTGTCGCATACGGCCTTTACAGACTATGGCGACCACACAAGTACCGTAACTGACATTACAGCGTGACCAGGCAATGAGCGGGTGATAATATGTGATGTATCAAGCACGGCCTATGTATCCACACAAATCACAGAAGAGAACATTCCTTATCAGTTTGTCTACATACTCCCTCCGCTCGATATCATGCAAGATAGCAGAGTTTCAGCTGTACTCTATGTACTTGTACATACGGTACCTATGCCGGTCGTGCAAACAGGTTACAGGGCTGATGTTTGACTCGAGTCTCGGCTATTACCGCAGCTGAGTCTGACCGGCCAACACATTTGGGCAAGTGGGACTGGAAGAAAAAACAACCGAAGGCAGTGTAACGTATCTTCTCCGCTCCGACGAGTCAGTTTCCAAGTGAGTGACACATCGGAGCGGGGGACTGAGCAGGTGGGGTAGGTAGTATATACCCCCTCCCCTCCGCTCTTCCCCTCCACTCTTCGCCGCAAGCAAGGAAACCACCCACAAATTACAATGTACTACTGCCAAAGCTGCAACCTGATCTTCCCCACAGCGCACGTCCTAGGCGTGCACACATCGTCAGCGGCGCACCGGGCAGCCGACACGCAAGCCCTCGTCGGGATCCCACTCGGACGGCTGAGCCGGGGGCAGAACCGCCGATGCGTGTGCCGAGATTGCCACCTCGGATTCCCGTCGCCGCAGGTCAAGGAGCGACATGTCACGACTTCCGAGAAACATAGGCGCCTGTGTGGTTGCAGGGTCTGCGGAAAGGTCTTTGGCGATAGACAGGCTGCCAAGTTTCATAGGGAGCAGAATGGGAAGTGTAAGGAGAAGGCGAAGGAGCTGGCGAGGGAGGAGGCGAGGGAGAGGGCGGAGGTGGAGGCGAGGGAAGGGGAGCGTGAGGATGAGGGGTGGGTAGCGATGGTGAGGCGTACGGAGGAGGAGAGGGAGGAGGAGGAGGAGGAGGAGGAGGAGGAGGAGGAGGCACGGGCGAGGGCGGAGGTGAAGGCGCGGAGCGGGGAGCGTGTGGACGAGGGATGGGCGGCGATGGTGAGGGATGCGGAGGAGGATGAGGAGGCTGGGGAGGAGGAGGCTGTGATTCCGGATGATTGGAGTCAGGAACTTGATGAGGTTGGGGAAGACGAGAAGGAGGAAGACGAAGATGAAGTCCACGACGAAAGCGAGGACGAACTCCACGACGATGATGATGATGAAGACAAAGATACAGATCACGGCAAAGACCCAGATTCAGACTCAGATCACGGCAAAGACCCAGACTCAGACTCAGACCACGAGTATGCCAACGACGAAGACAAATCCACCGACGCTGGCGAAGTAAGTCCCTCCGCCTTCCCGTCTCACTCCCCCTCTGACCCTCTTAGTTATCAGCCGGCCTTGTCGCTCTCGCCCTCGGCGGTAACGTCGCCCCCGGGCCCTCCACCTCCTCTAGCAGCCCCAACCTCTCCCGCAAAGGCACGCCGCTAACCTCCCTCCCCCCCTCCGTCCGCGCAAACATAGACCGCAAATTCATCTGCCAGCCCTGCGGCCGCGCCTTCCCCAGCAAGCACAAAAGACAGCAGCACGCACGGAGATCGGACGAGCACCGCGCCCTGTGTTGCTGCTCCTCGTGCGGAAGGAACTTTGGCACTCAGCAGGAGAGGGATGATCACTTTGCCTATTGCTCCCAGCGGGCGGGCATGGGGCTGGATCGCGGAAGGGGTGGGTATCCTGATCGTGGGCGTGAGCGTGGGTGGGGTGAACTTGGTAGCCGTAGTGGCGATCGTGGTGGTCGTGGTGGTCGTGGTGGTCGTGGTGGTCGTGGTGGTCGTGGTGGTCGTGGTGGTCGCGGAAGAGGAGGAAGAGGAGACGGCTCCCGCACTCGCATTCCCCAATCGTCGCCGCCAGTAATTGGTCCTAGACGAGCCGGGCACTGCTGGATCTGCAACCACGACCTCCTGCCTGACGAGAATTTCAGGGCGCATATCGCGTCCGCCGACCATATCGGTGCGTGTAAGGAGCAGAGATTCTACTGCCGCCGGTGCGATATACCGTTCGGGAACGAGTTTGGGCTGGAACTGCACAGGGTCCTAGAACATTGCGCAGCGGAGGCCATGGGCCTTGGCGGGTTAACTGCCTAGATGGATTAACTGCCTAGATGGGAAAGAGTCTGCTCGTTTCCTTTTTCTTTGATCGATGGTCGATGGTCTTCTTGTCTGGTGGATAAATGAATGTAGCCAAACAAAACTATACGGCATGCATTCGCGCCAGTATACGCCATATATGAAAGTGCTGGTAGTCTGCATGTCCAAGGGCATCGGAGACTGGCATTGGCCGCGACAACTTCCCTTTCCCACCCTCTAGCCAGACAGTGGTGATGGTCGTGAAGCGGCAAATCGCGTCCTAACAGACTACCTATTCGGATATGTGTCAATTCCCTCCAAAGAAGCAGTAGCGACATCAAAGGCTATTGTCCTGATCCGGATGTAAAGAATAGAAAGCCTCGTTGTCACGATATATCACTCGTCTATCGAGTGACACATCATGTTTAAAAGTACGAATAATATTGGTGAACTTGTTTCGTTGATTCGCAAAACAGCGGATGACCAGCTAGACATACCAGACGAAAGCAGAAGCAAGTGTGAAAATAAACAGGATTCTCAAGGCGTGCAAATATTACCAATATGTATGACCAATGTGCAACATCTCCAACGGATGACGATGTGGCTTGATGAGGGGACTTCTGAATGAGAATCGCAATACATTTCATTTGCGCAGATTACTATCGGCGTATGTACTCATACAGCCGTATTAGATCATCATATACTAAACTAATATTTCGAACTGCTCTACAACTCGTCTTTAATGTCCTCCTTCTTCTCCTCTACCTTCGCAGCATAGAACTGTGCGAGGATGTTCGCCTTGGACTTAAACTCATCCTTCTTCTTGCTTGCCAAATCGGTACCGCGCGCGAGGATTCCACCAAGACGCTTCAGCTCCTTCTCAGCATACTCCTCGTCCTTGGCGAGCTTGCCGAGCGCCTTGACGTAGTAGCTAGCGTAGACATCCTTGCTCTCCTCAGCGAGCTTAAGGATTTTCTCCGAGACAGCCTTGAGGGACTCGGCGTCGCCACGGACCAGCTGCTTGAGCTCTTCGTCGAAGGCGGCGATGCGGCCGGCGACCTCATTGAGACCTCCGCCGACGGCACGGTTGGTGCCGGCTTTCTCGTTGAGGAAAGCGGTGAGGGCGGCTTCGGTGCGGCCGCTTTCGTAGGGCGTGGCTTCGGTGCTGCCCTTAGGAAAGTACTTCAGTGTGGGGTAGCCGGTCACTCCGTAGCGCTGCGAGACAGCCTTGCCGTTGGGAGCGTCGGCGTCGACTTTGGCGATCACTACGTCTGTGTCGTCGGCAAAGTTGTGGGCGAGGACTTCGTAGATGGGGGCGAGAGCTTTGCAGTGACCGCACCAAGGCTACATACAGCATCTCTAATTAGCATCTACTCGTTACACGGCACCGCACCTCATCAATCCGAACACAGAGGGATCATACAGCGTAGAACTCAACGAGCACATTCTTATCCCCATTAACCACCGCATCAAACGTGGTATCGGTAAGCTGTACCACAGAGCTCGGCTGTTCCTTCTTGACCTTGGCCTTGACCTTGCTCTGCTTCGCAATGAACGCCTGCAGCGACTCCAGATCGCGCTTGGAGTCGTAGTCTATCGGCGTATCCGACTTGCCATCGAAGTACTTTAGTGTCGGGAAGCCCTGGATGCCGAAGCGCTTGCCGAGGGACTTGTGGGCGTCGGCATCGACCTTCGCGATCGAGACCTTGTCCTTTGCACCGGCGAAAGAGTCGGCGAGCTCCTCCCAGACGGGGACGAGCTTCTTGCAGTGACCGCACCAGGGCTGGAATGGGGTCAGCGAGCTTGAATGAAACGTAGAGGAAGGAAACTGACAGCAAAAAACTCGACCAACGCCGGCTTGCCCGATTTCAGCACTATGTCGTCGAAGTTCTTTGGCGTAAGATCGATGACATTGCTAGCAGTAGCTGCTACAGCGATGAACGCCAGGGAAAAGAGGGATCCAAAGCCCTTCATGATCGTGTGATTGTATTGTTGTGTTGGATGGGAGAGGAATGAGAGGTTGAGAAGATGGAAAGAACAGATCTAACTATCGAGTAGCTGGTTTGGTTATGTAGAGTGGTGTGTTCCCTGTCGCGTTGCAAGTGCGTAGCGGAGTGTGCGTAACTCTATATAAGGTAAGCAAGCTTTAGTGAGCACAGATCAGCACGGAACGAAGCCGGTGTCATCATACATGAGAGTTTGCGCTTTGCGTCTAGACGAAATTTAGCCTGGATTTCACTTTGTCGTCGTGAGTTCGTCTATCTATATAGAGAGTTTGCGCAGTTGCTCAGAAGATCGTTGTGGTAAATCTAGTCGTATCGCGAGTTCATTGATTTCACGTCTTTCTGACTTTCCGATTTTCATCTGGAAGCGTATTCAACCGCATCCTTCCGGCCCTTTTTTTTGCTGGTTTGCGAGCAGTATTCTATGAACAATCTGAGCATGACGGTACTCTAATTCTCTTTGACCGTGAAGATGAAAGGCTATGCTCCAGGATGCATATAGACTTGATTTGCGTCTGAACCAGACGTAAATTTCCGGGTCCAGAACACCAAGAAAACCGGGTCACAGCCTGTTTTTTTTCGTCTAGATAGGCGCAAAGCGCAAACTCTCTATTGGCACTCGAGACGGATGATCAAACTTAAATCCCCGAGACGCATGCTTCGAGCAAGAGATGGAAGCAATCGATATGGCTGGACTCGGTTTTTCCTCAATCCCATGATTTGCCCGGAGAAAACTAAAGACACTCTAGCCGTTCCGAGTGGAGTGGAACAGAGGCAAGCGCTTGCACAGCTGAGCCTCAAAGCTCAAATGCACCTAGTGAGCGGCGGTAGGCAGCTCATCCCATCGCGTCCATCCTCTCCCCCGCACATCTCACATCCGACACCAGCACCAGCACCACGCACCACCATCACGAGCGGCAGCATTTCCTTTGTTACCCTCCCCTTACCTTACGACCACTCTCCAACACCCGCTGCCGCTTCAGCCATGACGTCCCCGATCACGACCGGCACCCCCGCCGGCGGCGCCTCCTCCGCCTCAAAATCCACTCCGGCCAACACCGCTGTCTCATCCATCGTACGCTGGCTCCATCCCCACCCTCGCCCCCTCCCGGCACAGCTAACAGAGAGTAGGACAACACAAGCTTGGACGCAGTCGTTGACGATCTTCTCGACAGCCTCAGCAGCAAGTTTGCGAGCGTCAGCTCGGAGATCTACGAGAAAATCGAGGCGATGTCGAAGAGGTTGGATGCTATGGAAAATAGCTTGCAGCAACAGGCTGGAGGTAAATAAGCGGGGGTATGGGACGTGAAGAGGGAAGTTATCGGGGTTCTTTTTGAGCGGGGAGCGAGCATTTTGCTGGCGCTGGGTACACATAGATCTGAATTACGGATTGTTCTATGATTGTTTTCTACGTCTTCGGGGGGCGAGCGCGCTTGGATCTGGCAACTAGAAGTCTGCTTTGAAGGTGCACAAGCAGTAAAATCACGGTTTGTTTCCAACCAAACGCACAGCTCAGTCAAAGATCGGATTCTACAAATTTGACTTTGCAAGCTGCAGGAATGGCCACGGGCTGTGATCCAGCTACATAAATCCTCTGAGAGTTTTTGATTCTCATATCACCCCGCCCATTCATCTCAAATTTCAATCTGAAGTGGTGGTCGTCATGATATCGGTGGACTATCTCATTGTCGCAGCTGTGTAATTATCATAGCGAAGATGTCATCACCGACGAAAAAAAAAGTGTGGTCCCAACACCCGCACGAAAGAGCAGCCATTTTTGTTCCCATGAAATGCAATTCAACTTAAGCAACCAGCTCAATCACGCCTCCAGCCTCCTTGATCTTCTTCTCCGCAAGCGCCGAAACGTAACGGGCCTTGACGATCACGGGGACGTCAGGCAGACGACCCTTTCCAAGGAGCTTGGCGTAACCGGCAGCGAGAAGGTCGATGACGGGAGCGACATCGCCGCAGGACTTGGTGAGGTACTTCTCGCGCGACTCAGCGGGGACGAGGGTCCACAGCTATATCGATCGTTAACTAAACTGCCCGAGTGAGGCCAGGATGGAGTAATAGACGCACCTTGTCGAGGTTGAGGGTGGGCTTCCAGAACAGGTTCCGGGTCTTGTGGAAGTACCGCATACCGACCTTTCCAAAGTAACCAGGATGGTACTTGTCCATGTTGGTCCTGTGGTGGTGCTGACCTCCGGCCAAACCACGACCACCGGGATCTAGATTCCACAAAGATTCCATCAGCCTTTACCCGTGTCATTCAATTTCTCCAGCAGTTCATTTTCATCCTCGCGCCCGCCTCGTTCCTCCTCATGCCCCCACTTCCCAATTCCACCGTCCCAAAATAGAGTGTGTAGAAAACGTACGCTTGCGGTGCTTTCCGACACGACCGTGACCGGCACTGACGTGACCACGGTGCTTTCTCGTTTTGGTGAGTCTGGTCTATCAGGATCGCAACATCACAACGTCAGCGTCTCTGTCTCCGTAGCATTTTCGCAGTCGGTGTGATTTTGCATCGCGGGAAAAACGTACAGGCATGGCTCTTCCGGTTAGTGGTGGTTGTCGGAGGGAGGTTGTCGGGAAGGGGGTGGATTTGTCGTCCGGTCGTCGGTCGTCTCGTTTCGTTGGGGTCGTCGGAAATTCACTTGGGTGCCCCAGTGCGAAATGGGGATTGTGCGTTGAGGGCGAGCTAAAGACAGTCACGCCAAGCCCACAATGCAAAGGGTGCGTCACGTGGCTAGCCTTACGTGCGATCCCAATGCCACGGTCGGGAGAATTACCATGTCTATCTTCGGTCCGGCAGCACAGATTTCGTATTTCATGACAAGTGGGATGGTCACGGAAGCACGTGTTGAGATGCACAGAAAATCTACATCTTCGCGATAATCGTCTGATTGTTTGTTCGCAACCTCTGAAATTTGACAGAACGAAACTATGGAAGATATCTAGTCCCGAAACACGAAATAAATCTAGATCTATTTCGAGTTCTTCTCCTTACCCGTAGGAATACAGAAGAACACCGCAGGCTTTCCATCCTTCGCCGGCGCATCACACCTGTAGTAACCCTTGCGCTCAAACTGCAAGACTTCATCCTCCTTGACGTCGGCAATGTTGCAGTCGGCGACGGCGGTCTCCCTGAACTCAGTTGCCTTGTTGACGAACGCCTTGAAGTCTTCGTCCTCCTCGATCTTGTCCTTGGTGATCAAGTAGTCGAAGTCGACGAGCTCGACATCAACGAGGTTCTGGTCCTTAGCGAGCCATGTGACCTTCTTATCCGTCTTCTTGAAGTCTCCCTCGAGGTGAAGCTTGAGCTCGAGCTCGGTGACGTCGCCGGCAGGGTCGGGCCGCACAATCTTGGTGACGAAGGCGTTGCCCCAGCCCATTAGTGTAATTTCCTCACCTGCGCTGAAGCTGCGGGCATCAGCCTGCTCGAGCAGAACCGAAGAACCGAAGACAACCTTCTTCTTGCCGACAGCGTCGTTCTTGACGTGCTTGGGCTTGTCCTCAGTCACGGGAGTCTCAGGACCTCCAACGAGGTTCGCAGTGATCCTTGGAACGTTAGCTATAGCAAGTAAGAATGGAGATGAGCTAAAGCTTACAATCCAGATTTCAACAGAGCCGTGTGACGGGGGGAGACAGGGTCAATGACCTTCTTGTTCATGGCCCAAATGATGGTCCAGTCAAGGTTGACGACATTCTTGGAGGGTCCCTGAGACAGAATGAACTGCTTCAAAGCCTCGATGGTCATTCCACGTCTGCGGATACCGCGAACAGTCGGGAAACGAGGATCATCCCATCCACCGACAATACCCTCATCTACGAACCATGCCAACTTCCGCTTGCTGAGAACAGTCTTGATGAAGTTGAGCCTGGAAAAGTCCCAGACGTGGACCTTCCTCAAGTTAAGAGCATCCAGGAACCACCAGTACTGGGGGTTTCGGTCACGGTACTCAATGGTCCTGAGCGCGTGTGTGACACCCTCAAACTCGTCAACTAGAGGGCAGGCGAAGTCGTAGGTGGGGTAGATCTTGTACTTATCACCAGTACGGTGATGAGTCGCGGGGTTGCAGCGGTAGATGACTGGGTCACGCATGGCCTTGTTGGGGTTGTCGACAGACATCTTAGCGCGAAGGCAGTTCTTGACACCCTAGAATCATAGTGTATTAATACGCTGGATTGTATATTGACAGAGAGAGATATTACCTCCTCGGAGGCCTTGGCCATCTCCTCGAAGATGCGCAGGTTCTCCTCGATGCTTCGCTCCCTGTTCTTGCTGGCGATACCGTCCATTCGCTCTTTACGCATCTAGTGAAGTCAGCGACAGCACAAGCTCTGGTACAGGATATTCCGACCTGCTCCTGAATAGTATCGTCACAGTAGGCTTTGCCCAACTTGATTAGTTTGATAGCCTGCTCGTAGAGCCGGTCGAACGAGTCACTGGTGTAGGTAATGACATCTCCCTTGATGCCCAAAAGCTCAAGATCTTTCAAGATGCTGTCCTGGAACTCCTGCTTCTCCTTCGAGGGGTTGGTATCGTCGAACCGAATGATCAGCTTGCCCTTGTAGTGCTCAGCAAAGTATTGGTTAAGCATGGCAGCTTTTGCGTGACCAATGTGAAGGTATCCCGAGGGCTCCGGAGGGAATCGTGTCACAACACCCTTATCGGTGTCCAACAATCCAATCTCAAAGTTCGACTCCTTGCTCTTTGTCTTCTTCTTGGACGACAACTCCGCCTTGAAGTCCTCAACTACGCGACCAATCCTGTCGATTGCGCTGACGTACTTGAACCATCGGACCAGGTTCGGCAGGTGGTTACGCTTGATCGCGGATATAGCCTGACCGTTGGCACTGAGCGCACCGTAGACGGTGATATCGGCGATGGTCTCAGTGTATCCGACCAGGAAGGTGCGCAAACTGAGGTGGTTGTTGAGCTCCTCGAGAGCAGCGGAAGTGACCTTGAAGTCCTTTCCGCCGAGACGAGTGAGACCGAAGGTAACCCAGTGGTTCTCCTGCGCCCAAGTCAGCGAGATGAAGAGTCACATACACTCCGGCTCAAATACCTGCTCCTCGCTGGCACCACCGAGGATCTTCGGGAATGATGCCAGAAGCTTCTTGAGAACTGCTTCAGCTCCGTAAATTACCTCCTCGGCCTCGAACTGGATTCCGATGGTAGATGCCTTGTTGGATTTGTCGAGAAATTCGGCATCCTCGAAGGCGACGGCGACGGGTGTAACATCGAAGGAAGCATGCGTGTTGACTACATTGCTAGCGATGAGCGCTGGGTAGAGGTCGGCTTGGGGCGCCTGGTTGTAATATCAGCTATTTGGCTCTGTACATAACTCTTCTCCGGTTGACAGACCTTCTGAGCGACAAGGAGATTGAACTGCAACATGGTGACGTTGGTTGAAGTGGTGTTGTCGATACTGTCCCGCTCACTCTTGGTGGGGCTCAACGTTGCCCCGCTAAAGGCCCATTGACTCAACCCGCACTTTGCCGCATGTGGATAGCTAGCAACTCTTGGCGCATGTGCGAGTCGCGAAATTTTTGGATCTGAGAGAAACCCAGCACTTAATACGGATCCTGAGATCCACCACCACCGCGTATTTGAACTCCAACAGCCACCACCGCAACCATGGCTATCCAGAAGAAGGTATGCTACTGCCCTTTTATTCTACTGCTTCAACTATTCTGGACACCTTCTAACGGCATGAAAATAATAGCATGGTAAAGGTCGTCTCGACAAATGGTACGCCTCCTCCGAATCCATTTTTTCGCCTCCACGAAACTCCAACTTCGCATCCGTGTGCTGACCTACTCGCAGGTACAAACTTGCCAAAGAGAAAGGCTACCGCGCGCGTGCCGCCTTCAAGCTGATCCAAATCAACAAGAAATACAACTTTCTCCAGGACGCCAAAGTATGTGTCGATCTCTGCGCGGCGCCCGGATCGTGGTGTCAGGTGGCGGCCGAAGTGATGCCGGTGAACTCCCTGATCATTGGAGTCGACCTGGCGCCCATCAAAGCGATCAACAAGGTCATCACTTTCCAGAGCGACATTACCACTGAAAAGTGTCGGGCTACCATTCGGGGACATTTGAAAACTTGGAAGGCCGATGTGTTCCTTCACGATGGTGCGCCGAACGTCGGTACCGCCTGGGTGCAGGATGCTTTCACACAGTCGGAGCTGGTGCTGCAGTCGCTTAAGCTGGCAACAGAGTTCTTGATGCCAGGCGGCACTTTTGTTACGAAGGTTTTCCGCTCGAGAGATTTCAACAACCTGATGTGGGTGTTCAACCAACTGTTCAACAAGGTCGAGGCTACCAAGCCCCCGTCGTCGAGAAATGTCTCGGCCGAGATCTTCGTCGTGTGTCGTGGCTACAAGGCACCCAAGAAGATCGACCCCAAGTTTCTCGACCCGCGCACTGTCTTCGAGGAACTCCCCGATGCGGCGCCCAACAACGAAGCGAAGGTCTTCCAGCCCGAGAAGAAGAAGCGTCAGCGTGGTGGTTACGACGAAGGCGATTACCTGCAGTTCAAGGAGGCGCCGATCAACGAGTTCATCGAGACTACGGATCCCATCCAGATGTTGGGTTCGCTCAACAAGTTCTCTTTCGCCGAGAAGGCTGATGGTGATCTTGCGATTGCCGCGATTTCGAAGCTCCCCGAAACTACGCCCGAGATTATGGCGTGCTGCGAGGATCTTCGGGTTCTGGGAAAGAAGGATTTCAGGAAACTGCTCAAATGGCGATTGGCTGTGCGAGAAAAATTTGGTCTAGTGGTCAAGAAGGCGGTATTAGTCGAGGAGGCTGAGGTTGAGCCCATGGACGAGGAAATGCAGATGGAGACCGATCTCCAGCGTCTCAAGGAGCGCGAGTCTGCCGAGAAGAAGAAGACCAGGCGGAGAGACAATGAGAAGAAGCAGAAGGAGATCGTCAGAATGCAGATGCACATGGGAACTCCGATGGAGATCGGTATGGAGCAAGACTCTGGCTCGATGTTCGGGCTCAAGGGTGTGGACAAGGCAGGCCCGGACGCACTGAAGAAGATCGCCAAGGGGAAAATGAACATCGTTGTGGAGGAGGAGGGCAAGCCCATCCACAAGGATGTGTATTTGGGCGAGCTGCTGCCAACTGCGGAAGATAGTGAGGATGAGACGGAGAACCGGCTGGAGGAGGAGTTGGATGAGCTGTATGTCTTTTCTACGTCTACTGCTGCGCTGTGTTTACTGACATCCAAATAGCTACGTACGGTACCAGGAGCGAAAAGCCGAATCCGACGCCAAATTCAAAGCCAGAAAGAACCGCAAAGAGCACGAGGACGGTGAGTGGCTCGGACTATCCGACGGTGAAAAGAGCGAGGACGACGAGGAGGTTGTGGAACATGCGCAAAGCGACGACGATGAGAGCGATGATGAGGAAGATAGCGAGGGGAGGGTGCTCCTCAAGAAGCTGGACGGCTCAGAAGTTAAGGGAGAGGATGGTCTCAGCAAACGGGCAGCGCTATTCTTCGACCAAGACATCTTTGCCGGGATTGACGAAGAGGAGGAGGAGGGTGAGGAGGAGGATGAGGCCGACGATACGTTTACTGGTTTCGACAGCGAAGGTGAAGATGAGGTAGAGGGAGAGGCGGGTGATGTTGAGATGGGAGATGCCGATGCTGTCAAGGTGGACGATGAGGAGGAGGAGGAGGAAGAAGGAATCGAGTTCGTCAAGACACAGAAAGAGGAGAATTGGGATGCCGATGATGAGCCCATGAAGAACGGCCGACCTGGTATATTCACCATCGCTCACTCTCTTATTACAACTACTAACAAATTCCAGACATCGATATCATCACTGCCGAAGCCATGTCTCTCGCCCAACAGCTCGTCACAGGACAAAAGACCAAACACGACCTCATCGACGATGGTTTCAACAAATGGTCATTCCGAGATCGCGACGGCCTCCCCGAATGGTTTCTCGACAGCGAAGATAAATACGCCAAGCCCATCAAACCCATCACTGCCGCTGGTGCCGCGGCCATCAAGGAAAAGATGCGCGCGCTCAACGCCCGACCTATCAAGAAGGTAGCCGAAGCCAAGGCCAGGAAGAAGTACAAGGCCGTGCAGAAGATGGAGAAGCTCAAGAAGAAGAGTGCCCTGCTCGCCGAGGACGAGGGCTTAACGGAGAAGGACAAGGCTCAGACTATCACCAAGATGATTGCCAGAGCAGCCAAGAAGAAGCCGAAGCAACAGGTCAAGGTTGTTGTCGCCCGCGGCCTCAACAAGGGACAAGGACGGCCCCGCGGTGTCAAGGGAAGATACAAGATTGTAGATGCCAGATTAAAGAAGGATGTCAGGGCACAGAAGAGGACGGCGAGGAAACTGAAAAAGAGGTAGTCTTCTCATCTTCTTTGCGGCTTGTAGTTGGGAGGGTGGTTTTGTTTTGTATCTGTATAATCAAAAGCATTGGGTTGGGTTAGCCTGTTAGGAGTACACCGACGCCGTTTGGGCCACTGAAGACGACTGTTTCGCTGGCATTGTTGTTTGTGAGGTTTTGTGATTGGCATTCGTAGAAATCACAAAGATAATAGCATGGAGACAATGTATTGGGTGGAAACAAGGAACTTTTCCTCAGCATAAAAAGGTCTACCTATTACATCTCTGCTTGGTCCAACATGCTGGCTGTGACTCCATAAGTTGAGCTGTTGTGCTTTTGGGCTGTAGGGGTCGTGCGTCATCAGAAGCATAATTCGCGTGTTGCAGCACACTGTAAATCAAGAGGCAAACATTAAAGTTGTGCGAAAACCGTGTGATGATTCTCGGCGAAGATGACAGCAGAGGTTCCTACGGTTCGTACGTAGGTCGGTTACTCGAGTCTCGAGTCTCGAGCACTATGTGAGACGGGACGGCCCCACCCACAATCCATGGTGCTAGGATTTATCTGGCTGCATCGGTCAGGCTGCATCGGTCGGGCCTCAAACCCCCGCTCACCTTCCCCCGCGCTACCCAAGATCCACGATCCCCCGTCAACAGCAACTGCAACAGCAACTGCAACAGCAAGCACGACCACAACAACGGAACGCTCAGACGACTCTTGACTTCTCTCGTTCCATTCTGACTCCACAATAACTTAGCTACGTCCGCATGGTACGTTCGTTGGCGGCCAGATATTCATGCCTCAGACTGATCTCGAGCGCAATCTTTAGAGCTATAATTCCTCTCAGCGCACTGCGATCCAGCAGTTCATCGCCTTCACGCAATGTTCTGAGCGTACGGCCGCTAAAGTTCGTTCTTATACCTCTGTTCCCCCGCGAGGTCCAGTCCTGATGAGATTTGGCGTCCCCAGTTTTTGAAGTCGAGCTCGTGGAACGTCGAGGCCGCCGCCGACTCGTAAGTCGCCCATTGTTTCCTTGTTGCCTCATCACCTGGCCGGATGCTTTCGTTAGGGAAAAGCCAAATCCCAAGCTACCTTGCGATGGAACCATACTTTTCCACGCCGCTCACTGCCTCCTCCTTCGCCACCCACGTTCAGTGAACTCTGGATCATGCCGAAACTACGCAAGCTAACAGAATCTTGTGAACAGATACTTCCAGGCTTCCAACTCGTCGTCTTCGGCTGGTACGACAGGTGGCGCCGCATCGAGCAAAGCAGAGCTCAACAAGCTCTTTGACCAATTCCGAGGTTCATTTCCCCCGCTCCACGGTTTCGGCACACAGGATAATCTGACCCGCCACGCCGCTGCTACCACCGATAGAAGCCGGAGATGCCCCAGATACCTTTGGAGTTAATGGTTCCATAAAATTTCTGGAGGCAATCGGTGTAGGGTTGGACGAAGACACGGTGCTGGTCATCTCCGAGTTCCTCAAAGCGCCCATTATGGCCGAGTTCTCACGGGAGGGCTTTGTGACCGGCTGGCAATCACTGAAGCAAGCCCATCTTCAGTCTTTCTGTTTTCCGGGAGTCGCTAATGCCCTCGCAGCTGCAAAACCCTCGACCAGATGCGAGCGCGTGTACCGGCACTGCGACAATTACTCGGCACGGACGAAGAAGTCTTCAAGCGCGTCTACATGCACACCTTTGCGCTCGCACGAACGCAAGGCCAAAAATCGCTGCTCCTCGAGACGGCGATTGAGTACTGGAAACTACTGCTCAACAAACGGTTCGAGGCGCAGCTGCCGGTGTGGATTGAGTTCCTACAGAAAGAGTACCGGAAGTCGGTCTCTAAGGATACATGGAACTGCATGTATGACTTCATACAGCTGGCGCAGAAGGATCCTGGGTTGAAGACTTATGATGTTGATGGTTTGTTGTTTTGTCTGTACCCGGGAAGCGGAGGGAGTAACGCTGACGGTGCTGTTGCAGGCGCCTGGCCCTCGATTCTTGACGATTTCGTAAGGTACTGGAGAAAGAGGCACCCTCAGGCCGAGCCGACGGATGGAGATGCGATGGAGTAATGCGTGGTGTCAGTTTTATGAGTCGGGGGTGTCTCCCAGATCAAGTGTAAGAGTACACCTTATGGGGCGGGGATGCTTATGAGCTATAAGCTACCACCCAGTCACGGATTTCCTTCCCATTCGCTTTGCATTGCCTTTGTTGAGTTGCTGTAGGTAGGTCTTGAGGGATATGCCTGCAAGCTAAATAGAGGTGCTTCATTTCTTTCTTATTTCCTGCATTCTGCATGCACTTATGTTGCTGGTTTCATTGGCAGAGGGAGCGGAGGAGGAATAGGAGGGTAATAGATTATCATACTTGCCAATCTCACGATTATCAGAGGCTTCGTGTATGGACGCCCTTTGAGCCAAAGGAGCTCGGGGATCGTCCAGTGGACGGCATGCGCTCGGTAGTGCTTCACAGGGTCTCACTCGCCGGTGATCTCTTAGCTTATCTCATCAGCCACGTTCAAATCTGTCCATGAATCCACGTAGCACGCACCGCGTCAACTTACCCGCCGCCGAGCTCGCACCACCGTCGACAACCAACACCACACACATATACACTCAATGTCGACCGCCTCCTCGCCGCCACCGGGGCTCACACCCGTCTACACCAGTTACATCGCCGCCCGCCTCGCGACGCACCAGGGCACCGCCGCGCCCAATTCCTTCCTGGCACGGAACCTTGTACAGATTGCGCGCGCGCAGCCAGGGCCGAAATCGTTCCTCATCGCGTGCAAGGCGTTCGGGCGCTACGAGGATGACTTCCTGACGGAGTTGTTTGATGACGTCAAGACGCGCGAGAGGTGGGATGAGGACCACGGAAGGAAGAGTGATCTCGGCGCTGGATTGGCGCTAGGCGGTGGTGAGAGGCCCGGGGAAGATGCGGGAGAATTGAAGGGTGGGTTGAATGTGGCGAGGAAAGATGCGGGGGAGAAACAGCTGGAGGGTGAGGGCGAGAAGAGGAGTAAGCTCGGCCTTGATCGGTTGGCCAAGAGGATTAAGCTCGATCTGGCGGTTGCGGGGGATGACGGTGAGGAGGAAGGGAGTGCGACTGATGCCGCGAAATCCATCGCTACCGGGAATGAGAAGGTCGAGTTCAAGAAGCCGGCATTACCCATTGGCCGCCATATCCGCGAACGACGGGTCGAGACGCCATCGCACGGTGGGGGGTTGTCGCGTGCGGCTATGGAGAAGCTTCAGGCGCACCGGGTGCGACGGGGTGGGGCGGATAACTGGCGGGATGATCAGGAGCGGGAGCGGGATGACCGTGGGGGGCGGCGGGGGGATGTCAGAAGCTCAGGTTCTCAAGATCTACGTCGGAGTGATCCCACACCTGTACGACCGCCAGACACGAGGTTTGCGAACGCACGGCAAAGTACGGCGAGGAGCTCACGGATGGGCGCGGCGACGCCACGCATGCCTTCGTCGTTTGATCGCGATCCGGAGGATGGACCTATGGCGCCAGGAATGGATGATAATACTCTCGATAGGGATTGGTATGCGTCGGATGAGCTAGGGCACGCCTTCGGCGATGAGACGCATAATCCCTTCGGAACGGATAACACCTATGCGGACCAACAGCGTGAGCAGGCGTTGCTGGAGAAGAAGCGCGGCAAGAGGATTTCTGCCAGGGCGCAGCAGAAAATGAAGGACGTGGATGCTTGGGAAACTAATCGGATGCTCACGTCGGGAGTTGCGCAGCGCATGGATTACAATGATGATTTTGACGACGAGGAAGAGGTGCGAGTGCATCTCATGGTGCATGATCTTAAGCCGCCGTTTCTGGATGGAAAGAGGATTTTCACGAAGCAATTGGAACCGGTGCCCGCTGTTAGGGATCCCCAGAGCGATATGGCCGTGTTCAGCAGGAAAGGCAGCGCACTTGTCCGGGAACGACGTCAACAAAGGGAACGACAGAAGCAGGCTCAGGAGGCGACAAATGCTACCGGAACTGCACTCGGAAATATCATGGGCCTGAAGGAAGAAGACACGGACAGTGCCAGCGCCTTAGCAGGGGACTCAGCTGCTGGCGATTCAAAGAGCGGAACTAAATTTGCGGAACACATGAAGGAGCACAAACCAAATGAGGGGGCCAGCGATTTCAGTCGCACGCGGACTCTGAAGCAACAGAGAGAGTATCTTCCAGCGTTTGCTGTGCGGGAAGAGTTGCTGAGGGTCATCCGGGACAACCAGGTGATCATCGTCATTGGAGAGACAGGTTCGGGGAAAACGACGCAGTTGACGCAGTTCTTATACGAAGATGGATATGGCAAGATGGGCAGGATAGGGTGCACCCAGCCTCGAAGAGTTGCGGCTATGAGTGTAGCAAAGCGTGTCAGTGAAGAGATGGAGGTTAAGCTCGGTGGTATCGTGGGATATGCAATCCGTTTTGAAGATTGCACGAGTGACCAGACAGTAATCAAATGTGAGTCTCCTCTTCATCCTCCCCTAATAGCAACTGCTGACATGCACCCGTAGATATGACTGATGGTGTTCTTCTCCGTGAATCCCTCGTCGACCCAAATTTAGACAAGTACTCTTGTATAATCATGGACGAAGCCCACGAACGTGCCCTGAACACCGACGTCCTCCTCGGCCTCTTGAAGAAGATCCTAGCCCGCCGCCGAGACCTCAAGCTCATCGTCACCTCGGCCACCATGAACGCCGAGCGCTTCTCCCGCTTCTACGGCGGTGCTCCCGAGTACACCATCCCCGGCAGAACGTTTCCTGTAGATGTCCTCTGGGCCAAATCACCGTGCGAAGACTACGTCGACTCTGCCGTAAAGCAAGTCCTCACCATCCACCTCGGCCAAGGGCCAGGCGATATTCTCGTCTTCATGACGGGTCAGGAGGATATTGAGATTACGTGCGAAGTAATTGCCGAGCGCTTGAAGCAACTAAACAACCCACCAAAACTAAACATCCTCCCAATCTACTCGCAGATGCCGGCGGACCTGCAGGCGAAGATCTTCGAAAAGGGAGAAGGCGGGGCTCGGAAAGTTATCGTAGCCACTAACATCGCGGAGACGAGTTTGACGGTCGATGGTATTATGTTCGTGGTCGACGCGGGGTTCTCGAAGCTGAAGGTGTACAATCCTCGTATGGGAATGGATGCGCTACAGATCACGCCGATATCGCAGGCGAACTCTTCACAGCGTTCCGGAAGAGCCGGTCGTACCGGGCCCGGAAAGGCATATCGACTGTACACCGAGCAGGCTTTCCGGAACGAGATGTACATCCAGACCATCCCCGAGATCCAGCGGACGAACCTCGCCAATACTGTTCTGCTGCTCAAGAGTTTGGGTGTCAAGGACCTGCTCGAATTCGACTTTATGGATCCTCCGCCGCAGGATACCATCACCACGTCGCTATTCGATCTATGGGCCCTGGGAGCACTTGACAATGTCGGCGAGCTCACCAAGCTCGGAAAAACAATGGCCAACTTCCCAATGGAGCCGTCGCTTTCAAAACTCATCATCACTGCCGTCGACGACGGCTGCAGCGAGGAAATGCTCACCATCGTGTCGATGCTGTCGGTCCCTAGCGTCTACTACCGTCCGAAGGAGCGCCAAGAGGAGTCCGACGCCGCACGCGAAAAGTTCTTCGTTCCTGAATCCGACCACCTGACGCTGCTACATGTTTACTCGCAGTGGAAAGTGAACGGCTACTCGGATCGATGGTGCGTACAACACTTCTTGCAACCGAAGGCGCTACGTCGGGCGAAGGAAATCAGACAGCAGCTTGCCGATATCATGAAGTTTCAGAAGATGGAGCTCAACTCGTGTGGGACTGACTGGGACGTCATCCGCCGGTGCATCTGCGCCGGCTACTACCACCAGGCGGCGAAGGTGAAGGGCATTGGCGAGTATATCAATCTCAGAACTAGTGTCACTATCCAGTTGCACCCCACGTCCAGTCTATACGGACTCGGGTACCTGCCCGATTATGTCGGTAAGTCACATCGTGCCGTCCCCGCACCTTTCCCTCTAACTAACACTCACATAGTCTACCACGAACTCATCCTCACCAGTAAGGAATACATGTCCACAGTCACGGCGGTAGATCCGCAGTGGCTCGCGCAACTAGGCGGAGTATTCTACTCAGTCAAGGAGAAGGGCTATTCTGCGCGCGATCGGCGGACCACGGAGAACGAAATTAACAAGCGCATGGAGATCGAGGCGAAAATGGCGGAGGATAAGGCTCGCGCCGAGGAGGCAATCAGGAATGCTGACATCGCGGCGGCCGCAGCGGCTGTTGTGAGAAAGCCGACAAGTGTGGTGCAGAAAAGGATGGCTACTGGGAGTAGTGTCGTCAAGAGGCCGAATACGCCGAGTATTGCAAGAAGACGCGGGTTTTAGGTGTACATTGGCGGTTGCTTGGAAGGTGTTTTCATAGTATGATACGGCGCATGGTGTGCGATAGATAGGACGTTTTGCATTAGGTGTTTTTCAAAGATTGTCGGTCACCCAGAGAATTAATTGAGCCTTGTGAACTTTGAGGAAGTCATGTTTAAGCTTTTTTTTTGAAAGAAGTGTTTGTCCAAAAACAGCTTGGTAGGTGCGAACCTGACCTTAGTTGACAGGGGTAGCGGAATGACGTAGTGGAATCTGGGGAATGCGCGCTGGTGGTCTTCATGCTTCTTTAACACTAATCCCTACCTATGCCACCTTCCTTTGCCTCTTTCATTGTTTCCTAACCCCCGAGCAACAGCTTGCTCAATCAGCCACAATGAGCAGTCCGCACCGCCTCCCACCGCCATCCACCACGTCCTCCGAAGCCGGAGACCACAAGCCGTACACGCACGACGACTCATGCATCCAAGTGCGCTTCGACCCGCAGTTCCGGACGTCGCACCGGCGCAAAGAATCGCTGTCGGGCACACTCACTGCCAGCAGCGGCGGCAGCAGCGCGTTCCTTCACAAGATTCTCGGAAACTGGGATAGTCTCCGGGACGAGGAGGCGACCAGCGAGGCGGAGGATGAACATGAAGGCGTCCATGCGGGTTACTTGAAGAGTATGACCAGGAGCCAGCTGCATGATATGGTACTGGGGCTGAGGGAAATGGGGAGGAAGTACGGTATGTGCCACTGCGTGAGAGAGTGGGAGAGGGGCGAGGGCTGGTGCTGACGCATGGTGGAATAGCCAATGTTCACCTCCACATGAGGGTTCGCGAAGTATTTATTCTTACCAAGCCGTGGGATACGAGCCTTGCGGTGCACACAAGACAATTGGCGAAGTGGCTGCTCGAGAACGGGTACAACGTGTATGTCCCCACGCTGCCCCCATCTGTGTGTGCGGCCTGACTCAGGCAAGCGCAGATATGTGGAAGATACTTTCCGTGACAACGCACGTTTCGACGGCGAAGGGCTCGTGATGGAGGTGGTGGTGCAGGATGGTACGGAGCTGGGGAAGCTGGGATATTGGACGCAGGCAATGTGCACGGATAAGCCCGGCGGCTTCGATTTCGTGTTGACGGTGGGTTGTGGCGGTGATTGAATACTTGCCGGTGATGATTTGCTGATTAGTGGAATAGCTGGGAGGTGATGGGACAGTGCTGTATACCAGCTGGTTGTTCCAGAAGGTCGTTCCGCCGGTGCTCTCGTTCTCCTTGGGATCGCTGGGATTCCTGACGAAATTCGATTTTGCGGATCATCCAAAGACGCTATCGCGCATGTTTGGCACAGACGGAGTGACAGTAGGGCTGCGAGTACGCTTCGAGGGTGTGAACACACCCAGATCCGCTCCATCTCCCTCCATACTGACTCGACGCAGGAACTATAATGCGCGCCATTCCCCTCGGCGAAGGGGAGGAGAAAGAGAAAGAACGCAGTCTCCGTGTAGAGCTGCTGGAGCCTGATCACCACCCAGATACCCACCGTCCGGACTGCTCAGTGGTGGTTCTCAACGAGATCGTTGTCGACAGAGGTCCTAGTGCTACTATGACTACCGCTGAGCTCTACGCAAACGACGAGTTCCTCACCTCTATCGCTGCCGACGGCCTCTGTGTCGCCACCCCAACCGGCTCGACGGCGTACTCCCTCGCCGCAGGTGGGAGCTTGTGCCACCCGGCGTTACCAGGAATGCTAGTAAGTACCCCACCGTCCCCCCCATCTCGCCACCACACTCACCCACCCTTTTAGATCACGGTAATCTGCGCGCACTCCCTAACCTTCCGTCCTATCATCCTACCGGATAACATAGTCCTACGCATCGGTGTCCCCTACGACGCGCGCACCAGCTCGTGGGTAAGCTTTGATGGCCGACGGCGCACAGAGTTAAATCAGGGAGATTATATCACCATAGTCACCAGCCAGTATCCACTTCCGACGGTGCAGTACCGCATGGATAATAAGGACTGGTTTGATTCGATCAAGCGGACGATGAATTGGGGAGATAGGATCTCTCAGAAGAGCATAAGTTAGAACTGCTGGGATAGAGAGGATAGGATGAAAAGTGTACTTGTAGTATAGTTTGTGGAAGTACATAACGATTTTTTGATGTGATATGCTGGACGCATGAATTGTATAATTTTGTCTGGATACTTCCCAGTCTCTCGGGATGAACGGGTGATATGTGATGAGCATGTACCTACTGAGTTAGTCCATGGTGAAGTTTCCTACCGCACCGCCACAAGCGCCACCACTCCAATTTTTCCCAAACTTCCCGAGTCTGCACGTCATCCACCCACTACTCCACCCCACTTCACCCCCAGCACCCGGACACCCACCGCATCACACCGTCTTAGCAACAATGGTCAAACTCCACGAGGTCGAGGACGAGCACTTCGCCGAGGACCAGGTGGGCCCCAACAAGGACGACACCGACTACGCCGACACGGACAGCGAGATCACCAGTTCCGACGACGACTCGTCTGACGATGAGGACAACAACAACGACACGTTCGAGGAGACAATGTACGAGCGGCTCGTGGCGCTGAAGGACATGGTGCCGCCGAAGCACCGCGCGCGCATCTCGGCCGTCGCCAGCGGCACCTACAACCTCGTCTCGGCTGGCCTCCGCTTCGGCGGCAAGTCCCTGTGGATCCTGAGCACCAGCGCCATCATGCTCGGTGTCCCTTACGCCCTCGCCGTCGGCGAGGAACAGCAGATGATGGAAATGGAGAAGGAGATGAAGGCTCAGCAGTTGGCTAGCAGTGTACGTGTTTGACCCGCTCCCCCGCCGGGCATCCGGATCGCTCGCTGACTGACTCGTGCGATATAGGGCCTGTCCTCTGGTAACCTGATGGAGCAGATGGAGCAGCAGGGACAGCAGCAGAAGATCTAAGCTTGTGCGCTCGCTCTTTACCTGTCATCTTCAACTGTATATCAACCGACAAAACCTTCACTCTTGATCCTCATGGCTTCTTTGCCACTGTACATTTTCTTTGATCTTTTGCGTTTCTGGGGGGATTTCCTATAGTTTCGAATGGGGAGTGTGGTCTGGGCCAAAACATAGAAGTAAAGAAGGAGGATGGATGTGTGGTGGTGTTTGGCCAATCCATGTACTCTTCACTCACGGGGTTTCACGGTTGGGAAAAATGGGAATGCTTGACTGTCGCTAGTACAGAACTTTCAAAGGAGATGTGCCATGATACGAATGAACAATGAGATCCTCATGGTAGTAGTAAACAGACCCGCATTAAGTGCTTTCTTTTGTACACGATTCCAGCTGGACTTCCTCTCTCGCTACAATCACCGCCTGGCACCGGCTCTCTTAGCTTTGCCCGGCCTTGAAGCCGTCTTCTTTTTTCCACCACTTGAGCCGCCGAACGAGCTCTTGTTCTTCTTTTGCGAGAAGTCACCAAGATCGCCGCTCGACGATGCATCGTTGCTCTTGCCGTGCTTCTTCTTTCCGCCGAATCCGTACTTGCTGTCCCGCTTTTGCCTCTTTGCGCGAGACTTGTCGTCGCTGCTTCGGTCGCCCTTCTTGCGCTTTTCGCGGCGCGGCTCATCCTTGGTCTGCTCGTCAAGCGCAATGTCGAACATGTCATCCTCCTTTGTGGTCTCGGCGTCGGTACCCGCTCTCTCTGTGATCGAACATGTCAGCGCTGGTCCACAGCATTTCGCTCGTCCTCTTTTTGTGGGGACTTACTCCGCTTGAGGATCTGGATCTTCTCCATGGATTTCTTCTTTTCCTTCTCGCGCTCCTGAAGCTTCGCCACCTGCACCTGCTTTCCGAACTTCTTGAGATCGCGGAGTTTCCGTGCCTCCTGGGATCTCTTTTTCCGCTCGGCCTCCTCCAGCAGCTTGCCCTTGACCTTGCCCATGTGCTCGTCGTCCTTCATCATCTCGGCGAAGTAATCGACGGGCCTCACGAACGGCACCTTCTCCTGCTTGAGGAGTAGGCGACCCAGCTTGGCAGCCTCGAGCGCCTGCTTGTAGAAGGCGAGCTCGCGGTGCAGATCATCGTCGATGTCGGGGATCTCGATCAGTTCCGGCGCCGTCAGAGATTGGTGCTCGACAAAGGGCACGCCGGCGATCGGAACGGCGATCCGGTTGCGCAGGCTGGTCAATGCCGCGTGGTTGTCGATCGTGAGCTTTTGGTGCGGGATCACGTCCTCGAGGTCGCCTTCGTCTTCGATGTCGGAGAGGGCTACGTCGTCTTCGTCCTCCTCCTCGTCCTCCTCCTCGTCCTCGTCCTCTTCTTCCTCCTCCTCGTCGTCTTCCTCTTCGTCCTCATCCTCCTCTTCCTCAACCGGCGCCTTCTTGGAGGGCATAGTTCTGCTCTTTTGCACAACAGTCTTTCCCTTCAACGCCGCCGGGTCGGCAACAGTAACATCGACGGCGTCAGGCGCATCGTCGCTGTTCTCATCCTCCCAGTCATTATTACCCGCCGCGGCCTCCTGCTTTCTCTTGGTCTTGTTTCCGGCCTTGCGAGCGTCCCGCAGTTTCTTGTCTTGGATGGGATCCTTTCCGAGTTGGCGGATGAGGGCGGTTTTCTGCAACAAATTAGTCAAGCCAATTACGGGTCGAGGAAGAGGGAGTCAGCGTACCAGTTTGCTCTTTCCCATGGCTGCTGTGTTTGTGGTTGTTATTCGGAGAGGAGAGGCGCGGGTGTATGTATGTCAATGTAGGATTTGCACCCAAAGTCGCAGCGTGAGTTAAGTTGAGACAACTTTTTTGCGAAGACGCCAACCCGGATGCGGCGCGCGAACTCTTGGCGTCGTGCTCCCCGCCAACACTAGAAATTTCCCACGGTACACACACCACATCACGAAGCCCCCATCGCCGCCCGCCTGCCAGCCAGCCCGTCATGTCCGCCCCCACCACTCTCCGGCGGTGCCTCTTCCACCTCCCGCGTCTCCAACCCTTAGCCGCAAGGCGCTGGGCGTCCTCCGACCCCCCGGCCCCCTCCGCGCCGCCCGCCGCCGCCGCTGCCGCACCCGCCAAACCCGCCAACCCCGTTGACAGCGCGATGAGCAGCCTGGCCAGCTTCCTAGACAGCAACAACGCCAATCGGACGTCCTCCGCGCGGGCTGGCACCTCGGGTCCTGGCGCCAGCAGCGCCAGCATCAGCAGCGACAGCAGCAATCCCTCCCCCTCATCCTCGCCGGCGCCGTTCCGCGCAGCGCCATTCTCGCTATCGGGACTGGACCTGCAGGGGCTGTCACAGCCACCCAGCCTGGGCATGGAGGAGGAGTACCACCTGAATATCTACTCGCACAAGCACAACACGCACATTACGTTTTCGAAGCCGGGCAAGGACTCGATCGTCTCGCTGTCTGCTGGCAACGTCGGGTTCCGGAAAAGTCACCGCGGGACATATGATGCTGCCTATCAGCTCGCCGCCCACGTCTTCAAGCTTATCGAGGCGAAGAATGTTAAGCCAAGGAGTGTCGAGGTTGTACTCAGGGGATTTGGACAGGGACGGGAGGCGGTCGTTAAGGCACTCCTCGGACAGGAGGGGAGGTTTCTGAGGCCCGTCGTTAAGAGGGTTAGTGATGGCACTAGACTCAAGTTTGGTGGAACAAGGAGTAAGAAGATGAGGAGATTGGGTTGATCGATGAGATCGATGCACTGGAGACAGGGGGCGCGGGCCGAGAACTACTGTATTATAGGAGTGGATATCTTGCGGTCAAGATCTTTCTCGCTTGGAGATGGGATAGAGCTTTCTTGCTTCACGGAATATCACTACTTGTATATTTGCACCTGCACCTTTTTGAGATTCCCGGCCGGCTCTTGCTCGGGTGCCACTTGCCGCCAGTCCGACTGCTCAAGTCTGAGTCGAAGTCCAAGTCCGAGTCCGAGTCGGAGTCAGAGCTTCATCAATACCCTCCAGTCGTAATGAAGCACCAAGTAGTTCACTTTGCATGATCATAAACTCTCGGCTCACGTCCAGATCCCAACTCGACCACGAGCGACCCGAGTGATACCTAGTGAGCGGCCATAAAGCTTTGGAATCGTCGAACACTTATGTAGGAGGTATATAGTACTCCAGCCGCATGCTCGCTTTTCTCTTTACAGCGCGTTTCTGCCCATGCTCCATAATCTACATAACTGCACCATGTCCGGGGAATCGATCACGATCCGAGAGCACGAAGCGGCGGCAACGAGTGATAAGAATACCTGATACCTACCCACTGAGGGGATGGGGCACCAGAACGTAATGTACTTACCTTGATAATCGGGACCGTCGGCGCAAATTGTTCAAGATCCGGTCACTGTCAGAACTCAGCAGCACGGAGAGGATCAAGAGCCGTGGGGACGAAAACGAAGGGCCGACAAACACGGGAAATCCTGGAGAAAGAAGAAGCACGACCGAAACCCCAACCCAACCCAACCCAACCGAGGGTGCGGACTCGGTGTTGATACCTAACCAAGAAAATAAGTCGGACGCAGTGCCTCCGATAGTCCAGTCTCGTCCGTCTTTCGGCCAAAGTCGGACTGGACTGAGAGGTTCTGAGAGGTTCAGTCCGGCTGGAGGCGTGGATTGGACTGGACTGGACTGGGCAGTCTGCGCAACTGGTTGGGCTAGATGGACTGCAGTCGACTGGATGGACTGGTACATACTTTGAATGGAAAATGTTTGAAATCAGTAATGAACTTTTCGCACACGTCTATATCATAGTACAGCTATTGCAATCGCAAATCCTCCTCGCACAATGTATTGAGCATGCTTCATATTCTCCATCTCCTTGATATCGCCCTTTGTAGCAGCTACATACGAAACCATCTCGTTGCCAGCTTTTGAGACATTCCAGTGCCTCCAGTGCCTCCAGTGCGCCGTTACCCGTTCTACAGCGGTGAGAGAGAGATTTTAACCCCATCCCACTAAGAACTCGTTCCGGCTCTACGCTCATTGGCGGGAATGCTCAAATACCTACCTACTCGAGGGCTATTCTGGCAAGATCTTTCCAGCCTGGTTCATATGATTTATTCGCCCAGTACTGTACCACACTGTCGATAAAATCGTAGGGAGGCGGGTCCTGCTGGAAAACCTCCATAATATCTGTATTCAGACGGCGGTGGGGTAAGAGATAGAGAGCTGGCATGGAACGAAAAGAGAACACGTGATAGGTAGGTTGAAAGAGTTCTGTCCGCTAGCCACATAGTCCGACCCAAACATTTCAGAAAGTAGCAGTCTATCAGTCGACTGCAGTCCGAGGCAGCAAAATTTTGGGACGGATTGAACTCATACCGTCCTCCAGTCTTATGGACTGGACTGATGCAGTCCGTCTAGTCCAGACCGCCGTCCGGACTGGTCTATCGGGAGCACTGTAGCGGACATTGAGCGCTGAAAACTCTGAAGTACCGGTATATGTGTGCTTTGCTTGACTCTTTCTTCTCCTTGTCCTTGTCCTTCGAGTCGGAGTTCTCCTTCCAGAGATGCTTTGACCGGCACTCGAACTTCTTGTGTCCCTTCTTGCCGCAGCCGAAGCACTTGATGGTCTTAGAGTCTTTATCCTGATCTCCCCCGGAAGCCTTGCCTGAGCTTCCGGCGGTCTCTCCGCCCTTCTTCTCGGCCATACCCTTCTTCGCAAAGAGGGCGGTCGACAACTCGGTGTTGGTATATGCAGATACTCTACACCGTGCCGGTCCCATGCATATGAACGCTCGAACATCTGGAGCTGATCTAGGATCTTCTGGCAGCTTCCGGCACTTTCACTTGAGTTGAGACTTGTTCGAAAAAGCAAGCCACACATCACCCGTCGATCGGGAGTCCTTGGACCATGCATGTAGAACGCCAGAACCTTCTCTGGCAGCTCGGTGCCCACGTTGCGCAACTCTGTAGCTATCTCCAGAATTCGAGAGTGTTAAGCAGCCGCGCTGTCGAAGTCGGCTCCACCTGCGGATGGCGTTCAGCTCGTAGAGACCAACGTTCGCGTCGATCTTGCCCACCCGGTAGTTGAAGTCCTTCTCGATGTCCGTCCAGAGAACGTCTGGTGCCGAGATGTACTTACTTTTTGTCTGCATACCGCCTTCGCATGTACAGAGGGGTCCAGGGAACGTCGAATCTCCGCTGTGGCCATGTCGACCTTGTCGTTGTACATACGTGTCGCGCTGGATGAGGTAGCGACGGAAATCGCTCATGTAGACGGAGCCTGTATGTAGATTCGGGCGTCTCCTCGCTGTCGATCTGTTCGGTGCCAGCATGCAGCGGGTTCGGTCTTTGTCTTTGAGTTTGGTGTAGGCTTCCGGGGTGGCTTCGTGGTGCCCTGAACGATCCCCCAAAGGGCGCGGGTGAGGAGCTCGTCCCTGATGTATTCCTCCCACTCGGGATAGTTATGTTCTTTCAACAAAACCTGCTCCATTTTAGCGACCGTTCGTAAAATACCTACGGGGTAGTTGTTGACTTGATGAATACCCTAGCGAAGCAGAGGGCTCACATATAACCTGTTGATGCACGATCTGAAGGTGAGGTGCGCACGCGAGGGTTTGGGTGGGCGATACGATCAGAAGATGGTAAGAAGAAGAAGAAGAAGAAGATATAGTTGTTATGATTCTAGCTGAAGTTCTAGTTGTAAGTACTTGTAGTCGTCCCAGACGAACTAGAACCTTCCCTGTGAGCCGTGCATGAACCATCACTCGATCAAACACGCCGCTCCGACAACAAAGGCCCTACGGACCGCAACAGTATGTAGGTACGTAGAGTACGGTAGGTATACACTTCGAGCATCCGGCTATGTAGGCGTCTCGCGCTGACACCCAAGCTTCTTCTTCTTCTTCTTCTTCTTCTTCTTCTTCTTCTTCTTCTTCTTCTTCTTCTTCTTCTTCTTCTTCCTCGCAGCATCCGTTTCTCTCGCGCAGGGTATGTAGTGGTACTGGTACTGTGGTCAGCTGGAAATCTTGGTATATACTTCGGGAGATCTGTTCCCCTCACTCCGCGATTGTTTACTCTACAGTACCAAAGTGCCGGTTATCGTGGTGGGGTCGGCAGCAGGGGAAAGTGGCGGTTGGGTGTTGGCGGTACATACCGGTAGGTACTGAGAGACGCTTGACGGGTATCATACGAGTAACTGATGAACTGATTCAATTGACCACCTAGAAAGCAAAGCAACAAGAAAGAATACAGGTCTATGAACTTTTTTAGAGGGTATCTGTAGTGGTTGATAATATCAGACGAACAGAAAAGCAGCAACAGAGAACATTTCAATGTTGAGCGACCACAATCGGGTGTGCCCGCCATCACACCTTGGCCCCACCATACTGTACCCCAGCTCGCCCGCCGCTCCCCGCTCCCCGCAATACTGAGGCGCCTTTGCCCGCGAATGCCACAATACGGTACTGGTAGCTACGTCCTGAGAGAGAGAGAGCGAACATCAATTTACCGTCGCATACTTCCAAGTGAGTGCTTGGTCATACGTCCACTTCGGCGGCGGTGTTTACTAAAAACTGGTACATTACGGTACTGGACCGTATTTGCGCGAGTGACAATCAATGACAATCCAATGCGATGCAGCTCGCTAGTCTGGACGCGTGCGCGATTCGAGTGGGGAAGGCGCCGGTGCCGAGTGGAGATGGCCGAGGGAGCCGAGGCTGTGGTGGCTAGTGTCGTTCGTAGTTATGGTTCTTCGGCCCATGACAGCACCAGCCGCGGAAGCCTCCGCTCGCCGGAAGAAAAGCGAACAAGAAGAAGAGTGGGTGAGGGAAGAGTGAGACCATACACGAGGAAGCACAAGCACAAGCACAAGCACAAGCACAAGCCCAAGCACAAGCACAAGCAAGTATCTAAGCAAAACAAAACATCAACAACAACAACCCGACAAATCAGGAGCTGTGTTTTCCTGCCAGGTGCCTGCCAGCTCAGCTCTCTTCACATCCATCCATCCATCCATTGCCATCAGCCAGCCATCCACATATCCCCCTCCCCCCTCCCTCCCCCAGCCAACCTCCTCGCTCCCTCCACCATCCATCCTCTTCCTCCCCCGCCCCTTCCCACCCCGGCTATACGCACGACACACACGCACGCACTTGCCTGGCGTAGTTACATAGACTGCCTATTCGTACAAACCCGATCCTCGATCTTTTACTCGTCTGAACCTGAACTGATCCTGAACCCGAACCTGAACTTGAAAGCAAGCAGGAAGACCAAACGCCATCAGCCATCTCCTGGCTCCACTCCCCCCTTCCCCCTCCCCCCATCTCCCCCAACCAAATCCTCTTCTCCTCCTCCCTACCTTTCCCCGGCTCCGAATCAGATATATTTCCTATCAGCAGCAGATCAGCAGCTCGCGCGCACAGCCCAACCTCGCTCGCTCGCTCGCTCCGATCCTGCTCCTAGTCTGAGCCAAACCCGCCTATCCATAGTACCGACTGACCTCACCTTGCTCTCCACCACCTCCACCACCACTACCACCGATACCCCCCCAAAACCCCCATCGAACGAACGAAACAACCCAACCCCACGATCTGATCGCGCGTTCCATTATTGCTTGCTTCCATAACTTTTAGCACGATCCGTTCCCGTCTACCCTATCGCTAATCTCGTCCCAATTCCTTCCCACTGTACGGCCTTCCGCCAAAAAAGAATATCCTCATCTTTAAATCCATTTGGCGCCCAGTAATCCCATTAGCCTAGGTAAGTCCTCACTCGTATTCTGCTCTGCTCTGCTCTGCTCTGCTCTGCTCTGCTCTGCTCTGCTCTGCTCTGCTCTGCGTGTTGTGGTGGCGGCCCAATTCGTTTCGTTCGTTCGGTTCGGCACCTGCCCTTTCCATTGCCCGAGGTCGTCCACCACCCACATCGGCCCAGCTTACCTACTACACATACCACACACCTCCCACATACCTTACCCCTGAGCGCCAGGCGCCTGTAAACAAACACCACACACCAGCCTCTTTCCTCCCCACTTACATCGCTCGTTGCTGGCGTTTGCAAGTACCACATCGACTCCGATCGCTGACTTCCGACACCGACAACTCGACACAGATAACCTACACGCCACTACCACCACCACTAACCTCGCAACCTACGCGTCGCAATCATGAGCAGCGAAACTAGGGAGATCATCAGGCGGGAGACGAAGAACATCGTCTCCTCTGGTGGGGGGCGCGGTGGAATACGATCGCCATCCTACATCAATGTGAGTTGTCGCGCGAGAGCTTGTCGCGCTTTCCACGAGCGTCTGCTAACGATGCGATAATGTGCTAGGTCTATCTACGTGAGCTGCAGGACAATCCTCTGTAACCATACCCGATGTCGAAGATGAAGAAGAAGGTGCCCGACTAACTATCTCGCGATGCAGGCGGACCAAAATGCTCACGTCCGGCGCCCTTTCGGCTCTACAAGAAGTCCTCGCCTCGTTCATCGCCGGCGACCGCAACCGCCACGGCTCCTACTTCACGCCGCGCGTCCCGAAGATGGCCGTCTACGGCTCGCTGATCTCAGCGCCGCTGGGTCACATCCTGATCACTGCGCTCCAGAAGGCGTTCGCGGGCAAAACCTCGACCAAGGCCAAGATCATGCAGATATTGGTTTCCAACCTCGTGGTGTCGCCGATCCAGAACACGGTCTACCTCGCATGCATGGCGGTGATCGCTGGAGCGCGTAGCCTCCACCAGATCCAGGCGACAGTCAGCGCCGGGTTCCTGCCCGTCATGCGCGTCGCCTGGTGCACCAGCCCGATCGCGCTCATCGTGGCGCAGAAGTTCCTGCCGCCTCATGCCTGGGTGCCCTTCTTCAACCTGGTTGCATTCGTGATTGGCACGTACATCAACGCCACCACGAAGAAGAAGAGGATCGCAGCCATGAAGAAGAAGAAGGTGCGTGCGGGTGCCGAGGCGACCACCACTGCCCGCGTCGGGCATCAGAGGGTCGATATTGACAGCAAGCAGTATTTCGACAAGAAGGACGATAGAGACTACTATGTCCGGAAGGACTAGATGCTTCCTGCCGAGATACAGACTGACACCGATAATACAACATCTGTCTTGGCAACTTCGTCCTCTCACGCCATTTCTCTTTCTGATACCACCCCTAGGCGCGCGGGGGGAGGGGAGAGACTGTGCTGTGCTGTATGTTTTGGCTGTTAGTTTTGTTCTGTTGACTGGCTGGAGATGCTGCTTGCTGCTTGCTATATTACTTTGTTTTCCGTGTTGTCGTTTGTTTCTTTCCCATGTATGTCGGTGAATGGTTGTGTTTTTTCTTTATTGATTTGGCGGTGATATGCTTCAGATAAGGGTTGTTTGATTGTTTCGTTTGGACAGTTCGGTGGAGTAGGATGGAGAGGGCGGGAGTATAGGGTGGTTTACCGTTTACCCAGTGGTATGGATATCTGCGCCGGATGGGTGGAACTGATGGGAGGGAACGGAGGGAACGCAAGGGAGGAAACGAAGAAGTGTACGAGAGAAGAAATACGAAGAACCTGACGAATCTTATTTCTTTTCGCAAACCCGAAAAACACTTTTATCATGGCCATATAGAGTAACTCCAGAACGCCTCTCCCTCCTTCCCTCTTTCTCTCTGTCATAGATAGTATCCGTCGTCTCCTCCACCACCACATCACAGCACAACCGCAACCGCCTCCCCCCGTCCGTCCGTCTTCTTAACATTCTCAATCGGCGTATGCACAGTCGCCAGCGCAAGCGCCTCCTCAAGATCATCCTGCATCTTCTCGTTGAGTACCTCCCAGTTCCCCTGTCTTCCATCAGTGCCCATTCCCCACCCCCCTCCGCCCCTCCCCCCCACCCCCCGCCTGGATAGAGAACATACCCGCCTCCCCTGTACAACCCTAGCTTTAACAAAACTCTCCTCCCTCTTCGCGGCGAGCTTTTCTGTCGCTGCCTCGGCGCGCTCGAGGGCCTTCGCCTTGCGCTCGCGCTGGTGCCGCGTCAGCGGCTTCGACTTGGATTTCTTCACGCCGTTGTCGACGGTCGTCGTCCCGGAGCGCAGTTGCAGGGCGGCAACTTTTTGGAGCGGTGGGGGCGAGGACGGGCGGGTTATGGTGGTGGAAAGGTCCAGGGGCGGGGTGGCGGCGCGCTTGAGGGCGCGTGTGCGCGGGGCGGTGGGGCGGGATTTAGCCATTCTGTTGTTCTGTTGGTGAGGGGGGTGAGGGGGGGGGGGGGTGGTTATGGGGGGGGTGGTTTGGGGGAGAAGGGTTGGTGGTGGTGGTGATTTTGGGGAGAAGAGTTGGTGGTGGGGTGGAAAAATGTGGTGAGGTTTGGTGGTTCGGTTAGTTAGCGGTGGATTGGATTGGGTTTCGCGGTTGGTCATAGGGGAGCACTCGGCTCTTGATACTTTTCTGGGGATTCTGGGGATTGGAAACTTGGAAACTTGGAAACTTGAGGCTGATGGGGAGTCTCCTACTGTTTGCCTCCTGGGCTTGGAAATCGGTAGCCGTTGGGAGTCTGGGAGTTTGGGACTGGGGACTTGTGCGCACTGCGTTCGAGGCTGTTGCTGTTGCTAAATTGTGCCTGGAGTCACTCGGACTCGGACCTGGATCTGCGCTGCGCTGGGCTGCTGGCCGGATGCGGTCCTGGCCTTAACCACCCCCGGGCCCAACTTCTAAGCTCGAACCTATACCTGAATTACACCTGCCTGTCTGTACCTGCACTTTGTACCTGACTTGACCGGACAGGACTGCGGTCTCGGTTTTTTTTTGCAACTCGTTGGAAGCTTCTGTCACCGCAGCAACGGGTACCTACCACCATCACCATCACCGCCACCACCACCCACCGTCCTCCTCCTGACGAGTTACAATTTACAACATCTCACGATGCCCCCCCCTTCGCCACCTCCCGCACAGAAGAGCCCCCCCTCCTCCTCCCAACCTTCCTCCCCCTCTTCCTCCCCCATCACCACCACCACCACCTCCTCCTCCTCCTCCTCCTCATCCTCCTCCTCGTCCTCCTGGGACCTAGACCTCACGCTTACCCTGGCGCACGACATCATCATCGCGAATCTGTACACAGCTCCCGCTCCCACCAGCACACCCACACCCCACACCACCTCCACGACCTCACCCACGGCGCCAATCAACCGCATCATGTGCACGCACTCGAGCGTGCGGCGAGCGTACCATTCACGCGATCCACGAACCACCCATGCAGGAGCCACCTGTGCAGGAGCCACCCGTGCAAGAGCCACCATGAGTGCAGGAGCCACCAGTGGGGACTGCGCACACTGCAACCGCGCGCACTGGTTCGGCTGGGTGTATGTATGCGACACCTGCGGGTACCGTGCCTGCCATAATTGTCGTCCCAGGCTGGGCGAGAGGTGTTGGGTGAGTTTTGGGGTATGAATTGGGTTTGGGGATGTGGCGGAGGGGAAATGGCGAGTGAGAGAGGGTGGTTGTGGCGTCACTGGCGTCACTGGCGTGGCGTGGCTACTCTACTCGGGGCGTTTTTGACACTGCTAGGTACTAACTGGCGGGTTTGCACGGGTGTTGCACTGTTGCGGGGTTTCGATACCTATTGTTATCTGAGGTGGATGAGTACCGAGTCATTATTGTATTGTATTGCTGATCGCTGAGAGTGAGTACCGGTCCGGTTTTAGAGTAGAATAGAGGTGGCGGACCGAGACGTTGTTGATACTCTAGGGCCGTCGAGGTTAATGGACAGTTTGATCGTCCTTTTTCTGACGAACGGACGGACCTCTTTCTTCAGCGCTCCAACGTCATCCGACCCTGCAGCAGCAGCACAGCCGGTGTGCGTTGAAGTCCAAAAGCCAGCCAGCCAAAGCGTCATTCCTCGCTAATCTGACGTTTGGCCATAATTCCATACATAAGCGCTCGAGGAGAATATAAATTTGAAGGAGAGTGCCGGAGGAGGGGACGGAAGTCTATTTGTAAGACCGGACTGCGGTCGGCAAGAAAAGAAAAGAAAAAGACCTTGGCAGGCCGCCAAGCATCACCAGATTTTCTACTCCACGCAGCCTGCATCCCTACCCGCACAAACTCTACTACTCCTCCTTCTCTAAACCCCTCACCCACCACCCACCCGATTACCACCCACCACCCACAAACGAAACAACAGCCTACAAAACACATCGTTTCTTTCCAGTCGCCCGTGAAACAAAATCACCGACGATATAAAACAGCAGGAACAGCGCTCCTCGATCGATCGTCTAGCCCCGCGCGCTCTCAGCGACCCGACACCATGGCGTCCCAATACGCTCCTCGCCACCAGTCTCGGTCAAGCACTCCCTCCTCCGTCGCCGCGAGCAGAGTCGACTCCGGATATGGCGGCTCCCTGAGCTCCGTCTCCGACGGCGAGATGACGATCCTCGATCCGTCGCTGCACAGATGTAGGCTCTTTTTCCATTCCGGGTGGCGTGTGAGCGGTGCGGGGCGGGGCACCGGACTGACGGACTGATGGACGGACGGACTGACTGTGCGTGTGCCTTCAGCCGAACATGAACGGAGACAATGGGCAAGCCATGTCAACCAACTTACATAGTACGTGTTTTGTTTGATGACCGCCGCCTCCGCGTGCTTGTGCTTACCGATGTCAAAAGCAACCAGAACCGTCTTGCGCTGGGGAGGTCTGTTAACCGGGCCGTCGACACGTTGAAGGTTTGTGTTACACATTTTCTTGTCTTTGTCTTGTCGCGACTTTTTTTCTTCCTTCCGGGTATCCTCGGCGCGGAGACTGATGTCCGGTGTGTGACTGCCTATAGGACTTCCAACGTCAGAACACGAAATGGCCCGCGCATTACCCCTCCGTCGAGAGACCGGAACAGAAACACGGCGGCCTTGTGCGCTCCCAGACGCAGAACTTCGTCGACGATTTCAACAATGAGGCCGGCCCCTCTTCGCGCCCGCAGATGCAGCGACGAGCCGCCACCAGTATCGACGGTTCCATGGAGCCGCAGGCGAAGGCGAACACACCCGAGCCGCGACTGGTCACACCGAAGATCGCCGAGGAGTTCAACGTGCTGAAGCTGGATCTGAAACTGGGGTCCGCGTCGCCGTCGGAGCTTGTGCACTCGCTTGAGAAATCGGCTATTGCGTCGTTGCTGGACGGGAAGATCTCGCAGAGCATCAAGCATCTGCTCGCGCTCAGGGAACGTATCGAGGATACGTCATCGAAGGTGCTGATCACCGGTGATGTCAACGCGGGAAAGTCGACGTTCTGTAATGCCCTCATGCGAAGGAGAGTACTGCCCGAGGACCAACAGCCGTGTACCAGCGCTTTCTGTGAAGTGCTGGACGCAAGAGATAATGGCGATGTCGAGGAGGTTCATGCTATCAAGGAGGGCTTCAAGTATAATCGCCACGATGAAAGTACATATGATGTCTTCCCACTGGAGGAACTCGAGGATATCGTGGTCGACAACGACGATTACAGCCAGGTCAAGATCTACGTGGACGACGTACGGCCGATCGAACAGAGCTTCCTGCGAAACGGCGTTGTCGACATCTCCCTCATTGACGCCCCCGGTCTCAACACGGATTCGATGAAGACTACGGCTGTGTTTGCGCGACAGGAGGAGATCGATGTCGTCGTCTACGTCGTTGCGGCGGAGAATCACTTCACCCTCTCGGCGAAGGAGTTCATCTGGAATGCGGCAAACGAGAAGGCGTACATCTTCATCGTTGTTAATAGGTTCGACAATATCCGCAACAAGGGCAAGGATAAGTGCCAGAAGGCGATTCTCGAGCAGGTTGCCGCCATGTCGCCACAGACGTACAAGGACGCACAGGAGCTCGTTCACTTCGTCTCTTCGAATGCTGTCATCGATGGCACCGACGCGGACAAGGTCAAGGACTTTGAGGCCCTCGAGGAGGCGCTCCGCAGCTTCGTCCTCGAGAAGCGCGCCAGGAGCAAGTTGGCGCCGGCAAAGACGTACCTGCTGAACTTGCTCAGCGATATCGAGACGCTCGCTTTCGTCAACAAGGAGATGGCGGCCGCGGAATTGGAGAAGATCCGCCAGGAGTTGGATCAGATCTCGCCTGCTTACGAGAAATTGGTCAAGTCGCGACAGGAGGTGTCTGACGATTGCGACAAGACTACCGAAGACGTCACGTCGGATGTGTACACCTACTCGAGGAATTTGGTGTCCGGAACGATATCCACTCTGGATGACAAGCCTGTGGTTACCTACTCCGGCCTCCTCAATGCCTTTGGCTATGCCGAGGCTACGAAGCAGGCTATGCTACAGCTAGTTCAGACTTCCGTCACGCAATCCGAGACGTACGCCAAGACGAAGACCGCTGCGAGCGTGTCTTCGATTGCGTCCCTCGGAGCCCTCCATCTCGGCGGCGAATACATCCACCGCGCCTTCCGTCCCGAATTCATGTTCTCCCGCAAGCGCGACCAGCTCAACAAGCAGGTCAAGGTTGAGCTCGACTACTCGGACTTCTTCGATATTGAATTCGCCACGCAGGAGAAGCAGATTGCCGGCGCGGGAATGTCGTTGACGCTCGCCACCGTTGCCACTTCGCAGGTCATGGGCATCAGCAGCTGGGCTGATGGACTCTGGAAGGCCGGGAACATGCTGGGCTTCCGGAACGCGAAGAAGCTTATAGTTCCCGCTGTCGTGCTGGCCACTATCGGTACTGGCTACTACCTCCTCTCGGATCTCCCCAATGCCGTGCCGCGGAAACTGGCGAAGAAGATCCGCAAGCAGCTGGCGGACATGGACTACGTCCACGTCAACGCCGAGCGCATCGCGAACCAGTGCCGCAAGGTGCTCAAGTTCCCGACCGAAGATCTCCGCAGCGGGTTCCAGCGCGGAATCGAGAAGCAGGGCAAGGCAGTCCAAGAACGCAAGGAAAAGCAGAAGGATAGCGAGGTCGCCGACAAGTACTTTGGCAACCTCCTGCGAAACGCGAAGCAGCAGAGGGCCGCCGTTAGCACGTTAGATCTCGAGCCGCATACGGTCCTCGATAACTCGCTAGAAGAACAGCAACAAACCGAGACCCAGCAGACACAACTGGAGTCGGAGAACCCGTTCGCTGAAAATTAGATGTTTTTTTCTTCTTTCTTCTTTCTTCTTTCTGAGATTCTCTTAATGATTGTTTTACTATTACTACTACTGCTGCTACTGCTACTGCTACTGCTACCACTCATGCGTGCTTCTTTTGTGTGTTCGTTCCGTCGCGTCTTGCATGCATGGTTTGGGTCTGGGGAATATTTTTGCTGTTCATACATAAAATTGTTGCTTTGAGTTTGGGGGGTCGTTTCGGGGTTATATCTTTGATTTTTTATTTCATTTTTCTCTTCTCTTTTCTTTGATGGCGGTGGATGGCGGTGGATGGATGGCGGTGGATGGATGAAAGGGGATGGGGATGATAGGGATGGGGATGAAAGCAAAGTTTAAGTCTGGAGTCTGGACTGTCCATCCATCTCTTTCTCTCTCTCTCTCTCTCTCTCTCTCTCTCTCTCTCTCTCTCTCTCTCTCTCTCTCTCTCTCTCTCTCTCTCTCTCTCTCTCTCCTTCCTGTGTATACAGTCGCTTATTTCTCTCGTTGTCTCGTTGTCTCTTCCCTTTTGGTTTGGTTGTTTCGTATCAGGTTTAAAAGATCTCTTCTCTCTTTCTTTTTTCTTTAGGCCCGGTTTGGTTCGCAGCTGCAGTTTAGAAATCCGCAGTTTAACGAGTTGAAGGTTGGCCAAGCTGCAGTTTCAAACCCTCAATTCCCCTGATGACCGTTCGGCAACCCAGATATGTATTCGACAGCACGCCACACTTGTACTTTTTATTTTTTGACTTCGGGGCTACGTCAGAAAACCATAACTAGCTTTATACAGCGACGAGGTGGCCCTTCCGGTCACTTAGGGAATGCCCCCTCCCATCTCACAACGGCGGCTCCTCCTCTGCGCCGTAGTTACCAGCAAGTGACTCCTCCTATTCACAGTCACAACGGAGGAACCGTAGAACGTGGCCGGTGTTGGACGTCGTAGGCGTAATGAAGAGGGACGATGGTGAGGTCGACTACGGTGGGGTTGACTACGGGGGCGATACTGGCATGTACTACTGGTGGTTGTCCATATGTAAAGTTTATTTGTACTTACTGTGGCTCAGTCGACAATATCTGCAGTTTCTCGAGTTGTCAACTTGGGGTGGTGTGCCAAACAGGCACTCATTCGGGGAAGTTGACGGTTCGAAACTGCAGCCTACTTTTGGTGTGGTAGATTCAAACTGCAGCTGCGAACCAAACTGGGCCTTACTCCTATGCGATGTGCGATGTGCGATATCTAGTACATAGATACAAAAATTTCTGTGTGTGTGTGGGTGTGCAGATTTTCTTTGTATAAATTTTTATCTATGGCCTGAGGCGCCTGACGGATTGGATTGAAGGGGATTGAAGGCAGCGCAGTGTGAAGCGCAGTGTCGTCCCAGCCATTTGTATTTCCGTGGACTGGCTGTGGGGGCCGCGTCCGTGTCCGTGTGCTGTGCGTGTGCTGTGCGCTCTGGCCTCCTCCTGGGCTGGACTGAAGGAGTCGCGGAGTTTAAATGTGATGATGTTCCACCGGATGGGATAACGGGACTGGAGTAAAGGAAAGCAGAAGAGATGATGTTGAAATCCCGGGGCCTGCCGCCCTTCGCGCTTTATCGCGACGTGCCGTCGCCCACCATTACGACATCATCGCCGCCGCCACCATCCCCCCTGGCCTCGCAGTCGTTCCCGTTCCCGATGTCTTCGCTGTTTTGTACCCACGACAACAACCACAGCAGCAACAACCATCACAACCACAAACGCGAGAACATGGCATCTCCGTTATTATCGTCCCGGGCGCCAGAAACGCCACAGATCATTCCGCCGACGCCCACGGGGATGACAACGACGGGCCTCGGCATCGATAGCGAAACGATGTCGCTGGCCACGGCGTTCCCGGCGTTTCATGCCGCCGCTGTGGCACCGGCGGAGAAACAGGCGAGCGCAGGCCCGTTTAACTTCCAGCCCATGGTCGCGAGCAAGTCGCCTATTATTCCCAAGCCGGTTCGTACTGTGGACAAGCTGAAGCTTCTCGGGGGTGGGGGATGGGGGGTGGAGGGAACCCAATGCTAATAGCTCGGGAGTGGTAGAACCAACGGCGCGGGCATAAATACAAGCACTCGTCCGTGTCTCACCAGATATTTCTCGAGCCGCCAGTCCGCGCGCCACTCACGCTCCCCGCCAGCCTCCCCATGCCGACGTGGAAAGAGCTCTACCGGTCCGTGTCATCTGAGCAGCGGCGCCGCGCGCTGTGGTGCATTGCGCACCTGGGCGTCGCCGCGTTCACGCTGTACTCCGCCGCTGGAAGCCTCGCCCTCACCGCGCTCAGCCACCTTATCATGTTTGATGCCCTCGGCGCAACGGTCTGTGCTGCCGTCGATGTGCTGAGCAACTTTGACGTCTGGAAGAGGAGCAGTATTAGACACCCCTTTGGGCTGGAGAGGGCGGAGGTCCTTGCGGGGTTTGCAATGAGTGTTTTCCTGCTGTTTATGGGCTTCGATATCATCAGTCATGGCGCGGAACATTTACTAGAGGGATGGTGGTTGGAGGAGGGTGAGGGGCATGTGCATGAGGAACATGTCGCGAGGGTCACCGCGGGCAGCATCGATGTGGCCGCCCTGGCTGCCCTGGCGGCGACAACCGTCAGCGCGCTGCTGTTGAAGAATCATGCGCGGATCGGGCGAGGTGTGTCCCCCCGCGCTGTGTTTATTACTCCACCAGCTATGCTAACAACTCTTAGCAATGCACATAGCAGCGCTCAGCCACCTGCCCTCGATCCTCAGCAACCCCTCGCACCTGCTCACACTCGCAACCTCAACTCTCCTCCTCCTGATACCTTTGCTCTCACTCCCCCAATCCTCATACCTCGACCGAGCACTGGCACTAACCATGGCCTTGTCGATGATCGCGATCGGCGCGCGGCTGGTGCGCGTTCTCGGTTCGATGCTATTGATGTCGCACTCTCGCGGCGCAGATGTGGTGCCCAAAGTCGTCGACGAGATAAGCAAGGACCTCGCGGTCCGCGAGGTCCAGGAGGCACGATTCTGGCAGGCGCATCATGGCCTGTGCATCGCTACGCTGAAGGTCGTTATGGAGGCGGGCATGGAGGAGGGACGACTCAGGGAGCGCGTGGGGAGGCTGGTTAGGGAGCGCTTGGGCGGCGTCTATGGCTCTACGAAGGGGCAGGGCGCTAGGTGGGAGGTCAGTGTGGCTGTTACGACGCTGTGAGGTAAGTGGTGGGGTGGGGAAATGTACGCATGATGGTTTATGGTTCATGGTTGGTGCTTGGTGGTGATAGGATATGATCGGGAGGGGGGGTTTCACGTGCATAGTAGGCAGACGAGTGATGTTGTGTGCCCTCGGTTGGCCGCCCGCCAACCAATGCAACACGAATTTTCGCTCACGTGAAGTGTGATGGGATTGGGAGACGGGATGTGCAATGAATCAATGACCCGGGAAGTAATGGTTGTGATGGCGCAATATGATACCTACATGTGATTTTGATGCTCCGCCCTCTGATCCGGGCTGGCTGTGGATATCGTGAGTGAAGTACCTACTGGTACATATCATGTGCGGTAGATAAGTTACAACCCTACTTACCTACTCTATTCTGGAGTGTATTGTACTTTTGCTACCAAGTTCAGAATACGTCCATGCCCATCATGCGGAAACACGCGTCTTCTTCTTCTCAGATACTTGCTTTCTCACTGAGTATCTTTGTTGTGGTAGGTAGAGCACCGGATCGAGAATCGGGATGATGTCTTCTGCCGTTGTTGCCGACTTCCAAAGTGCCTCGTCGCCGGAGATCGAGCCTTACCCAAGTACCTTGCGCGATCCCTGAATTAAGCATCAATTGGTTTTACCCCAGAATATCTCCTCGCGATGTTGCGTGCGTGCGCCGTACGTGCGTTCCTTCTTTCATTTTTCCTTGGAAGCCGGCAGGGGTAGGTACTAGTAGTTGTTGTTGAGTTCCACGGGATGACGATCTGCCATTCCCGGGGGTGGTTGATGTCACTTTAACCATACAAACTTGCATGGTGGTGGGGCGATGACATCAGTGCATCGCAATGACCAAATAATCAAACACCCAATAATCAAGGACCCCACCAGGCTCACGCAGGAAACAAACAAACACACATCTCGTATAAAATCGAAGGAAAGGAACCGCTTCTTCTTATCTCTCTACTTCACACACACACCGCACGAAATACCCCCACACAATTCCTACTATTACTACTTCTACTACCACGAACACATCCACGAACACATCCTACCTACAAATTACGAACACCTTTCTTCACATACTCACTCAATTCCCTACAAAAACACACATAACACACCGCAATCATGGATCGAATCAACGCCGCCGCCGAGACCGTAAAAGACGCCATCTGGGGCGAGGACACGACCCGCGACGAGAGCGTTGTCGGAACCGCCAGCGGTACACACCGAGCCGGCGAGCGATCGACTATCGGCGACTCCCTGACCCACGATGATGGTTACTCCAGAAACCAGACCGCCATGAAGGGCCTGAGCGGCCAGCACCCTAGCACTGTCGGCGATATCGAGGCTATGCAACGCGGCAGTGCGAGGGGCCCGGCAGGTGATCATGCAAAGATGCCGGGGGCTTTCGGGTCGGATATCACCGCTGGCTCGTCGAGATATGATCAGACTGGCAGCGAGTCGAGACATGGATTGACTAGCAACACCACCTCCGGACATGGTCTGACCGGTACCACGGTGGAACACGGATTGGTTGGCGGTTCGGGTCACGGATTGACTGGTGGACGGGATACGATCAGCGGTCATGACCATACTCTTGACGCCAACAAGCAGAGTGGTCAGGGTGGGTTGCTTTCGGGCATCACGGGGAAGATTGGTATGGGAAATACTACCTCCTCATCCACTTATGGTCAGCACCCTGGAACGTCTACGGGCAGTAATGACAACACTTTGACTGGATCAATTACTTCCGGCCTGTCGAATCTCGTGGCTGCCACCGGATTGACTGGCGGCAACACAACTTCCGACACCTATCGCGATACCGATCGTTCCCTCGGTCAGACATCTACCACTCACCCCACTACCGGAACGACCACTGGTAGGAATGATAACACCGTGACCGGAAACATCTCTTCGGGTCTCTCGAACATTGCCGCTTCTACTGGATTGACGAGCGATAACAAGTCCAGCACCTACCGTGACACCGACCGTTCCCTGGGTCATGGTTCTGCTACGCACTCTACTACTGGTAGGAACGACAACACCATGACTGGAAACATGACCTCCGGTCTCTCGAACCTTGCGTCGTCCACCGGATTGACTGGTAACAAGTCGGACACTCACCACGACACCGACCGCTCCCTTGGTCATAGTTCCACCACGCACCCTACCACTGGTAGGAACGATAACACCGTGACTGGCAACATCTCCTCGGGTCTCTCGAACATTGCCGCTTCTACTGGATTGACAGGCGACAACAAGACCGGTACCTACCGTGACACCGATCGTTCTCACGAGAACCCCCTTTCGCATCACCATGATACGACTTCCACCCACCACGACCGTTCTACGGACCACTCTGGCTTGACCGGACGTGATACCACTTCCCATCACAGGGATCACTCGCCTCCTGGTGCTGGTCTCTCCTCGGGTATCATTGCTGCTACTGCTGCCACTGGTTTGGCCAAGAACAAGGACATTACCACCCGCCACAACGACGACTACCGCACTGGCACCACCCACCATGATGACCATCACACTCATCATTCCACTGGAGTGCCCACGACTTTGTCGTCTGGACCCGGCGGCGCCAACCCCTTCACGAGTGACCGCACCGAGGTCTACACTTCTAGTCACAAGCACGACCACCCTACCGGCGGTGTCTCAGGCTTGACCCACAAGGACCACACTCACGACCACCACACCACTGGTGTCACAGGCATCCCCCTCGGCGGAGACCGCACCCACGACCACCACACTACTGGTGTCACGGGCATCCCCCTCGGTGGAGACCACAGCCACACCTCTACCACCAACCCTTTCAGATCTAACCCTACCCACAACACCCACTCACCGGCTCAGTCTACCGAGTCCGGTGATTACCGCTCCATCAACGCCCCCGCCGGACCGACTGGTACAGCCATCTCGACCACCTCCAACAAGCCCCACGACAGTCCCTTCCAGGATGTCAACCAGGGACGTCTCGGCGAGCCTCCATCTCCCCGCAACTTGACGACTGGTCTCACCAACCGCGCAGGTGACGACACTTCGGCGCGCAAGTCGACTGTTGGCGGCATGCACGAGCCTAGCACCCTTACTGGTTCGGCAGCTGGCGGCCCAGGTGCTCAGGTTCCTGCCTCCGTCGGGGGCTACCCGGATGCGAGTTCGCAGCCTTCGGATATTCATCAAGGTTCCGCTAGGCCCCATGAGGAGCCCAAATCTACCGGCCTACACGGAAACAGGTACGGTCAGCAGCCTATGAGTTCTACCGGCCAGCACGGGATCGACATCCGCCGCAAATCCATCCCCCTCGTCGAAGGTCATCCGGAGAGCAGCGGCCCCAAGACTCACCCGACCGAGAAGCTTCCTAGCGGTCCCGGCACGGGCGAAGGTACTGGCGAGAAGTGGGTCAAGAGCACTGGAGTCGTCGCTGAGGGCGGAAACTTCGATGCCGCTGCCCCCGGCGCCGGTCGCGAGGCGGACCGTCTGTTGGACGAGCATGGCATTCATCACGGTGCCGACATCAAGCCCGGAACCCAGACTTACGACACCACCCCCGGCAAGCCGAGCCTTGGAACCGAGACTGCTGGCCACCAGACCACCAGTGGAGCTCACGACACCCACCACACCACTGGAGCTCACGACACCACTACCAAGCCTAGCCTCGGAGACAAGATCAAGGGTTCATCCTTTCCTATTCCCCCCTATCACTGATAACTATTGCTAACTATTTCCTGCAGAGAAGCTTCACCTCGGTCACCACTAAATGTCTGTACGACATGAGGATATGATGTGATACGATTTTCCTTTGGTTTTTTTTAACGGGATGGGATCTTGTACTTGTATGCTTTCTGGGATTTGGGATTTGGGATCGGGTTTCTTCTTTTCTTTCTACGCATAGGATAGCTCGTTAATGGAATGGGTTTCCTCCTATGATGAATCATCGGTGTGTAGAATGTGATGTGCGTGTGCATGTGTAATGGGTCCTGCGATTTCTCGTAGAGTACATGCGTGTGCCGATCAAATTGGGAAATCAAGATGGGTGGCATCACTCCGCCGCTGAACAGTAAGGTTGCTCCATGTGATGCCTCCACCGAACGGCAACGGCAATCGTGTCAGCGGTAAGGACTACTCAACGTCCCGAATCATGAGCCTCTCCTATCCAATGCCGCCCCCGAACGGCAGCCGAAGTAGCCGATCGTTTGTATATACCCAGGTACTTGCCTAGATAGTCGCTTCCATAGCCCATCAAGGACCATACATGTCAAACTTTGGACGCCTAGGCCCCAGAGATATTGGCGCGAATAAAGTTCCACCGTCCATGGCGGACGGCCGACAGAGCGCGAGTGCTGCCTGGGGCGAGTACTCTAACCTAACCCACGGCGGGCCGGTGGAACCTGGGGCGAGTAGAGTAGAGTAACCTTCGGATGAAGAAGTGAAGTCTGAAGTCTGAGGTATGTATGTAAACAGGTACCATGGGCATGCCCCGTCTCCGTGACTCCGTCTCCGGAAGTGCCGGTGGTTTGGTGAGGTAAAGTTTATTTTGGAGTATGTAGTGTAAGTACATAGAGCTCGCATCTTTCACCCGCCCCTGTGCTCTGACTGGCATTCATTCGTGCAGCCGAAGGAATATACTCTAAATACTCACCGGTCGTCGGAGGTTGGAGGTCGGAGGTAGGAGGTCGTCGGAGGTAGGTAGGTAGGAGGTCGGAGGTAGGTAGGGGAACTAAGCGAGAGAGGGGGTGGGGCGGATTTCAGGGTCCAGTGGAGTCGATGTTCGGGTCGTCTCCAGGCTCTCAGCCACCTCGGAGGTGAATGGAAGGGAAGGTGACGAGTGCATTGGGGAGGAAAATAAATACGCATGGAGTGTTGAGCGGGATGGGCGGACGAGGGGGTGTGTGTGCCAAGCACGGCCAATCCCTTCCTTCATAGCCGTGCACTCGACGCTCGTATCGTATCGCCGCTTTTGGGCAATTGGGCAATTCATAGGTACGGCGCCGCTCAAGTGATTTGTCTCAACTTACGGCTACCAATACTCAAGTAGTTTTTTGATTAGCCGCGACTTCCTGTTTTTTTCTTCTTCTTTCTTGCTTTCCGACTCGTCACAAGACGCTCCGAGATGTGCTCCGGCGCCCTGCAGTGCTCTTTCCCGGATGGTCGCCGGTCGGGCAAAAACTTGAAAGTTGAGGTGGGAGGAGGGGTACCAATTGCCCCGCCTTCAGCTGCTCCCGACCGACCGTGTGTGGGCAGTAGGTACCGGTAGTAATAACTCTGCTAACGGTCATGTTTACTATGATAGCTATAGCCCGAGTACTCCGGCCTCAAGTTTCAACTGGACAAAGACCGCTGATGTTCACCGAGGATTTTTACGATCGCCCTTGTACTCTGCTCGTCCATAAAAGACTCGGTCCCTTAGTACCGGTATCAGTTTGGGTAATGGGTGATGAACCGGCCAAAGTTCGCATCGCAGTTGTACATAAGTACTTTGTATCTACTGTTCCACATCCCAGTCCGGCGAATCCTCATGCACTCCGGGCTGAGGAATGCAACGGGTCTACCCCCGCATGCGCGTGCCAATCCGTGCTGCGGGCCAATCCAATCGTCTCGCCCGAAAAAAAAAAAATCCCCGCCCCCGCATCTCTCGCGGGGGCAGTGGCACTCAATCCACTGTCTGTCTGTCCAGGTGTTTACAGTATCAAATCTCTTTACATAAGTAAACACAACCTGCCTCCTTCGCCGTGCACTCCCCACCAGCTGCTCGTTTTCCACAGCAGAATCCAGATATCGACAGCTTCGACATGGAGACGACAATGGAAGAAACGGTCGAGACAGCAGAGACGGTCGAGACGGTCGAGATAATAGAGGCGAAATCACAATACCAACACTTTATCCCCAGGTTCGTTCTGCGGGAGTTCTCGGTGCCCGAGGACGAGGTTGCTGCTAGTATTGCTGCTGCTACTGCTACTGCTACTTCGGCTGCTGGTCCTTCCGGAGGGGGGAGTGGGGGACCCGGAGGGACGGCGAATAAAAGGCCCAAGAGAGGGAATAGGAAGAAGAAGCCCGGGAAAAAGAAGAAGGCCAGTGGTGGCGGCAATGGAGGGGGTGGATCATCGGCGGTGGATAAGATTGCCGAGGCAATGGAAGGTGTGAAGTTGGAAGAGGGCGAGGACGATAAGAAGGTGGAGCAAGAGGTGGAGAAGGGGGAGGAGAAACCACTGCTGGATAAGGGAAAAGGAAAGGCAATCGATACCAAAGATGCGGATCAAGGACGGTAAGTACTCATCATGCTATAACTTTGGAAGGCTACAGGATTCAAGATTGACTGGCTTTAGGCGTCGCCGGCCCCGTGCCCGGAAAGAAGACCCCCGCAACCCGCTCATCAAATTCTTCAACCTAAACACCGGAGAAATCGAGCACAATCGCGTAGGTCGCGCCTACGGGCACCAGGATATGTACCGCGACGTCACCGCCAGTGACGCCAATCACATTGAGAAGCAACTTTCCGTTCTAGAGCAGATAGCATCCCGCGCCATCAACCGTATCAAAGACTCACAGAAGATGGGGGCCTCATCGGTGAACCTCACGCGGACCGAACTCAACACCATCCGCAAATTCCTCTTCGTCATGAAGTATCGCAACAACCGGTTCTGGCGGAAATACAACTGCGGGTCCATGGCGGCGTACGATGAGGTCGACAAAGCTGAAGTGCAGAAGTTTATGCGGCGGCGGGGCTTCAAAAATCCCGGCGAGGTGTGGTTATGCACCATCAAAGCCATCTTGGATACACAGATCGATCCGGAGGGAAAGTGGAAAACGACGGTACTGGAGAATGCATTCGAACACGATGCGTTATGGTTCATCTTCAACATGACGGAGTCATACCTCAATTTCTGTACACCTGATAACCCGGAGCAGGATGAATTCATCGTTACAGAGAACGGCTTTGGCATCCATGAAGGTCCCTCGATGCATAGTGTATCCATCGATCCCGGCACCGGTTCCAAAAAGGTCCAGAGCGGGACATACACCGAATACCATAAACTCGCCCCGCTGTCACCAAAGCTCCTCCTCGTCCTACGATCAAATTATCTCCGCCCGGGAAGCGAAGAGGCCCTGCGAGTCATACGTGCGCGCCCCAACGTGCCGAACACTCCCAGTCTGTTTGAAGACCTCCAACTTGCCCCCGCAACAGCAAGCTACGGCTCTTTCATCGGCCCAAACGAGGAACTCAGCGATGACCACGTGTTCACGTTCTCGATCCAGAAGATCTCGCGGAAGTGGGTGAATGACTTCAACGCCATAGCACTCGAGGAGGCTCGGGCGTCGATTTCCTGGAAATCAGATATGGCGATGCAGAGGACGTTACGGGCGTATCTCGAGCATCCAAAGTTTCCGCCAATGGCAGCGATGATGGCGGAACTGAAGAGGGATGCGAAGGTGCGGTTACTTACCTTGCTGGGTGGAGACACGACGTCGGTCCTAAAGCCTATGGTGTTGACGGGGGATTTGACGGAGGAGATGGCGGAGAAGCTGAGGCGGAAGATGGAGAAGGGAATGCCAGAAGACATGAAGCGGGAGATGCAGAATAACGTGAAGCTTGCACCGTACTACAAACTGGGTATGCCCCCCCACCTCCCCCCCCCACCCCCCGTCCATTCTCTCCGGCACACAGCTTACGATAATCAGGTGGAACCCCCGCACGCCTCATGCCTGACATGGACCGCGCCAAAACAATAACCACGCAGCGCTCCGCCTCCGCTGACCGCTCGCGGAAGGGCCCACAGTACCTCGAAGCTCGCAATGCCAACTCCCGCAGGGAGATGATGACCCTATCCAAGCTCCCCAGCACCGTTATCTTCTGGCATGTCAAGCAGTGGCGGATGAACGCGATGGTTAATAAGTACAAGGCCACCGGAATGACATTGAGCCCGGAAGAAACGGTCACACTGGGGATGGAAGGGCCTGAGGATTGGATTGCTGAGTGTATGTAACCCTCCAAGTTCGGAAAGTAGAGAGGATGTACTGATGGAAGGGAAAGTGGCTGCAGTCATAGAGGAGAAACATAGATCCCGCCTCATGCTGGAAGCTTCGTTGAAAACGTTTTTCCGCCAGATAAAGATGGAATCAGTAGTGATGATGGGAATGGATGTGGAAGATATGACGTATATGATGATGGAAAACGAGCTGGATCTGTTTAAACAATGGGGTGAGCAGTCACCTAGAGCATCTGCGCCGTTGGATCCGTGCTAATTTTCACTAGGCGGGATATCAAGTTCTTGTGAGCAAATCCGTTTACCCCAATTACTCCTTCCGTCATTGACCGATCATACTAGGCTTCGTCGAGGGCTATCCAGCCCTCCACACCAACCTCGCCGCAGCGATAATGGATCCACGGCGAAGCAAGAAGACGGAAGCTAAGATTCCAGACCAATTCATCCAAGATCTAACACTATGTAGCGCTCTGAGGCAGAGCAAAGCAATACAGAATACGCTGTGCTGCGGTGCTGGGCAGGATAGGGAACGGAAGCTGCTCGGGAAGTTGCTGTGGGAGGCACTCTATTGGCTGCCAACGGAAAATGACCCGCATATGCCGATTTTCGGAATAAAGAGCGAACAGATAACGCGGGAGGGGCCCTTTGGTCTCGGTTGGCTGGCAAATTTGTACGCGACGCTGACACAGCCCAGCGCCGAGCGGTGAATGGAATGCTATCTAGCTAGGGCATTAGGTACTTAACTAGAGTAACTTTAATGGCGACTTGTTGTCTAAATTTCCCTTCCCTTCCCTTCCTTTGGAATCCAAGTAGCGGACCAGTGTTCTCCATAGTCCGGTCCAGACTGCAGTCCGGACGGGACGGACTGCCAAAATCCAGTCCCGTCCGTGCCTTTTGGTGGACGGGATAAAAGTAGTCCGTCCCGTCCGCCAATTTGCTGGACGGGGTTGGACTGCAGTCGACTGCAGTCTGGTAGTGAGAAAAGTGCCACTCTTTTCAGCACTTACCCACCAAACCTGATAGTATCTCCCCCCAGCCACTACAACCTCCGATAATACGCCACGGGCTTTCTATCGTGATTTATGACGCCTTGAACCAGTCTTGGTAGTCGACTGCAGTCGACTGCAGTCCGTCCCGTCCGGCCTTACTGGTGGACTAGGTAGTCCGTCCGATAGACACCTCCGGACGGATTGGACTGGACTATGGAGAACACTGCAGCAGACCGTGATACATAAGGGCACTGCACTGGGAATACCGAGCAAGTTGAAGTACCTACATACCATTTCGACTTGTGGATGTTCGTGCCAGGTCAATCAGGAACCTGATATACCTACACAGAATGCAACGATGACGGGAACTGCAATGTTTATATTAGTTATACATAACTATACCTATACCGGTATTCCTGACTCCCGATCGAGTGCTGGGGACGTCCCATCTTACCTACACTCGCATCTCCGTGCCCAGTTCCGTTTACTAACTACTCCCCGCCTGGTACATGAAGGGTGGAACACTGCCTATGTACCTACATACCTACAGTACTAGTTCTCACTCGTCGTCTAGATAAGCTTTCTGTCTCTTTTGGTGGTGGTTTTATTAGCCGCGAGCTATGTTAGTTATGTACAAGTACATAATTACTAACCAACTATAGGTACTTACTTACACTACTGCGCTGAGGTAGATATGTAGGCCATGCTGTCGTTCCTCATGTTCTTCCCGTATCTACATATGTACATAGCGGTTCTAACTTCTAGGACAATATTTAAATACCGGAATGGCACCTATAACTAATGCATAACTTACGCAGTAACTACCGTACTCTACTCTGCGAGTACTGGCGCAGTAACCTGCGGATTGATCTTGTGGCTAACTACTATAAGCCAACAGGACCGGGGTAACTAAGCATGTTTACCTACCGCGGTTCCGAGACATCGCCTTGCAGGAATACGATACATACATGATAGTATGTAGAAGACATGTGGCCGCCCCTCGCGAAAAGAAAAAAAAACATCTCCGGACGGTGGCGTTGTGCTTCTAAGGCAGAAGGATTACATACCCAGCATCGCGGTGGGTGGGGGGTGAAAGCGGGGCTTGCATATCGTAAAGTAGTTACCTTGTACACTTCGCTGGCGATTGGCGGCTTGTCTTCGCGGCGTAGTTGGATATAGTAACTATAGGTACATCTACTCGATGTGTTTCTTGAACGATTCGACAGCCTACTGGTGCGATACTGTACAGTGGTACGTACACCTGTGTTTCTACGATTGGATGCAACTACCTAAGTACCTACTCCAGGCATCCATATTCGCAGCCGCAATGGATCTGACGGCGGAGACTACTATAGGTAGATAAAGATCCAGTATTCACGGCGAAGATGTCCCGACAGTGATGCAATTTTCGTCGGACGAGCTCTCCATTCACCCCGCGAAATCCCCCTCACCACCCTAGCCCCGCTCCCCCCGCTCCGTAATGGCCATGAGACGGGACGTCGGCTCGTGCCTTTTCCGACGATTCCATGTTGAATCCATCCAGCGCCGGCGGATTCCAGCCATCACGAATGGCCTACGCCCTGCCTTCGGATGGAGGATGACCAGCTCCATCGGGCACAATAAGGACGGCTTCGTGCAGTTGGGCCCGGACGAACAGCTTCTGTTCTTCAACAGTCTGTCATCCCCTCTGCCCCCCTAATGTGAATCGCCGCTAACTCGATAGATCTGCTTCCCCGGCCGTTGTGGGTCAGCACACTGATGCGGGTACCGGTCGAGAGGAAGCTCCAGCCGTTCCTTCAAAAGTACTGGTCGTGGCGCGCGCCGACACTCGAGCAGTTCCTGACGGAGGACTGCATACCGCCGTCGCTGCGCAACGGTATATTCTCGACGAAGGAGGTGATCCCGCGCGACCGGGATGGGGGGACGTTTGTGCGGTACTCGTCCACGGACGTGGCGGGGGCGCAGCGCGAAATCGACGCCCATCTGAAGAGGCATCCGGTCAAGGTCGGCTACCTCTTCAAGCAGGTGAAGGCGTTCCCGGTGCTGGGAAAGCCCTGGCTCGAGGACATGATGGACCACTTTCCAAGCAAGAAGCTCCGCGTGCAGTTCCTCGGCGGCGATGGCGGCTTCCTGAACGAGCACGTCATCTTCTCGCTGTTTCGCCAGTACGGCAAGATCAAGGATATCGCCCCGCCCTCCGCCGATCCGAAGTTCTTCTGGTTGCCAAAGTTCATCACCGTCCGTTTCCGGAATATTCGCGGCGCGACCGCGGCCAAGAATTGCATAGACGGCCACTTCGTCGACTGCGAGCACACGGGCAAGCAGGTGCAGCTGAGGGTTTCGTACGGGCCAAAGATGAGGATCCGATCCATCGAGGCCCAGTGGGCTATCGACTGGGCTCTCAAGAACCAACGACTGGCGCTCCTCGTAGTGGCCCTTACATGTCTCCTCGTGGTCGCCATCACCGACATGGTCATAGACGTGATCGCCGAGGACAAGATCGACTTGTACGAGACGACATCATCCGACGAGCCGGTCAAGATCGCAACACCTGCGATTGAGAGAGAGATAGAGGAGCTCAAATCGGCGCTCAAGACCTCTGCCGTTGGCGTCTTGGGATCCCCCCACGGGAGGTTGAAGCTGATCAAGGACCACGTCTTGCGGGATCGAGTCATTCTCATAGTCGACTGCAAGCCCATTTTCGATAGTAGCAGTGAGAGAGCCTTTGTCGACGCATTCTCTCAGCAGGTTGGATACCGGCAGCTGTTTGCCACATTTAACAGGGGGTTCCAATTTGTGCTTCGTCAATTCTCGATATACACCGAGGAGGCCATCCAGACGCCAGAAAACGAGTTCGACGTAGTCCTAGAGGATCTGCGCGAACGGCTGAAAGCCAAGGCACTCAAATGCAAGGCTCCCGGTCAGATTAATGAAGATTATCTGGTAAAAAATCCGGACGTCAGGCCGCTGGTAGTATTCGACAACTTTTCGCACAGGAGAGAAGAATACAACATTTTCCACGAGAAGATACTGAAATGGTACACATGATAAGAAATCCCCCCCTCCCCCCCGCGCGCCCCCAAAACCCAAAACCCCCCCCCCCAAAAAAAAAGACCATACAAAACTAACATGCCCATCCACCGCAGGACAACCGACTTGGTCACGGACCAGTATGGCGGCGTGATCCTCCTAAGCACCGACAAATCCTTCTCCAAACCCTTCCAGCACGAACCCTTCCGCCTGATCCAACTAAGCGACGACATTTCGTTCCCGGGGAAAACCACCTATGAATCCTCAGCACCCGGAATCCTCGAGCGCTATATCCTCCCATCACGGGTGAACCACTCGTGGACATCCCCGCAAGCCTGGCACTGCATCCGGGGCCTATCCAGCGAAAACAGACTGAGCTACGACCGGGTGCTACTTCATGACCTATTCAGGGGCAACAGCGGTTCCGAGGCGTTGCTCAAGCTCGAGGAGGAAGGACTGATCACCATCATCAAGGATAAAAGCTCGGGGAGGCCGCGGGAGATCGCGCCCAGAACAGGGGTTCTCTTGGATGCGTTCGGGAAACTGGTGCAGGATGTGGAGCTCGCTGCGCAGATGGAGGTACGGACGCATGTTGCGTCGTGTGAGAGGGAGGTCGGAAATATTGTACGGTGGGAAGAGGAACTGCAAAGGCTAGCGGGATTGAAGAGGCAGCCCGAGGCGCGTGAGAAATATTTGCTGCAGAAAATCGAGAAGGCGCAGAAGAGGGTCTCGGAACACGATGCAAAGATTGAGGAGTTGACGAGGAGAACGTTGGCCGCGGATGCTTGAGAGAATATGGGTGTATCTCGTAGGGTTGCTCTTCTCCCTCTGCTCTGGCTATGTTTTAGTACTTTATGGTGTTCCGGCTTCAGTTAGACTAAGTAGTGTATGCGTGGAGGCCAAAAATACGATATTCCAGCCCCTACACCAAGAAACCCATCGACACCAACTGTATACGGCCAGAACTATGATTGATAACTAAAGAACGAAATGAATATTAGGATGAAAGGTACTTGTACGAAGACGGTGAAAAGAAAAGATCGGCGAGTCGATATCGGCGACTCAGGCGGGATGTGGAAATAGCGATGAACTTCGGCAATGTTGAAGTGGAGTTCGTATTCCCATGGCTGAAGTGTGAATACCCCGAAGATACGTAAAACAAACAGCTACTTCAGCGTTGGTAGGATGTCCTTGGGCGGCACTCTCAGGCTGAAGTTAAATCGGGTTCGTCTGCCCAGATATCAACCTCCTCACCGCTGCTCAGAAGGTGGAGCGATGTACCCGCAAGGCCTGTCGACTGGGACGCAAAGTATACAGGGCCTTCACCGCCGCCATTATCTAAAGTACCCCTTTCCTGTAAGAGGAGAGCCACAGCTCCATAGCCGCTCTCCGATGCCGCCTGAAGTGCCGTGTCATATCTTCCCCCCAGGCATTCACATCGGCGCCGCTGTCCAGCAAGAGCCGAACAATGTCGATGTCACCTCCAGCTGAGGCCGCCTGTAGTGCCGTGCCATATCTTCCCCCCTGGACATTGACATCGGCCCCGCTGTCCAGCAAGCGGGAGACCATTGGCCCTAGTCCACGCTGTGCCGCAGCGAGGAATGATGCATTAGGATCCCAATCCGGTCAGATAGATCGCTCACGCAACGACATTTGACCAATTCTTCAGCAAAGTCAAAAAGCTCGAAGACTATAGCAACATAAAGTGATGACCGCACACTACGGTCTTCCTCCTGGTACCAATTTCGCAGCATACGCGACACACTGTAAACCAAGAAATTGTTTTTACCGGGTTTCCGAAGCGCCAAGAAGGCACGCAATACATCCGGGTCCCTTTGATCTGTTTGTCTCACATGGTCCTGCCAGTATTTTACAGCGTACGAAAGTAGATTGTGTCCTCTCCCAATTCTCAACGTCTCTGCATTTTCGGAGATGTGAGAGCGGTCGATTTTACTATCGACTGGTTCGTTTTTGAGCTTGAATTCAAACGCCATGTACTTTAAACAGCCAATTCCCAGTCGTCTGTGAGCCTCTATAGGTGATAGGCGCCAACCAGAGAGTGATTGATTGTGTGAACCGTGTTGGGGAGAGATGTCTGGCTGTGAAAGGAAATCTTTCGCTGACTGGTGTACCAGGTGGACAGTTTTGTCATCATCCACCGTGATCAACGGACCGAATATCATTCGAAGGACAGTTCTCAGATCCGATTCCATCTCTTCCTCCATCGAAGAAAGGGATGTGTCTTGGGGTCGTATAGCAACGGCTATAGTCAGTTCTTTCAGGGTTAAGGGCCGTGACGCCCAAACCACCCATTGAAGAATGATATTCGCAGTCGGCTGGTCGACAGGCTCTACTTTGCGCAGGATATTCTCGTATAGGCCGGGGAGTGACCGCGGAAGAGACTTCAGTTTCTCTTGGATGACTCGAGACTTTGTCGTGCATGAGCGTCTGAGGTCGTCAAGAACGAGAGAAACCCAAAGGAACATTCCCTTTGCACCGTCGATAAGAGCATGTTCTATCTCCCCCGCCATTTTAGAAAATTGTGGCAACTTTTCAACTTCAGCAACCACAAATGCCTTGATATCATGGTGCAGAATCTCGACATCAAGACGTATCTCGACAGCAACAGGTAAATGCGAAGTGATCACCACATGTGGGCGGCGGGTAAAAAGGACTTTGGCCCTTTCTCCGACGCAGGTCCCGTCGCGTAGCAGACGGCGTAGCTGTTCGAGAAATAGTAATCTCGAATTATCCTCACACTCATCTGCGAGCGATTAATATAAGCCTCGTTCGACGTGCAAAATCAAGAGTAGCATACCTAGGGCATCGATGACGAGACATAGACGCTTGATCCTGTTGTCCCTGACGATTCTTTCAAAGACACGCCACAGCATGTGTAAATTCCATTGGCCGAATCTTCCGTTCTTGCGCTCCGGCTCGAAATGTACGAGGGCTTCTGGCTGACGCTGCAATATCTGGACTAGAATCGCCACCAGTATGGCATTGGCCGTCCTTAGCCGGTCATCCTTATCGTCGCGGAAGAAGAATGCCACCACATGGTCTTTCCCTAAAGTAACGGCGAGTTCTTTGGATAGTACTGATACAAGAACACTCTTCCCGTAGCCTGGTCCTCCCGAAACCTAGAGAATTGGCTGTTCGTCTGCCTGCGTCCAACGTTGGTAACGCTCGTCGTTAAGGATCCATTCGCAGGTATTTTCTTCTCGTTTAAGACAGAGGTCGTCACGGCGGCTTTCGTAGTCCAATCCATTCAAACTCTTCAGGCAATTTCTTGCTTCGTCCGTAAGCTGTCGATCGACGGTTTTTTTGCGGGCATCTGCACGAAAAATCATTCTCGGTGAGCAAAACAAAAAACATGCAACACAACTGGAGGGTTTCCCGTGTAGCTATAACAGCATGATAGAACATGACTACGAGACGAGGATATGAGGGACGGAATTTTTGAATAGAAATTCCGTTAGAAGGGATGGCCTCCTATATATATATATAAAAAAAGCAAATATTGGAAGCTTCAGGGATTCGAGGTGTTTTTGCTATGAGCCACTTTTCTTCTCCGCCCCTAGCCCACGGGAGGTCTCCAACTGTCGTTCGAATAGAAGTCATTGCTTACCAGACATTTCCACGATCTCGTCCCGATATCCTTTGATATGGGCCACCACTGCTCTGTAGGCGATGTCCAAAGGGTCGAGAAACTTGACCATATCGGTATGGTTACTTTCGATAGGAACACGGTGCTCGTTGGGAAGATACAACAAAGCAGAGAACTCTCGAACCATCTCTACAAATTCTCCGTTCCTTTCGAGTGTTTTCGTTGAGGACTACCGCTCGTCAGCCACAGCCATCGAAACCACGGGAATCCGATCCGTTACGAACCATTCCGACAGCTCTTGTTTTAACAGTCTCGTAGAAGCTTACGACTTTACACCGATTCCAGACGTCGACAAGTCATTCGGCTTGCGTCTGGAGGAATTCCGAGCCCTCGCGCAGCTGGCGCAACAGGCCCGATGAGGGTGACTCGGCGCCGGTCATGCCCTCCACCAGGACTTCTAGTTCGGTTGTGCGAAGGCCTTAATGTGGGGTCCCGAAGAACAGTATGGCGCATGTTGCTTCCAAAAGGTCGCTGTGGATGATTTGTTCTATGGACTGCAATAGTGCCTTAAGTTTACGGTGGTGGGATCAGCAATGTGTCTCATCAGTGCATGGTTCGTTGGACCGCGCGACTTACCTGCAATATGAGCACTCCTCCAAGCCCATGCCCAAGAAAGATGATTGAGCGAATCTTCTCCTAGGATGGAAATAAATGTCAGCACTGACTGTTTGGAAGGGAATAGTCAACCGATTATCTCTCGAGAAGACCTCGCGTCCTTCAACAAGGAAACGAGCTTCCTTTGGTGATCAAGCATGCTGCCCTTCACTGTATTCGGTCCCTCGAGAGTAGTATTGTAGCCATACGTCATGATGCGGAGATCCTTGACATCGCGTGGGAGAAAGTCTTGGAGCCACATGCGGTTGCTGCTGCGATTCCTCCAAGATCCGAAAGCATTTCCCGCCAGGCCGGTGACCGCAACGACACTGCAAGGCATTAGCTGACCGTCGCCACCGGTGACGGGAACGAAACGACGTACTCGGCGACAATGGATCCTTCAGGATTATTCAGGGGCGTCAGGCTGTAGAAGTGGCTATCGATTACGAGGTCCGAATCGGGTTGTTGAACAGAATTGGATTCGCCCGGGCGTATCCGGCGGAAGTATTCGGGGCAGTTCTTCACATTCAGCAACGCTACTCTGTCTGGCCCGGAGCACGCTGGATACAGCGACAATCGACTGCCATCGGCGGCTAAGTTTCCAAGGGACGCGTCAAGCTTTCCGAGATAACCGAGTAGATCATCCTCACTCCACTCCGACGGGACGTTCGATATCCGGAAGCACTTCCACTTGATGGCGGCAGATTCTGACCCGCTTTGGGGAAGACAGCGTCGCTTGACGTCGGAATCCACGCTCGATTCGACTTCTGTATCAGTTCTCCTCTTTACTCCGCCAACACAACCATCGGTCGCGGGGCTCTCGGCGCCAGCAGCGGAACCCCCATCGCCGACGATGGGGTCCGAGGCGGGTGGTATGTGATCGATCTTGGCCATGGCGAGTGGTAGTATGTAGCTAGAAAGGATGCGTATTGGCGTGATGGAGGTCAGTGAAGACAGCTAAAGCGGAGTCGTGTCCAGACTCCAGTATAAATCAGCTCTCGCGCAGAAGGCTGAGTCGACAGCACTGCACCCTTTCCATTAACCGGTAGTTATTGGGTAGCTGTAGATCATGATCGGTTGCTGTGGGCCCACAAGGGTCGTTGATTTCTACCCTATGCGGAACCACCTCAGCCTCAGCCACACATTAAAAATAATTAAAAAATAAAATAAAAAATATTGGCGTCGTGGAAAAACGGTGAGCGAAAGCTCACGGCACGCGCGACTCTACTCTACTGTACTCTCACCACACAACAAACCCGCACCACCCAACAAACTCTCACCAGATACACGAACTTTTGTCCTCGTTCCTACCTACAACAAACACGATACCATCTATTGCTGCCACTACTTCATCATGATTTCTGCCAAGATTCCTACTCCCCAGAACGCTGATCTGGTGCGACAAATTGTTTAATCTCCACGCGCCTGTTCTTCTGACGAAGGAAGAACACGACGCGTACTGGCCACTCGTAAGTACAGTGTACACCAAACTCAACGGTTGCAAACACGGAGAAACGGCGAAGTTACAGTAACGGCAGCCTGGACTCTGTCAGGCCCGAATCAAAGTTACGCGTATCATACGGTGGACAAACCGATCACTGTGACGGGGATCGTTCTTCAGCTACGCGAACTAGGGGAACGTCTTAACCAACAGCCTCATGCTGTCCATGATATGATAGAAGAAGACCGTTTTGTAGACGCAGAACACCAGGAGATTGTAGAAAATTTGATGGACTCTGTAAACCAGGTGGTGGAGCCAGGAGAGAACATCAATTTTTTTTTGTTGCGTGACCACAATGATCTTTCCTACCACCGCCGCGACGGTTTTTTGTCAGAGAAAGAACATCATTATTTTTTTCCAGCGCGACGACTCGCACACGGCGTGCGCCGTTCCACGATGCCAAAACTTTTTTAATGTGTGGCTGTGGCTGGAGTAGTGTGGAGTAATTGCCGAATACAGCACCACAGGAACCTATCCCCCGCCATGCCGTTTCTTTTCTTTGATTTTTCTTCCACTGCCCTGCGAACATCTGAATCCATTTTAGCACTGCCCTCTGTTATAGTCTAGCAAGATAGCTACTTACTCTAAATGCTCCTAAACTTTGCCGCATCTTGATTGCGAAGATTCGACCGAACAGCTCGGTACTCTAGTCGAGGCGATGTGGCGCTGTATGGTCCATGCGGTGGCTGAAGGCACGTGGCGAGAAGTGGCCTATGTAATACAGCGGTGCGGCATTGGGCTTGGGTTCGGACCTGTGAGGCATATTGGCGTCTTGGCGACCGTCCGGACCTAGAGCTCGGAGGAGAGCTCTTCCTTTCTTCTCTTGTTCACGATCATCATCGTTTTCTTCTTCTTCTTGTTTGTCAGACAACTCAATTGCATATAACCTCTCACGTTTTCCTTTCCTCAAGCCTTCTCCACGTGCTTCTCTATCTCTCTCTCGTTCCCTTCCCATTCTCCCGACGGTTCTTCATCATCATCATCTCTCTCACTCGGTAGCTCCACATGCCCTCAAGCCTTGGCTCGTGCCCCCGGGAGCCAGATTCCTCACACCGTACCTACATGCTTCCCTTTGGGGAATCACTCATGGCTGGGCCCGCAGTAACAGTGTCAGGTGGCGACCGCAATTCTCACAAACTTTATACCTCGTCAGTAGCACCACCACCCTTTCTTCATTCTTCCATCCGGCCTCAGTGACGTCCTTCACAACCTCACACGGTCACACTCCCGGAGGGGGAGCGGACGGAAGATTGTCCCTCGCTTCTCACTGAAGATCGACGCTCAATTCTAGGTACTTTAAGTGCTTATTTACCTATATACTCGCTGGCCCGTGTCTTTGCCCAACAAATACCGGTAGGGTAGTTCAAATGAGCTGAAATCCGTGGGGAGAGGGGGCGCCTGGACTCCACTGCGCCGATATGAATCGCTACGAGCGGACAACTACCTAGGTACCCTATCTCATAGTCTCAGGAGTACCTAAATACCTACCTAGCCTTCAGGCCGAAAACACTCATAGCAGCATCGTGAGTTGCCGTTTATCAAGGTGGAATCTGGATGGTCTTGCAACTGTAACATGGTCCTCCATCGACGCCCAAACCCCCTCCCTTTCTCACAAGTGTTACAGTCCGAACGAGCAGCTCTCAACTCAAATTCAGCCTATAACTAGTAGGTATGATACTGCCTCTCCAACAAGCAGGATGGGCGGGGTTCGTGGTCCGGCAGGGGTGGATTGCAGTATTCTACATGGTCCGCTCCAGTCCGTCCGGACCCATGGACGGGACTGGACTACATACATCCAGTCCGTCCAGAGGTGTCTGTCGGACGGACTAGTCCACCAGTAAGGCCGGACGGGACCGACTGCAGTCCACTGCAGTCCAACCCCGTCCAGAAAATTAGCGGACGGGACGGACTATTTTTACCCCGTCCCCAAAAAGGCACGGACGGGGCTGGATCTTGGCAGTCCGTCCCGTCCGGACTATAGAGAACACTGGCCTCGTCAGCTGCAAGCCTTCCAGCCCCCCAGCCCAGTCCGGCGACGGCGACGACTACTGATTGTCGCATCCTCTGTCTGAGACTCTGAGGCCCGGCCTTCCTCCAGTCGTCTACAAGAGCTCGTTATCCTTTATGTATAAGCAGTCTTCGTCCTACCTATTCTTCCTCGTATCAATACAATCAAGTCAAGTCAAGTTCTTCTTTCAATTTTCAATTTTCAAGACACTTGGCCCGTGAGCACTTGCCTTATGTTTTCACTTTGAAGGCTATGGATGATTCTACAGAAATTTAAGGTCTATGTTCACTGGTTTATGTCACGGTGGTGAGTACGTATCGGCCGCCGTTAGTAGTAGACAGCAACAAGCATCAAGAACCGAGTGATTCCCCGTCCGTTTTATCGTGATTCGTCGCTCACGGAGACGGTGGTCGGATTCACGATCACTCACCGAGACCATCGCTACTCTACTCTACTCTAGGTACTCTACATAGGGCTCCTGTGGAGTTCCTGTGAGGTTGCCCTTCCGTCTCCCGCGTACTCTAGAAACCAGACTGGCCGGGAGTCGTGACGGTGGGGTCGTGACGGTGGGGTCCTTGCCCGCGCGGCGTGGCGTGGCGCTAAACCGAAAGCCTCTAAGCTCGTTCGCTTGCTTTGAACGTGATAATACCTGGACTCATAGAGTAGAGTAGTACCTAGTAGTTATGCAGGAAAGAAAGAAGAAAAAGCAGAAGAAAAAACTCGGGCGTCTATGTGCATTGGCGTTCGCATGGGCACTGGGAGTCTTCTCGTGGCCGACCACTGCATACGTACTCCAGAGTACCAATATCAAGATCGAGAGGTGCACGGGGAGAATAGAGATGCGTTGTTCGGACTTTGCAAAACTGCAAAAATAAACATCGGCGCTTCTTCCAGTGAGCACTGAGCAGAGTGGAGGGGAGAAAAGCAGAGTTGTCAGTGTTCGGGCTGGCCAGTTTGTCAGCGTCGTGGACCACGTTCTCGCTGAGAAACAACAAAGATCTCGACTTGGCCTGGCCTAGACGGGCAAGCGTCACTCTTTGAGGCTGTAGATGGGTGGTATGATACATAGCTTCTAGTTAACCGACACCGGCACGCAGTTACGCAGTTACGCAGTTACGTATGCTGTTACAACTTACTCATCGCACCGCTTCCGATACACACCTACATACCATTATCGGCACCGTCAGGGACTCATACGTAGCCACGAGCCGTGGCAAGAATGGGCAAAGATCGCAGTGGTTGGCTGGCCGAAAGCCCGACTCTGTTTGAGGCCGCTCTGTGACGGCGGAATGGGGCGGGAGGGGGAGAGGGGGGCGTAATTTTACGTCCGACTTGCTGGTGATCAATCATCTTCCGCGGACCAGCAGAGTTTCGGCCACGCCAAAACGTCGCAACCCTTGGCTGGTCAGTGGTCTCTCTCGATCATGGGCGGTCTCGATCATGGACGGGCTCTATGTCTGGCCGACCCCGGCACTCGCCCGCCACCAAGACGAACGCACCAAAGAGGAAACCAACAGGCAACGAACGTAAGGCAGCCATCCAGCCAAAGTCGAGTGCAACCGCCGCCGAGCGGAGTGGCCGCGCAACGAACGAGATCGGCCATCCACCCTTCACAGCCACAATGGTCAGCTGTGCGCGCGACGGTTCCGGACATCTGGAATGGCAGGTTGATGTGCAGAGTAGAGTATAGGACCTACATCACATACCGTACCGAACGACTTCAAGCTGCAAGGCAGCTCTGTGGGTCAGGAACGAGGGAGAGGAAGCGAAGATGGCGTTGAAACACAGGAGGCATCTGGGGGGCGGGCTAGTTTGTGCACTAGTAAGCGCCCGGGCTGGAGACGGACGGATGGTTGGGCACCATGCGTCGCCAATCGCTCACCCCTGGCGTTCATGGTTAGTTGGCCCCCACTCCACGCTCGCCGATAACTAGAGTCGCTATCGACTTACTTATAGTGGTTAACCCCATCCATCTCCCGCCCATCGCGGACCGGAACAGTTTGCGATGGAGGCGACCGGAGGGCGAGGAGGACAAAGAGGAGTTGGGACGGGCCAATGACGATGGGAGACCAGATGCATAGAGTAGGCACCCGAGTGGCAGTCTCAGAGCGGACAGGTCGCAGGTGCATAACTAGAGTGAAGTTGAGTGGAGTAGAGATACAACGACGGTATGCGAACCGATGTAGCCATATGCATGGAGTGGGCATGGCGCCGCGGGCTGCCCTTCTTCTTCTTCTTGTTCCTCTTCTTCTTCGTCTTCATCTTCTTCGTATTCTTCAGCTTGTGTCCCCTCCAGAGTACATATCCGCTTTCGTCCGCCCGTCCTTCCCCTCTCCTCGTCTTCGTCGTTTGCTCATCTACGGCAATCCATCCGATCCTCTCGTCGAACCTCACGCTGCAGAATCCTTCACCGCCTTCTGGAAACCGTCCCCCGTCGTACGCTGTGACACTCATCGAACCCTGTCGCTGGAACCTGCTGGACTGGTAAAACCCTACGCAACGTGCTCAAAGTCGTACCTTACGCGCTGCTGCTGCTGCTGCTGGATCCTGAGCATCCCTCGCCGTCCCCCACGTTCGGACATACATAAGCGCTGCGCCCCCAGCTCGCTGTCAGTTTCGCAGACCCGTACATTCACCGTCATCTCTTGGGAAGAGAGAGTGAAACAGAATCCAACAGGTGGGTCCCTATTCCTCCTATGTCATTGTTCGCTTGTGGTATCAAGAAGAAAACCCCTCCCTGGTCGGTGTATCTTTGCGGTATGTGTACAAGGTAGTAGATGCTGCCTGTGCCTCACCCAGTAGCCTGGTTTGCCGGGCTACAGCTGCAGTACATATACCAACGACTGCACCCTCCTGCTGCTCGCGGGCCTTTCTCCCACAAAAGGCGATACCGAAGTGGAATACGGAAAAACGAACTCTTGCTGACCGACGACGTTGACCACGAAGTCTAGATTTCAACCATGGATTCCCATTTGGATAGACGGTATTCCACCCTTCACTCTCCGGCGGACAGTCAACCAAGTCAATATTCCCTCCATACGCCGATTGAGCCCTCACGCAACCTCAACAACCCTTACTTCACCTCGCAATATACCGGCGATCCGGTTCCCGAGTCGCCAACACAAGAGCGCCCGCCGATGTCGTTCCCGCCGCCTCCAACCTCGCAGTACTCGGCCGATCAGTACCATGTTCAGCCGTCACAGGAGTTCGCGCCTCCTCCTCATCTTCCTCACCCTCCTCAGCAAAGACTGGGCACGCCACAGGATACACCAGGCCTCCCACCACTTCCCGGAGTCGAGACCTTTCAGATGACCGCGCCGCAGAACACGCGCTCACCGCCGCCGCCCTTCGAACAGCTCCAAGGCCTCCCACAGATGGATTACGACCAAGGCCAGCCCGAACAGCCGCGCTCACCCCCTCCAGCGTTCGATCCGCACGATCCCAACCCCATGGCGACAGCGCAGGCAGAGGGCCCCTCGGGGCGCTTCCGTTCAGCAGCGCCGGCGCCCCCGATGCCGATCCACGTCCCTTCGTACAATGCATCCGACAGCACAAGCCCGCAAACGCCGAAAACCCCCCACTACACGCCTGGCGCTGCAGCGGGTCCCAACGGCGGTATCCACGCGCCGGGACAAATCGGCCATCCGAACCAGCAACACGGCATGGAGAAGTATAGTCACGGCCTGTGCGACGGTTTCGGCGATATCTCGACATGTAAATATCCCTCTCCCGGGCGCGCAGAGGACTCTAGGGGATCATGGAAATGCTGACGTGAACGCGCATAGGTTGCCTGGGCTACTGGTGTCCCTGCATTCTGTACTCGCGAACCTACCACCGCCTGAAGACGGTCCCGAACTCCAACATCAACGAGTTTAAATCTTGTAACAACCACTGCGGCATGTTCTGTCTGTTAGCGCCCGTATCCTGTAAGCCCCCTCCCTCCCCTCCTTACCCACCACCGCCACTAACACAAGCACATAGTCATCCTAACAACGCTGCAGCGCTCGCGCATCCGCGAAAACTACCGGCTCGAGGGCTCGATCGCAAACGACTGCATGAAGGCCTACTGCTGCTCGTGCTGCGCGCTGATCCAGGACGACCGCGAGGTTGCTCATCGCGAGGATGAGCGCAGGAGGTTTGCCGGACCTGGAAGCGGCGTCGTCGGCGATGGCGGGTATAGAAGACAGCCGACTATGATGTATCCGTGAGCGAGAGCGGGAGGGGGCTGTGGGCTGTGGGCGTGCTTTGCTTTTTTTGTCGGCCGAGACTGGGAGCGAAACCGAGACTGAGCTCGATTGGGGGAGCGGCCGGATTGGGGGAGCGGCCGGATATTCTTTTATTCTTTAATCTTGCTTTCTTTCTTTCTTTCTGCCAGGTTTGGGTGGGTGTATTTATGTATGTGTGCGTGTGTGTATGGGGAGCTTCCGCCGTAATCTTTCGGTTGGTTGGTTGGTTGGTTGGTTGGTGGGTGGGACAAAACGGGTATGGGACGGGCTCGGGATCGGCCTTTGGGAATGGAATTGTGGTGGAATTTGGAATTTGGAAAGTGGAGGGTTTTGGATGGATGGATGGATTGATACCACGGATTTCTTTTGTTTTTTCTTTTGTTTCTTTCATATTTCGGTAATCTGGTGCAGGATATGGGATTAGGAATCATGACGGAGCGGAGGATCGGGGAATGGGGAAGGATTGTATTTCTAGTATTTATTCCCTAAGTAAGTAGGATCACGGGATGGGATGGTATGGGATAGGACAGGATATGTAGGACGGGATTTGTAGGACGGGATGGGGAAGGCACGCAATGAAACCACGAATTCAACGGTTCACGGACCGATGGGACTGGGTAGGACTGGGCAGGACTGGGCAGGAAGTGAAGTGCAAAGGGGTGTTGTTGGGTTTGGTTAGGTGTCTTTGTCTTTGGGTGTCGTTGAGTTGGGTTGGGTTGGCTGTCACTCGTGAACCGTGGTGGGATGAGGGATGATCGAAGTTCGAACCCCTCTGGCTATCTAGAGTACCTAGAGTATGGTACGACGACCCGAAGCCTGCTGCCCACGGTCCGATATGGGCCGATCGGTCGGACGGGACGGGACGGGGCGGGTGCCACGTGCCGACCGTCGACCGGGAAATACTGGTAACATACTGTGGAAAGGTTGCCCGCTGCCGCCGACGACGATGCCGGGGGGTCGGAACTGGTGCCAGGAAGGTACATAAGGCGCCCGGTGGACACTGGGCATGAAAATCATACCTGCGCACGCGGCGGATCAATAAAGTAGGTACCGTGGAATAGAAGTTATATCATACATTCACGCACGAACGAACGAACCGTCGCATCCTCAGGGCCTCAAGGTCGGGACTCGGGAGGGACTCGGAGGCGTAAGAAAGAAAAGAAAGAAAAAACCGAGTGTTCACTGCGCAGCCCGACCCAACCCAAACCAAACCAAACCAACTAGAAAGCAGAAAAGAATGCAGAAAGCAGGAATCCCATCCCCAATCCTCTAGGTACTCTATGTATCCTTCGATTCTCGGCCTCGCACGCCATTCGCCACCCGCTCGGCCTCCGACTCCGGTGACTCCAGTAACTCCCCCTTCTCGACCTCCCCATTCTCCAGCTGCCGAAAGTTCCGCGCCACAGCGTCCATGATGTACTGGTGCGCCGTCATCCGCGGGTACTTCCCCAGCGGGCCGACGACCTCGACGTTCTTGTTGGCTTGGTTGAAGTAGCTGTGTTTTCTTCTGTCAGTAACGATGCATGTGTTGGGGTGGTGGTGGGGGGAGGTGGGAGGGGATGACGAGTACATACGCAACACTAAACCGCTCCTTCTGATTCTCCCCGACCTTCGGGCACCTTACACGATGAAAGAGGCTCTTGAAGCGATCATCGCTCCACGCCATGAGCATATCGCCAATATTGCACACAATCTCGCCTGTGACGGGTTCCACCGGAGTCCACGCGTCTCCATGTGCAAAGCTGGTATGTGCCTCCCTTCCCGGACACACCTCCAGCCCGGCCTCACCCGTGCGCTGATACAGCAGCGTTAAGCAGTCGAAGTCGGTGTGTGCGCCGGCGCGCCAGTACTCGGGCGGGAACGCGGTGCCGCTGATGTCGTGGTAGTGCAGCAGGCGCAGCGTGTTCTGTGCGCACGGGAGGTCGACACGGTGGCTGCGCGCGAAGTGGTCCGCCGCGAAGCCGAGCGCCTCCGCGAAGAAGCGCAGGATCGACTGCGAGAGGGCGTGCGTCTGCGACATGAAGCGCGCCATGGAGGCTTTTAGCTCCGGGGAGAGGTCGGTGTCCGACGGCCACGAGGCGTCGAAGCGCCGGTGGTATTGTAGCTGCAGGGACTCTTTTTGGTCCGGGAGACCGGTAGACGGCCGAATTTGGCTGCGGCTCTCCCAGCCGGTGTTTTCGCTCCGGATTAAGGGTGTCTTTGCTTTTACGGCCTCGGGGAGTGAGAAGAACGCTTTCCTGAGAAGCGACGGCGGTCAGATGAGTTCCGATCCGCGAGTGGTGCGGGGAGGGAACTTACGAGATGCTGAACATCTCCTCGATCTCGGCGGGAGTGGGCGACTCTTGGTCCACGAGCACGAAGAAGCCGATGTTTTCGGCTGCGTCGATGATCTGTCGGCCGATCTCGGTCCGCCGTGTCGCGAAATCGTGCAGTGAGATCTTGGGGATCTTTCGGGGTTTCATTGTTGAGGCGGGGGGCTCGGAGATGGCCATCCCGATTTAGGTACTGGGTGTTATAGACGAGTGCGATGTTATGTGGGTTGGGTTGGGTTGTGTGATTTCGGTACGGGAGGTTGCAGACGAGTGCGAGGTGATGTATGGGTGTGTGGCCGACGATTTCAATGGAGCACGGCGATTCCGCAATAGCAAGGCCGTCTGCGACTGGGTTGGTGGATTGACGTAGGGAGGGGTGGTTGTAATAGTCGTTGTATGTGTGTGTGCGTGTGCGTGGGAGTGAGCAATAGGATCGAACCGATGAGCATCTATCTCCACTGCGGATCCGATGCAGTTCTTATAAAGCTCCGAGCGGCCTCGAGTGTGGGAAGGGCTCGCAGACGGCGCAAAACATGCTAGTTAGTGAGACCATGTGTTGCCATGGAGCACACACGCCCATCGCATCGAGTGGACCGGCACGCCGTCTGCGCAAGCACTGTTCCTGAGGGCGGGCATCGTATGCATGCACTCAGATATGTGTGTATCTCCTCCCTATCATTGCAAATGGCCGCGCATCTCCATCGCCATCAATATATTGTAAATAGTTATCAGCTACCTACGAATGATCCGGAAGATCGTCCATGCATGCTTGCTGCGTCTGTCCTACATACCCCGGGCCTGTTGGGAATGGGATGGCTCGTCCCAGCACCCCGCACCTACCGCCGGCCATCTGCGAGCCCCGGCGTTATCCGAGGATTCGGCGGATGCAGATTGGCGCTCGGGGATCTGCGAGGTGGTGGTATGGATTGGGCTCAGTGTCGCTTTCTTGCTGACCCGCCAGCGCGCAGAGCTGGGAGGGACATGGGCAGTTTTTTATTGGGTTCACTTTGTTATCGCACGTGGATTTGGGGGGGGGGCCTTGGAGTCTTGGGCTTGGACTTGGAGTCGTCGGGCCTTGGGTGTGTCCGGTTAGGTTGCACGACCACAAGCGAGATGGTGAGTTGAGGGTCCATCGGCGTGTGCCGCGGGCTTGGAATCCTGGATACGGCCTTAGGCACGCTTGGATACTAGTGCGTGGATGCTAGCACTCCCGATGGAAGTCGAAGCACCCCCGATGGAAGACCAAAAGAAGTGATCTCCGCTCCGTCGCGCGTTGGCGGCGAGCCGGGCGCCCGGAGCGCGCAACAGACATACATCATGCCGCCGGCCGCCCTCCGCTCGCCCGCGAAACACGCAGCGCATCGACGCCGACTTCCGTCTGTATCTAGAGTACGTGGTTGCGCTGAGCAGTGCTTCAGTCCCTGTAGCCAGCCAAGCCAGCCAAGCCAGTCTGCCACAATGCAGGTTCGGTTCAGTTCAGCTTCAGCTCCAGCCGAGCTTCGAGCGGCAAGCCCAGAGCGAACGAAGCCTACCTCTACACACATCATACATGGGAATCCATGGCGAGTGCGCGGCGCTACACTTCAGCGGGTTAGATAATACCACGGTAATAGTTCTTGCAAGTTGCCACTTCAAACTTGGGCTTTGGAATACTACAGAGTTTTAACGATCGTATTTTCTAAACGACGTTGCGCCGAACGCTCAGCGTGCTTTTGAACCGACGTAAGCTCGAGTTTGTGTGGTAGCTTCAAGATACGGTGTCGTGCCGAACAGGGCCGTAATAATCATACATAAATGGACCCTGCCGTGCAAGTGCAAGTGCGACTGGAGTCTGGCAGTGATTGGTGACGATAACCCGAGGGCGGGGAAACGTTGGAACTTGGTGCTGCCTGGCGAAAGTCCCTCGGGCAACGACTCTGCCGGAAGCACAGCTTCAGATGCAACTACGAGTTATATACACTGGTACGTTACGACGACGGTTTGTTGGAGATGCGATTGCACAAGCTCCCCGGGTAGCTGATGCCGTATCTACCGTGTGCATATGTACAGATCTGAACTTCCGAAGCGGGCATCCGCGATATCAATACTCTGCTGTGCGGTATGTACCGGTAGGTAGATTCCGTGCTCGGACAAGGCCGATGGCTCGCGAGTTTCGACTTACTCTGCGTTCGGCTTTTGCGATGCGTCCTGGGATCGTGACGGTCATCATCATTCTCACTCGTGACTGCTGCATAAACGAACACGAATCGCATGCTTTTCTTAGTCACCTACACATCCTGGAATTATTGACTGACTATCGCTCGTCTTTGGTTCCTGTATACTACTATATACGGTAGTACATACAATCCATAATGCTGCTCGTGACCGCAGACCGTCGCCAATCAGACCCGTCCCTCCGTCTCGATGGTTTTGGATGGGTTCTGTCGAGGTCATCAGGGCGTCGGAACGTTCCGCTAGATTGCGCCCTCCTCTAAAGCACCAGTTAGCGTGACCTTACTAATTACCCGCCATTCTTCCCTTTCTCAGTTTCAACCATGCAAGTCTAGTTGCAACCCCCCAAAGCAACTTGTTGCTCCGCTTCCACCGCTAATAACTACCACCACCAAACTTCCACGTCATTCCCACACACCCGCAAAGATGGCGCACTACAGCAATCGAACTTCACCCGCACACGAGGCCGACGACGACGACTACAGAGACTACGACCGAGGCCGGGACTGGGACCGGGAGCGCGATCGGGACCCTGGCCGTGATTCCTACGAGCCGTATCAGCCGCACGACCGTTCCTCTCGTCTGGCACAGGCGCAGGACCCCCGGGGGTATCACCACTACCCGAGAGACCACCACCACAACCACCACCACCAGAGCCACCGTCCGCGCCCCAGGTCCCGGTCGCGGTCCCCTCGCGCACAGCGCGGCCCCAGGAGCTCCGACTCTCGTGGCTACTACGATCGCGACGCTCCCCAGGACCGCAGCCGCAGTCGGACGCCGCCGGAGAGATTCCTGTCGAGGGATGTGATCATCGAAGGATTTGGAGCAGAGGTGCAAGATGATGACGTTGTTACCCCTATCTACCCACCGTTACCACCCGCACACACCCGCACACACTCAGTCTCAAATGCAGTGTCAACATTGCCTTCCTTTGCATTACCCCCACATCCACGTTTTGCTTGCTGGGACAGTTTTGCTGAAAGAGGGATTGCGAGGACCCGTGGCGGCGTGGCCCGCCAGGGTTGCGTGATTTGGAATGCATACAGATTATGAGAGAACTTGTTGAGGAACTTCGATTGACGGGAATTGAGAAGGTCACCCTCATAAGAGACCGCAAGACTGGTAATTGATCTCTTTGTGTCGTCCGCTGTGCACTGCTCGACCGGGCTGACTCTCTCCCCCGTGCAGGAGTATCGAGAGGATTCGCCTTCATTCATTTCACTACAACTGCCGACTCTTCGGCATTCGTGGATACCTTTGGACCTTCTGTCCGGATTGGGGATGACAGATGTCGGGTCGCTTTTTCGAGGGAGCGGGAAGGACGCAGGCGAGATGACGACGGAGAGGAATGGCGATGTCGAGTAGTACGTCCTCCTCCGCCGCCACCTCCACCACCTCCACCTCCACCACCTCCACCTCCACCACCGCCACTACCACAGTGTACGCTTTACTACGTATGGTCTGTTGATTCGTGTTGCAGTGTCTACTAGTCAACTATCCGCGACGCCAGGAGTGCTTCCGTTGTTCGACCCCGAGATCAGGTTTGTAGTCTGTCCAAAATCCTGCGATTGCCAACTCACATGGCTGCAGAGGTCACTCTCACAGGCACTCTGACGCATCCAACACCTACGTACTTCACCAACGACGGCGAGAGAGACATGGCTGCTTCGCCACCATCGCAGTTCCTTCTCTTCCGCAACCTTGAGGCTGGCGTCAACGAGGAACTTTTGGCCAAGGGCGTCATGAAGTTGGCCACACCAGCCTCTCCTACCGGAGCTGCGGAAAGTTCCATCAAGCGGGTGCTACTGGTGCGCGATCGTCGGACGAACGAGTCGTGGCGCTATGGGTTTGCCGAGTTCTCGACGCCACAGGAAGCACAGAAGGCCTTCAGGGTGTATGAGACCACAGAAAAGTTCACCATCAGCTCGAAGCCAATCGCAATCTCGTACATCCACCCCGGAGTGTTCGTGCCGGTATACAACGCACCGAACGAGGCGGAGCGATTCACGTTCCTGCCGCTCACCCCCGTAGGCGGTGGTATGAGATTGGCCTACTGGGATGAGGAGGGATACGTGAGCGAGCTGGTACTCAACACTGCGGAGGAGAATCCGCAGGGTGAAGAAACCAAAGAAACCGCGGCCGGTGAGAAGAAGTCCAAGAAGCGGAAAGCAGAGGTAGCACCTGGCGGCTCCGCGGCCGAAAGACTCGCGGCCAAAAAGGCGACACTACCAGCGCATCTACAGTTCTGGCAGAACCGTCATTCGGAGCTGCACGGTGGCCGTCCCAAGGCCGCGAACCAAGCCGCGAATGCCGCCGGCACGGAGGGCGGCGAAGGCAGCCCCGCCGCATCAACGCAGGGCAAGGAAGAGAACAGGGGCCCGCAAGAGTCCTTCGCGGATCTAAAAAAACTCGCCTGTCTCCTCTGCTCGCGCATGTTCAAGACTGCCGAGAAGCTGCACCAACACGAGCGCGTCTCGGACCTGCACGCCACAAACCTTGGCAACCCGACGCTCTGCGAAACGGCGCGCAAGAAGCTGCCCAAGAACACTACTACCACCGCCGCTGCTTCTTCCTCTTCGGAATACCGCGACCGCGCCAAAGAGCGCCGACAGGCCTTTCCCTCCACCGTCCCCACCACCAGCAACGCCCAGAAGAAGAAATCCAAGACCTCGCCGCCGGCCGAGGCGGCCGAAGCGCCACAGCAAAATAAGGGCGCGGCGCTCCTCGGGAAGATGGGCTGGACGCAGGGACAGGGCCTTGGCGCTACCGGCGAGGGCCGCACGGATCACGTCGTGGCGGAAATGTATACCGCGGGCGCGGGACTGGGCATGAAGGGGGCGAAGGTGGGCGATGTTGAGGAGGCCGCGAAGTCTGGTGGCGGTGGCTATCAGGAGTTTGTTAGGAAGACGAAGGAAAGGGCGAAGGAGAGGTATGTTGAGATGGAGTAGCATGGAGCGTGACGGGGCTTTGACGGGGCTTTGATCAAGGCTTGCACGCTGTGCGCCTGGGGCGAAGGTATCTACTTACATACTATCTATATACTCGCGAGGAGTGGGCGGGTTGTATTGCACATAGTTCATAGTTCATGCTGCCGTGTTTCGTAAATTGGTAGTTCCGAATCGTGCGTTTCGGTCAGTAGGCTGAGTATTTACATGGATCGATGTAGATACGTTGGAAGTGAAGCCGAGTGATAGCACCATGCATACGTGTGTCCATCAACTCTGAGCTTCCGCCCAGTAGGTATTGGTCATGTGTCTTAAATATGGATTCAAGTTCTGCTTCACGAGGACTGCTTTATTTTGAGAATGAATGGCAGACTAGACGCTGTTAAAGATTCATCGCCTCCGTCTTCTACCGTACCTACCGTAGTTGTGGAGACCGCCATTCAGCCTGTCTCAACCTCCATCGTTGCTGCTGCCAGTAACTAACCTCCATTTTCACAGGCGCTGGACGCCTTGCAGGTATCTACTCCCTACTATAGTAAAATTTATGCCGCCGGGCATCGTCTGGTCTGGTCTGGTCTGATCTGATCTGCGGGCGGGCGACAACCGTCAGTCAACGCATAAGCATAAAAGCATAATCCAACAGCCGCCGTTATCCTCCCCCGCCCCCGCCAGCTACCACATACATCAGCGGTCGGAAAAAGTGGGGGATGAATACCCAGGGCGGTTACATAACCTGCCACAACTGATACGATGGCAAACCTCCCCTTCCCATTCCTCTTCGAACTGAAGCAGAAAAACATAAACCTCTCTCCCTTTCCTTTGAAAAGAAATGAAAGGAAAAAGGAAAAAGGAAAAAGGAAAAAGCAAAAAACAGCGTCAACGACAAGATTCGAACTTGCGCGCCCGAAGGCATCCGCTGAGCTCTCCGTAATCGGAATAGCAGGCGAACGTGTTAACCACTCCACCACGTTGACTGGTTACTAGTCACACATTGTGTATGGGATCTGACCCAATTTATCAAGGAGTAGGAAGCGTCGGATCGGTGGATGCCCGTGGATCCTCGCGGACGAACGCAAAGGTCATGTGATTTGAAATCGGTTAGCAAGACGATGTCACCGTTTCGAGACGCAATCACAATCACAATCACCAGCAGCTGGCAGAAATAAAACGTTCTGGGTGGAAAACTGGATTGCGGTCGTTTTTGGCCGAGCAGGGCACCCAAACGGGCGCAGGAGATACTCGCCAAACTTCAGAGAATGCAAATGCAAATGCAAATGCACTGCTGCAATGATGCACTTGCACTGCGACTGCTACTGCTGCTGCTGTATGTACAATACATACTTGCACTGCGCACTGCGCCGTACGCGCCCGAAGTTGCGCGTTACTCTGGAATCTGGATGGATACATATCCCCAGTCACCCGCGCAGCCACTGTGCCACATTTTCTGACGGGGAGTCGTGATGTGATGGGAAGTGATGAGACCATTGGGATGGGATGGGATGGAAGTGCAAGTGCGAGTTTGTTTGTTTGTTTGTTCGGCGCAGCTTACCGGCGGGAGGGAGGGAGGCCCTTGGAGGGAAGTGAAGGAAGGGGAGTTCCGAGTTTCGGGGCGGAATTATGTTTGCTGCAGGTGTAAAATTGAACGAATTCGAGGTGCAGAAGCTTCGGTTGTTCTCACCCTGGTACCTGCAGAGAATATCGTATAATATTACAGATTGGGAATTAATGATATTAAATTCGACATTGCGGGAGGGGATCGCACGGGCTTTTGCTAAGATGGGCCAATAGGCGGTGAGACTGGTTGGACTGGCTGGACTGGCTGGAGAAAGTCGCCGGGATCGGTCTGGAGAGCTGCCGCTTGCGGTTGGGTTGGTGCAGACAGCTAGGTAGCCCGGCCCAAGTGCTTTGGGTCCGTCCGCCGCCGTCGCCGCGAGTTTGCCCAGCAAGCAAGCAGCAAGCAGCAATCAAGCCCTCCCTCCCCCTCCGCACCACCACTGCCACCACCACCATCGTTAAGGGTAATGGCAGACCGGACTCGTCCCTCGCAGATCATCTTCTTCGGCACTCGCCCCATGCTACTAGTGGAGTAGAGTACGTAGATGCTCTAACTACCCCTTCGAAAGGAGAGAGAGAACCGAACCGAACTGTCTGGCATCCCTTCACGCTCACGCCTGGAGAATTTCCTCTCCTCTCTCCCCGATCGCCCCATCCCACCCGGTCGGTAGCTGGACTTTGTTGACGGGAGGAAAGCGAAGCCGTCATCCATCATCCCCTCCCTTGTTGCCTGCTGCTCTGCTTTCCTTGTCCTCGCGTTCTACGGTACTATACTGCCGCCGCCTTCCTGCTGGCTGGCTATAGTACACCGGGGTTCGGCGGCACAATAGGTAGTAGGTAGGAGGTTCTAGTTGATTTCGTGCGCCTCCCGCCTCGGGGATTCTGTTCTTCTGCTGCAGCCAAGGTCTGCGGTTTCCCCTTCACGAGCCCTGTTTTGCCTATAATAAGTATCCCCAGCCAGCCAACCGTGCGGATTTGGGAATCGAGCCCGAGCTGCTGGATCATAACTGCGACAAGTTGACCATGTCTGTCTGCAGCGCCGTCTCCGACTCCGTCCCCGCCGCTGCTGCTGCTGCTCGTCCTGCTGCTGCATCGACGTCTTCCCTAGCCCTGCCTATCACTCATCTCCAAGCAATCACGCGGCAGGCAACCCGGTCTCCTGTCACGCCAGATTCTCCTACTTACCCATCGTTTACTGCTGCCGTTGCCGTGTCGAGAAACGCGACATCCACATCACGACGAGAGGCGCGAGACATGTCGAACGTTACCAAGCAGATGCACACGATACCGGGCACACCAGCGGGGTCGGGATCAGAGTCGGAGCCGGAGACGTCGGAGCCACCACCGCCGCCGCCGCCGCTGCTGCCACTGCCCCCCATTCCCACCGGAGCGGTGCCCGCCTCCCGCACGGCATCCACGGCCGTAGTCGCCGCCGCAGCTGCAGCGGCCGCTACTGCCGCCAGCGCAACAACAAAAGCGAACTCCACTCTCCCGCGCAAAGCCCATTACGCGCAGACTCCCGAACAGGTGTTGCACACCATCCGGGACCGCTCCCGCGAGCACTATCAGCGGCTGCTGCGCGAGCGCCCCTCCGTCCCGCTACTTTCCACCGATGGCTACCAGCAGCAGCAGCAGCAGCGCTCGCATGTCCCCCACCACCAACACCACCATCAACACACCATGTCGATGCGCTCGCGCTCGGGCTCGACCAGATCTGCGCCCGCGGGTCCCTGCATCACCATCGTGAGCGGCAAGGGACGCACCGTGCATCAGGTAGCTGCAGCGCCCGATGTGCCCACGGTTCCTACGCGCTACGGCAGGGTGCCGACGCCGGTCGGCTGTTTGCCGGGGACCGGGGGTTTGCGGATTGAAGACTGGGCCATCTTTGGTGGGCCGTCGGAATCGCGCGGTGAGCGCCCGCGCTGGGAGTTGCCCGAGAATTGTTTCAATGGGGAGGAGGGTGGGAATGGTGCTGGTGCTGGCGGTGGTGGGGGGGGAGGGGCGGCGAGAAGGAAGAAGGTCCCACCTGGAGGTGCTGCTGGTGCGAATGGTGGTTCGATCTTGACCGAAATGCGCCAGAAGGTTAAGAGCATGATCAAGGGCCTGCACGTCAACGTGTCCATTTCGTTCGGTGAAAAGGGGACTACGGGTGGTGGCGGCGGCGGCGGCTGCGTTGAGGACCGTGAAATACCTCGCCAGACACGGCGGGAGATGACGCTGCGGATCAAGAACAGCAAGACCGGGAGCTGCGTATACGAGATGTTTGTTTGCTCCTCCCCTCCATCCCCGTCGCCGGGGGCACGTCACGTTGACATATATTTTCCGCGGCGCACAGACTACGGCACGAGGATTCCAAAGACGAGATCCTAACGCCGCTCGAGGACCTCCGCGCCCTCTTCCCGTACAGCAAGAAGCTGCAGCGCGATCTCGTCGAGTGGAACCGGCACTACCAGAACCCGCCGCAGCACTGGGTCGTCAACTTCATCCCCCGCGCGTATCTAAAGCGTGGCTATAAGCTCGGCGAGGAGCTGTGCGAGTACTTCATGCAGCATCCGGACGGCTGCCAGTATAGAGTCGAGTACGAGCCCATCGGCCACGCTTACTGCCACGTCGGCACGGTTGTCCCGAGGAATCGCAGGAAGTCTAGGAGGGGCGGCGATATGTGGTGGGAGGGTGGCCGCGAGAAACATATCGACTTTTCGGATTCAAATGCTCGGTGACATGAGACTTAGCCGTTGAGACGGTTCGTTAATGCTGGAGAATCGTTGGTGGACGGGCGAGATACAGGAATCCAAGATGGTGCCCCACATAATGGAGAGGTGGAGGAAGGAATGGTACAAGTGGGCATTTGGATGGGACTGGATTGGATTGGATGATGGTATGTACGAGTGATGATCTAACGGCAACGGTTTTCTTTTTTTAACTTAATTCCCTTTTCCTTTCTCTACCTTTATAGCTATCATAGTAGTTTTGCTCAATTTCGTAGTACGGTACTTGTTACATTTCTTTAGGAGTATTTAGTGGTTGGTCTGTGGGGGTGTACGGGGCTTGTTGTTGTTGTTGTTGTTGTTGTTGTTGTTGTGGGAGGTGCGGGGTTTTCTCCTTTCCTTTGTTCTTCTTTTCCTTTTCTTTGCTTTTCGTCCGGGAAAGGTGTGCTTTGTATTTGGTTTTTTACGCTGGGGCGATTGCGCTGGAGATTCGAGAGGCGCATGTATTCTACTTTTATATATTCTAATGGTGATCAGCGATTAATGTCTATTCAAATTCCTCTTTGTTCTAAGTATTCCTTTTGAATGATAATTACTTCAATGCTATACGGTACTTCAACGGGCATCTGTCCGCAGAAAACGACCTCAACATTCGAGGTTCTGATCTTTTTTTTTTGTAGACATACCTAGCAATAGTATGAAACTATGTTTCAGGGTCAATGCGGAGGGTGAAAGGGGAACGGAACTATGATGTATTGTGGGACCCTAAGTAGGGCTGAGGACAATTCCCATCGCGATTGCCGACTCACTGTTGCCCCAGGGCCGCAGGGCGGGCTCGACCGCCCTGTCCTGTTCGGTTCATTCCGGTAGGTTCGAAGGTTCGAAGGCTCGAAGCGAGTGACAGGTTGAGATAACTATGATAGGTAGTGGCTGGCGCCACTATGTGGCGTGGCTGCGGAGTGGTATTCACACTGCACACTGCACTAGTATATAACCGGTAGTTGGTGCATCCTCTAATCGCGGATCTGACCTATGGTTGGGGACTCCTACAGTAGAGCCGATGGGGTCGAACATTCGTAGAAAATCGAATTAATTACAAAAGGGTAAATATATGGCGATTTTTTAGTTTTTTTAGTAGAGAATGTGCATTTTAATTCCATTTTAGGCCTATTTAATCCAAATCTCAGCCTAAAATCGTTCTTGGCTTACCTGATCGGGCTGTTCATGGGCCCAGAATGGGCAAGCACAGTGCAAACATGGGTAAATCGGGTGATAACAGGGGGGGGGGGAACGTTAGGTTGGCCTCCATACAAAACGATTTACTTTGTAAATTCTTCTTCTCCACAACCACGCTTCTTAAAACCAATCGGACATTATTTGAATGACGGCCATGCGATTCTCTATCTATTAATCACGAGTTTTTGTTCAAAAGAAACGTTTTGGTGGAGGAGATAAGTGTCAAAGTTGGGGGTGTTTTTCCATCGGTTATGCACTAATAGGCGTCCCCAACCAAAATCGATCACTCGCACCCACGGACGCGCCACTGACTAAGCACACAAAGTTCAGAGCCTCCACAGAAGCGAACCGTACTCACGACGTGAACCTTCAACTCAATAACGCGTCTTCCCGCGGCCGCCATTCCGCCCATCGCACGCACACACCACCCCCCACGCACACACACACATACAATATACTATGGCATCGCCCACGTCGCTCGCCCCGGATACAGATGACGAACTGCAGCTGCTCGCAGACACCCTCGAGGTTGTGCCAAAGCCTAACGAGGTCGAGCCCGAGGGCCTGCGCCAGCTGCTCGATGACCGGATAGAGGAGCTGCGCCAACTGCTCGATACGCTAGGCAAGAACGATGCCAGTAGGAACAAACTCAAAGAAGGTTCGTGGGATGGAAAACACACAGCTTGGCTTTGAAGGGGGGGTTGCGAGCAGGGAGTTGTGGGGATGGGCGGGGGAGGTTCTTCTTTCGGAGGGGGGCAGTGCGCTGACGATTGGGTGGTGTTGTTGCGGCGGCAGGGAAGCTGAACATTGGCGGCGAGGATTTCCAGCTCAACGAGGCGTTCCAGCAGGAGGCGACACAGCTGTCGGACGATTTCAACATGGATGAGATTGCGGCGGCGAAGCTGTTGCAGCGCGGCGACCAGAAGCGCGAGGAGCTCGATCGGTCCGCGCTGCAGAGCGCGAAGTTCCTCTACCACACCCGGCGAAAGAATATCCTCCAGTCCATCCGGTTAATACTCTCGTATGTGGGCGACGTCAATGTCGGGAGCTCAGACACACGACACATGCTCAATACCGCAACGGAAAAGCTGCTCGAGAGGAAGGATGGCCGCAGTTTTGCAGATAGGTGCATCTCGGCGATGGTGTCAGTTAGACAGGCGGTCCAGCAGCTGCGAGATAAGGAGAAGCACGCTCACACCCTCGGAATGGCGCCGGACCCCGGACTCAAGGAGGATTTGGATCTTCAGCTGCGCTTCCTGCGGAATCAGCATGAGATGCTGGCTGTCATCCTTTACCACCTAGTCAAACTCAGGCGGACTGGCGTCTCCGAACTTAGGAGGCTGCTGGATACGATGAGGACACTCGACCGTTACGACGTCTTTACGGCGCATCACATACTTCCGCTATTTGCGTCCATCACATTCCTGTGCGCTATGGAGTCACCTCTGAGCTTCGAGGAAACCATTCAACTGCACAAAGAGATCGCCAAGACGTACACTGAGAACCATTGGCCGTTGCGGTATTGCCAGGCTGGAATATACCTTTGGTGGCTGAGCGAATTCAATGGACTGTGCAATGATCCCCCGGCCGGCCATGCCCCAAGCAAGGCTTCGCTAGATTACTACCAGGACATACAGAACCCGGCCAAGGTGGCCCTGACGGATGGCGGACTAGAGCTCGTAATGGGCCTGTCGGCAGACATCGCTCAGGAACAGCGCCTAAACTCGTCGAAAGAAGACTTGCATCGGTTCTTGCAGACGCGGGTACCGCCATTAGAAGACGTGGCGATGCTGCTGCCCGATTTCAGGGGTGCTCTCACAGGCCAATTCGAGCTGTTTATCGATAGTATCATCGCGAATCTGGCGAGCCTCTTGCAGACCATCAAGACCGCCGAAGAAGAGGACGATATCATGAACCTGCGCACTTACGATTATGAGCTGGAAAGGTTCTTCTTGATCGTCCACTACACGTTCGACGGGCGGCCGGAGATGGGTATGACGTTCTGGGGTGATCCCGAGGGCAATCTGTTCGGGTTCCTCCGGTGGGCGGCAAAAAACCAGACGCCGTTCATGGTGGCGACATTCTGCTACATGCTGGCGTCGATCTCGTATGGTACTGAGTGTGCTGCAGCGGCGCATAAGTTTTTGATCGACGAGACAAATGTAGGAGCATTAAACCGGAACCGCCGTGGGGAGTCGTTGAATTGGACCTTCATCTTCAAGCATGTGAGAGTCTACCTGGCAGAGCTCGGGAAACGCCAACAAGCACTGGTTCCCAATCCAGCGTACCGCATGCCGCCGCCGCCGGTCGAATCAACTGAGCCTGCCCCGCACCTTAGTATGGAGCTGGATGGAATGTTGCGTCTGACCGGTCAACTCGCTGCGGATTGTCCCGAGGCGAGGCAATGGCTGCGTGGCAATACGGAATACAACATCGTCAGCGGTCTGTTCGAACTACTCAATCTGCAAGCCTCCACACAGCTGTGGGACTCCATCTTCGCCGCGATCACCGCGCTTCTGACCGACAAGGACGAAGCTTTCCGGGACGAAGTGTGGAAGTGTCTCGATGATTGGGCTATGGGATCACCGGCACCTCCCTCCTCGTTGCAACTTGGTGCGAGCACGGCAGTCGCCACCCCCTTTGCGCAAGGCGGATCCGAGAATCTCGACTTGGTGATCCGCGCAGTTCATCCTGCCGAAGCCTTCACTCGCCTGCTTGCGAAATTGGTAGAGCCATACGAGGGAGCAGGCGAACTCAGAGATGCCGTTCCGTTCCCCGAGAATCTCGGGAGCAACAACCGGATGTCGGGAATGGTGCCGTACGTCGACTTCATCATGCGGACCATATTCAACAACACCACCGTCCAAAACCTTCCGCGGGAATCGGCGGTCAACTCCGATAGAGTGGAAACCGTTTCGGAGAAGCTGCTTCGAGTACAGTATCGACGGTTCAGACCGGCACTCCAGCTTAGCTGCCTTCAGTTTATGTACGACTGTCTGGCTAGCTTCAACGATGATCTGCTGGACTTGGCCCACAAGGGCTTTGTCGTTGACGGTGGCCTGCGTGCGTCCTCGCTACTTACGTATACGAAACTTCATCCCTTCGGACGCGTCATGGAACATATCTTGACGGAGAAGTGTCTGAATGTCTTGTTCGAGATTCTGCAGCTTGGTGTCGAGGACTTGTACGGAAATGTTGAACCATCGAATGCGGTTGTCGACACCATCTGGTACACGATCCGAATCCTCGATTTAGCGATTCAGATGCAGCCTACGTATCTGCGTGTTGTACGGCCGTTCATCAAGCAGGATGAAGGGGCGAGGCGGGCAAACATCATCGGTAATAGCTTCGAAAAGCTGGAAAAGGCAGTCCACTACCGGTTGGACACTATTGTCAACTTGGGGTTGTACGTTGGTGCAAGTCAGCACAACATTGTGCTGGATTCAATCAAATTACTGGAGAAGCTCACTATATCGCCCGAGTTCACGACTTCGACGGAGGCCAGTTATGGGCGGCCGTCATCCGTGAACAGGGCACTCGGCGCCGTGGAACAGAGCCCCGAATCGAAGAGGATCCTGTTCAACTTTATTCAGCAGTGGCAATTCCCGGATGAGAATCAACTCGAGAATTGGGGGTTCCCGCTCAAGATGCCAATTCTGAGGTTCTTGGATAACAGTCTGGCGGCTCAGCCGAATTCCTTTACTCTGGCCCATCTGGTACTGGGGTTCGGCCACGACACTAAGGCGGGCGGCATCGAGTTGAGTATGGAACCCGGTGGTGTGGGATCGGGCGTATCGTTACTTCACCAGGTTCTCTATGCTGCGATGGAGGCAAAGGAGTGTGTCGACGAGAACGGGGCACTGACGTACATTCCGGCGTACTGTGAGCTCAAACATGCGTGCTTCTCGATACTTCAGCGGTTGTGGAGTGCACCGTCAACCTCCGGCGACGTCCTATACATCCTGCGGATGAACAAGTTCTTCCTCCAGGGCTTCTTGTCCGAATCAACCATCACTCCAGCCACCCTGTGGGGCATCCATCCGAATAGGGTCGCGATCGAGCCCACCCCACAGTTTTTCGAACACGGCGCCTGTGCCTTTGCAGACTTTTTGGAGCGGCGGACAGCGTTGTTTAATTATACGGCACTCGAAATCCGACAGCTGTCGCTACAAGGCGCATCCACAATGGTACAGCGATACCTCTCGACGCTACTGGGGACAACGATGTTAGAAAACCAGAGAGTGTCCAATGTTCACATCCTGGACCTGCTGGACTTTTTGGAGTTTACGTTCCCGGAGCGGACAAAACAGCCCCAGGTGCAGTGGATCCGCGATATCAACTTGTCTGCCTTCGAAGAGGATGATGCCTCTGGAGCTCCGGTGTTCAACGTGGACAAGGTCGTCGAGTTCCTGCAAATCAAGAAGAATGAGCGGTTTAGATCCGCCGGCATTGTTATGGAATACGGCCAACACCAGCAGGTGGATGACGAGATCGAAGTCGTCCGCAGGCACCTGAATTGCGAGAACCTGCTGCGACGGTGCAGGAGGGCGCGGATACGGTGTCTGGGGGCTTGGAGCACTCTGGTGATCATGATGCTGGAGGACTGCGACATGGAGCGGATGTCTAAAACGGGCTTTATCCTTCAGGCGCTGCAAGCCGTCCTGCCAAAACTGGAACTTTTCAGTGTTGACGATGTCGATGCGGCGCAAGTACTCAGCGAGCTCGCACATTCATTGATTTCCCACCTTCCGTTCGACGCTACGACATTCGGTGTTGGCAGGGGCAGCGACCTGGCGAATGATCGGTTATACCAGCTTTTCCGGGTTTCTCTGCGTTCCATACAGTCGCCTTCCGCCACCGCGAAGCTGAGGGAGGACTTTTACAATATCGCTTTGCAGTACTTGAACGGCATGGCTGCGGTTTCGGGACAGAACCCTGGTTCGCGGCGACACAGTACACAAACTGTCAAGGCGTCGGGAGACAAGCTGCTGGAAGTCGTGTGCAACGATGCATACTCAGGCGACGGAAGGTGTAAGGTTGTCTCGTTATTGCTGCTCGAGGCTCTGGCGGCGGTTGCGGCGGAAGAAGGCTCGTCGTTCGTCATCGAGACACTCGTGAAGCAGAATTTCTTGGTCGTGTTGGTTGATTCCATCAAGACCATCGCACAGGACGTGGAGTCGACCCGGACAGAAGGTATGTAACGTAACTGCGCACTTGCATGAAAAAAGTGGATGGGCTGACGGTAGACCAGATATCAAAGGGATCATGATTGCGTTCAAAGCTGCGACCGGCTTCCTCATACGGATATCGCAATCCCGGTCCGGCGCCGCGCAAGTGATCAACTCGGGCCTCTTCCAGGCGCTCCGCGAGTGCCGACTATTCTCGCTCGACCCGGACCTCGGCCTGCAACTCGAGCAGCCGCTGAACCTGCAGTGCTACTACGAGTTGCTGCTGGAGATCATGCGCGTGGTCGTGTCGTGCATCCTTTCCCGCGGTCCGCAGAATAGACAGGCTATCGACAGCGTAAAGCTGTTCCTCCTTGATAACCGCAACCTCGCCCTCACTATCTTTAAGCGCCATGCCGGCATCGGCGGCGCGAAGGGCCTCGAGGGTGCGGGAGACCTGAAGACACTCGTAGATATGTTTGTCTTGCTCTACTCGCTGACGGAGTTCATCGATGTGAGTTTTTGAGCACCCCCTTTCCGTCCCTGTCTGCGGACTTTCAGAGGGCTGACGAGTGGGCGAAATAGGATGGCAGCGAGAATTATTAACGGATGGATGGATGGACGCATGGGTTGGGCTGGGTTGGGTCTGGTTGGGTTTAATGAGTATCACGAAGCTGCAAGCTGCGGGTGCCAGGGGGGAGTGGACGTGGAAGCTGTTCGATATATGGGGGTTTCTCTTTTCTTCTTTTGTGTTTCTTTTGTATTTCTTTTGCAAGCATGGTCATTACCATTTTGTCAGCTTATCTTGTTCCACCACGTTTGTTTTTTGTTTTTGTTTTTGTTATGTGTGCGCGTTTATGGTGCAAATATCAACTATGGTGAGGTTGGGTTGAAAAGTTTCGTTCTTATTGCGAGATTGATTGATTGGTTATTTGGGTACCTGGGTGGATGGGCATGAGCTGGTGTCATTTGGGGGGACGGGAGAGTGGGGGGGGGGGGGGGGGGGGGTTGTAGGTTCGTTGGCGAGTGTGAGTGGAAGTGGAAACGGTGAGTGGAAGCGGTGAGCGATGAGCGGTGAGCGATGAGCGGTGGATGGTGAATGGTGAGAAAGTGCCTGTTGGGCAGCATTGCCGGTATGGAGTGCATATTATTCTCGTGATACCTATTCTTTGGAATACTGGAGTCTGAATATTGGATGATCTTCAACTCCACTGTTGGTATGTACGGGTGGTCAGTTGTGACACGGTCAGTTGTGGCACGGTCAGTTGTGGCACGGTCACCTATAGTACGCTACGCTATCTACTCTAGTTGTAGCGGCCCGATAACCGAGTCGCCGTCCGACCCCAATCCCCAATCCCCAATCCCGACACGGATGACGCCTTCCCCTAGGCCACACATGCACAGATCCGACTCCCGAGCCGAGCCGATCGATGTCCAAGCTCCGAGCACGCCAACGGCTCACCAGCCAGCCAGGTACCCGCATGGATGTCCCATGATTGCCCATGGCCGTTAAACGCCACCTGCATTCTGCCTACATACAAACCTACAAACTCTATCTCCGCAACTCCGTCACCCCGTGAACCCTGGGGGCTACCCGGACCCAGCAAGGTGTTCGAATATATTTTATTTCCGCAGTTGATGTGCGGGGCGGATAGGGAGGAGAAGGTAAGAGAAGGTGGGATATAAAGACGGAGAACCTAGGAGGGGGAGAGGGACGAAGAGGGAGTACTTAGAACCGACATTTCGCCCAAATTCTAAACCGCTTTTTCGCAGTATTCTGCCGTCTTCAAATAGCAGCAGCGGTCCGCCTGCTCCTCCTGAGTCCTCCTGAGTTCTCCACTTCATCCTGAGTCCTCCACTCCACTCATCCCCCGAAGACAATACAACAGAAGACCAGCCCAGCCACGATGGACCCCCTCCCCTCATCCCCCCCCTCCCCCGCCAACCCCCCCAAACCCCCCTCCACATCCACCTCCCCCTCCCCCTCCCACCCAATCTCACCCTGCGCCCCCTGCCTGCACGCGCCCACAGTCCTCCACGACACGATCCTCCTCGACATCCTCCTTTACCTCCCTACGTCCTCGCTCCTGCGCGCGCGCAGCGTAAGCCGTCACTGGCACACCCTGATCTCGACACGGCGGCACCTACGCTCGCGCTGCTTCCTGCTGCCGCCTACCGCGCCGCCTTTGCGGCCGCTGCAAGAGTGGACGCTCCATCCCGCGCTCAGGGGGGTGGAGTATTGGGGGTACTCTTTACACTGTTCTCACGGGGAGGGGGCGGGGGAGCGGGTCGAGTTGGGAGAGAGGGTATCCCTAAGGGGACGCAGGGTGGAGGGCGCGTGTGTAGCGGCGAATATGGCGAGTGCGCCCGCGGTGGAGAGGGTGGGGGTTTGGGTTGCGGGGTGCACTATGTGGGTGAGCTGTGAGATGGGAGTCACGGTGTGGATGCTGCTGGAGGGGTTCGATAAGTTGTTTGTCCCCCCCCTCTAACAAATGTGAAGATGGGATGCTGACACCAAACAGAATCCAGGAGAAACGGAAACCGACAGATGGCGGCCGAAGGTTCCTGTGGGACCACAAGACATATCCGTAAGCTCCCCGCTTCCCTCCGAGCACCTGCCTGCCTGCTCGCGCTCAGTACTGATGTGCTGTGGATAATAGTCTAGCGGGCTTCCGGATCCTCCCAGAACTGTGTGACGCCAGCGGTAGTGGCAGCATGGTCGTCACCCCGGAGTTTTTCGATACGCAGGCAATCATCGCGGAGCTCAGGGATGGCGGCTGGGTTAGGGAGAGTAGTCGTGTTCCGTTCTGTTTTGAGCTGCCCGAGTAGCGGTGGATGGATGTGTGTTGGGAGTTATGCGTGTAATTCTATTAGTTGGGATGGTTGGGTTATTCTTTTTTGGCAAGTGCTGCTGGAAAGGTGGATAGACATGGTAACGAGAAATGTGCAGTTGATAACCTCAGCGGAGGTTGAGTCAATAGATGCTTATATTGAAGCTTGAGTCTCGGAATCACGCTAGTGAATCGATCGCCAGAAACATCAACTGAGCACATGTCAACCAATAAATCATAACAAAGGCCCGCCATCAAGAAGAAAGATAGTCGATAGACACCGCCACTAAGAACAGCTTGATTAACACCCAAACGCCGACTCCGTAAGAGTAAATGCATCGCACAGAAAGAAGAAGAAACATTAACCTCCGCCTGCTCCCAGCCCATCTACCTACTGCAGCACGGCCTCACGCTCCAACACGCTCTCATCAAACTTGATCAAAAACACCGTTTTCGCGGGAAACTGTTCGGAGGCGACACTATGGGCGGTGACCCTGCAGGGAAACAAGCTGCCGTCCAGCACCGCTTCGATGATGCCCGCGACGAACGCGGCACAGTTCAGCTGCGCCATCTCCTTCGGCACCGAGATGTAGCTGTTGACCGCGGGGTCGTGGTCGATCAGCATGTACTCGTCCTCGTTCTCGCGCGACTTCTCGAGGCCGTCCGCGGGCTTGCCGAAGAGGTGCCGGTACAGCGTTTGCGCAACGAACTGGAGGATGCCGAGGACCCTAGTCTCCCGCTTCGCCGAACGCCCCTCACGGTGAAGCAGCAGCTCGAGAAGTCGCTGCCCGATCGCGTAGCCTTGCGTGTTTAATCTGACCATCCCCCACCCGGGGCTTGTCAGCGGGGAAGCTAGTGGGCGGAACGGGGCGCGGGAGCTTACTTCTTCTCGAGGTCTTGGATGCCGGCCACCTGCTTCTGCGCGTACTGGATCATCTCGGCGAAGAGGAAGGCGAACGATGACTTTGATAGCTCCGAGCGCTGCGTGCGGTTGAGGTGGCGGTCGTAGATGGATTTCCGCGACGAGGCGAAGCGGAGGTTCGAGGAGCCCAGCTGCGTCGGCTTCTGCGAGACCGAGAGCGGTGTCGTCTGGGTCGGCATGCCGGATTGGATCGACGGATTCGGCGAGAACGGGACAAAGGGAGAGGCGGGCGGTTGTTGGAGGTTTGACATGAGTCCGGAGGTGTTGGGGAGCTGTGCTTGTGCTCTTACCGCATCGGAGCACTTTTGTTGTGTGGAGGGACGGCGGATGGTGGGTCGATGGTTCCGGATGATTACCCGCCTCGTGGCGCTGCAAGACAACCAACCCTGCCCAACGTTTTTAACCCTGTTAGCTTTAGACCCACAGCGTCAAACAAGGCCACACCAAAGGAAGATCTCTAACACCAACGATCACGAGAAACCAGCCAACGCCACAGCACCCTAACCACAACAACTCCCAATCTTCAAACGGAATTGATCTGCCTACAACCAACACACCCGTCACTCACCGCCAGACCGTCTGCTTCCACTCCGACCAAATCATGGGCGATCAGTTCATTGGCCTCACCGTGTTCCTGACCATCCAGGGACCCGAGCCTCTTCAGTTGCGGGGCCTTGTCGCGGCTGTCGTGGATCAGCAACTTGCGTTGACCAATGGTCAGTGAACACCCTATATGCCCTAGATTGATATGTGTATATGTCCTGACGATTGGACACAGTTTTCTTCCCCAAAACCGGCCATGCGATGAATAACTACCGCGTCAAGGGCGCCGACATCATAGATGTCGAAATCGTCGATGGTAACTTTGTCCCTCCTCGGCCTCAGCCTCAGCCACAGCACCTACCGCCGAAGCATGCCTATCCTCAAATGCGACCACAGCCACCTCCATTGCAGCAGCAGCAGCACCAATATCATGTGCCACCGCCGCCGCCGGCATACCACACCTTCGCACCCCCGGGCTTCATGAACGCGCCGCCGCCAGCCTTCCCAGGCTTCGCGCCTCCTCCTGCGCCGCCGTCTTTCGTGCAGCCGCCTCCTCCAGTGTCTGTGCATGTATCAGCACCCACCGCCGCAAAGGCCGCACCGCCGCCATTCGAAGACCCTGCCATCGTCTCGATGTCCCGGAAGCCCAGCGTTATTCCATCTGCGTCCGCGCCTGAACCGCAACCGGGACCTCCGTCGCGACCGCAATTCGACGTGAAAACCCCGACTCGGACGCCGGTGCTCCCCGTTCCATCGGCAATATCGAGATCCGGCTCGCACGGTTCGCACGGCTCACGCAAGCAATTGTCGCAGGACATCAGCGTGCCGTTGAATACTGTCAATGTCGCCGGCATTCCCGCGGCGGCCAAGTCTTCGCTTCCTCGCGCTTCTGGTGCTCCCTTGGAGAAAAGGGCCGAGCCGAAGGCGGCGCCGACGCTGCAGCAGCAGTTCACGGATATGTCGTTGCGCAACTATGCGGCGGAGTCGAGTGCGTTCGAGACAGACGACCCGGTTACGCCGTTTCCCCCAAAGCCCACTTACCCCTCGCAACGGCGCCCCGTCAGGAAGCTACCGCCGCGCAGGCAGATGCAGCAGAACGACCAGTTCATGCCTTCTTCTACGCAACAGCAGCCGCTGGAGGGATCGGTGGTGCTGCAGCCGGGGATGTTCGGGGGTGCCATTGCGGCGGCGGCGGGAGCGGGCTACGGTGCGCAAAAGAAGAAGAGCAAGCGGCGGCAACGCTACGAGAATGGCCACTACGCGCGCGACGAAGAGGGCTGGGCGACCGAGGACGTCACGGATTTCAAAGAGACGGAGTTCGATTTCCAGGGAAATCTGGACCGCTTCGATAAGAAGACAGTCTTTAGCCAGATCAAAGCGGAGGATACTACGGCTGATGAGGCCCGCCTGGTCTCGTTCAATCGTCTGCCGAAAAGAGATAAGGCGGTTCCCGTGAGGAAGAATTACCGCAATAATGAGAATGTTATCAATAGCTATCCGACTGGACAATCTCTGGCTGATAGGGACGGCTGGAAGTCGCCTGAGTTCGCTGCGGAACAGTCGGAAGATTCGGATGACGACGAGGATGAGGATGATGAGGATGATGAGAACGACCGTAATTTCGGAGCTGTCGATAGCGGACGCAGCAGTCGTCGGGCCGTGTCACGTCAATCCGTCTCAAACCGCTTGAGTACTCGACAGATGAGCACGGCAGGGCGAGGATCCACGGACAATCTGCAAACCTTATCCAGCAGCGGCAGCGGCATCACGAGCAAGCCCGGCAAGCCCGCCTTCCGCCTCACACCCGGCAACCGTCCATGTCCCACCGTCAGTCCTTTGCAAATGCTCGACGTCGAGCGCATTGCCGAAGTCGAACTCGGCCTGACGGACGACATGATGACCGAGAACGCCGGGCGCGGCATCGCCCAAGTCGCAATCCAAGCATTCGGCAAGCGCATCTCAGCGTCCAACCACAACGCCCTCCCCGTCGTCCTCGTCTTCGCAGGAAACAACAAATCTGGCGCCCGCGCCATCGCTGCCGGACGCCATCTCAAGAACCACCACGTCCGCGTGATGGCGTGCGTCCTCGGCCTCGAGCGCGAAGACGAGCTCCTCGAGAATGTGCGCCGACAACTCAACATCTTCCGCAACGCGGGCGGCCGAGTCGCCAGCTGGCCCGAAATGCAGAGCAACCTCAAGGGCATCGATTCACCGCCGGAGCTAATCATCGACGGCCTTTTGGGTTGGCACCTCGGCTTCGAAGACCTCCGCACGGACCACCGCGCCACCGCCTTCGAACTCGTCCAGTTCGCGAACAAGAGCAAGGCCTCGGTGCTGAGCGTTGACATTCCCAGCGGTGTCGACGGCAGCTCTGGTATAGTCTCCCCCGCAACCCACCCCGCCGCCGCTTTTACCCTCACAAGGATTAACACATACTCCGCAGGCGAGATTGCGCAGCTCGAGGACACGGACGCGTTCTACATGCGCGCCAAATGGGTCGTGTGCATGGGCGCGCCAAAGAGTGGCCTCCTCCACGCTATCGTTATGGGCATCGGCGCAGGTTGGAGCGTGTTTGTTGCCGATATTGGAATCTCGAATACCGCCTGGAGGAAGTATGGCACCCGCAGACGCCATGGCGTCGAGTTCTCTTCTGAGTGGGTCACGAAGGTCGCACTGGCTAATGAGGCGCCTGAATGATGGGGAATATGCGGGTTTCTCATATCTCAATACTTTATTATTGGGTGATATCTGCATATGGCTTTACTCGATATCTTTAGCGACTTGTATTCTACCTTTGTCCCTTTTTTTATTTTTGTTATCGTTTTTTCTTTGGGCTATGGGTTTGTGGGGTGGGGGGCGCTTGGGATTGATTCATTGTGGCTAAGCTTGCCGATGCTGATGGTTATGATTTGTTTCATGTACGATGTAAGATGTAACATAACTCAGTACTTTGTGGACCGAGAAGGTTGTTAATGGCATCAGGATTGATCATGATATCATCATGTGTTATGGCTCGATCTCCCGTAGGTTAGCCATCATGGAGACGCCACTCCCGTGCAGACCCTCCAACAGTTAGTCAGTTGAAATGGGAACACTGGTTTACTCTAAACAGTTCAGTCCTGGTTAATTTTGTTCCTGGTTCAGTTGGGAACAGAGGCTGTCATGACAGTTCCCAGCCGGTTTAGGTATGTATGTCTGGCAGTTGTTCCCGGGAAAACTGTCAGCGGATGAACTGTCAGTTCAGCCCGGGCAGCCAAACTGGGCGAGATACCTAGGTTCCCATGGTCACGGAAAGAGCGATAGAAGATGTACAGTACTAGATTTGAAGTACTAGGTACTCTGATGCTACCTACCCATGGTACCCATGGGAGCACGGCGATTGAACCGCTTGATTTGATGGCGCAGAGTCAATTACGGTAACTGACTGACTAAACATGCGCCCGAGGCAATCTGTGTCAATCAGGATTATTGACTTGGGACCCGCTGCGGTCAATTACGTTTATTGACGAAACGTGTCCCGGAGTCAATCGGGGTCATTCACGATTATTGACTCGAGATAGTATGTACCCAGTCAACCACACCACGGAGATCGATACCGTTGGCTGGCTTGGATACTCTCCAGGGCTTCAACACTCTCGGTACGTACCTAGGTAGTGTGTGCCGATGATCAGTCAGAATCATCTCGCACTCGGTGCGGAGAACAGCCGTTCAACCTCCGCCGACATGGCTGGTATACCTAGACAGAATGTCAATGGCCATTCGGCCGAGGTTAGGAAAATTAACGTCGTTGCTGCCATGGTTCTTTCTAGCCACCATTCGATCGCGGTAGGACTGTTTCGAACATTCCTCTCGACAGGCAATCAACAAGGCTTCCGAAGCTCGTCGACCGGCGGCGTTCTACTGCGCGCTGGGTTGATAGTAGCGACTGGGTGGTGGGTTGTAGGCGGTTGGCCGGTGGGTTTGTGGTGGCGACGGGTTTGGCCCAAACTTTTAAGCCTCACTGAACTGATGGGACAAGTAGTTTTCCCAGTTCAAAACCTGGCAGTTGGTTCAGTTTGCCAGTTGGTTCAGTTCACTACCCCTAACAGTTGGTTGGTTCAGGAACACCCCCGGTTTGTTCCCGGTTCGAACTGTTGGAGGGTCTGAACTGTAGCACCGTATACTCATCCTCCATCATCAGAGGAGAAAGACACCGCTTTTAATTCCTGCCACTAAGGCCAATGAACACGCCATCAAACAAGTACAAAGTCGAAATATTCACATAAACCAAAAGAAATCCCTCATCCCAACAAAACCAAATTACTCATCATCCTGCTGCTTCCCCTTCGCAGCAGCAACGAACGCCTTAGCCCTAGTAAGAACATCCTGCACGTTCTTCTCGCCGCCATTCTTCTCCTCAAACTCCTTCCACTTCTTGAACAGCGCGGCAGCCTGTTTCGCGGAGCACTTCTTGTCGGCGACGGCACGCTTGAACAGGTTCCGGACTGCGTCGGCCTCGCCGTGCTTCATCTCCATGTCGATAAACACGTTCCAGATATCCATTCGCTTTTGGTAGGCGCCGATGAGGTTCTCGAAGAGCGTTCGGCCGCGCTCCGGGTCGCCCGTGCGGAATTCAAGACTGGCGAAGCGGATGATCAGATCGCGGTGCTGATCGCGGGTCAGTGCTTGCAGAGCGCGCTTCAAAAGGTCGCGGGCGGCGGTGCGGTTGCCCGAGGTCAGAAGGAAGTCGGCGTAGTTGATCCAGATCTTCGGCACTTGGCTGAATTTCTTGATCATTACTTTGAAGAGGTCGTCTGCTTTCTGAAAGGGTATTAGTACTGTAGATAATGGCAATGGAGGGTGGTAGTGGTTACCTCAGTCTTGCTGCTCTGGATGTAGATACTAGCCATACGCTCGTGCGTGTCCTGGGCATCGTTGTATTGAACGGCACGCTTGAATGTAGCCTCGAGTGTCTCGTCATCTCCGTAGGCATTCTCCATGTTCAAGAGCGCAACCCAGACATTCCTCCTCTCAGAGTCCTCCTTCTGTTGGATAATCTTGAGGGCACGCTCAGCGATCTCCCGAGCTTTCTCGGGCTCACCAAGTTGCAGCTGGAACGCCATGTACTGAATCCACAACCTCGAGTCATTAGGATCACCGAGCACCATGCGCTCGAAATCTGTAACCGACTGTGGCTCACGGTTGACCATGTCACCAGTAAGATCCTGCTTGATCTCGCTCTTCTTCTTCTTCTTCTTCCGCTTTCCTTTCTCTTCTTCCTCATCGGAGTCAGATTCTACTTCGCGCTCGCGCTTTTCGAAGATGTCGTTGGCGGTCCAGTCGAAACCTCCGGCAGAGAGTCCTTGACCGGAGAGAACAGGTGCATCCTCCATGTCGACATCAGATGCATCGTCATCCTCGTCCTCGTCATCCTCGATCTGGATATCGCGAACGGCCGATAGATCGACACCACCGTCCTCACTCTCCTCGTCGGAGTCGGCGTCCTCCTTCTCCTCTTCGTCAAGATCCATACCACCGTCATCGCTGTCAACGTCTTCATCCTTGAAGTAGCTAGCCTTCAGCCCAAAACTAATCCGGCGCTTCTCCATATCAATGGTCAGAATCTTTGCCTTGACCGGATCGCCCTCGGCATATAATTTCGAGATGTCCTCGACCTTTCTATCCGCGATCTGCGACTTGTGGCACAGACCGGAGACGTTGCTTCCGTCGATAGAGACAAAGACTCCGTATTCGGCCACCTTCTTGATCTTTCCAGTCACAATCTGGCCCTTGGTGAAGTCTCCAAGACCGCTCTGCTTCTCCGGAATCTTACCAGAGATGGCTGATGGTCGCAAACTCATCTGGATGTGGCCCAGAGGGTAATCAACGTTGATAACTCTGCCCTCGACGACCTGGTCGACCTGGAACTTCGACTTCCATTCCTTGAGGAACTGGTCCGCGAGGTCGGAAACCTTGACCCAGGCCGTGACATTGTGGCCCAAAGTGATGAAGAGACCCTTGTCCGACACGTTCTTCACGAATCCCCGTCGCAGTTCCCTGTCCTTGACATCTCTAATGTTGTTGACCTCTGCGTCCTTGACAGGAAGCTGCGCGTTCATCACTCTGGATGGTCTGGTGGATAGCGACACCCGCTTGTTGGGCTTGTCGACATCGAGGACACACACGCGGACGATTTCATTCTTGGCGAAGTTGGAAGCCTTTACCTGAGTGAAATCATCGGCCATATCGACCAAACTGACGACACCGATGACCGTGTCGCTAAGCTGTACCAGCACCTGGCGGTCCTGAACCTTGGTAACACGACCAGGGACAACCATGCCCTTGCTCAGCCCGTCGAGGTCAAGCTTCTGCACAGAGGCTCTCTTCGCGGAAAGGTCCAGCTTTCCAGTAGAAGCATCCACATGAACGACCGAGACCTTGAGCGCCGATCCAGGGGGGAAGTGCTTCTCCAGATTTTTCAACTGGGCAACATCGTCGGAAATATCGAGAAGGCGGATTCTCCCTCGAATAGCGGGGGAGATATTGACCCATAAACAGTCCTCCGCAATGTTGTTGACAAAGGCCAACCATTCCGAGCCGACAGTGATCTTTTCCAGCGCCAAATTATCGGAGGAAGCATCGGCTACCAGAGCACTTGGCTTCGCCGTCAACTCGAAGATAGGCGTTTTGTTGCTCGAGGCTCTGTGCGAAATCGGTAGGAATCTGTGGTTGCGAGCGTCGTGCATGCCGATGACTTTGACATCCATGATACCGCCCTTCTTGAATCCTTTCAGTGGGGATTTCTTATCCTTGATGTCGCTCCAGTTATCGAAAAGCTGGGATACATCGATACGTCCCTGAATATTGTCCGCCAACTGGACGTTGATCTGAGTCTCCTGAACAGAAATGATCTTCGCCTTTGTGATCTTTCCCGGCTGGTAGTCGGCCACCGTCTTAGAATCACCGTCCACGGGGTGCATGGCATCCTTGGCTTCGACCTTCGTCTCTTTGTCCGCAGCCTTGGGCGCTGTCTCGTCGATGGGCTTCAAAGATAACAGAAATTTCTTCTGTTCGTGATCCATAGCGAAGACCCTACCGGTAACAGACTGGTGTTTGAAGTATCCGAAACCAGGAAGTGATTGCTTCTCGACCGGCAGCGCATTTCTGAGAGCCAGACCGACGATTCCACCAGCACAGCTCACAAATACACCCATATCGGCACTGCTCTTGACGTATCCATGAACAATCGCTCCTTCGTGGATCTGCTTGAAGCTATGAACCAAGGTGTTGCTCTTGGCTGCTTTGACGAGCGATGGCTTCAAACTCAGATGGATCATCCGCCGTCCCTCGTGCTTGTCCACCACCACCAGATCCTTCAGGACTTGACCAGCTCGGAACTTTTTGAACGTGTTCATGTTCTTTTCCCGGCTACCGTCGGTGATCTGACCAATCATGACGACTCCCTTCAGACCGGTGGCACCGACATCCTCTAGGTCCACAATGACATCGTCATTCGACTTCTCCGAGATCTTCCCCGAAACAATCTGACCAATCTTGAGGTCGGCCAACGCAGTCTTCTGGGCATCACCAAAGGCATTGGCATCCTTGCAAGATACACGCATCTTCTTCTCCTCGGCATCGACGCTCAAGACGTGAACGTTGACCGACTGTCCGACACGGAAATGCTCGGCGGGGTTCTGGATATATGCCTCGCTCATCTCCGAGACCGGCAGCCATGCCGAGACACCAGCGTAGAACTTCACCACCGCACCGTGAGCCAGGATGCTGACAAGGGTTCCGACCGATTGCATTCCGGGCTCGACATCGTACGAGGCGATGACGGGCAGTTCCGAGTTGACCAGGGTCTTCTTCAGCGTCAATCGGACCTTTCGTCTTTGCGGGTTCGTAGTCAAAACCTAGTTAACGCCATTGTTAACTCGTTACCCTAATCATCACTCGGAAAAGATATACTCACTCTAGCCGTGACCTCCATACCTTCCCTGAACTTCTTCTCCGGGTTCTTCAGCTTGATGTCGCTCAAGTGGTCCTCCTCGACAACACCACTGATTCCGTCGGCGATGTTGATGACAACACCACCACGCTCGAGGACCTTCTCGATCTTGCCCTTGACTACAGAGCCGATCTTGATATCATCAACCCTCAAGTAAGGCTGCTCAAGGATACGCTTCTCCATACTGAGTAAGTAGAGGCCATCCATAGGGTTGAAGCCTAGAATCCTGGCAGGATGAGTGGCACCAATTTTGTAGGCACCAATGGTCTTCTCCAAGTTCTCAATCTTCTCGTCACTGGAAATTCTTGAGATATGGACAAATCCAGGAACACCAGCGACACCGACGTCAACGAAGAGACCAAGGTTAGGTTCTACACCGATGATCTTGGCCTGGTCGATTGTGGTGGCGATTGGAAGAGCGATGAGAGGGCTGGTCTCTGAAGCCGGTACGAGTTGGAGGACATGAGGCAATATGGAAAAGCCGACTTTCTTGGATTCGGCGTCAGGGAAACGAGTGGTAATTCTGGCTTTGATCTGGAAAGTGATTTTGTGAGCATATATCGAGACAGTTTATGCGGTAAGCTTCATACCTTGCTGCCAGGTTTTACTCTCTCCTCAAGCTCTTTTTGGTCCCATCCGGCCACATGGAAGAAATCTGCCACGGCATCCAACATTCCCATTATCGTCCCCACTACACCACCCTGCTTACCAACATCCGTAACCAAGATTTCCACACCAATTCCAGGCAGCAATGCATCGATAGAGTTGGCCTGGCTGAGCCACCAGGACGCCTTTCCTCCTCCGAGCTTTCCCTTCTTCGAGAACTTCTGCTCCAAGTTGGCCGACAGCTTGACAATCTTACCGTTCGAGGACAGACCGGTGACTGTGCACAGCATGACTTGACCTTCTTTCACCTCCGTATAGGTGAATCCGCTGCCCAGCTCCTTGGACGAGAGGAATCCCTTCAGATCGTTATCCAATCCCAGATCCATCACCAGACCATGATCTTCCACGGACACGACAGACGCCTGCACCGAGATTCCGACCGCCAAGTCGGGTGTCGTCAATCCAGTATTCGCCAGTTTAGGGTCGAGCGAAAGCTCTATCCGTTTCCGTGTCCTGGGAGCACCCTTTTCTCCTCGTGATGTCTTCACCGCGACTTCCTCTGTAGCATGAAGAACGTATGCTCGCAGGTACTGTCCAACTTTGAACATGCCCTCGAGCTGAACGTCGTCGGAATCCTCCTTCTCGGCATCCTCCGTCTCCTTCTCCTCGTCGTCAGTGTCCTCGACCATGGCATCGACACGGCTGGTAACCTTGTCGGAGATCTGAGTAATCGGCACGAAACCTGTAAGGTTATTCGGCAGCGAGAGCGCAATATCAGTAGCATTGATCCTCTCCACGCAACCTAGAACCAACGTTCCGGGCGCAAGCCTCTATCGCACCAGCACGCCGCAATCAGCCTTCACCCTCCACAGCAGAGGAAAACTCCAGCACACGGGACGCACCTTGTAACTCAGTCCCTCAACCTTAGGCCCGGTGTCCTTCTCCTTCTCCTTCTTCCCATCTCCCTTCTTTCCCTTCTTCTTCTGGTCCGAGTGTCGCTGCTGCTGCTTCTTCTTTTTCTGCGCCGAGCCAGCATCTAGCAACGTCGTCGAAGACACCGCCGCACCTCCCGCCTCAAAGAGCGCATCCTTCATAGCCTCATTGGCCACCTCCTTGTACTCGAGCGGAGTGAGCGCCGACGCGCCTCCACGGGGGAACGACGAAGCCTCATCGTCTCGGAGCGTCGACGGTGTGGGAATCGGTGCTCTGTCGCCACTGCCGGGAGTGGTGGAAGGTTTCAGGCGCTTGTTGGGGCCTTCCGCCGCAGCTTTGGGCGCGGGTTTGGACTTGGGGGCGGACGACTCCTGAGGCCGCTTTCTCTTTTCGGGCGCCATTGGTTTGTGTGAGGTGTGCGGGTTGCTTGGGGAGAGGTGGGATGAAGACAGAGACCGCTGAGATATGGTTCTTCTTCCTCTCGTCTAAGATTTTTTTTGACAGGGTTCAATCGAATGACGGATCAAATATGCGCTAACCGTAGCGGGTCTTCGAGTGAGAGTTAGATTACCACTAGGCAGTACATCACTGGAACATCAGCTTGCCTCGTGCGTTGGAGAACAGAAGTGGGAGAATTAGCTCGTTACAGTATATTAACGAACGATCCCAAACATTCAGTAAAACAACAATTAGAAATTCCCAAATGCAAGTCCCAAATACAATGACAAGTCCTCAGAAAGCACAATGATACAATACAAGCCATCTACCACGAAATCTCATCAAGATCGAACCTCTTGAGCTCTTGCTCACGGTCCTGCAAATCCTTCCTAGCCTTCATGCGCATATAGAAGATAGGACAGTCCTTATTACTGCAGATGACCTCGCAGTGGATGGAGCCCTGACAACGTTGACACTGCGTCCACAGTCTGCCAAAGCGCACTTGCATCTCATTGACTTTGGCTAAACTCTTCTGGTAGAGCTCGCCAAAGCGCGGACGGCAGTCCTCGCAGACTGCACCATCCGTTTGGCCCTTCTTGGTCAGCGGGGCCTTGCAGCCCGTGCACGTCTGTGTCTTCTTTGCAAACTTCATGAGGCCGCCAACTTTTGGCGCGGTGATCGAGATGGTGCGCGTATGGTCACCAGTCACTATATCCCATTAGTAGCTACACGAGGATTCAAGAGAAAGAATACATACGCAGCTGCTGAGCCTTACGCTCACCTATGATAGGCTCGAAGATACGTCCAAGTGGCTTTGCCAGCTGGTTGTCCAGATAGTATTTGGTGTCGATCGGGACCGAGTGCTCGAGCACATAGATGGGGTCTTCAGATTTCTCGTAGTTTTTGGCTCCACCCGCGCCCTTTACAATGACGTATGCCACACGATCACCGAGGGTGGGAGCGGATCCAGCATCTCGTTTCTTCATTCGCTCGACGAGTTCGGTATGGGCTTGCTTGGACGTGTAGTCCGCCTTCGATAGGGCTTTGGTGATGACCAGCTGCGACATGTCGATGCGGTTCTGGAGGAGGTCGGCAATCAAACTCTTGACGTAGCTACGGCGATGACACGGATAAGCAAGGATTTAGGAAACCATTCGGCATGTGAGACACCTACCTCTGAGCGCCCTCCGGATCCTGATCGATCAACAGCTTCTTCAGCACGGTTTCGATGCAAACCTGCACCAACCTGCAGTTGTCACGACGGACGGTCTCGATACCCTTACTGTCCATCTTGTCGTACTTGTCTGTTCTCGTCCAGTACAGCCCAGCGTATCGCTTCTTGTTGATCAGAAGGTACGGGAAGTAAACCTTTTCGAACTCCAACTTGATGGGTGTGATGAACTTGGACGACACGAGGTCTGCAGCCTCTTGTCCCAATTTCATCGCCGTCGGTAGATCTTTCGGTCCAAACTTTACCATGACCGAATCGGTATCACCGTAGATAACCTGAGCGTCGTGCTCGTAGCCATTGGCGATAGTGTAGTGCGATTCGACCACATCCCGAGTCTTTTCAATCATTTGTCTGCCGTAACTCGTAACACTGGATGCGATCTGGAGACACGGCAGCTTTCCGACAGTGGCACCGGTGATACCGTAGACCGAGTTGGCCGAGATCTTCAACGCGAGCTGTCGACCGTTCAGCACAGCCTTCTTGAACGGATCCGTCTCCTTCTTGAGCTCATTCTTGGCTCGCTTTCTGGCGCCCAGTAAACCCTCCAGAATCAGCGGTACCATACCCTTACGCTGTGTGGCTTTGACGAACCAGTCACCGTTCGGTGTGACTGTGTAGTCCTCACCTTCCTTCAATTTGAGTCGCACGGCGGTCTCTTTCTTGAGGAGGGTTGTGTAGCAAAGGTTATGGGCCTGCATGATACTCGGGTAAAGGGACGCAAAATCTAGGGTGGCAATCGGCACGTTGTAGTATCCCCTGGTCGGATCGATGACAGTTGCACCTTCGTATTGCTCCTCGGACCCCTGATGTCGCAGGTTCGGAATGACGAGATTCTGCTCGAGGGCTTTCCGGAAGATTTGGGAAAGGAACCGGACCTGCTGTCCACGGGCCAACAGATAGTTGAATGGGACACCAGTGACACGAGCCATCTCCGTGAGGTTGATCAAGCACATCAGTTTGTCCAGCAATCGCTGTGGAAGGTAGGCGTCCTTGAGACAGTAGACGGCCAAACGACGCCGGGTTTCCGAGGTACCGTTGAAGAGCTCGGTAATCATGCTGTGATGAACATCTTCCTTCTGTTCGCCCAGGAAGTGTGCGGAAACCGAGTTCAACGTGTACGAACGCAGCTGGTGATCACGTTGGATGACCTGCAGCAGGTCGATCTGTAGTCTACCGTTGGTGTTGGTCGTCTTTGTTTCCCTGTTGCCCATCTGCTTGCTGGAGAAGTTGGAGTCCTTCGCCTCCGTCTTCATGTTCAACAGTCTGGTCCAGAACGGGAACACGGCGGCCTTCAGATGCTTCGCTCGATCCAAGAGATATGGCATATCGAAATTGGACGTGTTGTAACCGATGATCACGTCGGGGTCAACCCGCTGCACGAAGTTCTTCCATTCAATCAACATCGTCCGTTCATCCTTGAACTCGAGCAACTGGGTATTTATGATTGGCGAGCAGGTGTCCAGACAAAAAACATTCCGCACGAAGGGTTTGTCCTCTCCGTATCGAGTCACCATGTTGGCGATCTGAATCACGGGGTCATGCTGCGGCTCCGGAAAGATTCCCTTTCTACCCGCACACTCGATATCGAAAGACAGGATCCGCAGCGGTGCCATCTTCGCATACTCGCCGTCGAAACTGTGGGCGATCAAATCCTTGTAGTTGATCTGAGCCTCGAGCTGGCAATTCGACGCCTTGTTGTTCCCAGTCACCATATTGTAGGTTCCGGCAGGCGCCTCCACCCAACTCATTCCCGCGATCTTGGTGTCTACCAGGAACCGCATGACATACTGAATATTGTCGAACGTCATCAGACCGGTATCAGTGATGGGCCACATCCTACTGTAATTCCCTTCGCCTTTTTCGATCAACGCACGCACTCGACTGATATTCTTCGGATCGGCAACCGAAATCTTGAGGTACGGAGACTTCTGGTTCCCGGTGAAGCCGTAGAGGTTCTCTCGCATGACAATCTCGACTTTGTGGACCACCGGGTCGATGCTGTTGGAGAGCTTGTTGTCCAGCCATCTTCTGTATCCTTCGACGTTGTCTTGTGTGAAACTCATGGGTGCAGCGACGAAGAGGTAGTGCATGAAATCCGTGACGTGTAGCAGAACCGAATGTCCTTCCTGAGGAATTGTCAGTACTTTCCAACTCCTCGCCCTCAAGTAAGAACGGAGCAATAAAAACCTCTGTGACTCCGAACAAGCGGATAGCATGTTTTCCCGCGTGATTTCCCTCCTCGACATCGATCTGCTGGAATAGAAGGCTATGCGTCTGCGGGTCAAACTTATCGTCCACGGCCGGTCTACTCCACTTCTGGTCCCTCTCGGCACCGCCATCCTTCAAATCGGTGATCTCCTGCGAGAGGTTCATCAATTCCTCTTCGAAGCTGCTCGGAGGAGCAGCCTGCGAGAACTTCGCCAGCCGGTCATTCTTAGCTTTCTCTCCAACCTTGCGCTTCTTTGCTGTAGCAGAGTTGTCGGTGGCGAGGGCTCGTTTGGGGGCCTTGGGAGGCATTGTGGGGGGTTGGGGGGTGTTTGGGTTCGTAGAAATCGTGTAAGGAGTGACGTGTAGATGGGTGAATGGGTTTCTACAGTTGCCACAACATGGGTCTGCTGCGCGTGGAATGTTTTTACGTCAGTGGACGCGTTTTGGCTTGGCTCATGTGACTGAACTCAATTAGGTGATATCGTGGCGAAACCTCCATTGATTTCCACCACCATTGCAGCCTCCCGACAGTCCTTTGTCGGTTTGAGACGGAGAAGCACAATGACAGCGGTATGTTCCAAAGACTTTTGCAATTAGGTTAAGGAAACATAGGCAGGTCATATCAATTACTGACCTCAACCGCGTCATTCTCGCGCAATCAGATGGGTGGCGGTACTAACTAGTACAATTAGTAGGAAGTAGTTCGTATCTGCGGTGATTTTGCAACTCTTAGGAGCTGGCTAGGACCGGAGAAGCTTCGACACTCAAAGTTGCGGGATCCGGGTACGGATCGCCCAACATACATAGCATCCAGTTACCGGTCATGTAGCCAGCCCTGACTCACGTGATGTTTCCGGATCCGGGAAAGGTTTATTCCATCAGAAGTTCGGAACGTATCATAGTTACAAGGAGGAAGCCTTAAGTCGTGGCCACCTCCATTACAGAGAAATCTTCCTATTTTATTTCGCATGCAGCCTATCTAGACTATGGCGAAGACCTCCATTACAGTTTCACTAGAAATTAGTCCCGATGCTTTTGTATGTAGTTAATGGCGAAGTGGAGATGGTCACGACTTACCCTTTATACTTACAAGTTCTTCCCAGGGCACCTACCACGGACGAGGTTCGCCCATGGAATATGTAATTGGTACTTCTTAAGCGATGGACACGAGTTATTTTTTGTTTAATCATCATTGCATTCGATCTTAGTACCTAGATCACGGCAGATTATATATCCTTTTCCACCCGGCTGTCACCGACCGCTGGCCGTAAGCTCGGTACCGATTCCCTATTGCTCTCCGCCCAGCCCTACCCGCGAGCCAACCCTTCCTGCTCCCTTACAGCCATGGGAATGTGTGATCTACTATCTACCTACTATATATGAAACACGCAGGCTGTGATCGATGGCCACTCTACTTCACGAGTACCGTATTTAGATCTCCAGAGGTAGCTAGCTTTTCGCAACTCGCCGAAGTGTGGGATGCGAGTAAGCTATGAAGCATTGTTTCGACTCGAGAGAATTGGGGCTGTGATGCGGAGTACGGCAGTTGTTTGCGAGTCGAGCCAGCAGTCATGCCGTTCCCTACAAACAAAAGCCATATCCAACCTATCAGTAATCCACTCGCACAATGTGATGTTCGCATATTCTCAATACACACCTTGGCATCCCTCACTGTCACCCCTCACTGTCACCCCTCACTGTCACCCCTCACTGCCATCCCTTACTTCCATTGCGTATGATGCTGATTACTCGTCCACGTTTGACGTGGTTAAGCCAAAGTCAGTTTTGTTAACACCGATAGTGCCCGGCATTAGTTAACTAACGCCGGAGCCGCGCACAGCAGCTAGGCCACCACAGTCACTTATTCGGGCCGGGGCGTATAGAGTAGTTATCTCCGCGTATGTAGCGAGCCAGTATGATATAATCCGTGTATAAAATATGAGGTGTCCCGAGAGTCAATTTAGATTTTACTCGATAAACAGACAGCAAACAATCCATTTGTATAACAAGCCAGAACGGTAAAGATAAATATCATAGCAAGAAAGAAAGAAAAACTCAAGAACGCAAGCCCAACATACGAACAATGTCACAATACGGTCACTCCACCACCGGCGCCGAGATCATGCGACGGTTCTCCTCCTATGCGGATGGGAAGACGAGTGCGTACCCTCATATTTACCTCCACATATCCGCCGACTAACAGACCCTCGTGTGATATCAGTCCTGGTCACCGGCCCCTCGCCCTCGACTCTGGGCTCAGAGACCGCGATAACGCTGGCTAAGCACTCGCACCCCGCCCACCTCCTCCTGCTCGGGCGGTCGGCCTCCAAGCTCGAGCCTGTCGTGGAGAGCATCCGCACCGTCAACTCCACTGTCAAAGTGACCATCATCCCCTGCGAGCTCTCGTCGCTAGCCTCCGTGCGTTCCGCCGCCGTGTTGATCTCGAGCACGCTCGCGGCCGCCAACGCGAAGCTCGACATCATCATCAACAACGCCGGGATCATGGCGGTCAGCCCCTACCGGGCGACCGGGGACGGCTTCGAGTCGCAGTTCGCAGTGAACCACCTCTCGCACTTCCTCCTGACGAACCTGCTGTACGCAGACCTGGCGCAGGGCGTCCGCGTGGTCAATCTAACCAGCAACGGCCACGAGATCGGACCCATCCGCTGGGACGACTACAACTTTGGCGAGGGCAGGGAGTACGACCCGTGGCTCGCGTACGGGCAGTCGAAGTCGGCGAATATCCTGTTCTCGAAGGCGATCTCGCGGAAGATGGCGAAGAAGCAGGCGAAGAGTATCGCGGTGCACCCCGGAAGTACGTTTCTTTTCAGCCATAACTACATCTGATACGGCACAGGACTGACGGCCAATAGTGGTACTCGGCACATCGCTCTGCGCCAACTCCAATGTCTCCAAGGAGCTTCTGGACCAGGGCATAGAACTGGCAACTCAAAACGCTGGCGGAGAGCTCCCACCCGCGTCTCTGAAGAATCTAGAGCAGGGTTGCTCAACGACTCTGGTTGCAGCACTGGATCCGGATATGGAGGATGGGGCGTACCTGACAGACTGTAACATCACGGAGCCGAAGCCGTGGGCTAAGGATGATGAGAATGTATTCAAGCTGTGGGAGCTGAGTGAGAGGCTCGTGGGGGAGAAATTTGAGTTCTAAGTGGGTGGTGGGCTTGTGGGAGCGAGTGTGTTTCTGTGAGTAGTCCACTAGCCGTTCGGAGGACCGGTGGTGGGTACTTGGAATATTCGGTGCGGTAGCGGGTCCAAGTTCGGTCTTTTTCTCTCTCTCTCTCTCTCTCTCTCTCTTGTGTCAGTAGCTCCTAGACCCGAACATACCACTTCTCTGCTCTCCATCTCCATCGCTTCAGTGATCACTTCCACGAGTCCTTCCAACATCAAGTGGTGGTTTTGTTTTTGTTTAATCATCATAAGCTTGCGAGGGAAGGAAAATAGCTACTGCCCGTGACAACGTTTAGGAGACAGAAAATTATGCCCAATACAAGACCATCCAGTGCCATACAGAATAAAAGTCCTGCTCAACTCAAATCCTTCCAACATCATCCAGGCTATGCCACAACTCCTCTCCTCGCTCGTAATCCTCCCGAGCCACCACCACCATAGAGATGATGACTCCCCGCTATCCGTACCCAGCTTCCTGAAACTCGCGATGCTGCCTATCCCTCAATAGCGCCAGGGCAGGGTCATAAGGTTTTAAGCCAACAGATGTAGAGCAAATAGAGCTCACACACCCTGCCGGGCTCTGCTGCCTTGCGGGGTGATGTGCGGATTTACGCTGGGTTGCGCTCGGTTAAAGATGCATAAAAAGGACGACTCAGTGATGTTTTTTGGTTTAATCATCATTGCATTCGACCTTACCGGTAGATAGTAGATCACGGCAGATTACTTACATATCCCACGACTCAGGGATTTCTCGGTACTATAGGTACAGTTAATGCCCCTCTCCGATTGGACGTAATGAGTGATTTGCGAATACCCTGAACGGTCTCCAACTCGCCAACTCGTCCACGATATACTTCTTCTCCCGTTTTCTGAAGGCGTCGTTGCACTCGTCCGAGGGTGGGGAGTCAGGAGTCTCAATGCAGGGACTTGCAAAACCATTCAGTATAAACCTCAACGCCCCTCCTCTGCACTTCCCATTCACTTTACACTTTCAGCCCCCATTCAACCCCGCTGTATTATTTCCCTCTGCCCGACACCCCGCCTTGGATGAAGAAAGTGTAGGCAGCAGTTACCCTCACCTCGCTGGCTGACACCGAGCATTGATCGAGAGATTGCTTGTGGTTGTGGACTCCTCCTCTTCCCCATTCACTTTATGCTTTCAGCTTCCATTCAACCCGCTCCGATTCTCCCCCTCCTCCGCACCTCCCATTCACTTTACGCTTTCGGCCCCCAGGCCCCCATTCAACCTCGCTGTATTCTTTTCCCCTGCCCGACACCACGCCCCATGTTAAGAAAGTTAGGCAGCAGTTAACTACCCCCACTTCGCGGAATGATAGAGCACCGAGCACTGCTCTAAAGATTATTTTTGCTTGTGGACTCCTCGTCTTCCCCTTCTTCACCTGTAGCTTGGCTTCGTGTCTAGGCTAGTCGACCTCGTGGGACCGGAACGGGCCACTGAACGGAACGAACAAGTACCTCATGTACGTATCTACAGCAATCCCAAAGACAACATACCGCAGTAGGAACGCAAGCACATCTCGAAGGTTCTCGTAGTCAATGCCGCACAACTGACAAAGCGGCGGAGCACACTTGAATACGGATACTTGCTTATGCATGGGCGGTGGCTTGCCAGCGTGGCTATGTAGGCATGGCTCGGTATCAAGCATGGGTAGCTAGCATAAGCTTCTTTTGACTACATACCTCGTACGTGTACCATCCCGAGCCGAAATACCTACTTACCTAGGTAGAGTACAAAGTACCTTTATAGGTAACTATCCGGTAAATCCACGGCGGGGCCGCCACATAGTATGTACGAGACACGACGCACTCGATATACCTACCTATGTACGTCCGAAATCTGAAGGTCATCTCGCAGATGTGGAAAGAACAGTCGATAGGAGAGGGTAGGTATCTGCTACTATTGAAGGAACTCCGCAGAACCACTGCCTTCCACGTGACAACTAAACGAGTGATACCGTAGGTAATAAGACATGCTCCCGAGAACGGAAAGGTAACTCGCGCGAGCGGTATGTGCGGAAACTGGGCACATGCCTAGTCGGAAGCTCCGGAAGCACTTCATGTGCCCGATAGCTGCTCGGCAGCTGGTATCGAATTCTCGCTACTACCTACCTAGATGCGGCACAACAGCACTGCGCTAGTTACGCAGCGGGAATGCGTCACTGAGGTATCACTCGCTCCACGGAGCGTCCCCTCATTTTCGATGCTTATTTTCAATAGATTGGGTGGTGATGTCCGAGCTAGACGGGAATATAAAAAGCCAAGAGGGTGCGAGAGGACGCCAATTCGGAGCGTTGACTGGTGTGTGCTTTAAGTGGGTTCCTGGGGGAGGCGGTTGTGTAGGAGTGATGATCACGAAAGTTGAGATATATGTTGTCGTCGTTGGGATCAGTGGGATCTCTGGCTCAGTGTGGCATCCCATCTCCCACGCTTCCGCCTAGGCTCGGTTACACCTTTCACCATTTCCCCAACCAATCCGCTAACGGTTCGGTCCATCGGCGAGTGATAACTTATGTATGTATCCGAAGGGGGTGGAGGAAGAGGGCAGCTGGCCGCAATGTGCCGAACTCAGACCTGGAGTAAATAAGATACGTAGGTACATACTGGATGCCGCGACCTACATACATAGGGTCGAATGTGTTATGTTGAAACAAAACCAAAAAAAACACCAGCTGTGAGTGAGCAAAGGACCCCTCGGACAGTGCACAAGGCGACATCGTCGGGACCGAAAGACAGCCAGAAGATCACGTTACTATCGGGAGCAGCCAAGCAACTACCGAAGGGCAAGACAAAAGCACAGACCTTAACTGGAGTAGCCCTAAGCCCTAGTAGCGGCAAGAGCCCGACGAGGCTAGTGCCCCTCCAACAACTATATAAAGCCCCGTTCCGCCCCTCTCCTGTTCTTTTCTCTTTAGCTCTCTTTGGTATGTCATCTCTACCCCCAACATTCAACATCAGCGAATATCCCGCTAACAATTTCCCTTCTACAGCCTTTTGGCTTAGATCAAGTGTAGTATCTGTTCTTTTCAGTTTAATATCTGAAATCCGATAACATATCGGTTCTAATATTAATCTTATTTTTGAATGTTGCGGAGCTGGCCGCTGTGCTTGCGCATGTCGCCTCCCACTGTGTCACTGGTATTACACTGCCTCCAGTTGATGCGAACAAACATACAAACTGCGTCTGCGTCTTTCATTGTTGCTCTGGCTGTATGCGAGAGGACGAGGAAAGATCTTGGCGGATTGAACATGTGCGCATGTCATGTCATGTCACAACAATAACATAACATGGAGAAGCTGAGAGTGCTCTCACGTCTCCCTCCAGCAGCAGCACCATCTGATAGGTATCCGATCTTGAAGAAATGAAGGCGAGGACTGCGGCGGCGTACTTTTTATCCTCTTCGCTGTCCACCGCTGAGATCACTGGCACGAAAAGAGAACACGTGCTACGTTGAAACTTGAAAGAGTGATGCTTGCTAGACACATATGATAGTTCGACTTAGAAATTTCAGCAAGTGGCATTCTGTCAGTCGCATGCAGTCCGAGGCAGCAAAATTCTGGGACGGACTGAACTCATACCGTCCTCCAATTTTATGGACTGAACTGGACTGATGCAGTCAGTCTACCTAGTCCTGACCGCCGTCCTGACTGGACTACCTATCGGAAGCACTGGGCGACGGTGACGGATGTCGTCGCATTCTCTGTCTGAGGCTACGTCTCTTTCTCTAGCTAGTACACGAGCTCGTTTGCTTTGTAAGCAATCTGCTTTCTCGTCTTTGTCATGTCATCTACATCAATCAAGTCAAGTTCTTCTCACAGTTTCAATAGGTGATGTCGGGTACTGCCGAGTGACCGCTCATGCCGGAAGTGCGGAGGATGAGTCTGACGATGTGTACTACGAAGTTACAAATGCTCATTTTATCTATTCTACAAGGTGTTGCCCGCTCTTACGGTATCCGTCAAAGGCCAGCAAACTCCATTGCTCCTGAGATGTACCGGCTTTAAGTGATACAATCACTGTCGCTTTGCAATGTATGAATCCTGCGAAACAATTCCCGTCAAAAGAATTTAGATCTTCACGGAACCACCGTTACCACTTTATTGAACTTCCATTGCCCAAGTGAGTGATCGATACTCACTTTGTACCACTGCCGCATGTACCACTACCGGAAACCCCTCGGTCCCCCCGGCCCCCCCGGTCCCAGTGAGCTTACCGGTGATCTACTCTCCCGTTACGGCCGGCGAGCCGCGAGCGCCGACCGGGGTCTGGGTACAGTACTCTACCGGTACTCTGGAGTAACCGAGCACCATCCCAGCACGCTGTTTCCCGCCGATGCGGGGGATAACTACCGGTACTATACTGACCGGGGGCAGAATTTTGCAGCCAGCGACCGCTGACCGCCGACCGCAATGCCATCCCAATGATCCCATCACTCCGATCAGCTCATCACTCCGATCGGCACACCGGCGCCGGCCCGCCACCGTTGCGTGACAACGCCCCGAGCTGACTGCGTCCCGAGCCAAACAGCGACCGCCGTCGTCCGCAGATATACCCTACACACGGTACTCCACTCTCCGTCGTGGCGACCCAACGATCCCTCCCAGCGACCTGACGAGGCAGCTCCAGCCTCCAACCTCCACGCATCGATCCTCCCCGTACCCGTACCCGTACCCCAGTTCCAGCCTCAACCCACCTGCCACACTCCACTCCACACTCCACTCCACACCCCAGACTCCCAGAGTCCACGGGCCCAGAGTGCACTTACATAACCCTGGTGGAGTGAGTAACTAAGCGCCTCAATGCTCATGAACGCCGACTCCCCCCCCCCTCCCCCTCCAGACTCCAGTGTCCACCCCCCTCCGCCCCCGACATAAATTTCACCGCTAAAAAATGCGATGCGGCATGTGATGCTCGTTTCGTATGTAACATACTAGTACTCTGGGGTTGCAGTCTTGCAGAACCTCGATACATACCGTATTCTCCCCCCGAGTCCCCGTTCCATACCCGCCTCCGCGGAAATCCTCCTCAACCGCGAGCATCATCCCATTTCAACCGCCGGTGCACCGTTCCATTGCGCACGTGGACGCGTACAGAGCACAAAGTATTACCTACCAATGTAGGCAAGTAATTATTGCCCAGATTGAAGCACCATTGCACAAGAAGACGCCATAGTGATGATGATGATGATGATGAGCAGGCAGATCGCCCATCCCCTCAAATCGTGATGTAAACCATCATATGTATGCTATGTACTAGTACAGAAGAAAGAAAAAAAATCGGAACCCCATGATGCGCCTGTTGCCTGTCCTATCCTGTCCGCCTGCCGGTACGGTATGTAACAAAGGAAATCGTAGCTAGCAAGGAAAAGAAGAAAAGAAAAGAAATCCCGTTCGCTTATGGTAAAGTGCACAGGAAGATGAAGAAAGAGAAGAAAGAAAAGGGAAAGAAAAGAAAAATGTCAATCATGTTAACGCCTTGTTGCCCCTGCCCCAGTGCCCCTGCCCCCGCTAACTACGCCAGCCAATGCACCCGATGGGAAAAAAAACGTCCGGACATGGAATTCAGAAGGAAAGAAACAGAGAGAGAGAGAGAGAGAGAGATAGAGAGAGAGAGAGAGATAGAGAGAGAGAGAGAGAGAGAGAGAGAGAGAGGCCCCATATGAGCAGCTCATTAGACGCCGTTGAGCATCTGCGCGAGCGGCGGAGGAATGGCGGCGTATGAGAACGAGGTGCGCGAGTCGGGAATGCCGTAGCTGGGGGGTGCGGCCGGGACGTTCTCGTACATTGGCGGGGCCTCTTCGTCCCAGCTGATGCCGAGACCGCTGCGCGCCGTGACCACAAGCTTGAACTGCATCCTGAGGACTCTCGCGGCACCGGTCGGGGTGACCAGTCTGCTCGGTCCGGCGGGCTTGTGTTCCTCGGCCACGATCATCTCAACGACCAAGATGTGCTCCACCGTCGAGCCATTGGCGGCGTCGAGCTGGCACGCGGCCTTGGTGTGTGCTGGAATTCCCGCCATGATCTCGAGCTCGATCTTGCCGTCGGCCGACTCGAAATCCGACTTCCAGCCGGTCTTGATATCGCCGAAGCCGACCGTCCGGATGTCCTCGTGGGCCACGCCCTTGCCGGCACCACCGAGCTTAGCGCTGTGGTATTTGCACGCCGGGGACACCGCCTTTGAGTTCTCGTCGATCCGCCAGTTGACCTTGCGCAGGCGCCATCGCGTGTTCTTAGCCTTGTTAAGAATGCCGTCGAGCCGCACGTCGATGGCGAAGTCGCTGCCGGTGTGGACAACCGAGGGGAGCTTGAGGGTTGCCGAGAGGGTGGTCGGTGGGAAGACGCGGACCGAGTGGCGGTCGGGACCTGGCAGGATCGAGCGCTCGACTGTGATGGATTTCTTGAACTGGACTTCGTCACCGTCGGCGGCGATGGCACGGGCCACCAACGTGTAGCTTATCCTCGAAAGAGCGTTGTCATTAGAGGCGGGGAGATGGCCTGGAAGCAGGTAGCTGAACGGATAGCTGAGTAGGAGGTCTCTACGAGCGCTGGCGGTTGTGGTAGCGGAGATGAACGTCCACCGGTTGATGACATCGACCTGCGTGGCGCAATCCGAGCAGGCGCCATGTACCGGTCTCTTGTTCAACGTCTCGGCCAGCAGCGTCATGGTGAAGCTCTCCCACTCCTTCCCCTGCTCGTTGTCAATGTGAATCAGACCCGAGAGCAGCGCGCCGCTCGATTCCTTGGGTGGTCCGTAGAGCACCAGCGGCGGCGACTCAATCTTCAAGTCGATCGCCGAGTCAGGCGAGCTCTTCAGACTGGACTTGGAGCTCTTTGCTGACTCGGACTTGGATTTCTGCGCGAACTTGCGCCTCGACAGGCTGGGCATGATCATTTCGCCGGATTCGAGGTTGAACACCGAGGTGGTGGAAATGGTTCTGGTCGACTTGATGTGATAGCCGATGCGCTTGAATCTAGGGACCGAGATGTAATTGTTGTAGACGGGCATAGGTATCTGGTGGGGGTGGAGGAGTAGGGGGAGAGGGTGGTTGTATATATTGATACTGGGTGGTTGACTAGCTTGAGAAGTGAATTGTGTGATGGCTTCAAGATTGTATTTGGCGGAATGTTGTTGAAAGTTGTTTGGGGAGAGCTAGCTTTATGATATCTTCTGTCGTAGGTCGTTTGGTTGCAGACACATAATGCGGCGGCGACGGAATAGTGTTGGTCGAGTGGTGTGTGGATGTGTGTGAGTGAGGTGAGATGTTGGCCCCCAGTTGATGAAGTGCGATGCAGGATGTGAGCTGGGCCGAATTGATCGATTGGAGGAGAGGCAGATGGGCAAGCCTCAAAGGTGAGGAGGATGCGAGCGAGATTGTAGGAGGAGGAGGAGGAGGAGGAGGAGGAGGAGGAGGAGGAGGAGGAGGAGGAGGAGGAGGAGGAGGAGGAGGAGGAGGAGGAGGAGGAGGAGGAAATGTGTGTGCTTGAGCGTTATATGATGGTGGTGGTGGTGGGCTCTTCCGTCAAGTTATGTATTGCACGTTTGGATGCGGTTGGAAGAACTGCACGCATCTGGCTGGCCATCGTGACCGAGTTACGTACAGGCTAGCGACTCGAAGGCGCCAGCATCTCCTAATGGAGCATCGTTGCAGCTCTTTTGTTCTTTTTCTTTTTGTTCGGCGTCGCGGATTCGTTGGAGTGCAGCACTGCGGAACCCTGCTCCCCTGCGGATCGAACAGACTACGGTCGTACTGCTAGTGGCTGGTTACTCGACAGTAGCGGTGGTGGTTTCTCGTCTCTCGTTACTCCAAGAGATCTCTCCATGCGGCGATGCACAAGCTCTTCACCAGCTCCGGAGGAGTCTGGCCGAACTGCCCCTCTGCCTGCCGGTCCCCATTGCCCCTCCGCCTGCCATCGGCCTGCCACCACGACGCCTCAAGGCCCAATGGGACAAGGGAATGGCCTGTCAGTCTGCCTACCTGCCACTACATCCTCTACCAACCTACATACCCGAACGGCTTGCTTACGCTGAGCAACGCTTCCAACTGCTCGGAAACGAAATCGAGAACTCTGACTCTGAACTTGCTTTTTCCCCTCGCCCCAACTTTTTCGTCGCCGGTGACGGTGGTGGCCGGCAGTGTGGTGTGCTTGCCTTCTCTGCCGCACTCTAGTTATGTAACGAATCGACGGGGACGGACCAGACACGCCATCATACCGTACGCACCCCCGGCCGACGCAACCCAGCCCAGACGGTGCGGTACGGTACGAGGTGATGTACCTTAATTCTCATTACGTACGTTAGCCTCAGCGCGAAAGAACGACACCCATTCATCGAGAGACCGGCGGCACGGATCCATAGAGGCGTTGTGGAGAGACAGCGAGAGACAGCGGCATGCAAGGCTTCGAGCAGATGCTGCGAAGTGCGGAATCATGGGGACACAGGATGGAGATGGAGTCGACGTTTCCGCGGATCAGGGGGCTGGGCTGGGTCTGGAGTACGGTATGTACTCTACGCGATGTCGAGTACTCCAACTCTCGACATCGCAACTCCTCGGTTGGCTGTGCGGATCCCATCACGATTTTGGATTCTCGCGGCAGCTAACCAATTGTTTTTACAGTATACATATAGGCTCCAATCACTATGGCTGTCTCCAAGAAGCCCCTTGAAGGCCAGCATCCATCCAGCAACCTCTCGGCCACCACCGACAGCCAGCTTTTCATTTTCATCCCCCATCATCTACCATCCATCATCGAAAGAACCTTTTTCTACATACGCTCCAACGGCTACATTGGTCATCCCTATCCCTGACGGCAGCTCGCTGCTGCACTCCAACTCTTAAACCCCCGCCTCGCTGGCATCTCTACCACTAGTTAGTTAGAGTAGCACGCGCATGACCTGAACCTGCAACCGGCGGGTCACAGTCGACTCTCGAGCGTGTGGCATCCTGCAAAGAAAGAAAGGAAGAAAGAAAAAAAGTTGCTGCTGTCGCCAGAAAATTCTACTACATATGGCTTGGCTTGGCTGGCTGGCCTCTGCGGATTTTGCGAGCCACGTGCGCCGTGCGGGCTAACTAAGTGCTAAGTTTACACGCGGCCGGCGGGTGTTGACCGTTGTCGGCGATGCCCAAGGGCAGGAATAAAGAAGAAGGATGCAGAGAAGAAGACACTGATTAGGCAAGTAGGCAGCTAGGTAGGAAGCAGGTAGGTACTCCATGTGCGAGATGATGCCCGGCTTTGACTATCTTTGTCGCAAATGTCGAGTTCACGGTTCGACGGTTGCGCGGCAAGGCGGCATGTCGGCATGGAATGCATGTGGCTGCCCAGATGACGACCCTGACTGCAGTTCTAACTTTGAGGGCCGTCACCGTCACCATCGATCGAGCTCGGCATCGCGGCCAACACAGTCGATATGACGGCCGTTGATATGACGGCCGTTGATATATACCCTCAGTACCTAAGGTGTGTATGTACGATTGAGGACGCCGGCGCAGACGCCGGCTGCGGCAGCGGCAGCGGGTGGGATTCCCGATGGAAATCTGGAGATGTGGGGATTTATATGCCTACCTGGGTGCTTATGATGCCTACCTACCCACTCCATGGAGCTGGCACGTGCGATAAAGCTTGCTCCGATAAGGTGAACCGAGCATTTACCTACCCCATATCATACAAGGTATATACTAGGTAGTAATATGCAGTCATAGGGCTGAGGAATCCGTGAAGAATCCGTGAGCAATGAACATGCGAGTGCCAACTTCCACGCCCAGTTTAAACTTGGTTCCATTGCCCCACTACCCCACCACCCCACTACCTTGGGTACATACATTGTACGAGCATCGTGAGCCCATATGTGCTATACATAGTACACTGCAGACTCCCGGATTCCCAGATGGAAGATTCTCGGATTCCCAGAGTCCTCACGCGTCACCGAGTCGACGCGGAAATAGAAGTCGTTGGGAATTTCTATCTAGGTATTGACGAGAATGGGCATTGAGTCCCGCTGCCCGCACAATCCTCTTTTGTTCGAATACCTAGAGTACACCACATGCTTTGTGGTAGGTATGTCCTCTTCCACGATGCTAACTAAGCCTTAAGGGCGGTTCAACACCGCCGAGTGATGTCCGAGTGGTGTCTGTCGAGTGTCGAAGGAGGAGATACGATAAGATGAGATAGGTACCGTAGGATACCGTATGATGAGCTACTGACGGATAAGATAAGATAAGATTTGATGGCAATTAATGACATGGATACCGATAAGATAAAGGTACCAGCTTGTCAACTCCTCATCTGCGCTATCTTATCCAATTACGAGTGATATATCACATACGCAGACCTGTGTCTCGTGCACCAGGGCCAAGGTTGGGGCCATAGGTGGATAGTTGGCGGCGCTGGTGGGGCAGGAGGTATGTGAAGAAAGTTACGTCGTCACAACCTGACGAGCTCAAAGGCCAGGACACGTAATGGGGGAAAAGTGAAATAGGTAAGACACGCAATGGCCATTCGCAATGGACATTCGCAATGGATACCTATCGCAATGGCCTGCGCAACGGTTATGCGTAATGAGGGAAGGGAAATACTCAGGATTTTGGGAGGACAGGTGTCCTCCAGTATACACAGTACTGCATTTCTTGTTTTCTGGTCGTATAGGTATAAACTTTCTAGGTACCTATGTTGTTCGCTCTTTTATTTCTCAACCAAGTACCTACTCAGTCAATTCACTGTATTGTTTCCTTCTCTCTCTCTCTCTCTCTCTCTCTCTCTCTCTCTCTCTCTCTCTCTCTGGCTCCCGTCCGTACGATCATACTTCCGCACCGCCCATCAACAGTATGTACAACGTACATACAAAGTAGGTACAGATCACACGTCCTGTTGTGCTATGTTCTCGGGAATACCTACCTATAGGGCACATCTTGTTCTTGTTCTTGTTCTTGTTCTTGCATTCCATCACGAGATGTTTGACTGCATTTACGCACCTTGCAGGTATACGGTATACCTATCATATAGAGTTGTATTGGAAGGTTATCGGTAGATATTGCTGCGGACGCAATGCACAGATGGCGATGGAATTGGTGCGTGCTGGACTGGACGCTCTTCAGCTGGCCGTTTTCTGCGCCTTTCGAATATTGAGATAAGCGTCGATCCGTAACTAGGGTCAGTCTACCGTGAGAGAGATGGATCGTATTCCGGCGTCACCAACGGGGTGGATATGCTAGTTGTTTACTAAGGTGAGGAAACGACACAAGATGGGGCCAATCCTACCATCGCTCTTGGTCTCTTTCAGCTGCTTATTCCACCATTCCACCACACGCCAACGGCCGTGACAGCAAGCCACCATCTCATTTGCGGATCTGGAGGAGGAGGAGGAGGAGGGGGGATGCCTAGCCAGAAGGCGTACCTGCGTAGGTACCGATTGCCCTCCAACATAGTTCCGGAATCCCACCAACCAACCAGATGATCGCAGCCCCCCCACAAACGTGAGATAAGCTCCTCTGCGTTGTGACGCTGTCGATGCGAGCTGTCGAGATGCGCCTCGTCTCGTCTTGTCTCCGGTTGCGACCGCCGCATTGGCTGCGTGCAGTGATGCAGTGATCGTTCAGTTGCTCCGAGCAACCGCGTGCATGGCGTGTGTACCACCACCTTCCTCCAAACGAGGGACGAAAGAGGTGGAAACAAGCCTTCCGGGGGGGTGTGGGGGCCGGGGGAGGGGGACAAACGGGAGCTTGAGAAGATCGTACATGTGGCGCAGCTATGTAGCAGCTACCCTAACTAACTAAGGGAGTCGTGGCACGGCAGGCGAGCGGTTTCGATGATCCACCCAGCGCAGCGTTCGAAACCTGGTTTGGTTGGCCGAGGAGAGTGCAGGCGGCGGGCCAATGATGCCTGCGTGAGGCGATACGACATCGCTCCTGCTGCTGCTGTTCAGCTCAACTCCAACCCAGACTTCCCCGAAACGCAGATGCCATGGGTACTAGTATCGTACTCTGTGGATCTTCCGCGGTCAACTGTTGCCGGAGTCATGTCTTACTAGGTATATTAATCTAGACAGGTCGGATGCAATTACTGATGAAACAAAAACAATAATCGGGAAGGTGTACCCGAGCCCAGGCGGAGGCGCGGGAGATGGGGGTGCCAGTGATCTGGACCGTGAACAGGGAAGCGGATGAAATGTACGCTGCCGCAGTCCTCGCCTTCATTTCTTCAAGATCGAATACCTACAAGATGGTGCTCGCTACCGGAGACGTGCCCGTACTCTTGGCTTCTCCATATTATTGCTGTGATGACATGACATGCGCACATTCACCGCTGACATCTTTCCTCGTCCTCTCGCATACAGCCAGAGCAACAATGAAAGACGCAGACGCAGTTTGTATGTTTGTTCGCATCAACTGGAGGCAGTGTAATACCAGTGACACAGTGGGAGGCGACATGCGCAAGCACAGCGGCCAGCTCCGCAACATTCAAAAATAAGATTAATATTAGAACCGATATGTTATCGGATTTCAGATATTAAACTGAAAAGAACAGATACTACACTTGATCTAAGCCAAAAGGCTGTAGAAGGGAAATTGTTAGCGGGATATTCGCTGATGTTGAATGTTGGGGGTAGAGATGACATACCAAAGAGAGCTAAAGAGAAAAGAACAGGAGAGGGGCGGAACGGGGCTTTATATAGTTGTTGGAGGGGCACTAGCCTCGTCGGGCTCTTGCCGCTACTAGGGCTTAGGGCTACTCCAGTTAAGGTCTGTGCTTTTGTCTTGCCCTTCGGTAGTTGCTTGGCTGCTCCCGATAGTAACGTGATCTTCTGGCTGTCTTTCGGTCCCGACGATGTCGCCTTGTGCACTGTCCGAGGGGTCCTTTGCTCACTCACAGCTGGTGTTTTTTTTGGTTTTGTTTCAACATAACACATTCGACCCTATGTATGTAGGTCGCGGCATCCAGTATGTACCTACGTATCTTATTTACTCCAGGTCTGAGTTCGGCACATTGCGGCCAGCTGCCCTCTTCCTCCACCCCCTTCGGGTACATAGATTATCACTCGCCGATGGACCGAACCGTTAGCGAATTGGTTGGGGAAATGGTGAAGCAAGAGAGAGCGGAGCTGAGGCGAGGAGGAGGAGGAGGAGGAGGGTGCTGAAGCCGATGGGGAGGAGGGCACTCAAGCTGAGGAGTCCAGCGACGCAGAATAGCGGTCCAGAAAGTTGCGGTGGAGGTGGGGTGACTCGAGGGTGCGGGAACGACTCGAGGGCGGGGGGACGACTCGAGGGCGAGTGCGGGTGCTCGGACGACTCGAGGGCGCGGGGACGAGTGCGGGCGCAGGGGCGACTCGAGGGCGCAGGGGCGTTTGCGGGTGCGCGGGAGCGATAAATTTTCGGGAAAGGCCAGGACGGAGGGCAGGGAAAGCCACATCGGGCCGCCTGACGAAAGTTAGGTTTGGACAGTGGCGTGGAAACGGGGGGGTGAACGAGATGATATTGCCATGATCTTGTTAGGTCGCATGCAATCAATGATTAAACGGAAAAAAAAAAGGAAATGATGAAGCATGTTCCCCATCATCCAACTCGGACGGCGCGCTGTCTCCCCTTGCCATCACCCAAGCTATTGACGATTTATTGACAATATGCATACCGAAAATGAGGGGATGCTCCATGCAGCGAGTGATATCCCGGTGACGCATTTCCGCTGCGCAGTGCTACTGTGGTACGTCTACTAGTAGCGAGCATTCGGTCGCATTAGATGCTAGCTATCCAGCACACCGAGTGACTCCGCCGCTTCTGACTATGTGCCCAGTCTCCATCGGCCCACACCGCTCGGGCGAGAGCCATCTATTCTCGTGAGCATGTCTTATTACCTACGGTATCACTCGGCTGCGTAGTCACGTGGAAGGTACCTACTGGTTCTGCGGAGTTCCTACGCTACTACCTATTAGCAGATGCCCTCCCCAATCGACTATTCTCTCCATATCCACATCCACGAGACCAGTTCTTGTACAGACACACATTAGGTGCACATGTAGAATAATGGCCGGATTTCGGGCGTACATACACGGTAGAGTACACGGTAGAGTACCTACCCCGTCGATCGGATCCACTGATCTGCTTCGCCAATAGGTACTCCACTCTAGATACTCCACTCTGGGCACTATGTAGAGTAGATGCTCCCCCCTCGGTAATCTTGTCTTCAGGGATCCGCATGTACATAGAGTACATGGAGTATTGTACATGATCTCGCCCTCAAGTTTCGAGCATCACTTGCAATTGCCTGTCATAGGTACTTACGTCAGAAATCCCCCACGACGACACGGCTAACCAGCATCGAAAGAAAGCTCCATAGCAACGGTACCTGCATGTGCCCGTGGTTGTGGAACCTTGGGCGCTGTTATCACGGTTGCAACACACAGCGGCATCGAGGGGCCCATCCCATCTGCAGCAGATGGAGAGAAGTGCGATGAATAAGTAGCTTTAGAATACACAGTCGACACCGGCCAACACCGGCCGACACCCGCCGACACGATGTACCTCCCGCCCCATCATTGATAAATGACGAGGAATAAATATACAGAGATGGGAAACGCAACCCAAGCCAAGCCAAACGAAGGGTAGAAAAAGGGAATCAATTACAAACGCCGTCCATCCATCCAGCCATCCAGCCATCCGGCCATCGTCCGTCAAGTTACCCCATGTATCTCATCTAAATATCTGCCTCCCGCGCGCGCGCCCAAACGAACGAACGCTTACGACCTCCTGCTCTTTGTGCTCTCAATCCTCTTTGCAGCCTCCGCCGCACTCGAGAGGCTGTCGTAGAACGTTCTGACCCTTTCGTGCGCCATCACCTTCTTCTCCTCGAACCCCAGCACTTGGAGACCCTCTTTGCAGGTAGCACGCGAGAGCGCAACGTACGCCTGTCCCTTCTCGAACGCTCTTCGGAGGTCCACCTTGACTCTCTCTAGTGTTTGGCCCTGAGCCTTGTGGATCGACAGCGCCCAGGCGAGGATGAGGGGAACCTGGTTTCGTGCAGCTTGGACCTCACCGTTGGGTAGCTCGATCTTCCACTGTTCGGGTTGGCAGAGGAGCTGCCGTGAGGTACCGTCCATCAGTGCGAACTGCACCAGGGGCCACAGCTGCGACGTGTCAACGGCACCAGGCAGCTTCTTTTGCTTCGAGGCAATATCAATTTCGCCGTCTTCCGTCATTATGTCGAACGTCTTTGCGCTCATGAAGCCCACCACACGACCGAGGGAGCCGTTGACGAGCGTATCGTCGACATTCTTGATGAGCATGACTTGAGAGTGTATCTTGAGTTCGATCGACATGGGAGCCATGCAGTTGCCGAGCAGTTTTGCACGGAACTTTGGATCCGTGACGGACCCGGTATCCATCGCTTGGAATCGCATTACCTCTCCGGGCAGACTGCGCATCTTCTGGTTGTTGGCAGTATCGACCTCGCTACGTGTGGAGAAGAGCTCTGTAGCTTGGATACCATCGTCGTACTGGATCGGTCGGGAGAGTTGCCGGAATGCATCAACGGTTTCCTTGCTCAACTTTCCCAGTCGCATCTCGTTGAGCATGCGAGCAAACTCCGGATCTCGCTGACGGAAGACTTGTGTCAAGCCGATAGTATGTGCGATGCAAGAATTCCACGTTTTTGCATCGAACGCAAAAGTGGCGATCTTGCCGCTATCGGGAACCGGAGGTAATTGGAAGAAATCACCGGTGATGACCAACTGTATCCCACCGAAGGGCTGGCCGTTGTTCCGGATCTGTCTTGCGATTGCCTCTAGCTTGTCAAACAGATCTCCGTCCACCATGGAAATTTCGTCCATGATGAGAATCTTGGTCCGAATCCAGCGTGTCCGAGCTTTTTGGTTTTTCTTTATCTTCTTCACGAGATCGGCGACGGATTCCTTGCCGAGTCCGATGCCGGAAAAGCTGTGGAGAGTAACACCGCCGATGTTACACGCAGCGAGGCCGGTAGATGCCGTGACCGCAACCGCGTCCGAGTCCTTCTTGTGATTTCTCTTCAGCTCCAAGATGAGTTCCCTGAGCAAAACGGACTTTCCAGTTCCTGCAATCTCCAGTCAGTCACGATTCCAACATTCCGAGAGTTCACTGCAAAGTACACACCAGCGGATCCCGTAAAGAAGACGCTCTGCCTCGAGTTCATAACGAGATCAACCACCCGTTTCTGTTCCTCGCTCAAGAAAATATGCGCAACCTGCTCCTTGCCCTTCTTCGCCCTCTTGATGTCCTCCGGATCGCCTGTCGCCGTGGTGATCGACCGCTTCTGCTGATTCGCCGCATTCCGTTTCCTGGCTTCCTTCCTGCCCGCCTCAACATTGGAGAAGGAGTCATTCCACGGCATTACGCCGCTCGCAATCTTCCGTGTCCCGACCTTGCTGCTGCTGGTTTTCGGCGTCGTCACGATTTCCACCTTAGCCACCTTCGTCACTTGCTCCTCCACCGTCCACGGGAAAATGCGCGCCTTCTTCCTCTTCGGCTTCACCACCTCCTCTTCCTGTATTGGGGCCCTCGGCTTCGGCGACTCAAAATGTTCCGCCGGCGATGACGACCACGGCAACGGCTGGCTGCTGCCGAAGAGGTCATTCCCGTGCTGCTGCAGCTGCAGCCGCGAATTCACTAGCGGCCTCGGTGCGAACTCGAGGCCCTCAAAGTCATCGTGGTGTACAGGCGCTGCTGGTGGGAGGAAGCTCTGCGGCGAGCTCTGATCTGTTTGCGGCGGGGGCGTGGGCAATGTAGCAGCGGCGGCGGTAAGCGAGGGGTAGATGATTGGCTCCGTTGTGTCAAAATCCAAGTCGCAATCGTCGTCGAAATCCGCCTCGTCGAAGTATACGGCGTCGTGCAGAGCTGACATCCTGTCCTTCGGTGGCTCTTCGAACGATTGAAATGCTGGCGGAACGAGCTCCTGGAATGCAGACTGGCTGTTGAACACCGACGCGAGACCTCCTTGCTGGTGCTGGCTCAAAGAACGCTTTCGTGAAATCGACGAGTACGGGGATACGCTCGACGACGTCAGGGAGGGAGTGGTGCCGAGTGTCGGGTAGCTGACTGTGGAGGTGTGCGATGGTCCGAAGGCATCATTGCTGGAGGAGGGATTAGCCGGCCGCTTGACGAACGCGTTTGCTATCGTCTGCTGGGTCGTGGTTCTCGAAGAGGGCGAGGAGTGGAGAGGATTCGGCTTTAATTGGGTCGGTTTGCTTGACGAGACGGCACGCTGGAGCATGTTGTATCGCACGAACTGAGTGGAGATTGTAGGGTTGTTGGCAGCGACGGTGGTGGTTAATGTGGCGAGACGCGACCCAGGGGTTGATGGTGGGTGGGGTGGGTTCAGATAGTTGAGCGAGAGTATGGAGGAGTGGAATTGGCGTTGTTGTGGTCGTCGGGTTGTCGCGTTTGCGTATCGCAAGGTCAAGGCGCGCAGCACTTGTGACGTTTTGGGTAAATGAGGGCTGACCATCCACCCACTCTTTATTTTCGACTTTTTTTTCTTTTTGCCCCTCTCCTCTGAATTAAGAAATGTAGGGTATGAGGGGAACGTTTGTGAGCAAAGGAACACACAAACCGAGATTGACTTCACTCTTCACGGGAGAAGAGCGCAAATGGGATCGAACGAAGGAACGAATGAGTGATTGGCTGGCTGGCGATGCGGCTCTCTAGATGAGCGTGGGGCAGCAAAAAAATAATCAGGTGGGACAAAATAGAGTGGAGAACGATCTCGCGGAGGGCCTTGTGTGCATATGTGGACGATATACTAAGGGCTTAGGGTATCGAAGGCTGAAGGAAGACAACGAGGAAGGAGAAGAAGCGACAGGTGCAATGCGGACAGATATCGGGAGAGAGCTGGCTGGAGGTGGAGACTACTGAATGAACGTGTGATGAAGTGTGGCAGTTTGACTTGACAAATCCTTAATCGTGGTCTGGAGTACTAGTAGTTATGCCTAGAAGCAAAGAAAAGAAAAGAAGATGAAGAAAAGACTGCCATGCCCGCCAGCATCCATGCGTATGCTGAGCTAGGTATATAAGTTACATGCCATCAATGAAGAGTAAGCGGCGGGAAATAGAACAAACAAGCCAACACCAGGTCGAAAGAACAAACTCCTCCACGGCTTCCGGCCATGCAACTCATTATCATCAATCAGCACGCAACAAACCAACCGGACCGCTAGAGAAAGGAACCCCCAAGAAAAAAGAGTCGAAGGAAAAAAGAACCTCGCACCAGAACTCCAAACCCCACAAGGAACACGAAACGCCCCAAACCAGCCTCAGCTCCTCAAACCAGCCCCAATTCCTCTCCCCTCGCTCCGCAGCTTACTTGTCCTTCTCTTTGTCCCCGCTACCCCCACCCGTCAGAATCTCCCTAACCCTCGAGATCCTATCGACCGCCCTCTCCAGCACTCCTAACCGCTCCCTCTTGTCATTGTCCCTCTTCTCCAGCGTTGCCACCCGTTCCTCAAGTTTGCTCCTAGCCCTGCGCTCCTCGGCCACCATTTCGTTGGCGCTCTGGAACAAGCTCGCACTGAGATCTTCGAGCTCGGCGGTGACCTGCTGCAGCTGCTCTTCGGCCTTAATCCTCAGGCGGCGCTCCTTCGCCAACTCGGAAGCCGGCGATGCGTTGGTAGGCAAGATATCTGGTGGCGGCGACGGGGGAACGCTCCTTCTCAGCGCCGTCGTCGGAAACAGGAACGCACTGATGCGGTTCGCGGGGGATGGCGACCTCGGCCCGGGTTCTGGCGGCGCGAAGGACGGGGAAATTGGTGGGCGTAGGAGTCGTAACTCGGACTCGTAGGCGTGGATCTTCGCGTCTGCCGGGGAAGGAGATTAGTGGGATCGCTCGAGAGGGTGGGGGCTAAGAGAGGGGGGTGCTACTTGCTATCGTCACCTTGTCGCTCAGGTAGGCTATTTGCTCTTCGAGGTCGTGGTTACGATGGGCATCGGATCCGCAGCTGAAACATTTTGCGGGTGAGCGCGGTTCTGTTGGTGGTGTCGAGTTGGTCATGGCACAACGGTTACCGCTATGGTGTTGTAGGAGCTGTAAAGGCTGTGATGGAGCTGGTGATGAGGAATGAATGGCTTGCAAAGGAGAGACTACGGTGAAGGGAGGGAAAACAAGAAGAAGGGGAGAAGTACGAGAGGGAGAAGAAGGTCGTAGAGCATTGCCGATCGTGAAACCTCGCGTCTGGTGTCTGATCAGGCGTTGGTGTGCCCCTGATCTTGACCTGAAATGCTGCAGGGCCGGGCGGGCGCTTCCCACAATCTTAAGCTTATCATCACGAGGGGGGGTGTGCATCCATGCGTCTGCTCAATCACTTACAACGCGAGAGTTATTTTTGAAGTAACAGATTGAACGGGCCACGTGCTCGAATACTCTATCGGGTACGCATACACCGGGAACGAAGAACCATTGCGCTTTAAAACGATGGAGACAGCACAGGATGTGTTCGCAGCATGAGAATGACCGTGGGAGGCGCACGGTATCGAATTCTATTCGGAGCACCCATCGCCCAACAAGACACAAGACACAAGAAACACATCGCAAAAAACGCCCAACAAAGCCCTCAAGGTACACGCCCGAAGCCCAAGAAAACACTATCCCCGACCTCTGAAGAACCTCCTCCTGCCTTGGCCTCCACCCTGGAATCCGCCCCGTCCGCTGCCACCTCCGCTGCCACCTCCGCCGCCAAACCTGCCACCCTCCTCCCACGCCGGAGGACCCCGCTCCTCCGGTTCCTCCCTCGGCCGCTTGACCGTCGGCAACGGCAGCGTCGCAGGACTAACCCACTTCGGATGCGCGCCCTCCTTGCAGCCCTTCCCACCGCCGACCGCACCAGCCACCGTGCTCCCATCAGGACAAAACCCGGCCAAAAAGAACTTACACATCAACGGCCTCCGCACATGTTTCCGCGCACACTTTGGACCGAGCTCGCAGAACCCATTGTCGTATCGCTGGCAGCGCGGGATCCGCGATTCCGGGTCGACGTGTAGGTACAGACACTCTTCGCCGTTGCTGCAGTACCCATTCCGCACGAAGAAATTGCACTCCGGCATCTTCCGGAGGTTGTACTCGTGCAGGAACTCGCAGCCCTCGCCCTTCTTGCATAGTGATCGCAGCCAGTGCTTGCACACTAGATTGTTGAACGACGAGGACGAGTTGTTGGTCGAGAGGAAGTGTTTATCGAGACAGCTGTTACCGAGCGGGCAGTGGCCCTGTAGGAACAGCGGACATGTCTTGCGCGTCGGGTCGAGGCCGAACCGGTATTCTTTGCGCAGGAAACTGTTGAAGGCGAAGCGGTCGACCGAGCGCGGGGTGGATGGCGGGCTGAGGATAATATCGGCGTAGCTGCTTGGGGGGGTGTAGGCGGCTGCGCCGGGGTGGATGTCGCTGTCCGTCATGGTCGTTGTCTGGGGGTTGTCGCGTCGCAAGTAACTGGAGCTCGTGATGACGGTTCGAACTCTACTATAGATTGCGGCGTAGCAATGGCGCCAAGCATTTATACGCCTCCGCACTGTGGCTAGTGTTGGGTGATATTCCATGAACTTTTCAGCACTCTATCCAACGCACACTCATCACTCGGCCCCGGTCCATCAACCGCCAATTCCGGCATCGGATCTTTCAAGCATGCACAACCGCGCGGAAAGTCCGGGGTACCTAAACTCCCATGCACGTCGCATATTGATTTTTCATATCGAGATTTCTGCATTCAGACACCATCCCCCGTTGATGGGAACGTCAACTACCATCTCCGTGAAACTTACAACCGCCAGTCATGGTACTTGGGCGGTGGTTTCCGTGTCCCTTCGCTTGGTGGACTCATTTCAAATTCTAGAAGTATACTTCTGAGCTGGTGTCGGTGGTAAAGATACCTACAGCGTGAAACAGTGGTCAGACCATCACGATATTGTCATTTTGAACGCTATGCTACCATGGCTACATCTTATCCTTCACTGTGGGATGGGTGTCCTTCACTGTGATATGGGGTGTAGATACTCCATCTCATGCTTTCCTGGCCATGAAATGCAGTGATTAGTGCTGAAGAGTTGGCTGCATCGCCGGAACCTCCCCTATGCATTTCCCGAAGTTCCACCAACTATACCAAACGAAAAGGTAGGATAAATGTCTGACCCCGCCTTTCACGCCACGATCTCATGATCGCATCACTCTGGCTGACCGGAAAAGCATCGTGGAGATTCCGGCGGGGAAGCGGAGATTCGGAGTGAGCATGCGTGGCACCTACATACTGCCTACTGCAGGAACAAAAAAACGTCAAACGTCAACATCCCTTCGCTTCGTCTCCCATCCCATGGTGCATTACCTACGGGATGGACGGGGGGGGGCAAGTAATCTCAAGGTCGTCCGCGTGGCCCATTCCCCTCCCCTCCCGTCTCGGCGAAACAATCAGCGAAGACCGAATGCATAGGGTATATAAGGTGGAGGTATTGGCCATCGGAGGTGCCTACCAACATCGCCATCAGCATCCAGAAGCTCGCAGACAGCATCCAAGATGAAGCTCCTCTCCACTGCCCTCCTCTTCGCCGCCGTTATCGGCCAGGCTTCTGCTCACTGTACACCTCCCCCTTCTCCCCCACGCCATGAGTAGCCGCTGACGCCCAACCCCCAGACCGCTTCCTCAAGCTGATTGCCAACGGCGCCACCGGCGCCGAATACGCCAGCATCCGCACCAACACCAACGCCAACTCGCCCGTGACCGACGTGACCAGCGAAGACCTCCGCTGCAACGTGGGGGCTCTGGCGAGTGCTTCGAGCACCACGACGACCTCGGTGACCGCGGGCAGCACCATCGGCTTCGAAGCTGACATTGCCGTGTTCCACCCAGGAGTCTTCAACATCTACATGGCGAAGGCGCCCAGCACCGCCGCGGCGTTCGACGGCAGCGGCTCAGTGTGGTTCAAGGTCTGGGAGGAGGGCCCAGCTAGCATCACTACCTCTGCCATCACCTTCGATACTACTTCCACGCAGTTTAAGTTCACCGTGCCGAAGACACTGCCAGATGGAGAGTACCTCGTCAGGATCGAACACATTGCCCTGCATAGTGCGAGCACTTTCGGGGGCGCTCAGGTACGTACATAGCGTCAGCGTGGTTGGGGCGAGCGAGAGAGGCGGAGGGCGGGAGGCTAATGTGTCGTGTTGCTGGGCAGTTCTATATCTCCTGTGCGCAGATCAAGGTCACGGGCGGTGGCTCAGGCAGCCCAAGTCCCAAGGTCGCGATTCCAGGTGTATACACCGGCAACGAGCCCGGCATTCTGCTCAGCATCTGGTGGCCCATTCGTGAGTTTTTGCTTCCCTTCATTATACGCATGTTCAGCACTGACGACGGATGAAGCTACCACCTACACCCAACCCGGCCCGGCAGTTTGGTCTGGTTAGATGGAGAGAGGAGAGAAGGTGTACTATATGTGTTGCGTGTCAAATGGGTTCCGAGAGAACTAGCAATTCATTTTATGTTTATACTTTATTATCAAGCCATATGGAGCGTCGAAGCTCTTGCTATGTCGGTTGCCCGAATCGTTGGTGTCTGCTGTTGTGATTTCCAAGCTGTCTTGTGGGACTTCCAAGCTGCGCACGCAGTGATATACACCCAAGTATCGCAGGCTTCCAAGATGTTCCATCCTACGACGACAATTACCCATTCTTCTACCATCTCCTTCCCACAACATGCGGTAAATTGTTCACTAACATTCACTTTCTCACGAAAACTGACACTAGCTACCCAGCTGCAGACCGAAGATGCCGTGCAGGCGGCATCCAGTAACCTACAAGCCTGTATACACCGACTACCTAAGTAATTCCGCTCGTCGTAGTCAAAAATTTGCAACCGCAACCATTATCATTCCCTCCGTCCGCCTTATGTACTCAGCCAACAAAACCGCTCAGTATCAAGGAACTGCGTCATGCATTGTCAATCGGAATAACGGAAAGTACTGCCAGGTATCGAAGACGAGAATCTCCCGTCAACAAAATCCTTGTCAAACCAGCTACTACCTTTGTCTGGCAGAACAGTGGTGGATAACGAAGCGGTAACTGTTCACTTTGTGCACCTCTCGGCGCAGGAGTTGGGCTGTTTCAAACAGGCCACAGTCAGCTCGCGGAAATCTGTCTGACATGGATGAACTTCAGCGACAATTGCGACCGTTGTTGTTATTATGGTTATCCCGTCAGAACATATCAGAAGAATCGCTCGCTATCAGACGGAAACTACTGGACACACGCACTCTATGTCGCACTGCCGACCTCCATCCACTGCAGTCGGTCGGGTCGGCGAATCACGTGCGTCGAGTGTGTCGAGCATCATTTATGTACAACGAACCGTCTCGCCGGCTAAGAGGATCTGGATCCGGATACTGCAGAGACACAAAAAAACACTGGGCAAACTGGCACCGGCCCCCTCCGTCCTTTAACCCGATGTCTCGGAAAAGCGTCGTTTCCGGATGCATGGACGAGGGGAGGATGGAGACGCGTTCGCACGAGTTCAGTTCTGGCTCGACGAAGCCCCCCCCACCGGACGAACGGTTGTATGTATGTCTTATGTACCTAAGCCGCCGTGGGGAATACGGTACCAGGAAATTGTGGAGAAATTGGGAAGATCCTTCATTTATGCATACCTCTACGATCATCATGTGATTGGACGAAACGAGATGCTAGAGCAGGTTCGCGGCCTGTGGTTATTGTAGATCTGAGGCATACCTGTTTTTATGTCGTACACCTCCCTCAATGTACTTGTGTTTCATCATTCATGGGAACCATCAATCCATCCAATTTTCAAACGGAAAAATATAATTCTGTAGAGTACATAGATCGTGATCTCATCACTACAGCCACCACTACCATCACCACTCTCCCAGCGACGAGCCAGCAACTAAAACCTCGAGAAAGGCAGCCTACGCAGCGACAATATTAGCCACTACCCCGTCCCAACGCACGCCCTCAGAGCCATCAAACTCACCACTTGCCCCTCAGGGTAATAACCGCCCAAGTTCCATGCTCATCGACCTCCTTCTCGACCTTCGTGCTGAAGGAGATAGCACTCATGATGCCGTCACCAAACTTCTCATTGAGAACCGCCTTATAGGCCATTCCATAGTTCTGAACAATTTCGTACAGGCGGTAAACCAGGGGTTCCCTCGGGGGCATAGGTGTGAGGTGTCCCCTGTTTGGGAAGTCCTCTGCGAGCGGCTGCAGGAACGCCTCGGGTATGCCGAGGACGGAGGCGAGCGCGGTCACGTCTTCGGGCGACGCCCGCGACTGCCCGTAGAAGATCGCGGCGACCGCGACTTCGTCGCGTCCGAGCTTTGCTGATAGCTCCGCGAACGTGATGTTCAGCGACTTTTTGGCCGCGAACAAGGTGCTCGAGATCGCTGGGAGCGCGGGGTTAGTGGCCTGGCGTGGGGTTAGCTGCGTGCATAGCTGGAGAAGACAGGCGGATGGGGTGGCTACTTCGTAAGAGGTCATGGCTGGTCTGGCTGTGCGGGGAGGATTGAGGGTGTGGGGTTGTGGTCCTGGTAGTTTGTGGAGGTGGAGAGAGCTTTATGTGGTCTCGTCGTCCGCAACCCGGGGATCCATCGGATGGAAGGGAAGGGAGGGGCAAGCTCGCGGGCGTGCTAAAGTAGCTTTCATCACGTCATAGGAAGGTCGTTGGGTGGTAGGTGGACATTGATGACGGAGTTATCCGGCGGGGTTGCAATGGATGTGTTGTGTGTGTGCCGTAGATCCCACCATCTCATCACACAATAATCGTCGAAGGCCGGCCGGCGGGCGCGGGTATATGCGAAGGGTAGAGTCGACGTCGGCAGCATGTCGGATCACTCGGTGTGGTAAACGCGCTAAACCGAGCTCGATACGCGTCGACATGAACTCTCCTCGGGCCCGCCTATGTACTACACAGGGTTACCAGTAATCGCCTGTACAATACGGACACAACCCATCTTTGATGGCCCAGCGTTTGATCACCGGTGGCCAATAGCACTGGTTGTCCGGGTCGTTGCGAGCGCCATGACAGAAGCTGGCGAGACGCTTAGTGATGTGGCTGCAACCGCGCCATGTCCTTCGCTCGTACCTACACATATTTATAGTGCAGGTATATAGGGGGGCAGGTGAGGTAAAGAGGAAAGTTGAGCTGATTGCAAGATGAAGATGGTGAAGATGATGGTGGTGATGATAATGATGACGAAGTGCGCAGTATGTTTTCAAGCCCGTGGATCAAAGTGTTATGGTTAATTGGACATGAGATAGATACCGCAGGAAATGGAACTGGGCTGTTGGTCCTCTTTAGTACTCTCCACTAGGTGTCTGATAAGCGGTGGTTACATATACACTTCAATAAGCAGAACCCACAAGCAATAGCTATGTGCGAGTATCAAACCAAGCTATCTATCACGCGCTGGGGGGGTGTTGGCGGGTGGCCGGTTCGACGACACTACTTGCCTGCATATTCACTGCACAAAGATGGGAGGGGGTACCGGCATAGCGCTAGTAGGATGGAGCCTTTTAATGGCCTTGGAGCTGTTGGGCTATGGAACAGCTGTTATTGGGGATTCTCATGAGGGAATTTGGTAAGCCAGAGAGGGTCCGAAGAGCGAGTATGTGGTCAAGGCTGAAACTGCCGCCGTCTTCAGGAAGGGCGTTAGACACGTGTGGGACATAATAAAGCCACAGAAAATGCCGAGGAATGAACGATGGAATGCTGTGGCGCCCCGCCTGGTAAGGTATCATGTGGAATGCAGGAAATTTCACCAATACAAAGAGTAAGAAGGAAACGCCCCCCTCCTCTTCCCCCCTGCCAGAAACAAATCCCAACCGGTAACAGAGCAGGTATCCAGCTGAGAATGACTCGTCTCCTGTAGGCGCCAATTGTAAAACGATGCGGGTATAGTGCTTATTTGCCAATCGTAAGGAAGAGGCGATCTCCTATGTCGCCAACTCTGCTTGCTATTAGCTTTCTGCGCTTGCTTCTACAGCAGAGGAAGGAAGCTCATATACTTACCCAGGAACAATCATGCCACCACCAACCCCTCCTAACTCCTTGTCCACGGCACCAACGAAGATCTCGACACCTTCAGCTTCATTCGCGGCCCTGGTAACACCTTCGGTGCTGCCCAGAATGCTAAGCACCAAGATCTACGCCATCCATCAGTCCATCACTTTCACTCGTCATCTCGCAGAAGCAAACACACCTTGGGAACACCCCACTCCTTGAGGGTCTGTATCGCAGCCTCCGCCGTGCCGCCAGTGGCGATGACGGGATCGACAACGATAGCGAGATCACAGGGACCAGCATCACCGGTGGTAGGCGTTACGCGGGTCGGGAGATTGTTGTAGTACTCGACGGGCTGCAACGAGGTCTTCTCGCGGAACAGTCCGAGGTGGTGTACTGGCACTGGCACCGGGAGGATGGTCTGAAGGGCTGCAAGGTGTCAGCACAACAATCGCCTATTATGGGAGGTGGGAGAGGAGGAGGGGATGATGGGACGGAAGAATTATACCTTCAACCATTCCCAATCCGCTACGGAGAATGGGGACCAGGACGATGCGCGAGGGATTGGTCTTGTAAACATCGAAGCTGACACCCAGGGGGGATACATCCGTGCCGTCGACTGTGGTGGTGAGAACCTTGCTCAACGCCTCTGATCCGAGAAGGATGGACAATTCGTGAACTAAAGCTTTGGTCTCCTTGGGCGAGGTGCTCGCCGAGCGGAGCTGCGAGAGCTTCGCCAGGAGACAGGGATGGCTGCTGACGGTTACATTTGCGGGCAAAGACATGCTGGGTGGGATTATGTGTAGGACCGACGGGGTGGGAATTGGAATTGTTGTGGTAGTTGGGTTGGTGATGATGATTGTTTTGATGATGGCGAGGACGAAGGATGTGGAAAGGGAGGAGGAGGTGATAGAAGAGGATTGGTGGGTTGAAGGGAGTGGAGGGTTGAGTGACAGCACACACAGAGGTGTGAGGCCCCACGGGACCTTATGCGCCTAGCTTCGGTTTCAGCTCTCTGAGCTTTAACCCGACTCGTGGTGCCGCTGCCGAACCACAGAATCCAGATGGCGGAGAGCCAGATAGGCACCGCCGGCACAAGCCGAAGGCGGGGGATTGGCAGGGGTAGCTATCGTCCAAGCATGCCCGTCGGCGTGATGGTGGCTAGTCAAAGTCTATGCACCCCACAACCGCCGGCCCTCGCCGTGCTCTAATCTAGCGACAAATCGAAGCCAAATCACTTTAAAGTTTACTCTGCTAGTATGAGACTATACATAGCAGTCTCCTCTGACATCTTCTCCTCGCTTGGCTTCACTATAAGTAGTCTTCCGGGGCGATTCGTGCGCTCTGTGCCAGTTTAGGCCAATTGCCGGAGCTCTCCTCTCTGTCGAGATTCGTTGACTAACATTACCATGTACTATATCCACACCCGACGGGTCCTCCTTCGTTGACTACTCCATCTTGCCTGTGACCTCCATCGTCTCGCCGTTCTTCTCGCCCGACTGCAGCATCTTCTCAATCTGTCCGGGACGTCGAATTAGCATTCGTCTCGGCTTCGGTTCCAGGGCCGGATGGCTTGTTTACCAGCTCAAGATCTCTCCATGCCTCTTCCGGCGTTTGTCTGCCATCGATCTCGCCCTTCAGGACACCCTTCGCAAACGCCATAAGTTCCTCCTTGACTGAGGAATTGCCCGAGATCGTCTTCACCTCCTCCTGCGCACCTTTCTCGCTTGGCCGCACCGTAACCTTTCCACCGCCACCAACCACCACCACACCACGCTCACACGCAACCGAAAACTCATAACAATTATCGGTGGTGCCAAAGCCCAGTGAAAAGGTCCCCACGGTGCCCGCCTTGGTCCTCATTATCGCATTAACCGTGTCGACAGGCGGCAGATGCTCTTGATTACACCTCGAGAAAGCGGAGACCCTCTCGATAACCTCGTCCTCGCCGAGCAGCATCCTTAAGCCCGCAACCTGGTGCACACCCCCATCCATAATGAATCCACCGGGGAACGACGGCGTCTTGCGCCAGCTCGTGGCAAAATACTTGTTCGTCTCCGGCTCGACCATGCTCGCAACGCGCACGTTGAAGTTCAGGATCCGGCCAAGCCCTTCGATGCGCGTGCGTGCGTAGCCCCACGCTCCTTGGAACCGGTAGTTCTCGGCGACGGCCCACAGCGCAGACGTAACGTGTGTGTGTGCCGTGGTCGCTAGGAAGGCGGGGGTTTCCGGCCGCTGCGAGAACAGCAGAAGCTCCCGCGCTGCACTGAGGGTCGGCGCGATGGGCTTCTCCGAGAGCACATGTTTGCCAGCGCCCAAACACGCGCGGATAATCGAGGGCTGCACGGGGATCGGTAGGCTGGACGAAAAACGTCAGCTATCTGCCTCCATCTGTCCATCCGGGGGGAGGGGGGATGGTAATAACCAGATGATAACAGCATCGATATCCTCACGCCTCAACAGCGCCTCGAGATCGTGGTCCTTGCTCTCGGAGGCATACGCCTCCACATCTTGGAGCCCGGCCTCTTTAGCAGCCGCAGTAAGCTTTTCCGCAGACGCAATAGAACGGCTGTAGATAGCCTTCAGCTGCACGGTATCCGCGCACTCCAGAATGGCCGGAAGGTGTTGTTCGCGCGCGAAGATGCCGCTGCCGAGGAGGGCTATGGATAGCTTCTGTTTCTGTTCTGACATCGTTGATTCGTTGTAGGTATGCTGATATCTCAGTGGTGAAGACGCGGCGGACAGACGCAAGCTTGATAAAGTGTTCCGAACGGATTGTTTCAAGATTTGGATGCGGAGAAGTTGCCCGTCCCCTCCGCTCAGGGTGCGACGGAAGACGTCATCGCATCTGCGATCTGCCAGCTGCAGGGATGAGTATTTTCTGTTGACGTGACGGGCCCCGCCGCCGCCGCGAAGAGGGGCTTGGGGGCAATATATAGTGTTTGTGGCGGGAGTCGCCGGGGCGCGCCATGGGAAACGGTGAAGTATTGACACATGTATTTTTGGGAGTTTGGGAGGTTGGACGCATATCTGGTAACCGTCTCACGGTAATAAAGGTGAGATTCCCAGGTACCATACAGAAGTTAGAAATATCTCGGAACAACTGGCCAAAAGTTTTCTCGAAGTTGTTTCCTTATCACCGGTACCATCTCATCTCCAGCGGGAGAGGATAAGTACATATGAGACAGGCGGGCCGCCGAATACCAAAGTTTTCAGGTATCTACTGACCTGTCGATCCCTGGAACCATATGTAAAGTACCGGTATCATGGCACCAGTGACTGTACTCCATGGGTTCGCCGGTACAAACATACAACGAATACCCCAGCTCTCCGTTCCCTGTATGCACAAATTCGGGGCTTCACGGCAGAGCAGGTATATGTAAGGGTGCTTTTCCCCTCAACTTCACCTGCTTCCCGGATACCGTAGCGGCGGCGGCGGTGGAAAATAGGTTGACGGACCAGCAAATCCGTTCGATCCCACGGCGGCGCAGCGCATCGCGGTGAAAACCTTCCTCCTGTTTATCCTCTGATTATTACCATATCTTGATCCGCATTCTTCCTTCTCCCTTATCGCCACATAGTGATCATCTCCACACGTTTGGCGAAGATCAGATAACAAACACCCCACGCCTGACCGATCAGATCCGCATGCACGCTCTAGAGTACTCTAGAATGCCTTGCTTGCATCCCGGTGGTTGGGTTGCATGATGACCCTAACCGAAGCAATCAGCTTTGCAGCTCCGAAGAGCTATCATACATATCGATGGAGGAATCCGATCAACTAGAGTATCGGTGTGCACTGTGGAGATAGATGGATGGGAGCTGTGTGTGATATGGATGCTGAAAGGCATCATGCACTCTTGTTCTGTGCGCGGGAGGGCGAGCTCTGGAATGGACTCCGATGGAGGTCAAGGGTTCGGAGGTAACCAAGATTTGCGAGGGGTAACTGCTAGCTGTGGATGGGTGCCATGTGGGGGACGGAGACTTGCTTTCATCCTAGCGGCGAGCATCGTGGGGTTCCTGGAACTGATACCGGTAGATATTTGAAGGATCAGGAACTTTTGCGAGTAAAGGACCGCTTTCTAGGCATCCATCTACCATTTGATTAAACAGCTATCATCTTCATGTGCCTAGGAAGCCTGAGCTGTGTTGCATCTCGGTAGTCACAGTGTACTCATCCGCGTGCCCAACATGTGCACACGCCCCTCGATACAAGTAGTAGTAGCGCGACTCCAAATGCACCGCGGTGGGGCGGTGAGCGGTGCTGGTGTTACTCCTCTCCTCCTCTGCCTTCTCTGACTTCTCCTCCTCTTCCTCTTCAAGTCCACTCTCTGCCACATTCATTCAAACTCCTGTCTTCCACCACCTCTTCCGGTTTTTTGTCGCAAGACTTAAGACTTAAGACTTCATTCAGACTTCTGACTTTCTTCCACTCAACTTTCTCCAATATTCCACAAACAGTCGCAGCCATGTCTAAGGAAACAGAACAACAGCAAGAGCAAAAACGCCTCGCCGAGGCTTTCCCCGAGAAGCCTCAGAACCTCTCGCAGGCGATCAATACGGCTACCAGGTAAACCTACCGCTCCCCACTATGTAGACCACCGTAGTAACCCCCACTATTCAGGGACCTCCATGACATCGTAAACCACTTGATCGTCCAGCGCTTCATGCTCGGCCTGCGCGACTACCGCCTTTACCGCGAAGGGATTCTTTCCTTCTACCACGTCTACTCTGCCTTCGAGCGGACCTGGGCACACCTCCTCGCCAACGCCTCCCTCGTCAAGCCACACATCTACACCGCTTTGCAGGCACTGTCTGATCCTCGCCTCACGCGCGCTCCTGCCATCGCTCTAGACTTGACGTACCTCTACGATGCCCAACGGTTCGATCCGGATGCCCCAGCGGATGCCAACTCTGTGCGCGGCGAGTGTGTAGCGCACATCGAGAAGGTTCTGCTGGAGAAGCCCCATCTACTGCTGGCTTATGCGCACAATTACTACATGGCCCTCTTTGCCGGCGGAAAGATGCTGCTGAGGCAGATTCTCATGGCAAAGGACTTTTTTCCCGTCAAGGCGCCGGCCGGCGATAGCGATGAGGCCAAGGCGTTTTCTACCAACATGTTTGTCTTCCCTGTGGAGACGGGCAAGGAGGAGAGTCTGCGCGCGAAGTTCAAGGCTGCTATGGAGCTGGCAGAGGAAAACTTGAGTGAGGAGGAGAAGACTGGTTTGTTTGTCCGTCCCTTGGCTTCAGATTCGCAACTGATTAGCTCGCACAGAAATCATCCAGGAGTCCAGACACATCTACCAGATGAACGAGCGCCTTGTCCGAGAGCTCGATGAGATCTGTGGATCCCTCGCTATACCGGCAGCACAGCTAGATCGGGCCAATGAAACCCTGAGTTTTGTTGCTCAATACAAGCTGCTATTGATTCTGGTTGCCGTCACTACCCTCTCGGTTCTTAGGTATTACCTCTGAGCGTAGGGTGGCGTCTTTCCCTGTCTTTTCTGTGGAGGCTTTTAGACCGTTTGGCTTCGGTGTTTGCAATAGGGATACCTTCTGATTTGCTTGATTCTTTTTTGGTTTTTTTGAGCTTTGCCAAGTGGCTTTTTTTTCATTGTTCTAGTGCGGAGTAATCTAATGCTGTGGTTTTTGGAGTATCGACATGGTCCACCTTTGTACTCTTTGTGAAGGCAGAGCCCTCGAACTTGATGGTTCCAAGGCTCTTTAAGCTTTTGTTGTAACACCTTCATCTCAGTACCGGGTAGTACCTTCTTTGCAGATTCCTCGTAACGTTTGGATTCGGCATGTCTTGAGCCTATATCAATGGAATGGCTCGAGTCAATTAATGTCGGCACTCGTGTGGCAACGGCTATTGCCTGGAACCAACCTTATTCTACGTGGCTCGGAAGCTTGGAAGCTCGTGGTCGTGATCAATTCCTACGGAATGTCGTCAATCTATCTGTGCACTTCTGCGGTACCCAGCTATGTAATAACTATGCGAAGTCGTGTATGTTTGCCACTTGGTATTTGACCGTTGCCGGAGCCAAAAACCTTCACATCAAGAGGCTAAGTACTCAGGTGGTACATAGAAGTGGATTTTATGTTCCGGAGAAGTTGTCAGATGGTGCACCGCCACGAAGGCATCCACTGTGGCGAAGATTACCACACCCAGCGTCTGTACGGCACCCACGCTCTGAGATCCCTCCTTTATCTCCGGAACGAATCCCCTCCCGCCCAATCTACAGAAACCCGTCGAAAGTTCGTGCTCAATCCCTCCTCCCCAGCGCGAGTCACTCTGCTTTCTAAGCCGCACACTTACACACTCACTCATATCTTCCCCGAGCTTTCTATGGACCTAGCCTAACTACCCGGCTTGGCTTGGCACTCTCACTTTGTTCGCAACCCGCCCAACTAACTCAAGCTACAAACCCGCCCCAACCCAACACCTTCCCACTGCCCTCTCCCGTCCATCTTCCACCCTCCACCTAACCATCATCACCTCCTCCTCCTCATCATCATCCACCATCTAAGTTCAACCCTCACAACAACACCGCCCTCCTCGATTCATAACAACATTCACAATGTCGGACGAGCACAAGAAGCTGGCGTAAGTCGCATTAGCCCCACATTGTCCCGCTATCTACAGCCAGCTCTGCTTCCACCTCGAATCATCAACTAACGCATTCGTTCATCATCAACAGTGATTCTTCAGGTGCTGCTCACAAGGAGGTAAGCTATCTCATTGCCGCTGCAGCTCTACTGCCCCGCAATTTGTATTAAGAAACTAACCCCGCCGGTGCACCCAGGTTGACGAGACCGCCACGGCCATTTTGAAGAAGAAGAAGAAGCCTAACAGCTTGACCGTTACCGATTCCATCAACGATGACAACAGTGCGTATTCGTGGATGGATAGCAATATGCTAGAACTTGGAACTGACCGGCTTGTGTAGGCATCATCGCCCTGTCCAACAACACCATGGAGACTCTCCAGCTCTTCCGGGGTGACACCGTTCTCGTCAAGGGCAAGAAGAGAAAGGATACAGTTTTGATCGTGCTCGCCGATGACGAGCTCGATGACGGCAGTGCCAGAATCAACCGGACTGTTCGCACCAACTTGCGTGTTAGACTGTTTGTGGCACGGCTTCCTCAGCGACTTGGGCTTGTGAACGCTAACGGTAGTTTTTTAGTGGTGACGTTATCACTGTTCATCCTTGTCCTGATATCAAATACGTATGTTCCCACAGTTGAATTGGGCCCTTTCTTGAACGTCTAACTAATCTCCCGTTTGCAGGCCAAACGCATTGCTGTGCTCCCTATCGCGGATACCGTCGAGGGCCTTACCGGTTCTCTCTTCGACGTCTACCTGAAGCCATACTTCCTAGAGGCCTACCGCCCAGTACGGATGGGAGACTTGTTCACAGTGCGTGGGGGTATGCGGCAAGTAGAGTTCAAGGTCGTCGAGCTGGATCCTCCGGACTACGGCATTGTGGCACAGGACACCGTCATCCACTGCGAGGGCGAGCCACTGAACCGCGAGGACGAGGAAGGAAACTTGAACGAGGTCGGATATGACGATATCGGTGGTTGCAGAAAACAGATGGCACAGATTCGGGAGTTGGTTGAGCTTCCTCTGAGGCATCCTCAGCTTTTCAAGAGCATCGGTATCAAACCTCCGAGGGGTATTCTCTTGGTAAGTTCATCTCGGAAGCGTCGATCCGGTGGCAGTGCATGTCTAACGTAAATTCTTTCAGTACGGTCCTCCCGGTACCGGTAAGACACTGATGGCTCGTGCCGTTGCCAACGAGACCGGTGCCTTTTTCTTCCTGATCAACGGTCCCGAGATCATGAGTAAGATGGCCGGAGAGTCTGAGTCCAACCTGCGAAAGGCTTTCGAGGAGGCAGAGAAGAACTCTCCTGCCATCATCTTCATCGACGAAATCGATTCTATCGCACCCAAGCGTGACAAGACCAACGGAGAGGTCGAGCGAAGAGTTGTTTCCCAGCTTCTTACTCTGATGGACGGAATGAAGGCACGCTCCAACATCGTCGTTATGGCCGCCACCAACAGACCAAACTCCATCGATCCCGCTCTTCGTCGATTCGGACGTTTCGATCGTGAGGTCGACATTGGCATTCCCGACCCAACTGGACGTCTTGAGATCCTTCAGATCCACACCAAGAACATGAAGTTGGCTGACGGTGTTGATCTCGAGTCCATTGCTGCTGAGACCCACGGTTACGTCGGTTCCGATGTTGCCGCGCTGTGTTCCGAGGCTGCTATGCAGCAGATTCGTGAGAAGATGGATCTCATCGATCTTGATGAGGACACCATCGACGCCGAGGTCTTGGATGCTCTGGGTGTCACCATGGACAACTTCCGCTTCGCTCTCGGCGCTAGCAACCCATCCGCTCTTCGCGAGGTTGCCGTTGTCGAGGTTCCCAACGTTCGCTGGGACGATATTGGTGGTCTGGAGGGCGTCAAGCGCGAGCTCATCGAGTCCGTCCAGTACCCCGTCGAGCACCCCGAGAAGTTCCTCAAGTTTGGCATGTCGCCATCCCGCGGTGTTCTCTTCTACGGACCCCCCGGAACCGGTAAGACTCTGCTTGCCAAGGCTGTTGCCAACGAGTGTGCGGCCAATTTCATCTCCATCAAGGGTCCCGAGCTGCTATCCATGTGGTTCGGAGAGTCTGAGAGCAACATCCGTGATATCTTCGACAAGGCTCGCGCTGCTGCGCCTTGTGTCGTCTTCCTGGATGAGTTGGATTCCATTGCCAAGAGTCGTGGTGGATCCGTTGGAGATGCTGGCGGTGCCAGTGATCGGGTTGTCAACCAGCTTCTGACCGAATTGGATGGTATGGGAGCCAAGAAGAACGTCTTCGTCATCGGTGCTACCAACAGACCCGAACAGGTGAGCTTCATATCGCTTATCTCTACGACCTTTCCGTATACTAATGCATTGTTTAGTTGGATGCTGCCCTTTGCCGACCTGGACGTCTTGACACCTTGGTGTACGTTCCTCTTCCCGACGAGAATTCCCGCGCGGACATCCTCAAGGCACAGCTGAGGAACACTCCTGTTGCCGGTGATGTCGACCTGCACTTCATTGCGTCCAAGACCCACGGATTTTCTGGTGCCGATCTTGGTTTCATCACCCAGCGCGCTACCAAGATTGCCATCAAGCAGGCGATCGGCGCCGAGATTGAGGCGCAGAAGGAGCGGGAGCACGCCGGCGAGGGTGGCATGGAGACAGAATACGAGGACCCCGTGCCAGAGCTCACCAAGGCTCACTTCGAGGAGGCTATGGCTTCTGCCAGGCGATCGGTGTCTGACGTTGAGATCCGACGCTACGAGGCTTTCTCGCAGAGCATGAAGCAGGCCGGCGGCATGACGACGTTCCGCTTCCCCACAGCCGAGGAGGTCGGAGGAGCTCCTGGCTCTGGTGACGGCGGATTCGGACAGGCAGCTGAGGACGATGACTTGTACTCATAGATTGTTTGTTTGGGGATTCTTTCGGGGCCGGGACTGGAATAGGGTAGAACCGGGACTTGGGTAGTTTGCTGAATGGTTTTACGACTCTGATAATGTCTTTTTACCCTTTGAATGAATCGATCGGGGTTTTTCTGTTGGCTTTTTTCTTTGTTTGTTTCTGTTTGCTATCTGTAGATTGCAGATTGCTTTACTCGATGGAATGTTGGACCCCTCCATGTCGGGTGGATTACGATACGTGATACGTGATGCAAGTTCACGGAATTGATTTTTATTGAGAGCTGGCGTATGTCGAGATGTATCGAAATAGCATTCTCATCAAGTAAACTCTTCAATGCTGTCATCCGGGTCATATGGCTTCCCAGAAGCCAGGGTTGTCCACGACCACAGATGACGAATCCTGTCGAAGGCAAGATTTACACTCTGGAGGGCCATTCTATTTTACAGCTCGAGTACATAGAAGGCTGCAGTCCATCGTCTTTTCAATGTATATTTCAGCCATTCCGCGAGTCGAATTGAATTGTCTGTTTCAGTTTATCGTTAAACCCGCACATCGTGTGTCTGCCTGCGATTATAAGCAGTTCTTTACCCCGGCGTAGTCGTGATACCTACCTCCCACTTCCCCCTGCCACCCCACTAAAGCTTGCATCTGTCTGACCGTCCGACCGCTGCTACACACGCACCCCAGCCCAGCCGAGAGACTCTCTTCTTACTCTACCACGACCGCCTACCACCACCACGACCACCACCTCACTGCCCAAAGTCGCGACTCGACAATCTCTCGAGTCATCGCATCATCAACCTCCTCCTCACCCACCAAACCCCCCTTTCTCTCCCCCTCTTTCATCTTCCTCACTTCCTGTCTCCCCTGCTCCACCCCGTCGCGTTCATTCCCCGTTCGTCGTTCCGCCATCAAGCGCGCCGAGCTTCCTTCATCACCCTCCCAACTCGACTCGAGAGAGAACTGACCTGACAGTTTTCTTCCTTTTCTCCTTCATCGTCATCACCCTGTTCTTCACTCGAACTCCTGTTTCGGAAGGAAGAGACCTGTACGCGCACAGCTTTGGAAAGGAGGCCCAAATCTATTTTCTTTCTACTTGAAGTTTGAGGAGAAGAGCGAATTTGGAACCGAAGGGATCAATCAGTTCCTATTACTATTTGTGTGTGAGAGAGAGAAGAGAGCAAATCCTGTCAGTCCGACGAGAAGAGAGTGTGTGAGAAGAGAGAGCCCTTAGCTGGAGGTAGTGTACGTATCTTCCACCCTCTTTGTGCAATCCTCCTGTACTGTTATTCTTGCTTGGGTTCGTGTCGTGGGATACGTGCACCTATCTTCTCCATACATTGTCGGATTTCCGAGGGGTCTTTTGCTTCTGCTTCTTCTTCTTCTTCCGCGTCTTTTTCTTCCCTTCAGCTGCTCCTGCTTTCTTGTCTTTTTGTTTCGGCTTTCACACACACACAGTGGGGTTGATTTCTGTTCCTCCGCTCTCTCTTCGCTGCTGCTTCTCTTCTCTTTTTCCGTCTTTCTAGGACGCTGATTTACGATGCCGGATGTACAGATTCCTGTAAGCAAGTCGTGGAAGAAGAAAGCTTGTGAACAGCACACTTTGTTGGGAGGATCAAGATCAAGTCACCTAGGAAAAACAAAACTGAAACCAGACTTCACTGAAAGCATAAGTACGAACACGCAAGCGTTTCCGTGGCACACACAGGCTTTTCCGTGATACGCACGCAGACACACACGCACGCAGACACACACACGCACGCACATACTACTACTCACCTCCACAAGATGGCTGACGAATTTGATATCGACATCTACGGGGATCTCAATCCGGATGAGCCCACGAACACCCCGGCCTTCAAGAAGGAAGACGGCGCCGATGATGACGAATACCTTGCCGATAACGACCGCAAAGATGAGGGAAAGGTCGAGGATCAGGAGGATACCAACATGGAATCGGCGGCCCCCGATGGAGATAATTCGGGGAACCAGCAGAATGCGAAGGGAGAAACTCCCAGCGGCGGCGGGCTTGTCAAGCAGAAGAGGAAGCTCGATGATAGACCCTACGATCCGAATGCCACCAGCGCGCTCTACATCGCCGATCTTCACTGGTGGACTACCGACGACGATATCCGTGGTTGGGTCAACGAGTGTGGCTGCGAAGACGAGCTCAAGGACATCACCTTCAGCGAACACAAGGTGAACGGCAAGTCTAAGGGGTGAGTGGAAGTCGTTATTGGTGGTGACAGTTGTGGTCGATGGGCATGAAGTTGAGCTTGTGTACTAATCACTTGGAATTTGTAGGGTTGCTTTCGTTGAATTCACCTCCCCACAAGCTGCCGCAGCCGTCAAGGCGAAGGTCGAAGCCGGCTCAAACCAGCCAATGTACATGGGTAAGCGACACAGCGTTAGCTACACCAACCCGAACTCGAATCCGTTCCGCACTCTGCCTAAAGAGGCGCCCCAGCGCGATCGTCCTCGTGATTTCCAGGCCGGCCGAGGCGCCGGTGGTCCCGACCGCGGCGGTCACATCGGTAGTGGCGGTCCCCCTCCCAACGTTGGCGGTGGTCCGGTTGTTGGACCAGGCGCAGGAATGAACATGGGCGGTGGTTTCCGAGGCGGTCGTGGCGGTTTCGCTGGACGAGGCGGTGGCAACATGGGCGGCGCTCCGTTCATGGGAGGTCGTGGTGGATTTGGTGGACCGGTTGGTGGACCCCAGGGATCCCCGCAGCCGGCGTTTCAGTCCCCAATGGGTGCTGGATTCGGCGGACCCAACATGCCTATGCAGCAATTCGGCGGCGGAAACTTCCAGGGCGGTTTCCAGGGTCGTGGTGGTATGATGCCTATGCGTGGTAATCCGGCCATGAGGGGCAGAGGGGGCATGGGCCCTGGAGGCATGATGGGTGGCGGTGGAATGGGCATGGGAGGAATGGGCATGGCCGGTGGAAACATGGAGGGCGGTGGTTTCAACCCCATGGGCGGCATGGCTGGTTTCGGAATGGGTGGAATGGGTGGGTTCACACTGAATCGACTCTCACGAAGTTTATTTTTGCTGACACGGAAAACAAATAGGTCCTGGTAACTTCCCGGCTCCTCATTTCAACCCGGCATTCTTCCCCGGAGGGCCTCAAGGAGGTGGTGGTGGTGTTCAGGGCCAATGGAACGACAACCCGCATCCTGCGAAGCGCCCGCGTCCGAATGAATAGAACTCTGTCGGCACAAACGGCTCGCTCAATGGTAGGAGGTTGATGCAGTAAGCCCGTCTTCGTGACTCCTTTTTTTTCTCGTTCCGCACAGCACAGATTCCTTCCCCATGAGCACCACAAAACCTCCCGACTAACCGACCTTGTGATATCTTTTCCTTTCTCTCGGTCTGGCATTTTGGTGGTTTCCAATTTTTCTACGGCTTTTCTGTTTTCTTCAAGGCAGGAGGGGGATGGTGATGGCGATGGGGGAAAAAAAGTGAGGGGAAAAAACAATGTGCCTTTTCTGTTTTCTGTTTTCTTTTTGATTTTGTTTTCTGTTCCTCTTTTCTCTAGGAGTTGAAGTTTTTTTTTTCTTGTTTGCTTTTTTTCTATGTAATTCGGACTGCTTTACATATTTTTACTTGGTTTTTCTTCATTTCCACGCTGGTTTTGAGATTGAATGGACTGGTTTTTCTGTGTACGATATGATATGGTAGTGAGTGATGTGTATGTGATTTGCGATATGCATTGTGGGAGTCAATGTCGATTTTGATGTTGATGTTGATGCTGATGTACCATTTGTCCTTGTACGATATGAAGGGAGAGCTATCTCAGGAAGGATCCTGGATGACTGACACGTGATGGGGACTGGAGAAGCACGTGGGAAGGCGAGTGATAGGTTGGGCCGGCCCTCGGATTACTGGTAGTCTGCTTCGGGCCGCGTAACTTGGTGTTACGTCACGGAGAGCTTCGTAATGTAGTTTCTGAGCAGTAGCTATAGAGATAACTTTTTCAGATCACACTTTGTTTGAATCAAGCTCTGCCGTACCTATATCAGTCCTGCTTTCTATGTGATGTTCAGGGAGCCGAAGCTTCCGAACAGGGCAGCTGGGGGCCAGCTTTAGTGACGTCGCTACAGTCCCTGGGTACATCTGCCCCACCTCCGTTCTAGGTAATCCCTCAACATCACCGTTTATCGACATCGACATCTCCAACCATGGCCTCAACTACCACTAGCTTTATCAACCTACGCAAGTCCCCTCTCGCCTCCCTCCTCCTCACCGCCCAGCTAACCAAGCGTAGCGGACGAGATCCACCTCCGGATCCTCCACTTCGCGGGCTGGCGGTCCGCGCTATCACTCAGCTCTACATCGCGACGGTTCCTTGGGCTTAGCGAGGAGCCTACATTCTGGCACGCGGCAGTAAACGAGAGCTTCCGGATGCACCTGGACAACTTTGACAAGGAGAGCGGCGACTGGAAGGGAGCGTTCCGGAAGCTGGTTACGGGACGGTTCTATGCGTGGGGGCAGATCGCACGCATGCGCGGCGATAAATTTAATAGGATTCGTCGCGACCAGAGGAATGCACATCAGCCGTTGCATCTGGGCGATGAGATCGAGGAAACGGTTGTTGATGTTCAGTGTGGGTATGTTATGTTGGCCGACGGGTGTGATGGGTGCTGGGTGAGCTGATAGGACGGTGTGCAGTGGATGGTGCTACTCCCTGCTGACCCTCGCCGGGAATATCGTTATGATTGGATCGCTGGACAACTCCTGGGCCGTGATGACTACCCGGTCAATAAAGTTCCCTGCGCCTGGTGTGAAGGTGTATCAGCACTCCGCTGGTCGGCAGCACCTCATTGTGCTCTCGGAGCGTGGCGAGGTTTGGTACGTCTCCGGCGCTAACTCGGAAGTTCCAGTTTTGTGCAGCTTCGCGGAGTTGGATATCGTACTGGGTTACCCGGGGGATACGCAGCGGCGGCCGGGAACGGTGTCGAAGGTTGTAGCTGGGTGGAACGTGTCGGGCGCGCTGGTGGAGGGGTACGGCATCGCCGTTTGGTTCGGCACTCAGCCCGGGGATGGCGGGCAGTTTCATGTAAAGGATGCCCCCTTCCTATCCCGGCTGAACGCGATGGAAGATGCAGATGCGGTGGTGGATTTCGCCATCGGCGAGAACTACTTGATGGCTGTTACCGCCTCAGGGAAGGTGTATGCCGCAAACATTGAGGATATTGAACAAGAAGAACTTATTGCACCCATGGAGATGCTAAACTTCGAAGCCCCCGCTGGACATCCACCAATTAACCGCGTTGTGGGCTGGTTCCGGAAGTTCGCCTTGTTCAATAAGGATGGCCTCGTCCACATCGTCGACGATAGCAAGGACCTAAAGGTGTCAAGACAGCTCCTGTACGGCGATGATGCCTCCCACGGCCTCTCCGGCGCTCTGGAGGAAATGAGGACGGATGCGGTGACACCGACTGAGGTTCCAGGGCTCAAGGAATATACCATCGTTGACGTTGCGTTCGGAGACTGGCACTGCCTTGCGCTCACCGATACTGGGAAGGTGCTCTCGTGGGGGAGGGAATCGGGGCTTTGTGGCTGTCTGGGTCTCGGGCGACCGGATGTAGCGGAACAGAAGGGTTTACGTATCAACAATGGTTACGACGGAGACCTCGATACCGCACAGGTCGTCACTTTTGAGCACCCGTATTCGGAGAATGAAGAACAGGGCGACGGTATGCTCCACATCCCACCACTCATATCAATTCGCATACTAACACACTCAGGCACAACCGAATATGCCTACAAGATCGCCGCAGCAGGCTGGCACTCCTGCGCGCTCGTTGCCATGGTGGAAAAGGGCTCGACGCTCTCCGCTGGTGGAATCTCCAAACCGCTCGCGCTCGATGGCAGCGGCGACTCAAAGCCTCCGGACGAAACCCCAAAGCCTCCGGGGCCGAAATCACCCCAGCCCCCGACGGAGAAGGGACATCGCGGCGGAATCGAGGGTGTACCCAGCGATGCCCGCGGCGGAAGAGTCTCGCTTGCGGAAGCAAGCATTGCCAGAGCAGGCGGAAACTCCATATTCGGGCTCGGAACTTCGGCAAAACAAATCCCCCCACCACCACCGACTGAGCATGGCCACCGCGGCGGGATAGTTGGGGTGCAGAGCGATGCGAGGGGTGGGAACAGTAGTCTGGCCGAAGGGAGCATGGCCCGGGGTGGACAGTCGTTTTTTGGAATGACGGGTGGTGCGCTACAGCTGGGTGAGGGGGATAGACTCAGCGAAAGCAGAGAGACTGAGAAGGAGAAGGCGAAGAAGAGGAAGCTTGAACAGTAGGCTTGGAGTTTCGGGGAGAAGTTGGGAGGTGTTTGCGAATTGTGCGAGTGAGAGCTAGTGAGGCCAATAGATCCTCAAGTGATTTTGTAAAAATACCTACTTGAACCAGCAATCATAGATATTTCACATAGACAAAATTTGTTGTACTTCCCCGATCTTCTCCTGCACGCATCAACATGCACCACAAAAAGTAAAATCACCTCATTGGCGTCACTAATGGAATAGGTACACTGTCCGCTCTAATCATGTCATCTAGTTTAAGCATTTATAGGCAAATCAGTGTGATTGAGATCATGACATCTTATTTGTAAAGCCGCGAGTCATGATAGGCACGCGAAAGAAAGAAGGCAGCAAAAAGGAATAGTAATCCAACGCCATACACGAAGCATCCACGAAAATCTTGCTAAGCATTCCTCTGCACGCCCACAGCCAACTGCGTCGACGTTGCCGGAGCCTCGATAGGCGAAAACACCCTCTCCTTGACCACATTACTGAAGTGACCGGATATCTCCTCGGACGTGATCTTGTTGCTCTCCTTGATGATCTTCTGCAGCGCATTTTCGGACACACCACTCTTTCCCGGCAGTGAAGTCCTCGCCTTGCCCGCGATGGCACTCTCGCTCTTCGAGATCTTCTGCGCCAGGTCTAGCATTTGCTTGGTCGAGTAGTCGCGGTTGTTGAGCAGCGGGCTGTTCGTGAGTGTGGCGACCCAGTACTTGTTCCACAGCAGGTCGAGGAGGCGGGTGTCGAGGCTGCTCTTGAAATGCGACACTTCGAGTGAGTAGTAGCGACTACTGTGAGCACCAAAGTCCTCAATCTTGCTAAGCGGGATGGCCTGGTACTCGTCGTCCTCGTCGGCGCTCGACGGCTTGTGGCCCTCAGGATACGTCCTGAACCCGCCGATATCCACCTTCCCGGCCGAGATAGTGCGATCGGGATCCACCACGACAGCCAGAAACGGATCCATAAACTGCTGCTGGTTCATCTCGGTATTGACGTCGATTCCGGAGAGCCAGCAGCCGTATCCCGGGTGCGAATGATACCAACCCACGACGTTCTCCTTGCGGTTTCCCTCGCGGGTGATGTCGATGTACTGCGCCATGTACTCGTACGCCTGCTCGTGCGCGTTCACGCGGGTCTCGGTGCCCTCGACGGGAAGCGGGAACGCGTCCATCACCACGAACGTCTCGTGCGCGATCTTGCCCTGCATCAGGCCCATCACTTCGAGCGACCCGCCCGAGCGCGCATGCATCACCATCTTTATCAGCGCGACCGCGGAAATGCGCACATATTTGAAGTAGTTCGGGTCGGCGGCCCACGGGCGGTCGGCGATTATGGCTCTAGGACAAGGCTGTTAGAGGGTACAATTCTAGAATAGAAGGAGGAGGGGAGGGGGAGCTGACCTCTGCTCCGCTTCATCGTAGTCGTAAAGGCCGTCTTTGGTGGAGTCTACGAGGGTGACATTGTTTTCCGCCTCTGAGTTGCGTCAGTAAAGGAAAAGCTAGGATACGGGAGTGGTATACCGAACTGAGCTCTAGCTGCGGCTTCCATAGTTCGTGTTTCTTTGCGCAGTGACGGATGATGGCGGGGAAGCTTGATGGAGTTTGACGGAAGGTGAGTTTGGTGGGGTTTGACCGAAGGTGAGCTTGGTGGGGCTCAATTCCACATGTGGATTAGAGAGGGCGTATGCTACTCTATCTTACACGAATGTCGGTTATTCGAACACCAAGGGTGCTAGGATGATTTCGTATTTTCTTTTTCCAAAATTCTTTGCCGTTGGCTACATATCAAACCGCCCAAGTAACGTGAAATATTGAGGCTTTCCCGTACTCACATATCACACTTCTGAGGGTAAATTTGAGCTCATGAGTCAATCGAATGCGAATTCGTCGAGCTTCGAAGAATCGTCAGTATTGACCACTCGCGACAAGCAGCTGAGTAACTGAGCTCAAGCGGTGTTGGATTCTTGGCATTGAAATAACCGACACATACACGCTACATTTAGCGCCATTAATCAAGCTGCCTCACTCTGTCGCGTCCCCCAAATCCTTCGATTAGCCCTATATTCCTCACAACAACAGCAATGGGAAAAGGTACAGTGATGGTATCATCTTGTTGACTATGGCGCGTACTTACTGACGGTGGAGGGATCGATGCCAGGCACCGACAAGCTCTACATCACCCACAGCGAGTGGGCGTCGGCCGACAGCTTCGGCGCGAACCGCAGTTTTCAGACCAAGACGAACCTTCCATTCAAGCGGCTTCCCTTCAAATTCTGCTCGCTCTCGCTGCAGCCCTACGAGCACCCCGTATGCACCGACACCGGCGTCGTCTTCGAGCTTACGAACATCATCCCGTGGCTCAAGAAACACGGTACGAACCCGGTCACCGGCGGGAAACTGGCCTACAATGACCTTCTCAAACTCAACATGCACCGCAACGAGTCCGGAGAGTTCTGCGACCCGGTCACATTCAAGGTCTTCACGGACAACACGCATATCGTCGCGCTGAAGACGAGCGGGAATGTGTTCGCGTGGGATACCATCGAGAGGCTGAATCTGAAGGCGAAGATGTGGCGCGATCTCGTGAGCGACGATGAGTTCTCGAGGAAGGACATCATTACGCTGCAGGACCCGCACAACCTGTCGAACAGGGATATGTCGGGCTTCAAGTTCATCCAGGAGGGCACCAGCACGCTGACGGAGGAGCAAGAGGCCGAGCGCGCGGATCCGCTCAGCGGTATCAACACTGGCGCTATGGGGTCTTCCGCGAAGATCCTGGCCGCGAAGGCGGCGGTGGCTAATGCACGAGCGGCGAAGACGGCGGATCCGAATAAGAACCCCGCTGCGCAGAAGGCTGGTGCTGTGGCCCGCCGAGAGAACCCGGCAAATGCGAATCGTGCGGCGGCTCCCTATAATGCGGCGAAGCATACGACGGGTAAAGCGGCAGCTTCGTTGACGTCGACGGCTTTGACGCCTCATACGGGCAACGAACATGCGCTGCTCAGCGACGAGGAGTACATGTTGAAACCGAAGCGCATAAAGATCAAGGGCTACGCACGGATTGCCACGAATTTTGGGAATCTTAACATCGAACTGCACACAGACTTTGCTCCTAAGGCGGTTTACAACTTTGTGAAACTGGCGCAGAAGGGGTACTACAAGGGTGTTAAGTTTCATAGGAATATCAAGAGTTTTATGGTACGCAATCGCACGAATCCAGGAAATCGCGGCAATGGCGCTGATCAGTATTAGATCCAGGGAGGTGATCCGACAGGAACCGGGCGCGGGGGAACTTCATATTGGGGCAAGAACTTTTCGGACGAGTTCGAATCTCCGCTCCTGCACAACGAACGCGGTGTCATCTCGATGGCAAACAAAGGCAAGAACACCAACTCGTCACAATTCTTTATCCTCTACAGGCCAGCAACGCATCTCGACCGGAAACACACCATCTTCGGAAAGGTCGTGGGAGGTCTGGACGTGTTGGACAAGCTGGAAGCAGTACCCGCCGGAGACGGCGATAGGCCGCTCGAAGATATCGTTATAAAGGAAGTGGCCGTTTTTGTAGATCCGTTCGAAGAGTTCCTGAAGAAGCGACGGGAGGCGGAGGAGGAGGAAATGAGGGAGAAGGAGAAGAAGAAGGTCGGCACAGAAGAGGACCGTGTCACATGGACGGGGAAGCGGATACGCGGTGATGGAGCGGTGGCGGGTGCCGGAGGGGCGGCTACAGCTGTAGGAAAATATCTCAAGGCGAAGCAACAGGAAGATGAGATCGTTGAAGAAGTGGTAGAAGAGGAAGAGTTTACGTACCAGGAGCCGGTCAGAAAGAAGGCTAAGGCCAGCGGTGGTGGGTTTGGCAATTTCGATGCGTGGTGATGATGCTATGTCGAGACGCATGTAATATACGAATGGCTACTATTGTTTGGAACCTCTTCTTCCTGTCCTCAACTCGCGTCCCTGCAAATCACTCGTATATTGACCAGCCTTCATCCTGTCGACCCATCAGGGTAATAGGAGGATCTGCCGACGCTCACCAACTATGCCAAATTCTCCGACACATTCCATCACTACGTTGCTATTTCGGAGTGATACGACCCAAGTATAAACGTAGCTTCTGTCATTACGTCCTCTCATCACCTGACCAACTGTAATCAACCCCATCCCCCAACAACTACCGCCACCACCACCGCTACCTGGTACACAGACGTCATCACAACAAGCCGCGATGGATCTACCTGACTACCAGCCTGGGCCTTCCCAAGATAAGATCAACGAAGCCTGGGCGGACCTAGCCAGGGAGCGCCTTGCGCTCGCCAACGAGCGCAAGATAGTGGAGCGGGAGCGCAAGACAGTGGAGAAGGAGCGCAGGTATGTCGAGACGATGTGCCGCAGGCTCCTCACGGACATCCAGCAGTACCGGCAGGTGCTGGAGGCTCTCGACCACGGCGTCCTCACGCCGGAGGAGGCTCGCGTCGCCCTCGCCCAGGTCGTGGCTCGCGATGAAGAGGAGGCACGGATTAAGTTCAAGGAATGGGTTTTCCGGAAAGGGTGAGTTTTTTGTTACTGACGGCGAGGGATAATGCGGGGTGGGAGAGTGGGGGCTCATATGTTTGGCTAGGGGAAATGTCATCACCAGCGCTTTCAATCTCACCTCTCGCATCGGTAGGGTCGCCCACGTCGGGTTCACCTTGGCAAGGACTGGTCAACGTCTTTACCCGAGGGGTCCGGACGCCGTCGGCATGAGTGAGAAGATGGATACCGAGACGCCCGTCATCGTGATGAACGGAAACGAAGAACTTGACTGGGAACAAGACAGGTAGTCCACAGAATCGTAGAGACACGACATCGACGGCAAGTGCATCTTCCCCCTCTCTGCCCACTACTCACTCTGACCACTGACTGTTGAGATTGTAGCGACCATTCTGAAGCTGTGAGGGAGCTACTTGCATCGTTGTTGGAGAGATAGGCGTTCTGTTTGGGTTCCAATTGTCGTCCTAGTTCCCTTGGCCTTGTTTTTCTCTTCTTTCGCAGTTGTATCATCGGTGTTGTGGACGTACTTGATTTCCGCCAGTGTGCCTTCAGGCTTCTCGTGATGCTGTACGGTATTGCTCATGCCCGCTCCGGTCGTCGACAAATTCCTCGACCCCTCGGTGAAGTAACCCGTCGTCCGGAGAGCTTATCACCTATACGTGGTCGATAACCGATCTGCCGAGCTACACCTGGCGAGTATCTACTCTCGCTCGCCTTGGGATTTAATGGCGGTGGTGGCCGTGCATGGAATCGCACTCGCCCACATAAAAGAACGCCATCGAAGGAAGGTGCTGGCCAACCTCCGGGCCTCTGAGGCTAAGCATGAGTGCCTAAGGGGGGGATACATATTTGGATCGTGTAGATCCTGTACATAGATGGAGGCGGAGAATGACGATGTACATACTTCATAGGTAGACTCACTCACTTCCTTCTCTCTTTGGTACCTACGGTATTCGGTCACTCGGGAACCCATGCTACTACATAACTAGAGTAGCGTGCTGGTTACCGGTCACTGATGCAGGGACTAGTCGACTAGCGGGGTACTGAGGGAACGCGGGGTCGAGGCGCGGTACCGTGTTATGGAGGTCCGATGCAGACCCGATGCGGTCGTTGAACGTTGAGATGTTTCTGGTGCTGCTTTTCTGTTCTGCCTGTTCATCGGTCGGTCTCGGGTCCTCATCTTGTGCTCTACATCAGATCATCACCATACCTAAGAAAAGCTTTTCTGATTGGCCGAAACGTCTGCACTAAAAGTTCAACTTGATTTGCGGGCACTGGGAAGTTACTCCGAGTAGACTACTCGGTTTATCCGAGTCTGCAGGGTGTTGCTATGTGCAACAGAAGCCAAATACCGTCGCGTCGTCCCAGGCCTCCACATTGAACTGCCCGCCCTACATACAATCCTTCGTACTGCCTTCCAGTTGATGGGATTCGACTATTTACTCTAGATTACGAATGAGAACGGCATCTGCATGTCCCGAGAAACCACTTCATCATCTTGCCACCACCGTCAACCGCGATTCACCGCTCGAGCCACAAATCGCCCCCCACCATGGCGCGCCCACTCGCACCGGAGATCCTACGCGTCATAACGTCCCCCTACGTAGTATCCCTCATCAACCTCGACTCTTCGCTCCAAGCCGTCGGCCCGCACGAGATCCAAGCATGGGCCGAATCGCACCCCTGCCAGACCAAAGCCCTCGCAAAGGCCACCGTCAACTCGCTCCAGTACTGTCCCTACGGCCTACCGGTGATCGAGCGCCTCGGCGTCGTCGCGCAGCTGAAGGATGAAATGCTGGTGCAGAAACCGGTGCTGCTCGATACGCTCATCCGGAATTCGCTCCAAGACGACATGAACTTTGACAAGTTCTCGCCGGCGCTCGTGGCTCTGCTGAGTACGCCTCTGCCGGCGGCATTCCCGCCGCCCGCAAAGTTGGTGGCGTTCTTCTTGAAGTGCCTAGATAGGGCCACGAAGGCCCCGTCGATAGATACTATCCGCCCGCTCTACGTCCTCGTTGCGAACGGGTACAGACACCTGGCGCTGCAGATGTCGGACAGCCAGAGCCACAGCTTCGCAAAGCGCATGGCCGGGTTCCTGGCGGAGAAGGGAAGCGCAAATGTCAACTGGTTCCTGATGTACTGCCTGGCCACACTTGCGCATATGCATCTCGCCTCCAGCGCTACCGAGAGGCAGTCGTGGGCCATTGGGGAGATCTTTCAGGGCAAGAAGGCGGCGACGGTGCTCGGGCTGGTCATCAATGTTGTCAATGTTCTTGCGTCGCCAGAGACAAAGGTTGACTGGCAGGAGAAGGTGCAGATCATCAAGATGGCAACGGTCGTGGCGGATGCGGTCAGTGATACGGTTAAGTCTACTGGTGCCACCAGTGCCGATGCGGCAAGTCTGAAGAGGTTGTTGGAGAAGACGAAGGCGTTGGATGATGATCGCGTGGTATCAGAGATGTTGCAGTTCGTGTCGGCACTATCCTTGATGACTCCCCAGGCGCCCCTCAAGATGACGATTCAGGAGCTTGTGAAGAGGAACAGGAAAGAGCAAACTTCGAGCATGTTCCTTCCCACGATATCAATCGGATTCTTTGCGGTATGTCTGCCCATAAAGTTCCTCGCATCTGCCTGTCGATCCTGATATTCCGTAGCAAGCTGCTCCCGCCGATCTCATTGAGGATATGCTACAGTCAGTTCTCAAGTGCGCCTCGAAGAGCAGCGAGTCTATAAGTTCATTCTACCTCCTTCTCCGGGATCGTATAGAGTTCATTCAAAAGCTCAACCAGATCGTCCCCGACTCTCCAAAGTTGCGGCAAGGTGTCCTCGAGGCACTATCAATAGATGCAGTTGATACGCTTGTGGAGGGGTTTATCCGGCACGAGGTCCATGAGCCCACAGCCACCGAAGTGTGCGGTGACGGCGAGGCATGTCGGTGGGTTATCGCAGACCTCACCAACCAACTACAAAAAGCGCTCTGTTCGTTTCTCCTACGCTGTATAATGTATTCGCAGGCAGCCGGCGCTTCAACAATACCGCCGTCTAGACCGGACTCTCTGATGGAGAAGCTTTCCCGTATCTCTGGCGCCCGGCACGAGTGTCCATTCGCGAACGCCCTGAAGACTGGGACGAGTAGTAGCCGCGACTTCCTGTCACTGATCGAGGAGTCCGCGTCGCCAGAGGCCCGAATCTCGTCGCACAACTGGCGACAAAGCCTGATGGACGGATTGGCGCGGGAGACGGGCCGCCAGCATGGGTTTATTGTGTCTGCTGTCGGTGAGATCTGCCGGGACCTCGAGAGCCGCTGCGAAACCGTCGAGGAGCCGCTGCGCGTGGAGAAAGAGACCTCGCGGCAGCTGCAGAACGAGCTGGAGGAATGGAAGGCGAAACATAGTGACGCTGAGGAACAGGTGGCGAGGAGCCTGCATGACCTTGGCCGCGCGACGGAGGAGAATGCGAAGTTGGAGGCGAAGCTCGATGGTGCTGTCTCGAAAACTAAGGAGACCATTGGCCGTATTAAGGAGCTTGAAACGGTGCTGGAGAGGCAGAGGGAGGCGGCGAGCCGTGCATTTGAAGATCTGGAGCGGACAAGTGAGCAGGCCAAGACTGTGCATCTAGAGGAGTTGAGGGATGCCGAGGATGCCGCGGAACGCGCTGCTATGGAGAATATGGCCGCGCTCAATGAGAGGCAGGAGATGATTGATGAACTGCAAGAGCACCAGCGCGAGCTCGAGCAGGATGTCGAGGACGCAGAGGGGGAGATACGGACCCTTAAAGAAGAGAAGGTACGCTTTGAGGAGACGGTGCAAGGCCTCAGGAAGCTGGTGTCAGAGCTTCAGCATGATGTGAACGAGAGTCGGGAACAAACTAGGAGCATGCAAGAGGATCTACATGAGAAGTCTGAACATCTCAGGAACTTGACAAAGGAGGGTAGCGCTTTGCGTGACGACAATGATCGATTGCAAGAGAATAAGACAATTTTAGCCAACAGAATCGAGGCCGTCGAGAAGGATTTATATGAAAAGCGGACGACACTGGTGCGGAAATTGCTGGATATCGAACGGCAGGATCAGGTAATCGACGAGCTGGTTTACGAGACAACGCGGCAGAAACATCACATGGCCCTCTCTCAGAAGATCCACGATGAGCTGCAGGAAAATGTCCAGAGGATTCAGCTCGAACTGGAGGCGATGAAACAAGATCACATTCAGAAATCCGCAGAGCTCCACACGGAATTGAGCACAAAATATGACCAGCAGGTATGTGTGATGACAGGCTATTTCTGTTCTGCCCGGATACTGACGGTACTCCTAGATCACCAAAATCAAAAGCGAACACAGTGATGAGCTTAGTCAGATCGGCCTCAACCACGAAACTGAAGTCGGCAGCCTCAGAGACAAACTTCTCCATCTCAAAGACGAACACCAGCAAGCAAATGACGAGTGGAGGAAAGAATACGAGTCCCAGCAACAGGAGATCGACACCCTGAGAGAAAAACTTAACAAGTTCCGAGCTCTCTACGAAGAGCGCGAGAAAGAAGCGCAGAACATAGGCCGCCAACTTCTCGGCCTGATGTCCGGCACAAAGCCAGATCTTGCGGGGCTCTTTGGCGGCGGTGATAAGGCGTCGCTAGATGCGCTCGCGGATACACCCCCACCCGCGCGGAAGACGGCTGTCCCCGCGCGACGTAAGCCGAGTGATAGCGACAGTCATCATAGCGATGACAATTACAGCAAGCGGACAAAAACGACACACCACAGCCCGCCCACAGCGCACCGACGAAATTCCCGGCTCCCGAAGACACCGCACCGTAGGATTTCGGCTGCCGCCGGGTCCCACAACCTGTTGCCTGCTACACAAGCCGACGACCTCAATGCAGTCAAGGAAACCCCCGTATCCCCCGCCGAAACGGATTACGGCACTGCACCCGTCCTCACCAGCACTCCCAACGGCCACGGGCTAGGGCTGATGAGGAGTAACGGCGGCAAGCAGCAGTACCGCTGGCAGTCTTCGGCACGCAGGAAGACGATGCCGGCTTTTAGGTCGCCGCAAAAGAAGAACCCGCAGGAGATGGTGGAGGTGGTCGATGACGATTGTGATGATTTGGATGAGGAGGAGGCCCTGCTTAGGGGCGTTGCGGAGGCGGGTTGGGATGAGACTACAATTTAGTGAGGCTGCTGGTGGATTTTAGGTTTTTGTAGATGAGGAATATCAGGTTTTGGTGTTTTGGCGGTTTAGTTTAAAGTACCCACATGTGGGATGGGAGGGAGTTTTGGGAGTTTTGGAAAGGCTTGCTTTGGTGGCAACACAGCGTTAATGTCAATCACATTCCTGTGTCAGAATTGGGGCTCCAAGGAGTATTTAGAGTACCGAAGAATCAACTTCTCTAACGTAGTGTACAAAGTACGGACTCTCGGAGAAGCTTAACCTTGGAATCCCGTGACGCCCCCGAGTGACGCTGCAAGCAAACCCGGAAACACCCAGCGCCAAGCCAAATCGCGGGTAACAACCGGCCAACGACTTTGACGTTCGTCCTATCCGTCAGCCCACTTCTCCAACATCCAACTCCGCAAACCCACCAAATCTCCACTCAACCAAACCGCACACACAACAACAACCACAATGTTCGCTGCCCGCGTCCTTTCCCGCGCCGTCGCGCCCGCCCCCCGCTCGTTTATCCAGCGCCGCCTCGCTTCCTCCGGCCCCACCGGCTCAAAGGCCGACGGTAACGCCTTCATCCGCGAGCGCGAGGCTGTCAAGAAGCACGCTGGCGAGTCTGCTGGTGCGTGTCCCCCCTCCATTCCCCCGCTCCCCCACCCTCTCCGCCAGTTTCCATAGCGTGCTGACGGACCGACGCCGGAATAGAGCTCTGGCGTAAACTCTCGATCTAGTACGCCCCCACCTCCCCACCCCACCCCCGCAGGGTCGGACTGGAGTGGAGTGGACTGACACCGATACCCACAGCGCCACCGTCCCCTGCCTGATCGTCACGGCCATCAACGCGTACAACCTGTACCAGGAGCATTGGGAGCACTGGGCGCACATGCCGCCGCTCGAGGAGCGCCCCGAGTACTCGTACCAGAACCTGCGCACCAAGAACTTCTTCTGGGGCGACGGCGACAAGACCCTTTTGTGAGTGGCCCTGTGAGTGACGTAGAGGGAGGGGGCTAATTGGATATGGGGGGATAGCTGGAATGACAACGTCAACTACCACAAGACTGATTAAACCGTCATACGCAATCGCAGATGCAGATGCAGATGCGGACGCGGAACTGGCGGGCTGGGGTGGGATGGGGGTTGTGTATCTAGTTACTAGGCGGCAAGGCGGCAAACTGTACAATTCGTTTCTTGAAACCGAGCCGCTATGCTGTTGCACAGGATTCAATTTGCATGGCAGATTTCATATGTCCAGTTCCATCCTACTATCTCACGCCCAGTTGTAACCATCAAACAGAACAGCCTCAACAACTCTCTACAAAAAACAAACATTCCGCACCCCACAATGTAGTCATACATCAGCCACCGCCTCCGGACAGTGCGTCAGATCGCCCTCATCTCAGTCGAATAAACTCGCGGCTTGTAGCCCCTCTTAGACTCCCTCTCCTCCTCGTCCCAATCCGCATCCGCACCTCTCCACGTATGGACACTGACACTTCCCTTTCCGATGCCGCCTCCCTGGAAGCTAGTAGCAGCAAAAACGGGCGCCGACGGGTGCCAACTGACGTCTCTAACGCAGGTATTATCTCTTTCATAACCACCCCACCATATGCGGTACGGATCGTTATGATAGCTGGGGGCGTTCGGACGCATCACCTTGGTGGCCTTATGGACATTGACTTCTCGAGCCAGCGTGGCGTCGATGTTCCAGATCTTTACTTTACCGTTGGCGGAGCCGGAGTAGACGTAGCGGGAGCCGGTGGAGACCGGCGGTGAGAAGTAGCAGCGGATCAGCGTGCGCTGCACACTGTGTCCTTCGTAGGTTACTAGGCTTTTATCGTGCGGATGGCGGCGGGGCGGGTTTGTCATGGGGTAGCTGAGGTGGTTAGTACGCCTGCTGTCGGGGGACTGGAGGAAGTCTTACCGGTCTGTACGGTAGTCGAAGCCGGTTGACAGATTCGTTCTGGGTAGTCTGGAAAACTCGCTGGGATCCATCATGTTTCTACACCGTCCAGAATCAGCGAACCAGCCTCTCCTCGTCCTGAAAACAAGCACAAACCTTAGATCCCACAGCTTCATCTGCTGGTCCTTCCCATTAGACAGGACATATCTTCCATCACCCTTACTAGCAATACTCGTAATTCCCTCCGTATGTCCCGTGAAGACACCCACGGGCCGCTTATCAGAGATGGACCGTCGATCCCAGATCTTTACTGTGCAATCGTCCGAGCCAGAGTATATGATATGCGGCGAGCTTTCGTCGCCATAGCACACCGCATTCACTTCGTTTGTGTGACCTCTTAGTCGCAGTACCGGACGCCCAGCAGTGATGTCATAGATATAGACGCAGTTGTCTTTGGCACCGGCTACGAGCTCGTTTCCGTCGCCGGAGAAGCGGACGGACATGATCTATATCACATGCGTCAATCGATTGCGTTTACCCTCGCATTCCCGACAGACTTACACCAGAACGTGGATGCATCGAGTGTGGCCCCGGACCCATTGCGAATTCGAGTCGGAGTGTATCATCTCGTCCGGGAGTGGTGTCTGCCAAATATACAGCACTGGTAATGCTGCTATATGCTAGAAACTTGTTATCCGGGGAAAGCGAGGCATCGGTCAGTGTCCAGCTACCGCCGACATAATCCACCGTCTTGTAGTACTTCCAGCCGTACGGGTCCGAAGTGTCGTACATCCGCACCCTATCGTAGCAATCAGTCTTCACACTCATATCTGAATATTCTCGGAAAGGATACCTCATATCCTGGGCACAACTGTAAAAGAAATTACCATCCGTTGAGAACTGTCCGATGTAGCAGTGATATTCATGCTCTACACGGGGTATATCAGCACCTGCAAGCCCCTTTCGCTGCACTCACAGTGGTACGGACCGACAATGAAATCCGCCTCGCTCTCGGGTAGATACGACTGCCACTCCATTAGCTCCACCCCCCAAAGAGGTGGCGAATATGCGATACTCACCTGCACAGCGCCCTGCAGACATGTCCTGATTTGCCCAGGGGATTGGTAGTCCCCCAACTCCCGCTTGAGCAGATACTCCTGCCTGGACTTCCGTCCCGCAACCGTACTTGGCGCCTACCACACATCAACGCCCATCCCCCGTACGACGTCGAGGCACCCACCGAACCAAAATCACTCCCGCGCATAAGCTTCTCCCCGGTCTCATTCGGCACCGGGTACCTCGGCCCAGTCATCGGCACCTCCTCGGGCTGTGGCGAAATATACGACACACCCTCGACTCCGAGGAGGATATCCGACAGTCTTCCAGTGCGTAGCGCATGGATCGCAGCCATGGCACGCTGTCGAGCCATGCGCGCGATGTCGACCTGTTGCGCTGCTGTGTGCGAATCGTAGCCGTCTTCGTCGTTTTCGTCGTCGTCCTCCTCGTCCTCGTCGTATTGTGCGTAGAAGTCACCGTCGCCTTCTTCGTCTTCGTCTAGGTTTGTTAGCTGTGAAGCTGAACAGGCGAAGGTAGCTACTACCTGCCGCCATCAGTGCGTAAAGCGGCAGCATGGGATCTTCCTCCAGCTCCGAAACCTGTTCCTCCTCCTCCTCATGATCGGAAGCTGTGCTGGCAGCGCCGGGAGTGTTGCTGGTCGCCATTTAGTTCCGCTTCTTCTTCTTCCAGTAAGTAAGAGATCGGCAATCTAAGGTAAGGTCTGGTATTACCTGTCGTTCGTAGCTATGATTTCGTTGCGAGCTGTGTTTGTGTTTGTATGGTTCTCGCCAGAGCTTTTGACAGGTGCTTTGGACGGCCCCGCAAACAAGCTTAACTCCGATTGATTAGTCCGCCCGAGGGTGGGTGGGTTGACGTCAATGGGGTAACATGCACCGATCCCCAGCGCGTACTCTGCAACCCCACCATCACCACCCACACAAAGAAGAAAAAACCAAACAGAGACAATGAGAGCTTCACTCGTCCGCGCCGGCTTCCTGAAGCGAAATCTCGACCAGCTGTCCAGTGCAGCCGGCCGCGGTAACAAGCTTCCTTCTTGCTCTTCTTCTCACTCCAGCGAAGACTGACCCCAGCAGCTCTCTCCGTCGGAGGTCTCGCTGGCCCCGTCCCCGACCTCGAAATCTACAGCTTCCGCAATCCCACCACGGCGGCCAATACAAAAGTCTTCACCGATGGCGGCTTCGGTGGGTTCTCCGTCGCAAAGATGGAGTCGGTCACTTCCTCCGGCGACTCCCCGGACGAGCCCCCGGTCTACGGCCGCTTTTCCGGCACCATCTCGATCGACCTTCCCAAGAACCGGCCAGACATTGAGCGAAGCGGCTTCGCGGCGTGGCGGATGCCGGACCCGGGATGGACGATCCTCGGGAAGGCACTGTACAATGTGGAGCCGTATTCGTTTCTGGCCATGAGGGTCAAGGCGGATCAGTCGAGGTACTTTGTTAATTTGCAGGTCGACTCCATGGTGCAGAGTGATCTGTTCCAGCATCGGCTGTTCGCGAAGACTCCTGGGAAATGGGAGACGCTCTATGTATGTGCCTATGACAAGGTGGGGAGGAGGAGGGGGAAGAGAGCTGACATGGAAAGATACCGTTCTCGGAGTTCGTGAAGACGCACATGGGGAAGGTCTTGAAGAGCCAAGGTCATATGCCGAAGAATAGCATGACGACCGTGGGAATGGGGCTTATAGATCGCATCCCCGGACCCTTCGAGCTATGCATAGACTGTGTATGGGTAAGTTTCTCTCATCTTCAAGTACGAAGCCTACACTCACCGTGCCATTCCAGGCCACCAACAATCGTGATTTGGATGCTCTTGAGGACGAGGATTCTGTGGAGTAAATCAAAACAAAGCAAAGCCCGCACAATCCACCAGTGTAAATACTTGTATTTTTGTATAATATGTAAAAGTCACTTCATTCTTTCGTCTGCAGCCTTATGGGTTCCATTTCCTGCCCGTCAACAGCTCATACGCCTCGATGTACTTCTCCCCCGTCTTCTTGGCGATGTCTTCGGGCATCTCGACACCCTCCTTACCCTTGACGCCGTTCGCCGTCAACCAGTCCCGCAAGAACTGCTTGTCGTAGCTATCCTGCCCCTTGCCGACCTCGTACGCGGAGGCGAGCCAGAAACGAGAGGAATCTTTACCGGTCAGAGGTTTTACGTGACAGAAGGGAGTTGATACGTACCGGGAGTGAGAACCTCGTCCACGAGAACAATCTCGTCTTTCTCGTTCAGACCGAACTCGAACTTGGTGTCCGCAATGATGATGCCGCGCTCCGCGGCGTAATCCCTGGCCTGTAGAACTCCTTATTAATTCTATAAACCTCTCACCCCCTTGGACGGGTAGACAAACAGTGGTGTAAAGCTCGAGGGCCAGCTCCTCGATACGCTTAGCGTACTTCTCACCGACTAGCTCGACCACTATCATCTCCTTAGCCTCGTCCTCCTGTGCAATCCTTCCCCGCGCGCGGACAAACCTTTGTCAGGGTGGATGTTCTCATCTACCACACGATTAGCCATCTCTCCACTGTAGGCGCCATGCTACGGTGCTCACCATGTTCCCCCTGCTCCGCCTTAGTGCTGGGCGTAAACAGCGGCTTCTCAAACATCTGGCTCTCCTTCATTCCCTCGGGAACCTTGATGCCGTGCACAGTGCCCTCCTTCTTGTATTCTGCCCACGCACTTCCGGTGATGTAGCCGCGGACAATCGCCTCGACCGGGAAGATCTTGTGCTTCTTGACGACCATGCTCCGGCCGACGAGCTGGTCCTCGTACTGCTTCACTTCGGCGGGGAAGTCGGTGGTTGAGATCAGGTGGTTGGGGCATTTGTCGCCGAGGAGCTCGAACCAGAATGCGGAGAGCGCGGTGAGGAGCTTGCCCTTGTCTTTGATGCCCTGGCGATCCCAACTATCAGCGCACGATCAAAGGTTGCGAGCGGAGGAGAGAGAGGGCACATTGCTCATGACAACATCGTACGCCGAGATACGGTCCGTGGCGACAAACAGCAACGAGGAATTATCCGGGAGCTCGTAGATGTCGCGGACTTTGCCCTTGGCGATGAGCGGGAGGGCGCCATGGAGGTCAGTAGTGGTGAGTGCGGCCATTGCTACGGTTGCTTTGTGGAGTGGTGGTGGTGGATTGAGTCGAGTCAAGATGAGCGACCTGCCCCACCACCCCACCATCTCATCCCATGTCCATCCATGTCCATGCCCATACAAACCCCCACCATCTGCCCCGCGACGCGCTCACTCGCTTGCTGCTATACATAGCTCACGTCACCGCGCGTTTCCAGTGTCCACCCGCGCTCTCACGCAGGCAGAAAACCTCAAGATCCAAACACCATGCGACCATTCGCACCACTACCTCTTCGGCTGCTCCGCAGCAGTCCTCGCAACCCCATAATCCGGCACATCACCAGCGCACCACCACCCCAAAAGCCCGTAATAGTCATTTCCGGCCCCTCAGGCTCCGGCAAATCCACGCTCCTCTCGCGGCTCTTCCGCACTCACCCGCAAGCATTCGGCTTCTCGATCTCGCACACGACGCGCGGACCCCGCCCCGGCGAGACGAACGGCCGGGAATACCACTTCACCACTCCGGCCGCGTTCGGGGAGCTGGCGGAGACCGGCGCGTTTATTGAGCATGCGACGTTCGCGGGAAAGAGCTACGGGACCAGTTATGAGGCTGTGAGTGAGGTCTTGGAAGCCGGGAGAGCTTGTGTTCTCGATATCGAAATGGAGGTATGTGTCCGACCAAGGATTGGTAGGAGGGCTTGGACTGGAGGGGGGCTGATGATGGACACCAGGGCGTGAAACAGGTCAAGTCTTCGACACTCCCGGCGAAATTCGTGTTTGTCAAGCCGCCGAGTGTGGAGGAGCTTGAAAAGCGGCTGAGAGCCAGAGGCACCGAGACCGAGGACGCGGTGCGGAAGAGGTTAGATGCCGCGTTAACGGAGTTGGCATTCGCCGAGCAGGCAGGAGCTCATGATAAAATCGTTATAAACGATGATGTGGATCGGGCATATGCAGATCTGGAGGAGTATATCATGACGCTTGTGAAGTAGATACCATACGAGTCATCCGACTGAGGCAGTATCCATATCTTCTTCCGATTCATCCGCCTCTACCATGCCCAGCTCCTTGGTATTACTCGTCCACAAACAGTGGAAATATTGACAAACTGAATTCCAAAACCCCATAAGCAAAAACGATAAAAATAACTCCGTTACCTAAGCAATGAATGATATGTAACACCTTCTCCGCTCTCGTTGGAAATTATACAGCAGCACCCCTCCTATTTGCTTTCCACTCCTTAACCATTCCGAAAATCCACTTCAGCGCGTTCATTATTAATGGCACTCCAACGGGTCCAAGGAGCGGCAGGTATACCGCCACCTTGTGTTCCTCGGGGAAGTAAACCTGGCCGACCATACTCTTCTCAAAGAACGCCTTCTCGGCCTGGTATGCCGCATTCCTGCCCTCTTCGAGGGCACCTCCAGGTCCTCCGAACCTACCCTTCTTGAGCTCGCGGCATGCATTGGTGAGCGACGACAGAGTGGACCCGACCGAAGTCAAGACCGAGGTGGGAATCGAGATAGACGGAAGTGCCTTAGTGAGACTGTACAGCGATCCGAGAGAAGACGAGGCCGAGGTCAAGAGTTCCGCCGAGCGCTGGCGCGTCAACGAGTCAATGCGGATCGGCAGGGAAAGTGGCCGCGATGGGGCACCCAGAAGCGAAAGGAGCTGTGCGGCGAAAATGTCCATGGCTGGCTTTAGGTCTTTCTTGCTGATGTGACCAGTGTGACTCTCCTCCGTCGGGTTGAGGACCATGACACCACCCCATTGAGGTAAGAGGAAGGCATTAGTAGCACTCTCGGGGATCGCGAGCGGTGTTTGCTCTTTGGAAGGGATGTACACGATGAAGTTGATGGTTGGGTAGCTTGTTATGCTGACCAGTGGCCATTCCGCGCTGTTGATGAAGCTACTTAGATCCTCCTTCTTGAGAACCCACTTTCCCGGCTGCGGCTGCTGTTGCTGGTCTTCTGGCACCACCACCTCAGGATTGGTGGGCACCCATACCGGAACCACGTTCGGAGACAATGATGCATAGAACTGAATCTGCGAGTCGACCGTAAAGTTACTGATACCACTCAAGGCATCAAGCAACGGCTGAAGGTAGTCTTCGATGGATTGCTCGACCTCCCAGCTCGTCGGACTCCCGGAAGCGGTGAACATGGAGAAAGTGAGGTGGTACGTCGGCGAGTACCGCATGATCCGACTCATCTTGCGCTGTATCTCCGCCTTGTTGATCTTATTAGACCCGTTGCTGCTGTTGTTGGAGCCCGAAGACGCAGGTGGCGGGGAAGGCGATGGCGCGGCGGCGGAGGATAGTAGGTGAGAGATCATCTGTTGCTCCTCCCTGAAGATCTCTTGTAGCGTATTGGAGATGAACAACGCAAGACTCGTGGACGACGCGGATGACGAGGGATTGTACGACGGCGAGTAGTAGAGATCGATGACTCTCGAGGAGTTATGCAACTGGTAGCTAAACATACTGTCAGTATCACAGCTCTCCGACTCGCAGAAGGAGCTTCATACGAATGAGTAGAACCGCTCGTCCCAGGTGCCAACCGGAGAATCGCAGCTACACTCTCCTCCTCGTCCTCCGGTCCCCCAGTCTCCCCCTTCCTCTCAGGCTGCAAGTCGGATTGGATTGTCGTTGAGATTCGCTCGTCGTCTTTCCCGTAGGCCAGGCGCAGCCGTAGATGGTGAGCCGAGAAGTCATTCGCATCGTCCAGAGCGTGCTGCACCGTTTTCAAAAGGTTCTCCGGGTCCGGTAGTGTCGGCGCCTCGACATCGACAAGTAACGGGAACTCTGCTCTGCAAGCCTACTCGACACAAAATCAGCCCCCCTTCTTCCCTAAGCCCTTCCGAGTCGGCGTACCCGTCCATTGGCCCAGCTCTGCATCTCCTCCAGCGGCAGCGGCGCGCGGTATATGGAAGTTGTGAACCACCATAGCGGTAATCCGAGCAGGAGCACGACGGTCCAGAACGACAGCACCACTAGTGCACGTGTCCGCTCGTTTTCGGGGGTGTCGGGGGGTGGAGAATCGGGGGGTGGAGAATCGGGGGGTGGAGAATCCGGTGCTTTGGGTTTTGGTTCGGACATCGATATCGGTCTCGGTGGAGCTGGTGCACGCGGCGCGGCGGTTGCTGGTGATCGCAGGAGCATTGGAGCGAGTTAGGAGATGTGTCGTTTCTGAGTTTACGCAGGGATATGTGGCTTGGGTCACTGGTAGCGATAGTAACGACACAGGTTCTCAATCGCCCGCACTTGAACGAAGAAACGACACAAATAGTACATTTATAATATGCGTACCCCCTCCGAGAACACACGAAAACTTCAGTCCTCTCCACCAGCCTTCTTCCCCTATGATCATTCACTCCCCAAGTATACATGTATCAATCAATCTGCTCATTTGCAATTCCGAGCCCATTTATTCATCCTCTCCTTCTTCAGTCTAGAATCCTTCCTCTCCTCCTTCAGCGCGCTTTCCTTCCTCTCCCATTTCAGTCGGGGCATCTTCCATTTCTTCATCAGTACAGTCTTCTTCCATTCCATCATCAGTTGAGTCTTCTTCCATTTCGTCCTCGGACTCGTCTTCTTCCTCTTCTTCTTCCTCTCCATATTCCTCATCTCCTTCAATCCAGATCTCATTATCACCAGTCCAGGGTGATTCCGGAGTCTGGGGCCTTCCCATTCCCTCTCCAGCAGCAGTGAAGCCCTCTTCTTCCATCCAGAATTCGGGGCCGGTGCCATCGTAATCAATCCAGACGTCGTCGGGTGGCAGACTGCGATGGTTCGCCGGGGAGGAGGCGGCCAAATCGGGCGTCATTGTGTCTTGGAATGTGGTTGTTATTGAGAGAACTGGGAGATAGCTTAGGTGGGAGTAGGAATGTCGTGAAAGGATGTAGAAGAAATCGTGATGTGAGGATGTTGGGGAGAGATGGTGGTATGAAGATGTTGGGGAAGATGTTGGGGAAAGATCGTGGTGTGGGGATGTCGGGGAGAGATGGTGATGTGAGGATGTCGGGGAGAGATTATGATGTGAGGATGTCGGGGGGAGATGGTGGTGTGAGGATGTCGAAGAGGTCGTGGTGTGAGCGAAGGAAGAACTTGATCACTCTCAGCCTTTTAAAGGCGTGTTTGAGGTACCTGAATCTCCAGGTTTGGCCTAGGATGATATGTGATGTGCGATCCAAACGCTTGGGCCTGTCGTGCAGCGACTTCATATATTCTCCAGGCTTGTTTCGGCGTCATGATTGATCTCGAGATGGTAACTAGTCCAATAAGGTGGGCCTTCACCTCGCCGAGGTATGGTCTGTGTCGATAGTTTCACGTCGTTCGGATTGTTTTGGTTGGCCTTGTCGGAAGAGACCCGTAAGAAGGACCCTGAGGAATTCCCATCGACTACATGTATTGTTATCACAGCTTGAAATCTACGAAGGGCACATGAACTTCAAAGATAAGTCGGAGACGTCAAGAAGCTACTCCGAAGGGCAGACGATGCCATAGAAAGCTAAGATGGTGAAGCTGTGTTGTGGGAGAATGAATGGCTGTCACTGGAGTTGTCCCCGCGGAGATGGAACTTCTGTGAAGGTTACAATACTGTAGTAGGTGTTGCTCCATCATTTGATAGCCTCAGAATAGTGTACGTTGGAGTGAGGAATACGATCATCAAAGCTCACTCGCATATCTGAAGTGTGGAATATAGTGTCCTGCTGCTGCATTCTCAACGCGACAGCAGTCCCGAACGAAGGTGGGTACTCTACTGTTGCAGCTATTCAACATTCAAGTTTCGGGTCTTTCCTCAACTTCAGGCCTGGGCCAGACGATATGGTCATGCTCAAGACTTCTCCGATTCCGTTTACTTACTTCTATGTATTCCTTCTATGTAGCAAACCGGTGCTTGCGTCAATTGCTACATTTGTCTCGGTATTTGTTCCGAGACGCTGCTGACCAGACTCCAGAGGGTCCAGCTGGCTGCCAGCAGAACCGGCTTCACGGTAACAGGGCATGTCGTTGGTGAACAGTTCAAAAAGACTACCGACTCGAGCCTGCACTCACACGTGCAACACTGCAAACTCGAAAGCCCGCCTGCCGCGCAAGTCCCATCTGTACATAGTGCGTGGGACACAGCGGGAACGGCGGGCATGGCAGATGCACGAGCGGCGAGATTTCGCCGCCTTGGCTAGACCAGATTCGGTGGGGTTGAACGTTCAGAGGGCTCTTGTTTATTTTGCCGGCGGGTCTGTCCTGTCTGTCTCATCGTCCATCATCATTGCTTCCATTGTCTGTTACCTATTGCCTATTACCTGATTTGTTGTTCAGCGGTCGCTGTGATCGTTTTCTTTAGTGTGCTTGTTCTTCTGGGACTTCCTAAATTCTACAGGAGGTTCTTTTCTAGTCTTGCCTTCTTTCTCTCTCGTGACTTACACTTGACCCTTTCCACCCTTTCCACTCTTAACGTCGAATAAGGGCTCCTCCGATTTTTAGCTCCTCAATAGCGAAGACAAGGCTGGTGAGTAGTCGCTGCAGCCATGTAGTTCGCCACGAATATCACTCGAGGCCACTCCACTCCATCACACACGATCAACTCGAAGCTCACAGAAAACTGCTTCTCCAGGGGTTGTAGGGACAAAGCCCTATTCACAGCTTGGGCAACATCAACCGCCTCTCCCCTCTCCTACCCTCCCCGTCCCGCAAGCTCAAGAAACCCCATCCCCCTCCCCTCTCTCCGCAGCGTAAACCCCGATGCCCACTTACCCCCGCTTCAAACCCGCCGTCAACCTGGACCTACTACCACGGAGTGCTCGCGCGCTCTCCGGTGCCGGCGCGGGCGCCGCCACAGCCGCAGAGCAGGAGCACTTCGGCCGCTTGCACCGGCAGAGCTCGCAGCGCTTCGCGGCGGCGCGCGGGAACCTCCGCACGGCGATGCAGGAGTACGCGTGTACGCCGACTGATCAGAGCTGGAGGAACTTGGAGGCCAGGTGGAGGCTGGTAGATGCGGCGGCTACGGCGGTCGCTGCAGACCTCGCGAATCTAGAGAGGATGAATGTTAGAGCTGCCGTGGTGGAGTTGGTAAACGCGGTGGATATGGCGTGGCCGGCGCCCGCGTTGTGAGAAGCTGGGCGAAGTGCTGGATATGAGGGAGAGATCGTCGAATGAGCGGTGGTGAGGTGGGGAGGGTTGTGTTTAGTACGTTGTTAGAGTAGATCCATCGTAGATACTAGAGAGTGGGATCTCCTTTCCAAGGACAGCCATCAATCAAATACGAGTTCCAGAACAAAGAATGGAACAACTTGAGAGCTGCCGGAGCTACAAACCGGTATCTTTTCTTACTCTTCCATCGGCCATTCCCTAGCCGATGACATAAGTTCCCTACCGGCTAGTCAAGAGAGAGAACACAGTAGACACCCTCAACTTGGGGGCCGGCATGTCTCTCCACTGCTGTTTAGTTTTCCCAAAAAACCTTCTCGCAAATCAAACGGGTCGAGTGAGGCACTGTGTCGCAGCGGTATCAACCGAAATCAACCGAAATCAACTGAAATAAAGCGGTGCTATGTACATTCGTTTGGGCAGCTTTGCTTTCCTGTAGTGCTTGTTCGGAATATATGATAAGAAGAAAATACGCTCGTCGAATAAATATAGGTAGAAGGTGTGTGTGGTATCTGGTGTGGTGTGAATCGTGATGGAGCCCGCAAGGAAGATGAATGGAACCATCAGAAGGCCCCCCCTCACAGAAATAAAATTATCGCTGCGGCGAGGGGTTGGCGCAAAGGGTTCAGTGTATGTGGGAACGAGTGTGTTCCTGTGAGTACCTAGTCCGCTAACTAGCCGTTCGGAGGACCGGTGGTGAGTGCTTGGAACATTCGGGGCGGTGCATAGCGGGTCCAAGTTCGGTTTTCTTTCTCTCTCTCTTGTATAGTACCGGTAGCTCCTAGACTCCGAACATACTACTTCTCTCCATCGCCGTCCGTCGTTCCAGTGATCACTACCACGAGTCCTTCCAACATGTACAATACGAGAGGGGGTATACTCTAGTGGGGATCCATCCACCAGGTGTCTCATGTATGCAGGTATATCGCCACCATCCGAGACCAACTGCCCGGCATGAATGGGTTTCTTAGTAAGCCGGTGGAGGTTGTGGTGGTATGTAGTCGGAGCCTGGAGGGAGAATGGCGGCTGGAAGCCTGGAACTTGGAAGTCTTTGCATCCCAAACTAAGGAAGTTTGGGGCTAGGGTACCACAGTTACATAGCGGCTACCAACTCCCAAGTCTACCATCCGCTCACATCCCAGCCTATCCAACTTTCAAGGACCAAACGGAGCTCACTAGTATGTATACCTACCCCACAGAACGTTATCCTCTTCGATCCTTCGATTTTGGTGCCCTGGTGCCCTGGTGCCCTGGGAGTTGATTCATTGTGTGGCTTGGAAGTTGGAACGTGGAACGACAACGGGACTGGGATTGCCAAGCTGAGCCCTGACGAGCGGAGCAACTAGGTAACGGGCTGACGATTTCGACCTCTGTCTGGTGGGTTTCGTTCTGTTTCGTCGACCAGTGGTAGTGGGGGGGGGTGAATGATACAACGAGCCTTCGCAATTGCGGTTGCGGCGCCGTGCGTGGTGGGTCGAGAGCTCGAGCTCGAAGCTTCATCCACCGTCTCATGTGACATCACTCAACTCACAGTCCGGTCCGATTATGTCACGACCCGCTAAGTATCGGTGGGAACCCTGCCTCTCCGCCAGCGCCTTGCGCCCTGCATACTACTCTATACAAAGCTTCATTCAACGCAGCCAAGCTCCGTTCAAGCTCTCAAGCTCGATTGAAGCTCCGGACAAGCTCCGTTCAAGCTCCGTTCAACTACGACACATCGCCGCATTCCCCGGATCGGTAGCCTGCTGTCCGGTGCAATAAGACAGTCCCCCGGGTTCCCCAGAAAGTGGGTTGTCACCTCGACAAGTCTCAATCTCCAGCTCCGCGCCACGTCCGGCGTAGGTACTCCGTCGGGGTGCGGTCAGCAACCGGTGCATGAGGCAGTTGATGGACATTTATCTGTCTACCGGTAGTTACCGGTGAATGGCGAATCCGTATGTAGAGCACATAGGATGCTCCACCGATTCTTCGGATGTCGCTCCTGCTACGGTAGCTAGTGTGCAATCGTAGATCGCGTGATAGCTCGTGTCTTTCTCCATTCGAACTTCGAAGCTTCAGACCGCCGGCTGCTGCGTCTGGGTGTGTGGGAACCGCCGAGTCAGCATGGGAGATCTGATCCGCGTAATGCTTAGTGATATGCTTTCAATGGGCATTGGGGGAAATGCAATGGGGCAACGAGGGGGCATTGGATTATCGCATTTGGATCTGCTGCCTAGGATAGAGCGCAGTGAAATGAGAATAGATGTCGAAGTGGAGGTCGCAAACGGGGGAAGGGGAGGGGGAGGGGGCTTTGAGGATTTGAGACCGGAACTGAAATTTCCTAGGTAGGGAAATCTCCGATCTCTTTGATGGAGTCTCGAGTGGCGCGCATTGAACTCCGCCCGCTAGTTGCACTTACGTATGCTGGCCGGAGCGCTGAGGGAGCTTCCCCCTCCCCCCGCCGGGGTACTCTACATACTCTAGAGCACAAGGTAGAACTACAATGTCAAGGGTGGGGATGCTTCAGCAGCACATGTTGAAGGCCAATATATCCTCGCCGAAGAAATAAAGTGTTCCCAGAGAAGCGAAACCCGGCGAGAGGAAATCCCATTGTGGGTGAGAATGGTGTTGTCCCTGGAACTGGGAAAGGGGTGGTGGTTGTATTTTTTGCAAGCGACGGCTGTGGCGGTGGGAACCCTGTGCAGGGGAAAACAACAAAGGGAAACTCTCTGCATGTTTTGCGCATGTTTTGCGTAGAGTAACAGGTACGGTAAGCACCTGGGTACGAGGTCCTATCTATGTAGAGAAAAGCTTCTCCTCCTCCTCCTCTTCCCCTAAGCCTTAACCGCGTGGGCTCTACTCTGCTTTACTCTACCCAACTCTACTTTACTCTACCTACTCAACTCTACTCCATAGCAGACGTGTGTTTCTATGGCCCGTACGCACTGTAACACTCATTCGACTCCACAGCCTACTCCTGCTCCTCGATAGATACCACAGCCCAACTTTGCAACTCGATTAACTACCTATTTACCTACTGCATCCGTTACTCCGACACGGCCCAAACGGCAACGACGAATGACCGCGTACCCGCACGCACGTGCGATGCCTTCTTCACCGCTGGACAGCAATGGCGGAGTGCTGATGGTGGACACATCGGCGGCAGCGGCGGCCGCAACGCGCCCACGGTCGGGAACGCTGGCCACGATCCAGACAATCCCGGAGGGCGACATCCTGACGTCGCCGATATCGGGGCACCGGCCGTCGAGCCAGTTCCGGCTGCGCAGAGCGCCCACCGCGTCAAAGGAGTACCAGATACTGTCGGCCGGGCTCGAGCCGGGGCTGAACCCAGATAGCGACGGGCTCGCGGACGATCTCACAAGCTCCCTCCACACCGACTGCCAGATCACTGTGGTCGAGTACAATGAGGACCGCATCTCCCAGTACGAGCTGTGGAACGATGGGCTGAAGGAATTCTTGGATAAGCCGAGACCCGATTGGGCGAAGGTGGGTTGTGCTTGCGGGGTGCGACGGGCGGATGGGAGAGGGGGGGAGTTGGGCTGACGCTGGGTGCGCAATGGTGGTTAGGTACGATGGATCAACTGCAACGGATTGTCGTGGGATGTTGTCAAGCAGCTCGCGCGACACTACAACTTTCATTCCCTAGGTCCGGTGGCACTTCTACTTGTATCGTCTCGCGCACGTATCAGGAACTGACTCCCCTTCGAATGAACGTGCAGCCCTCGAGGATCTGCTGTCCAAACACGACAGCAACAGACCCAAGTGTGACTGGTATTCCGACCATGCCTTTAGTACGGTCTGCCCCTCGTATTCGCCCCATTGGATGGTCGACTGACCCAGCTCCGAATAGTTATCCTGCCACTCCTGAAACTTCTCGATGGCGATTGTTCGGATTTCAGGAACCACGACCACTACAAGAAACAACCGTTCTGGGAGCGCATGTTTTCACGGGGCTGCCAGGCGAGCGACGACGACCCGGAGAAGAACATGCTGGACGAGAGTTCATTGCGCAACAAAGTCCGGACGCTACAGTCCTCCTTCGGAGGCCCCAACGCCGAGCGGATAGCCTACATGGAATCGCACGGATCCCTCCAACCGCTCGAGAAGATCGTGCACGTCGAGCAAGTATCCGTGTTCTTGACCGAGGACGGCACGGTGGTCTCGTTCTTTGAGATTTCGGGCGACGACATTGAGCCTCCCATCCTCTCGCGACTGTACTCGGAGAACACACTGCTGCGCACCTCGAGCGATCCCAGCATGATGATGCAGGCGCTGATCGACGGCATCGTCGACCTCTCCTTCCCCGTCGTGTCGGCGTATCAGGACATCATCGCCGAGCTGGAGATGACCGTCCTCACGGATCCTTCGATTAAGCAATCTCAGGACCTTTACATCCTGACGAGCGAGCTGTCGCTGCTCAAGCGGAATATTGCGCCCATCGCGGCAGTGATCACCTCGCTGAGGGACCACAAGAAGGGCATCATGTCGAAGATCAAAGGGAGCACCGGTATCGAAGTCAGTGATATGACCAGGGTTTATCTAGGAGACGTGCTGGATCACGTTCTGCTGATTCTCGAGGTGAGTCCTTTTCTGTTGGAGACCGGGAGACGGACAGAGACGGAACTGACAGCACCCGTCCACAGAACCTCGAAACGATGAAGCGGGCAGCCGACAACATGATCGATCTGATCTTCAACACGATCAGCAGTCTGCAGAACGAGAGCATGAAGCAACTCAGTTCGTTTCCCTCTCCCTCTCCAGCCTGCACGCCTCGAGCTAACACTCTCTCCCTTCCACAGCCACAATCACCATCGTCTTCCTACCGATAACCTTCTTGGCCGGCTACTTTGGCATGAACTTTGAAGTGTTCCCGGGCGTGCAAGGACAGTCGGACGAGTACTTTTGGAAGATTGCCGCGCCGGTCATGGCAATCACGCTCATGTACTGTCTTCGAGAAGTAGTTGGACGCCAGATCATCAAAAAGTTTCAGCGCAGGTCGTTATCCGTTGCCAGGAAGAAGAGGAGGGATAAGCTGGACTAGGCGGTTGGAGGGTGGTGGTGATGGGGGGAGGGAGGTGGAGTTTTTGGGATGGAGTTTGCATAGCATAGCACTTGATGGGCGCGAGGACGGGAATACTTATGTTGTAACTTGTTATACCTACAGCCGGATGCGGATGGGGATGGAGTTGTAATACGTGGATAGGTGGATAAGGCGATAAGTGGATATCATTGCGAGTATTTGGGCACCTACTTTATGAGATACTAGATAGCATAGCATACTTGGTACTTGGCTATATAAAACCATATTTTGATTTCTTGGAGTTGCGGCCGTTGGGGCTAGGTATTGGGACCGTTGAGACCATTGGGACCATGGGCGCCGACGTGAGCACCGATGGTCTGGTCGGGGATGGGTCTGCTCGGGGATGCATGACATATCACCCACATGTCAGGTCAGGTCAGAGACAGGTCTGAGGAAGGTCTGAGGAAGGTAGGCGCCGAGCATGAAAGTAGAGTACTTGGTCATGTAAGTAAGCACTTGGTCATGTAATGTAAGTAAGCACTCGATCATGTAGGTGTAGGTATAAGCAGAGTAATGCTGGCAGCTGCAGGAGCTCGGACAACGGCGGCGGCAACGCTGGTGCTGGTGCTGGGGACTGGGGATGGCTGACTACAATCCGTGGACCGTCACAGCCTGTATGTATCTAGAGTACCTAGTAGCCGCTGGACTTGGGGGCAATCGATACGAGGTACATCTTAGGTAAGGACTTAGTAGTTGAATGAAGTCTTTTTGGTGGGTTTTACGGACGTGGGCGGTGGGCATAATTGAAGCATTTTGGGCGCGAAGACGTCTGGGTAAAGGAAGACGGGAGAATTCTTCCATTGCTAGGGATGATCTCAAGAATGTGTCCCGACTCGCGGGAGATTGAAAACCTCGGAAGGGGTGCTCTAGGTGTATAGAACGCCGAGATGGGTGAGAACTCGGGGGGAAGGGGGAGGGGGTAGGAAGGCCGTGAGGATGAGGAAGAAGATGGGGATGAGCTGCCGAGACCGATATGTAAACGTAAAGTCGCAGCGGGAGGCAGCCCGGAAAGGAGCAGATTTATCTCGGTCTCCTTTGACTTCATCGACTTCGTCCCCGCATCGCGATTCGCGATGTTTCCCGATGACCGTCGCCGATTTGTTTCCCACTCCCTTTCCAAGCTCCATGCGGGAACATTCACCCATAATACTCTATGCGCGACAATGCACATACTGAAGGACCGCGGGGTCTCGGCGCCTCTGTGTTGCGGCGGTATCACTGGCGGGACCTAGCTATTGTTAGTTATGGCGGGCAAACCTGATGGCGTTGAAATGTTTTCTGTTGCTGCTTTTCTGTCTTATTCAACACATCAGACATTATTCAATACCACAGGTATTCTCAGAAGTCATAGGCCTCTCTTCTCTTCTGGTTGCTTTGCTTTTTCAGTTGAATAACGTTCATCAGTTGCTCGTATCCGTCCAGGGTCTCTCGGCATGTACTGGTACTAGGTGTATGTAGAGTACGGACACCTATCGATAGCGAAAGAAAATAAAGATTATGTAAAGTACGGACGAACTCGCTCTCATGATGTCTCATCCTGGCCCCGCATCCGAGTTATCAACTTGCCAGCGAACAAGCTGGCCAATCCGGTGGGATCGGTGCGGATCCTTGAGCGACGGGCTTGACAGCTGCTATGTACACATATGTCTATCTGGGACATCTAGCGAGCGAGGGAAGTGGGCGGGGCGGGGAGGGTGGTGGTGGTTAGGTGGGGAACGGGCCGAGGACCGGTGGGTGATGCAGACACTCAGTTCTCGCGAGCGAAACCAACCCGAATACTCGTCTTTTATGCTTTCATCCTACTATACACCACTCCACATAGTTACGGTATCCGTGTGGCCACGAGTACACGGGTTCTTCACGATGCGCCCGCGAGCTCGTTGTTAATTGCCCGCTCGACTGGCTGGCTGGATGGCTGGCCGCTGGCCGCTGGCTTCCTGCTTTGGGCAATCCGTAGTGTCGTCTCGCCTCTGCCCCTCGTGGCCGTATTCTGAGCATCGATCCGAGCGGGTGCTGTGCCCAACTTATCTATCTCTCGACGACGTTGGTGCTTTTACTGGGGAGCACTTAGCATGAATGTCCTTTTCCTGAGACGGGAAGAAGACGAAGAAGAAGATCTGATGATATGCCCCGCGCCGAACGGAAAGCATCACCAGCGTCCATCCATCCACCACCCACCATTCACCACCCGCCACACCCACCACCACCAGCAGCATCAGCATCCCATCCTTAGTTACTTCCACCTCCTCTTCACCCCTTCTGTCTGGCCGGCTGTCACCCACCATTCCATGGAGAGCAAATCCCTGTCTCTCGCAGCCTATCGCGGAAGCGGAGCGCTAAGCTAGTGACTTTCGCTTCCCCTCCTTCCACCTCCACCTCCAAAAACCTACCGACGCCCTCCACCTAAACCACTTCTTAACTATACCCCCCAGCACCTTCGGCCCCATTCAAATTCCCTCCCTCCCTCCCTCCTCGTCCTCCTTCTCTTTCTCTTTCTCTTTCTCTTTCTCGTCCTCTCACGCTTTCCCTACACTCGTGTTCTTGCTCAGCTTTCTTCGTCTCGTCTCCTTTTTCCGTTCCGTTTCCTCGTTTCCTACTATCTCTCCTCCCCCCCTCCCTCTTCTTACCCGCCCTCCCCACCTCCCCCCACCACTACCTCCACCCCCTTCTCCACCCCCCACTCCCTCCCGCCCATTTCCCCCCGGTTGCAGCTTGAAGGTCATCTTGTGAGAAGATAGAAGTGTGACAGAATACAGAAACTTTCCCGGTTTCTTCCCCGTTCATCTCATCCGAAACACAACTCAACTTTCTCGTTGCTGGCTTCATCTCCACCAATCTCCCTCCACCACTGACAACTTCATCACCTTCATCAACTCCTTCACTGCCGCTCCCTCGGCTCAGTGGTCGCAGTCGTCATTGTCTCCGGACTTTCTCCTTGCCACCATCTTATTAACCTTTCTTTCATCTCTTTCGGTTGCTACGCACGGAGGATTTGCTATCTGGTCGAGTGGGAGAGAGAAAAAAAGAGAATAAGAAGTGGAAAGAAAATTGGTCGTCATCTCTCTGGTTGGAAATTTCTTCACTTCTGCATCCGCAGTCTGTCTCTCTTACGCAAAATAGTCATCACCATCTCTGACTGTCGCCCTATCCCCCTCAATCCCAATTTCACGGTCGACTTCTCCTGTTTGCTGCATACAGCTCTCCGCTTTGCTCGTCGTCCTCTTTTTCTACGTTTCTTTTCTTCAGAGATAGTCGAATCCGGCCGCCACTGGAATTCAAATCAAAAGAGAGAAAGAAAAGCAGAGAAAGCAAAAGAAGAAAAGAACAAGTCTACGAGAGTTGCTGTTCAAACCCTTCCGATCGCAACCCACTTAGTCGTCGTCGTCGTCCACCGAGTCCAGACAGAATCATTGTGCTCCGTCCAAAATGTCTGCTGATGCTCAAAACGCCGCCGGAGGCCAACAAGCCGCTGCCGCCGCCGGCCAGAACTCGGGAACCAGCAGTCACATGCCTCCCCCTCCCCTCCCGCCGGTGATCATCCCGCAGAACACGAACCCGATTCCCACGGCCATCACCTCGCCCATGTCGGTTTCGGGCGTCACCTCGCCGACTTCCGGAGGAGGCTTCGTTCGTCGCGCTGCGCCTGAGCCCAACAAGCGTGCCCTTTACGTCGGAGGCCTGGATCCCCGAGTGACCGAGGACATCCTGAAGCAGATATTCGAGACGACAGGCCATGTCCAGAGTGTTAAGATCATTCCGGACAAGAATGTAAGTGTTCCACAGCCCCCCCTTCGGTTCACACCGACCCCCCCCCCCCCCTATGCTCCTACAGAACTTGTAGCGGTGTACTCAAAAACTCTTTCTAATTTAGGCCAAGGGTTACAACTATGGCTTTGTGGAGTACGACGATCCCGGTGCAGCTGAACGTGCCATGGCCACCTTGAACGGACGACGGGTCCACCAGTCGGTTAGTGCCTCTGAGGGTGGTGGCGCAGAGCAAGGAAACGGTCCTTCTGACTCGACGTCGTTCGTGCAGGAAATTCGGGTCAATTGGGCGTATCAGTCGAACCAGGCCAACAAGGAGGATACCAGCAACCACTTTCATATCTTTGTCGGAGACCTATCCAACGAGGTCAATGATGAGGTCCTCACCCAGGCATTCTCCGCCTTCGGTTCGGTTTCAGAGGCTCGCGTCATGTGGGACATGAAGACTGGTCGCTCCCGGGGATACGGTTTCGTCGCATTCCGCGAGAAGGTCGACGCCGAGAAGGCGCTCAGCACCATGGACGGTGAATGGCTCGGTTCCCGTGCCATCCGCTGCAACTGGGCCAACCAGAAGGGCCAGCCTTCGGTCTCCCAGCAGGCTGCCATGGCCGCCATGGGCATGACTCCTACCACTCCCTACGGTCACCACCACTTTCCTACACACGGTGTCCAAAGTTACGATATGATCGTCACCCAGACGCCTCAGTGGCAGACTACCGTGTACGTCGGAAACTTGACTCCGTACACCACTCAGAACGACCTGGTGCCGCTTTTCCAGAACTTTGGCTACGTGGTGGAGACGAGGTTCCAGGCGGACAGGGGCTTTGCGTTCGTCAAGATGGACAGTCATGAGAATGCTGCCATGGCCATCTGTCAGTTGTCGGGTTACAACGTGAACGGCAGGCCGTTGAAATGCAGCGTGAGTAACCGATTCCTTCTCCCTTGCGATTTGTGACATGTGCTAACTCCATTCGCAGTGGGGCAAGGATCGTCCCCCGACTGGTCAGTTCGATGGTTATTCTCCCCAACAATCCCAGACCCCGCAATACCCTGCTCCCAATACCCCCTCCGCGTACTATCCCCAGTATGGAGGTGGGCCGATGACCCCTCAGGGACCTCCTGCAACTCTCATCGGTAGACCTAACGCTCTTCCAGGACACGGACCCCAATCGCCCGTCGGACCGTCCCCGGGAGGCCGATGGCAAGACGGTAACGGAGGTTTCTCGCCCCAGCAGCAGCAGCAAGCCTACGGCGGAATGCCTCAGGGCGGTATGCAGCAAGGCGGAATGCCCCAAGGAGGAATGCCTCAAGGCGGTATGCAACAGGGCGGAATGCCTCAGGGTGGAATGCCTCAGGGTGGAATGCCGCAAAGCGCAGGAGGATACGGCCGTGGTAACGGCCCGGCTACTCCGGGTGGCTGGGGCGGTAACTCTGCTGGTGGCTTCGGCGGCAATGGTTTCGGCGGCTACCAGCAGTAGAAAGATCGGTGCCCTTTCTCCCCTTTCTGCGGACGTGTGGTTATTTGATTGACGACGATTGGCTTGTGTGAGTGGGGAAAGATCTTGATTTGATGCCATTTTGTTGCGAGGGGGAGGGGAGGTGGGGGCAGGCATAACACTTTTCTTCTTGTTTTCGAGAGAGCTTGTGTGTGTTTGTCTTGGTACTCAGGGCCTGAGGATTCTGCAGAATAATTCGTTGCTATTTTTGTGTTGTTTTCTCCCTGTACTTCTCTTGATTTTTCTGTTTCTTTTTTCATACGATTGTGGGCTTCTGCTTCGAGTTCTCAAGTGTATTTTGCTTGTGAGTTTAGCGGAATGGGTTTCTTTTTGTTTCTTCCTCTTATGATGACCATGACCTGAAGTTTATATCTGTGGATTATTTTTTCTTCTCATTTTTCAGTTTCAACTTCTCTTCACGCTGGGCATATCCTTTTATCTTTTTTGATTCATTCACGAACGGTTCTTATTTCACAGGGCGATATTGGGGGTGGGGGTTTTTTACGGTTATTTTTCTTCTCTTTCGTTCGTTGATTGATATTCCCGACTTTTTGATGTCTCTCTATCTCTCTCTGTCTCACTCTTTTCCTACCTATACCTTTGCATTTCTTCAGGGTTTCGTCCGTCCACGGTACAGGGTGTTTTGACTTGCAGTTTCTGTGATGAATATTTTTTTCTCCTCGATTTTGCATTTGGGATGGGGGTTTCTTCATTTTTTTTCTCTCTCTCTCTCTATTTTGCTATGCTCTACGGCTCTACGGTGCGGTGCGGGGAGTTTCGTTTGCAATTAACAGTGCGAGACCGTGACAGGCCGTGATGATGTTCTGCCTTCCGTTGATGATGATGATGAGTGAAATCGGAACAAGTACCCAAGTATCCAAGTACGATACATACCCAGGGTGATGATTTGCGGGGTGGTGGTGTTGCTGCTGGTGGAGGGTGGTGGTGGAGGCATCTAACTACCGGTGGGTAGTTACAGATGGTTCTCGGAAAAAACTTGGAAGCCCGACGGGCCCGGGGGCGATGGTGTCCAATAAGAAGTGCCTCAACTGCTGCACACACTCCGGAAGTGGATTCGCACACGCGGGAGAAACATTCCGAGTGATGGTGGTGTGGTGGTGGGTGGTGATACGAATGAAATATGCTTCCGGGGGCTCAGAGACAAAGTCAAAGTCGAGTCTACCATCATGTATCCTTTGTATCCCCCGGAAGTCGGGACTTGGACCTGTACTCTACGGCACTCTGCTACCGGTAGGGCAGACTCCACGACGAAGAGGAGCTCGAGGGCGCGGGCTTATGCAGGTCCACCATGCAGTGAAAAGCCACACTTGTCTCATAGGGCGAGGGTGTGGCTTGTGCCCTCACGTTTTAGCGCAGCAACAAAGAACTCCGTGTGTGCCTGCAGCCTGCATCACACGATCTTTCCCTTCCGTTCGTTCGTGTGAAAACCAACTCACTTCACTTGAACCCACTCACAACCTCCACCACTACTACCCCCACCAACACCACCACCATAAACACCCTCGTGGCACTTTTACCAATACTACGCCCATCTGATACCACGCCACACCAAAGCCCCCCTATTCCCGCGTAATACCGACCAACCATCGGGCATAGCTGCTGCAGCAGCATCCCCGCGGCATGTCCGCCAGCAGCTTCTTCGACAAGCTCAGGGCACCCGGCACAACCCCGATCTCGCCGCAGGGCAAGGTGGTCAAGATACGGAACAGCAGTAGCAGCGCTACTAAGAGCAGCAGCAGTAGCACCAGCAAGCAGAATAGCAGCAGTAGTAGCAAGAAGGTTGTCGTGGCCGCATCCACAAATGGCCGACCACCGTTGCTGCCCTCCGACCGTTCCAAAAAACTGCCACATCCCCGCCGAGTGCAGTCGACGGTGACACTTGCGGTGCAGGACTCCCGACCCATGCCTGCTTCTGCTCGCAGCAGCGCCGAGTCGACTCGCTCGACGCCGAACCTAAAGCGGCGCCCGTCGTCGTCCCCGGCACACCTCAAGCCGCCGGAACCCTCACGCCCCGCACGCCTCGAGTCGAGCGACGACGAGTCCTCCGCCGACGAGAGGGAGACCAAGCGCTCGAAGATGGGGTCCGCGTCACCGCTGGCCGCTCAGCTCGTTGACCCCGGGAGACGCCCTGTACACCCGATCAGCTTCCGGTCGAAGGACCCGGAGACGGGGAAGCCGCTCGAACGCTGTCAGTTCATCGACAGCGAGAAGATTGCGAACGACGGCTTGCCGAACTGGTCGCGACGAAGAGGTCTGCGACTGTCCCTTTCCCCTTGTTGGGTTTTCTTTCTTTTTCCTTTGTCTTTTCGTCGCGCGCGACAAAGTCTCCCCGCCACTGACGAATCGCAGAATTCAAGTCGAAGGGAGCAGATTTTTCGCTGAGGGTGGGACTGCACTACCCGGGCATTGCCGACCAGGAGGCGTATCAACTCGTGGAGCACAGCGACCCCGACGAGCACAACCCGGTAATCGAGATCATCGAGTCTATGGAACTCGTGGCCACCTACCTACTGCCGCCGGAACTCGCACGCGATGTCCACTCGAGTGCCTCGGGCACGATGGTGTATCGGATGCGCCGCGGACTCAAGGATGGTGACCGCGACAAGTTCTTTGAGAACCTCAAGGCCTACAACCAGCTGGTTCGGAAAGCTAGGCGAGACGGAACGTTCAAGAGGCGCATCGCCGCCATGACCTACATCCCTTCGCCGCTGGTCGAGCACATCCTCGGCCAGAGCTATGCGCGCACGGTGGCCCTCCAGGTCGAGGGCCTCAAGGACTACCAGGCGTTCACCAGCGAAGTCTACGGTGAACTACTGCCCAAGCTCACCTCAAAGATGTTCAAAGAGGCGAACCTCACGAGCGACAAGGTGTTTGTTGATCTCGGAAGCGGCACCGGCAATGTGGTCATGCACGCCGCTCTCGAGTGTGGCTGTGAGTCGTGGGGTTGCGAAAAGATGGACAAGCCGGCGGCTCTCGCCGAGAAGCAGCGAAAGGAGTTCATCGCGCGCTGCCGGATGTGGGGCATCGCCCACGGCGAGGTGCACCTCGAACACGACACGTTCCTTGAAAACCGCAACATCGCGGCGGCGCTGCGTCGCGCCGACGTCCTGCTGGTCAACAACTTTGCATTCGAGCCAGATCTTAATCAGAAGCTGCTCGACATGTTTCTCGACCTCAAGGAGGGAACCATCGTGTTCAGCCTCAAGCCATTCGTGCCCGCGAACCACGTTATCACCACCCGCAACGCCGAGAGCCCCGTCAATCGCCTGCGCATGGTCGAGAGACGTTACTTCTCGAGAGAGGTCAGCTGGACCGACTCCGGCGGGAAGTATTACGTCCACACGGTCGACAGCAGTATGCTCCGCGAGTTCTTCGATAGAGATGAGGAACGCAAGCAGTTGGCGCTGACATGATTTACGGTTCGCGATTTCACGGCACGGCACGGTACGGGGAAGGGGGGTGTGGGGGAAGGGACGGCTGAGGAGTGGGCTTGTCTTGGAGTAATACCTTTTTTTGTGTCGGGGTAGGATCTAAGACGGATCTGTGGAAGTGTTGATTTTCGTTTCGTTATCTTTTCCGCTGCTACCTAGTTCACACGATACCACGCGCCGATGAGCCCCCCTATACCTAAATACTTTTGCTCTGTGTTTGTTTTTCATCTTCATCTTCTTCTTCTTCTTCTTCTTCTTCTTCTTCTTCTTCTTCTTCTTCTTCTTCTTCTTCTTCTTCTTCTTCTTCTTCTTCTTCTTCTTCTTCTTCTTCTTCTTCTTGATCTTTCGGTTCCCTTGTGCGAATACCATATCCCCCCCGTTTGGTCGCCTGTTTTGTTCGTTTTTTTTCTTCCATTTATTTGGGACTGGGTAGATGTGTAGTATGTACAGCATTTTACGGCTCTAACTACACTTAGACATGATATGATATGTAGTATTTCTACGATGGAGAATAGGATGGAGAATAGGAATGAAGGCGTTATGTAACGTTAACACATGCCCTTTTGAGCAGTGGTAGTGGCATGTAGATCCCCCGCATTCTTCACCCCACCGACCGTGTATAGTACCCGCTACATACCTAGGTACGCGCCTTGTGGTGGTCGATTCGGCATCCAACGGCTATCTGAGTCATGCCTCCCGCATCCTCGCCCCCTCCCCCACATACACATGCCGCCGCGATGCGGGGGACGCGAGGAGTACATATAAGTGCCGCGATGCACTCACCAGCTGTATGCACATGTACTCGACATTGTACAGAGTAATTATACCTCCCAACCAACCTCCCAACCACCACCACCACCTTCACAACAATGCCCATAACCCTCGGCGTCGCCCAATACCCGACGCAGCGAACACTCGCGCGGACACTGTCTTTGCTAGCGACCGTAACCCGCAAGTCCGCACTGGAGGGTATCAACCTCCTTGTGTTCCCGGAGGCGTTCCTGGGGGGGTACCCGCGCACCAGCACGTTCGGCAGCTCGATCGGCAGCCGCACCGACGCCGGCCGCGACGAGTACTTCGCCTACTACTCCTCGGCCGTGGATCTCGGAGATGTTGACCCCGAGGGCTTGGGGGTGTACACGGGCCCCGGCGATGGCACGAGACAGGTGTTGGAGGACCTGGCGAGGGAGACGGGGGTTTTCTTGGTTGTGGGAGTCGTCGAGAGGGCCGGCGGGTCGTTGTTCTGTGCGTGTGTGAGTGTGTGTCCGCAAAGGGGACTCGTCGCGAAGAGGAGGAAGGTCATGCCGACCGGCGCCGAGCGAGTGGTTTGGGCGGTTGGATCGCAGAAGACTCTGAAGGCTGTTGAGGCCGAGATTGGGGGCGAGAAGGTTGTGATCGGCGCTGCGATATGTTGGGAGAATTAGTACGCCCCTCGTTCCCTCCTCTCCCCGCTCCTCGGTGCGGTGCTGACTGGCTGGCGGGTCGGGTATGTAGCATGCCGCTCCTGCGAACCTCACTCTACTCTCAGGGCGTGACCTTGTACATCGCGCCGACGGCGGACGCGCGTGAGAGCTGGATCGCAACGATGCAGCACATCGCGCTGGAGGGCCGCTGTTTCGTCGTGGGGTGCAACCAATTCGTGACGCGCGAGACGCTGCCCGAGTATGTTCCTGGGGCTGTGGAGGTGGACATGGAGGACGACGACGACGTGGACGGGGATCTCGAGGCTGTCGCCCAGGGCGAGGTTGTATGTAACGGCGGCAGCGTCGTTTTTGATCCCCTTGGAAATCTACTGGCGGGGCCGATGTGGGGGACTGCGGGGGTGCTCAGGGCGGAGATTGGCGATGTACAGAAGGCTGTCGTCAGGGCGAAGATGGATCTCGATACTGCTGTGGGTGGGCATTATTCTAGGTATGTGCACCGCCCCCCCACCCGGCGCCGATGGACAACGGAAGAAGGGGAGGAGGAGGAGCATGGCTGACAGAGTGGAGTGATAGGTCCGATGTGTTTAAGCTCGCTGTTGAGGGGTTGGATCTGTCGAGGCGGGGCTGATGTGGTGCGGGGTGTTTATATATATGTCGGTGGAGAGGCTGTACATACCTATACCGGTGCCAGTCAGTGGCTACATGAAAAAAAGACGTTTCTAACGCTCGTGATCCCGTTGCCTGCAGTCTCAGGTGAAAGAAGAGTGTCATCGTCCTGTGTCGCGCCAGGTTATCCAGTCAGTCGATGGAGATAACTGTGTGTCCTCGGTTTGAAGTTTGAACGAGAGAGACCAGCCGATTAGTCTGATCTCTCTGGACAGATTCGAAGCACATCAAAGGAATAGGACAAACACGATTCAATACGTGCAAGAAACAGCCCGAGACCGAGACGGCAAGCTCCAATGATACATTAGGTACCGATAGATCGCGGGAGCGTCAGCTCTGGAACGGGCTCTATGATGACCCCCTCTCCAGTTACTTTCATAGGGTATCACTCGTATATCGGTCCACTTTCCGGGTGTGCACCAGTGAGAAGCCTCCATCCAGCTCTCTGCGGGACTGGCAGGAAATCAGACAGGTCGCACGCGATAATAAATCGACGTTCTCTCTCTCTGAGAAGTTCGGCACGAGATCTTGAAATACCTGGAAGGTGATTGGACATAATCGAATGCAGGATGATGAGCGGAAATAAAAGAACTCATTGTTTTTGGTATGTAGATTAGGGATGAAGGCGCTGCAGTGGGTCAAGAAACATTTGGAATTTGGCATCTTCTACAGCGGGCACGGAAATATGCGGGGCTTGGAGGGAGCTCCGATACTATATCTACTGTCATGACCGGAACGTTGAAACCAATTCACAATGATCTAATTCAGCCTGCAACCTTTCCCCCATTGAACTGGCACTTTCACTCTATTACGATCCAAGCAAGATATGTAGTAGGTACGGGTACAAATACGTCCCCTACAACCTCCTCAACCTCTCCGCGGGGGTCCTCCCCTCCGGTGCGGGCCAAGCCGCAACGACCTCATCGACCTCATCCAGAAAGCTGGACGAATTATGGACGACGGTACCACCGAGGACGACCCTGACGCCGGGTGTGCTCGCATTAATCTGCGCGATGAGTTTTGCCTCCTCGTAAGTGGCGCCGCCGATCATGAACACGATGATATCCTGCGGCTTCTCGCGGGTGTTGGGGCTGCCCTCGACGAAAGGGTGGGTTTGCTCGCGGAGACGGCCTTTGACTAGGTTGTTGAGGGTCTGCTCCATGCGCGGTGAGTGCTGCGTGTACACGTTCTCCACGCCTTTGAGACCCTTGAAGCCGCTTCGTGCGCGGGAGAAGATGGATTCCGCTTCGAAGAGGTCTTCTTGCCGTTGGAGGGAGCTGGTGTAGGTTATGAGGTTTTTGATGGTCTGGTGGGCGTTAGTAAAGGTAGAGCTGGAGAGAGGATGGCTTACGTTAACGTCGCGTTGGGGTACTCCGCCGATACCCAGGAGGTCTAGTAGAGCGGGGAGCGCGTTTTGCGGATGACGCTCGTACCGCAGACTGTACAATGCCACCAGCCGGACCTTGTTGCTGCTTGGTATGGGCGACTGTAGCATCCGTTGGACTGTCTACTGGAGCATCAGCACCTCGCATCCCGTCTCACGGAAAGCCACAGCCAGACGCACCTTAAGATCTGCCGAATGGGAATCATTGCACGCGAGACTCTGCTCCAGCTCCGAGACTTCCAGCAAGTTATCTCTATCGACCCTACGACTGAGCTCGCCGACCAGTGTGACGTGCTTGCTGACGTTCCCCGACAGCCGTCGGAACTCGGGGTACTCCTCCACAAACCGCTTCATATCGGCAATACTTTCTATGTTCATGTTCGATTTCGTTTTGGTCTGATACTGGTCGACGTAGTCTTTGATATTGCCACCTAGGTCGCCGAAGTTGAGGTACATGTTCTTCTTGAAGAACGGATCTTGGTCTTGTGAGAGGACTATCTCCTGCGGACCCATCAGCGCCGTGCCATATAGTAGATTTCATGTAGTCCCACCTTCAACTCCGGCCGTACATCCGGCACCTCCGACAGATCCACGCGTCCATTATTGATACCCAGCAGTTCGTGCACCATAGCTTGATACGTCCACTGACTGAGCAGCGGAGTGACGGGATCATTCCTGCGATCCAGAATCAGCAGTACAGGGGGAGTATCTGCCATCCTGCCAAAATCAAACAACTGCTCCTCCTTCCCCATCTGGTACTTGATCTCAGCGGCGAGCTTCTTCGCCGCATGACTATTCTTCTCGTATCTGATCATTGGTTTTTTCTTCAGACTCAGCAGCACCGCCAGTACGCCCTCGTGCGATCGCGCCAGCGCATCCGCATCCCACATGTCCGGATTGCCCGACCACACTCGCTTCTGCAGCCCCAGCGAGAACAGGTCCGGGTTGATGACGAGGTAGTCAGCAAAGTGCTCCTGCACCATCCGCACGATCTCGTGGTCATCCGCCTCCGCCAGGCGCTCCAGGCTGGACTTCTTGACGATGTTGCTAAAGACTATCCCACACGATCAGCCCCCTCCACCCCCTTACACCCGCCCAACCCCACAGAACGTACAGATGTTGTATTCCCCGTACTTCGGCTCCCGGAACTCATCGATCAGCAGCTGAATACTGTCGGGCGACGGCCGCACGAAGCAGAGACAACGCAGGTGCCGCATCTTCTCGCGCTCGGAATTATCTAGGCGGCTATGCGGTCAGCCATCTGCCGCACCCACCCCCCATTCCACCCCCTATCCCTCCCCCAATCCCTCCCCCGTTCTCCTCCATCGTCGCCACCTACTCGATAAGGTAGATCTCGTGCGCGAGCAGCGCGGACTGCGTGACGGCCGAGGAAACGATGGACACCTATGTATCGCGATCCGAGCAGCTAGGTCAGCACACCGGCACACTTCCTCTCCCCCCCTTCCCCTTCCCCATCCCCCCGACCCCCGACCCCCGACCCCCCAAACCCCACCACCAAAGCAAAAGCAACACGCACAGTTTCGCTATCCAGCAGGAGAATCTTCATTTTCCCTGAGGGCCCCGTGGCGCCTTCGGGCGAGACCATCTTGGTGACATAGTTCGAGATGGCGGCGACGATATCCATGGTTCCGTTCGTTGGTGGGTGCTCGTTGCTCGTTGCTCAGGGTGCTGGCTGCAGTTACGTAGGGTGCCGGTAGAGCAGTTGCTTGCTTGGTTAGCTGTGCTGTGCTGTGCGCGGTTAGACTTGTGGTTGGTTGGTTGGTTGGTCCGAGCTCGGACAAGCGAGGCTGGGCGGGAGTCGGGACATGGGTGAGACAGCTGCAGCTGGCTGCAGATCCTCAATGGGATTTCCAATGGTCGAGGAGATAGAGTAGTTACCGTAAAGTGGCTATCGAGATGTAATCAATCTATGGCCACTTTGCTTTGCATCTCGAACAGGGTAGAGAGAGTGGCTCCGTGCGATGGCAATAGGTATGAGATGTCCGAGAGTAAATAGTCCTGCTTCTCTGCTTTGCTACCTATTTGGAAGAAACTCAGCCTGGCGGGGGCCATGGGTTGTGCTCAACATCAGCTCTGAGCGGCTATTGATTCACCTCGCAAGACCTATTCAGCCCGCCAGAACTCGCAGTTGATATCTATTACCGCATCCTCCCCTTCATCTGTAGGCTGCTGCACATGTAACCAATCTCACCACAAAAGAATAGAGTACACCGCTCCCTCCCAATGCCCATGTCACCACAAGCCGGCACAAGCCGAACGAGAAAAAAAAACAAACAGAACTTTTCGGCTCATCGCCACCCGCCGCGCCGGGAAGAACACAAAAAGTATTGCCACACAAACGCCAGAAAACAAAGCCCAAACGTTATGCCTCCAAGTCTGTTCCCGCCATCGATATCTAAGAACGAAAAGAACAAAAACGAAGAAAATGCCTTGGAGTAGGTAGAAATAGGGATCAAGGAGGGGGTATTTGCGGCGATTGAAGTCACTACTGCTGAGCGCACTGAGGCCCTTCTTGTTCCTCGTCTTCGCTTTCGTCTTCCCAGACCGCGTCGTCACCGCCGAACTGTGGTACCGTGTCAGTTGTTCGGCCCGTCAGGAAAATATGCAGGGTGTGGGGTTACTCACATCCTGGAGAGAAGCATTCCGAACGTAGTCGTGCTCGTCGATAACGTCGGCATCAATCTTCGGGTGAGAGGGTGGGGGAAGGACATTCCGGATAGCCTCGACGTCCGGTTTCCAGCCCTTCTCAGGGAACTCGATCGAAACGACCAAGTACAGGTCACCCTTGCCCTCGCCCTTCTTATGGGGCATGCCCTCGCCGGGGATCTTGAGAACCTGGCCGGACTTCAAGAACTCGCCAACAGGATGAGTGAGCTGGATGCCCCGTCCGTCCAGATGCTTCAGCACCACTCTGCTGAACCCGGTCAAGCTCTCCACGAGGTCAACCTTTAACGTAGCGCTGAGGTCGGCTCCGACACGGGTAAACACCTCATGGTCCTTCTCCTCGAGGATGAAGACGATATCGCCCGTCTCGAAACCAGGCTGCTCGTCCGCCTCACCCTCGAGAACAATCTTGTCGCCCTCTTTCGATCCGCGGGGAATGTAGACCTCCAGCACCTTCTTCTCCTCCTGCACGCACGTGCCCTTGCACTTCTTGCAACGGTCCTTGTCGCGGAATACCATGCCGCTGCTCCGGCAGTTGGAGCAGGGAATGTCCTGTTGCGTGACGAGCCCAGGACCGACGACGCGGCGCGCCTGGTTCCAGCCTCGTCCGTCACAGGTGGAACACTTCTTGGGCTTGGATTTATCCTTTCCTCCAGTGCTAGCACAAGTCAGCATTTCCCGATCCACCGCTCCACCTCGAGCCGGAGACACAGCAAACATACCCAGCGCAAGTACCACAGAACTTATTCCTAGTCGAACTCAACTTGACCGTCTTGCCCTTATACAGTTCCTCGAGCGAGACTTCATACTGATGCACGACGTCCCTCCCCTTCTGTTTCTGCTGCCTAGCGGGGCCACCCCTTCCCCCCATTCCTGGCATGCCTCCCATACCACCCATACCGGGCATGCCCCCCATCCCGCCCATCCCGCCCATAAACATCTGCGCGAGAATATCGTCCAAGTCCACGCCGTCGGCGGGACCACCGCCGTTCTCGAACGCCGCCATGCCGAAGCGGTCGTACCGCTCGCGCGTCTCGTCCTCAAACAGGATCTCGTACGCTTGGCTCACCGCCTTGAACTTTATCTCGGCCTCCGCACGCTCGGCTTCCGGGACCTTGTCGGGGTGCGATGCGAGCGCCGCCTAGGTGGTGGTATGTCAGTACTACTAGGACTACGACGACTCCGGCTCTGAGCCATGGCATATAGACGGGGGGCTGGGACCTTGTGGTAGGCTTTCTTGATCTCGACTTTGCTGGCGGATTTGGAGACGCCGAGGGTTTCGTAGAGGTCTATCGTCTCCACTGTTGCAGTGCAGTCCAGTCAGCAATGCTGATCGTATAGTTTGTAGTAGTAGCGGGGTGGAGGGGGGGAGGGGGACGAACTGGTTGCAGTTTTTGTCGAGCGGTAGGAAGGGGCAAGGGCGAGGGAGCGAAGCTGCGAAGGTGGTTGGTTGGTGAATCGAGTGGTGAGTGAGTGGGTTGGTGAGAGGTGAGAGGTGAGGCTGGATTGCTTGTGGCAGGCAGTTTGTTCTAAGTTATGCTCTTCGCGCGATGCGGCTCTTATTTTAGAGGCTGCAAAAAAACGGTAAACGCCACATGCCGTGTGCTTGGTGCTTGCCCCACCTAACAAATGTGGAAAAACTGTGGCGGCGTGAGAAAGCAAGGATTCACGCGTAACGACATCAGGGCTCAAGCTACCAAGCTAGTCCTGCTGGTATGTGTCGGAAGGCTGTCTTGTTCGTCATTTGTAATTGAGCATGTAGAATAGAAACCAGCAAGTGATAGCAAGTCCGAACAGGCACTCAATTCGATTCCGCTTTCCAACCACTATCACCATCATCATCACCACCAATCATTGCATCTTTACAGTACACGAGTTTTGTTTTTTGAGAGTTGAGACCAGCCAGAAACACACACAAAAGAAACCCCATATATCAACTCGAAACCAGAAGAAAGAGAAAGAGAAGAAAAAACCCAGAAAGAAAGAAAGGAAAAGCCCCCGAGTTTCGCAATTGGTATGGCAAAAAACGCTTTGCAGTGAAAACCCCTTCAAACGACAAGGCATGCCATGCTTGCAAGAACCGAAAGAGCTAGAAAAGAAAAAGAAAAGAGGGAAAAAAAGAAAAGCATGTAAAAAGAAAAAAGAAAAAAAAACCCAATGACACCATCGACCATTCCCAACCCGACAGACCAAAATGAAAATGAAGGAAACACACAGAAAGACCATTATGTTGTTACAATCGTTAGAGCAGCAGCAGCAGCAGCAGCAAGAGCAGTACGTTTAAAAGTCGTCATCGAAGATGAGACCATCATCGCCTTCCTGCGCGTGTGGCGGGGCGGGGGAGCCATCGGCGCTAGGCACGGCCTCCTTCTTGGTGGTGGAAGCCATGACACCAGCCTTCTGGTAGTCTCCGACGCGCTTCTCAAAGAAGTTGGTCTTTCCTGCGAGCGAGATGCTCTCCATAAAGTCGAACGGGTTGGTGGCGTTGTAGTGCTTGGGGTTTCCGAGCGACAGCAGCAGGCGGTCGGCCACAAACTCAATGTATTGTACCATCAACTTGGAATTCATGCCGAGCAACGCCACGGGAAGGGCTTCCGTCAGGAACTCGCACTCGATGGCGACAGCCTCGGCAATGATGGCGAGCACCTCCTCGTGGCTGGAGCGGTGGTTGAGGTGCGAGAACAGAAGGCAGGCGAAGTCGGTGTGCAGACCCTCGTCACGCGAGATGAGCTCGTTGGAGAAAGAGAGGCCGGGCATGAGGCCACGCTTCTTGAGCCAGAAGATGGATGCGAACGATCCACTGAAGAAGATGCCCTCAACGGCAGCAAAGGCAACCAGACGCTGGGCGAACGAAGACTCGGTGTCTTCGATCCACTTGAGTGCCCAGTCGGCCTTCTTCTTGATGCAGGGGATGGTCTCGATCGCGTCGAACAGGTACGTGCGCTGCTTAGGGTCCTTGACGTAGGTGTCGATCAGGAGCGAGTAGGTCTCGGAGTGGATGTTCTCCATCATGATCTGGAAGCCGTAGAAGCACCTGGCCTCGGGAGCCTGGACCTCATTGCTGAAGCGCTGGACGAGGTTCTCGTTGACGATGCCGTCGGAAGCGGCGAAGAAGGCGAGGACGTGCGACACAAAGTACCGCTCGTCGTCGTTCAATCTGTTGTGCCAGTCGTGCAGATCCTTCGACAGATCGATCTCCTCAGCGGTCCAGAACGAAGCCTCGGCCTTCTTGTACATCTGCCAGATCTGCAACACGAAAATCAATTAACACGTGAACACGTGACAGCGAGGACATGCAATGTAATATGTACCTCGTGGTATTTGATGGGGAACAGCACGAAGCGCTGCTTGTTCTCCATGAGCAGCGGCTCATCCTGCTCGTGGGCCTTGATGGTAGTTGGCAGATTGACCAGCTTCTCTACGGGCTTCGGTGCGGGCTCGGACTTGGTGGAGGTCTTGTGCAGGTTGGCCTTCAGGGACGCGATATCGTCGAGCTGCATGTTGGACAAGGCACTAGCAGTCTTTGGCCACGCACAATCAGCAAACGCCCTCAGTCTGCGGAAGTTGCAACCTCGCGGCACTCAAAGATGTCGCATACCTTCTTGGAAGGAGACATGGTGTTTGACATTGTATCTGAAAACACAGCGGAGGACAGAAGCGGAGGTTTGGAGTACGAAGAAACAATCGAGATCAATGCGAGATTGTGGTGGGCAGGAGGACAGAGAAGACTAGCAGGATGAAATTCAGAGAGGGAGGGGTCGTGAGGTAGCAGTAGTGGTAGTAGTGTCTGTTCGTAGGGAGTAGAAAGAAGAGAAGAGAAGACGTGTAGAGTGAAAGGCGCTGGGTCTTTATAAGCCCGTTGAACCCCCCTCGCATCAGTTCTTCTTTCCACGCGTCTACCGGCCCCAACTAGACTTCAAAATAACAACCAAAGAATCCCAACCCGCGTTCTTCCCTCCACCTGCATAACCAATCGGCAATTCCCCCCACCCTGCCAAGAGTCTGCAAGCGGCCTAGTGTGCAGAGTTTTATCAGATCATCGGCCGCGGCACGCGCATCACCGTGCCAACCAGGTGTAAACAACGCGCCTCGGAAGAAAAAAAATCCCTGGCACCTCGTAAAGTACTCTACACCCTGGTTAGTACTTCCTACCGTTTCGGTCCTAGCCAACCAACAGCCCCACCACGCCGCTGCGAACAATAACAACAACCCCGAAGTGGCCAAATCCTTCCACACCTTCTGCCTGAGGCGTGTTGTGGGGGGAGTGTGAGCGAATCTATGCTGCAGCCTGTGTTGTGCAGCGTCGGATTGGCGTATGTAAAGCACTGTACTCACCATGCTCGCGGTGCTGTCTGACACGAACACGTATTGTGCTTTCCTTCTCTGGGTGTTCTAGCCTTAAGGGTCAAGGAGACGCGAGAGGTGGGGCAACCGCGTCATGGAATAGAGTACTTTAGGTACGAGTCACGACGGATATCCGGATATACGCTTGGCTGCCGGTGGACATGGAAGCAGGCCGGCCCTGTTTCCATGTAGATAAGTCGAGTAGCAGGTATCGGGAACAGACCACGAGCCGGCTGCCTCGATTGCCGTTGAGAGAGGGAAGATCTCAAATGATCACTTCAGCATCGTTCCATCAGATCGACACCGAATCCGTTCTTCAATCCAGGATGTATTGTACTCTAGGTACTCACTCTAGATGGAGGGGTGTGGGTACCTGCAGGACTGTCATGCACGCAATTTCGAAGCCACCACCGCTCAGCGAACCACGTAAACCACTCCGCAGAGCTCCTGCAACTCCTGCAACGCCTACAACTCCACTCATCATTCATTCATGCCCTATGAGTTACAGAAAAAGAAAAAAAATCTCAAGCTACTCAAGAAAGAAAGAAAACGCTCTCGCATCCCATTATTCAGTATCGTCGTCGCATTAGGGTATCATTTTTCGTTCGCAATCACTTCGCCTCCCAACCTTTTTCAACCAAAACCCGCTGCACAAACTCCTTACAAAAGAGAAACCGAATGGCTGTAGAACAAGAGAAGGAGAATGAGATCGTTCAACACGCGGCTATGGCCTTAGAGGCAGCCTCCTTGTCTTCCTGGAGCTTCCGCTGGAAGGCGGTGACATCGTGAAGGATAGAGCTCATTTCCGCCTCCATCGCGAGCTGCTCTTCTTCAAACTCGTCAACCTCGTCCTCCTCGGACTCTTCATCCTCGCCCTCATCATCACTGTGCACGGGAATAGCCGGGATGGGATGCTTGATGGTTTCGAGGGCAAGTCGTAGGTGGGTCCTGAGTGCCTCGTTTTGACTCTGCAACTGGTTGATCTTGCAGTCCGCGGCCTCCCTCGCGTCCTCCATCACACGCTGCAAGTTGAAGACTTGCTGCTGGTACATTTCCATCTGCGTGCTCTGGCTCTCGTTGTGCTTTTGGGTCATCGTCGCCTCGGAAACCGACATTTGAAGCCTGCGAATAGTATTCTGCATCTCGATTATTTGGGCGTCACGGGCCGCCCGCGAGACTTGGTCTTCATTGACAGTAGCACTAGTACGGATGCGTTTCGCCTGGTCAGCGTAGCGAAGGGTGGAGAGCGTCTCGTCGTAATCGGTGGGGGAGATGCAGGCGATCATTGCCGTCTTGCTGTTGCCACCGAGGGAATCCTTGAGGAGCCAGGTGAGGATTGAGTCGCGGTACGGAACGACATCTTTCCTCTTGTGACGCCGGGCACCTTCATCGGAAAGCGCAGCAATGACTCGGCCGAGGGTTGTCAACGACTTGTTGATATTAGATCCTTCTCTCAGTCGGGCACCGGTAGCACCAGTAGAATTCGCGCGCTCGGAACCGGCAAGGTCGACCAAACTATAGCATTGCCATCATGTTAGCGTCCGCCATCTCCGTGTAGTCCAGATCTTGACGTGGGTATATCTTGGGGATTCTCACCGAATGCGAGCCAGCCGTTCGATCGTCTCATCATCCTCCGTGCACTCGATCTGCTTTAGTATCAATGTGAACACGGCGTGCGATCTGCTACTGGTATCGTTCATGTTGGTGCTCGCCACCGTCCTGCTCTGGTCTCCCCGCTTCATCCAGCCCAGGACCTCCTTGATGTTGCGCACCGGAACCTCGATCAGATCCTTAATGTAGGGGCCATCAGCCGGCGACTCCCGGACCCTGAGGTAGTTGACCGCACTACCGCGTCGAGCATCCAGCAGGTCGCGAACTTGCTCATTGTACACCTCGAAGTATGAAACTCGGACGGTGTATGTAACGTTCGGGTTGTCATTCGACTGGATGCGCTCGAACAGGTCGTGACAGGTGCGGGGGATAAGACCGGGGTTTTCGGGGGTACCCATCATCGAGTAACTCTTTCCGGCGCCCGTCTGACCGTAGGCGAAGATGCAGGTGTGGTAACCCTGGAAGTTGTGATCGAGGAACTCCTGTCCGAGCGCGTCGTAGACATCCACCTGGTCCGCATAGTGGGGGGAGTCGCGGTCGATACTCCAGAAGGAATTGTCGAAGATGAAGGTCTTCCGATCGAGGACCTTAGCGCGGCCGGCCTTCTGCGCGGAGGGTGGCGGCGGAAGCAGGTGCGTCTCTTGGGTCTGCGGATCCATCTCGATCAGATTGACGGCATCCCGCTCGTACTCTGTCACGCGCGCGCATTAGCTACTGCCCCATCGTACATGGACCACGCAATGGATGGGTGTGTATGTACCTCTGGGCAGAAATCCGCGGACTCGGACAACCACGCGAACATTGTTGCCGGTGACGCTGCTACCGCTGGCGGAACTACCACCAGAAGTGCTCGCATCTATCGACAGCGGCGAGGGAACATGTGAGAGCATGTTGACGATGACAGGAGTCGGGGGAACGCTGTTGCCGTCCTTGTCTCTAGATCGCAGCGAAGCACTGGAGGCGTGCGATCGAAGGAGCTGGCGCCCAGGGTGATCGTCAACTTTCAGGTGATTGTTGCGATGGCGGGGGGAGGGCGCAGCCATGGTTGCTTGTGATGGGGGGGAGGGGGGAGGGGGAGGGGGGTTGGTTGCGGCGGTGGTGGGGATCACAGGAAGGTCAGAATGTTGCTGCTCTTCGTTGCGGGTCTGTGGGATTGTGTGTTTTGGCGGGGAGGCGTTGAGACGCGAGAGCTTGCTTGTTTGGTGCATGGACCAGATGTTTTGGTTTATCCTCTCCGGGCATAGCTTCGTCGCTTCCATCCGAGCCTCGACTCACTAACCGCCATGGTTCCACAGCTCGGCGGCAACTGCCATCTCGGCGCTGGAAGAGCGAGAACATCACTGGCTGAGCGAAAAGATTGGTCCCAACAGCGATATGAGTGGGGTCAATGCCGCGATAAATGTGTGATGCGCTCGAGCCCGGGTATTCCGTGTTGACCCAGACGTGAGCGAGCATGGCCCAGAACTTGCTTCTTTCCAGCGGCTGTCATCCAGCTGGCTCATTTTGGAACGTGATGTGGCGTAGGAGGCAGCTTGATTCCGAGCCGCCTCCAAGCTTCGTAATTACCGCAGGAAGATGAGATACCGTATGCCGTTGACCGTTGCATATGGCGTGGTACTGGAGAGTCATGATCTCTCACTCGACGACATAACAATGCACAAGCAATATATCACCATATTGCCACGCCGCTATCTGTATGTCGGTCGTGCATGTTACCGACAACCAGAGCTCACCCACTACTCAGAGCGAGAGTATGTAGTAGAGAGCGGAACTCTCGACTCCAGCCTTATCACCAAAATTTCTGTCAGCCCGAGAACTACGACATGAAAGAAAGGAAAAGGATTCCCATATACCCACACCCACAGCCCTGACAAAAATTGCACGCAACAAACAGAACACAAGGAAACACATCAATCCAGACTCCATCGTCTTGAGATCTTCGCTCGCTTCAGGAGCCTCCATTGCTTTAACAGCCTTTAGGCGAGGGGGGGTATGCTGCCTTTTCCAGGCCAAAGGAACCGACAGAATCCGCAACGACCACAAGCTCTACGAGCGCGATCACCCAGTCCACTCTCCGGGCCGGGAGAGTTACCACTGTCGAGCCTTGATTGCGCGCCCGCTGGAAGTCCTCTGTTTCCTTAGGTAGTAAAGGCCTTTATGTACCATCAGCTTCCAGTCGACTTCTGATAAAACAGCATTATAGTACAAGCAACGAGACGAGTGAAAACTACCATTTTGACATCTTCTTGCTTGCAGCTCATCTGATATCAGAAGCGGGAAGTCTTCGCCGGAGTTTGGTCGCAACCTGGGCGGTGGATGAGTCGGCGGTAGTGAGTGAGTCGTCCGTGGTGATTGAGTCGGCGGTGGTGAAGGTGGTTGAGTCGCCGTTGGTGAGCGAGTCGGCATTGGTGCGTGAGTCGGCGGTGATGAGTGAGTCGGTGTTGGTGAAGTTGTTGTCGTTGTTGTCGGATTACTCGTAAAAGTCGCCAGAGAGCCAAAAAAAAGTTCCTCGATAGGCTTCCATGCGAGTGAGAGCTCATGCTGTATCTCGCACGTACCAACTCACTTCGCACACAGCAGAACACTCCCAAATATAATATGTCGAGTGGATGTGCCGGTACCTCGAATCACTTCACTCACAACACTTCACGCAAAGCACAGGGTCGGACTGTACGAGCACTCTTCCGTAGCATCTTCCATAGTATCGTCCAAACTTGTATCCATCCTAACTATCCAGTAACTCGCTCGCTATGCCTATCCAACATCTAACTGTACACCAAACCACCTCTACGTAAACCACCCACCTCTACAGAAATCACACACTACACTAGTTACATGATAGTGGAATGAACAGATAAGAGCAGAGTCAAAAAAAAATAGAAATGCATGCTAACACTAAAACTAAAAACGAATGTTCGGGGTATCATCGGGTCATCATCGGGTCATCATCATCCATCCATCATCACTCATAACCTACTCACTCATAACCAATGCCTACCATAACTCCTACAACTCCTACAACTCCTCTAACCCCGCGCCAATAATTACATGCATCACGTGACCTCGCTCTACCAACTACTCGCCCTGATAATATATCCCCTCACCACTGTTAAACCCGCGCAGCATGACCATGACCTCAGCACGGACGTCCTCAATAATCTCATCCATGCGAATATCGTTTTTATCGTCGCCAAAGGGGTCCTCTAGTTCCTCTCCGATGCCCTCGATGCCATAGAGGGTGAAGCACACCATGACGATGACGGGAATACTCCACCAGCCCAGCTCGCCGACGAGGCAGAACGGCAGCACGCAGCAGTACAGGGCGAGCACCTGTTTCTGGTGGATCTGGTGGCACACGGGGATGGGCGTGAGTTTGATCGTCTCCATGCTCCCGAACGCGTCGAGGAGGCTATTGACCTGCCCGCTCAGCATGGCCGACTGCGGCGCGTTGAAGGCGCCGCGGTTCACGCCGCGCTTGATGTACCGTTCGATGACGCAGCACAGCTCCAGCGGCATGCCTAGGCCCTCGGATTCGTGCCCCTTCATCCCGCGCGGCAGGAGGTCATTGTACGCGGGATCGTATCCGGCGATCCCCCAGTTCCCGCGCAGATAGTTCTTCACCGCGTAGAGAATCGCGACGAGACAGCGCACGGTCTTTTCCGTTTCCTCGCGGTCGCCGTCTTTTTCCAGCGGCCCGCAGATCAGGAACGACCGCGTGAGGTTCCGCACGATCGACACGATCCGTTGGATCCCCTGCCGCCCGCCCCAGTATCGGTCGTAGCTGCTGGAGTTGCGGAAGACGAGCATCAGGCCCACAACGATGGAGAGCGAGGGCACGATGGAGCTCGGTAGGCCCAGGCTGAAGTGCAGGCTTTGGTCCAGGTAGACTATGAGTGTGGTGAAGAGCGCATGGAGCGTGATGGGCACAATGATAACGTGGTGGATCGAACCCTTGATGAAGCGGAAGACGAGGGGCCATCTACAGTAGGGTGGATTAGCTTAGCTGTTGGAGTGTGAGAGAATAATAGGTGGTGTGAAAGGAGCAGAAACGAACTTCCGCGGTTTCTGTCGCGAGGCGTGGGAGAGGGGGAAGGTCGGTGCGCGGAACTCGGGCACGTTGTGCTCGGGCAGCGTCGGCGACATTTCTCGCGAGATCGTGATGGCTTGTTGGCCGACGTAGCGTTCGATCTTGAGCGTGCCTGTGCGCCGGAACGAGGACCGTGTGCTGAAGGTGGGCCGGGTATCGGGCGTGTTTGGGTGCGGAGGGGACGAGCTGCGCGAGGAGCTGGCGGTCGTCGGTAAGGTATCGAAGTATACCATCGAGGCGGCGGTGAGGAGAAGTACCTAGGACAGCGGGCGGGGAAGGGGGGATGATTGGCAGGCTAGTAGGCTTCCTAGAAGGGTCCTGCCTGTGATGTGTTGGTGAATCTGGGGGGAAGGCTAGGTAGTGGTTAGACGCTGGATGGCCAGCCACTCAGTGCATACGATACGTTCCTGTTTTTATGCAGGAAAAGAATGAAGAAAGGGATTGGCGATTTATCTCCTCCGGCATATTTTTGAGCGGTTATTTGGTATCTGTCTAACTTAAAGAATCCCCAAAAATCCTTATGACGACGTAGGCAATCTAATATGTAGCTCCAGCGGTGTCACCGTACCACCTGATGCTGCAGAGTTTTGTCGGGCGTCTCACTGTACTCAAATCCTACGCATTGGAGCAGGTTGACTCTAGAGTAGAATTCAAGGAGCGAGATTTCCGAGAAGTCGGCGCCGTGGACCAGAGGTATGTAGATGTGTAGAATCGGGATATCTAGAGTACTGAGTTTCACTCGGACCACTCCGTGGTGCGCAGCCCTATGATTTGCCCACCAAAGTGCGGGACGAGGCGGGATAAGCAAGGGATGGCGCGGCCACGACTCGGTTGGCGGCCATTCGCTAAGGAAATTAAATACGCGGGTGCTTCAGGTGACGGAAGGACCCTTTGGGATAGAATTGCCCACCGCACATACGTATCATGCGTAAGGACCTTGAACATCAGTGATCGTGGGCTTCCACCTGACCTCTTCCTTCGTTTACCTCTGGAGAAGATCTATTGGCCGCGGGACGGGGGGGGAACAATCCTTGGGCGCGATTAGGTAGTCCAAAGGCGAGCTTCAGAGTTCCGTTATCGCTAGTGGGTTGAGCTGGCGAAGAGCAGTTCATCAGGGATCGATGCAGCCTCCAGTGGAGAAGGAGGGGACGATAACGTCAATGTACAGGATTTATTGCACGTTGAAGAAAGAAAAAAGAACGGTATGTTCTACATAACTTCTCCCACAGCATCCTAGCCTACAAGTATTACAGGCCCACCGCAACCCGCGGCACCAGCACGATCATCAACACAGAATTTAATGGAATCCAAACTCCCGAACACCCATCCCCTCCCGGCCCGCCCAATCCAAGCCAATCCAAACCAGTTTAATAAAGACATGCCGCGGTCTATCCGTTCTGACGCTTCTTCCTGGCGTATCCAACCAAGCTCTCAATAACCGTCTCGAACGTCTCTTTATCACTCATGGCACTGTCCCTCTTGCCGAGCCAGTACGTGAGCACTTCACTCGCGGTGGCTGTCGTCTCCTCCAATTTCTGAATATGATCAAGAAGTTCTGCGACCGTAAAGTTTTGCAGGGCAATGGTGCTAGTCGAGCACAATATACGTGCGCTCGGGATATCTAGAGACTCCGGATTGATCTGGTTCTTGTCTTCGGCACCCTTCTTCTTCCTCGACAAGGATCCGGAACGACGTGAATTTCGGGACGATGGGCGCGATTCCGGATGACGCGAGAGATGAACCGAAGGGAGAACTAGCTTCTTTTGCTTCGTCTCGGGAGGGAGAACTTCGTCCAGATCCATGGGTATTCCGAGAGACACCAGGAAAAGGCGACGGATGCGCGATATTTTCCAGTTGGGCGGTTGAAGCGGCGGCGGCGCGACCAGCTGGTTCCACAGCGATTGGCTATGCAGTGTAAGTATGTGTCAACTCTCGGAAGAGGGGCGGGTAGATTCTACCTTCTGTCGGTGAGGAATGATCGTCCCTCTACGGAAGTTGGTTTTCTCTGTTCGGTTCCCTCTTTCGGGAACATCTTCTCGACCGCATCCGCCAGAGCAAATCTGACACCTTCCTCATCTCCAAAGTCTGGCAGTGGTACGGGAAGTTGTGGAACGATTGGCTGTGGTGGTGGTGGCGGCGGTGGTGTCGGCGCAGCTTCCGGTACGGACTCTGGTTCATCAAAAGTACCGTCGGCATCCCCATCCTGAAAGCCTTCGAAGTCATCAAAGTCATTGAAATCACCGCCATCAGCTTCCACAGCCTCGCCAAAGTCGTCGAAATCGTCACCGCCGAATCCATCGTCCTCTTTCTCTTCAAGAACATCCCCTTTCTCTTCAAGAACATCCCCTTTCTCTTCAAGAACATCCCCTTTCTCTTCAAGAACATCCCCTTTCTCCTCTTCGGTGACATCCACTACCTCCCTCTTCTCTTCAGGGACATCTCCCTCCCCCTCTTCAGTGACATCCTCCTTCTCCTCATCCTCCGGCCTTTCCTCGGCAACCTCCGCCTTCTGTTCGATGGTATCCTCAGTAACAACGACAGGCTCTAGCTTCTCCGCCACAGGCGTCGCATCGTCGCCGTCTTCTTCCGTTACAGCTATGGCAGTAGGCAGCTCCTTTGATTCCTCGACGTCAACGGGCGAAGGAGAGCGCCGTTCGGGGCATGTTGGTGTCGTCACCTCCGCCGTAGCTACTTCAGCACCGACATCCGGCGCCGCTTCCATTGGCTCATCATCCTTCCTATCGTCTTCATCCGGCACAACTGGTTCTAGCTGCTGTTCCGACTCTCCTTGCGCAGAAAATAGCGAGCTCGTCTTCCTAACCCGAACCGACGCAGGGCTGCTCGAAGGACTCCTACTCCGCTCTCTCTGCTCCTGCACCAACTTCTCAATCCGCTTCCGCTCACCCCTCACTTTTGGCGAGATGACATCCGTCTTCTCGTTCCACTTCACCTCTATATCGTCACTGCGCATCGGTGTCGTCGGCCTCGAGGCCACCGGTTTCGGCGTGCCAACAGCTGTCACCGCTGCACCGTCGAGTTCATCGTCGGTGCCGTCCGATCCAAAAGCGCCCGGAATCGCGATATCGCTGTCCATCTGTTCGTCGACCTTCGGCGTGGGTATGAGTGTAGATGTGGATTTTTCAACGGCGGCGGTGGTGGTGGCGGGCGGACCTTCGGGGGCGTCGGAGAAGTGATCGTCGTCGTTCGATGAAGTGTCTGTTTGTTTCCCGCACGGGGCATGTCAGTTTCGACGGATCGCATATTGCACCGCACCGAGCATGAATCGAAACGCACATCCGCTTTCTCTTTCTCTTTCTCTCTCCTCCTCCGGGGTTCGACCGGGAACGGGAACAGAGTCCGGCATTGGAGATGCTTCTGCGACCATGCGAGCGTGGGGTTCACGGGTTTCTCGGGGTTCGGAAAGGCTGTTGCTTTTGTTTTGTGGGGGAGGAATTGAGTCGAGTCGGGTTGGAGGTTTGGTTTGGATCGAAGAAGCAGATGCGGCGATTAGTCGTACATAGGTAGAATAGTGGTATGCAGCAGTCAGCTCTCTCTATCCCCCCCCCTAATAGAATGGTACAAAGATGGATGTATCGATCCATCATCCATGGGGTGGGTGCTATGGACTGCTAGACTCCAGAGTACTCTAGAGTGGGTAGCTTCGCAACCAACCAGCCATGGCAAACTGGGCTCCACTAGCCAGAACCGGCAGAGAGCGTTCCTGGCGAAAAGGTGAGAAGCCCCCCACGCAGAGTGGGGCATCGAGAGACAAGAGGCAATCGGAGATCTGAAGAATTTCTTCTCGACGATTCCCGGCTTCAGGGGCACGTTCGCTATCTGCCTATCCGACGCCAAAAAAGAAAACTCGAACGAACACACTACGTTCCGGGCAGGTACCTACGTTTCTAGGCAAGTACCTTCGTTTCCAGGCGCCTGGCAAGTACCTACTCCAAGACCCGGATGAAACGACGCATGTATGTACCTAGCGGTACATTCTTCCGGGCATGTATGTACCCATTTGTTACCGGCTCGTTGAGAGAGGCAGGCAGGCAAGGCGACCCCGGGCCGCGACGATCCCTCCGATTCCTACTCGCGGACCGACGCGCCGGAGCACAGTTCCGGCGCCACTGACGGCTGGGTCTTGCGCCTCGGCAATCGCCCTCGACGACTTTACAGGAGCAGCGTGGGTGCATGGATGCGAGATCTACAGAGGGGCCTTGGTCGGTTGATTCAACTTCGTTTCTTTTCTCGGATTCAAACTGTGGATTTCGATCTGGCTAGACGGGGACGAGAGGGATCTTCATTCGGATCAGCGAGAACGCCTGACTTTTCTAACCGCCGCTCATTCGTGCGGAGATAACGGGGAGGGGACCGAGTGATATCACGGCGATGGTTGTATAATAATGAACGTCCAATTTCTCCGCTAAAGTACCCATACAGAGCTTACAAAGCAAGCAGCCACCACCGCAACCTACGCAATCCTACAGTTACCACCCCATATCATCCTACAAACATCGCTCCATACAATCCTACAGAAACCGCCCCATCCCGTCCTACAAGCACTGCTCCACACAATCCTACTGACACTGCGAATACCAGTCGTTCAACTTGATGCAAGTGGTGCCAGAAACACATACCGTCCCTACCATATCCAGTCAGTTAGCCGTCCCGCTGTCACAAAACCCCCCGAATTGCAGGAAGTCTTACCTCCTGTCCATCCATTCCCAGCGCACTGTCCCCACTTCGCCACAGTACCCGCAGCCGCAGTCGTCGTGGACGCCGGGGACGTAACCACCGGAGTCGACGACGTCGACGGCACGCCAGTGCCCACAGTATTCAACCCAAAGTACGAGATGACGTCTCCGGCCTGGACCTGAATATCGTGGGTGACGCCCTGAGCGCTGATCGCCTGGAGATTCGGGCCGTAGCTATTCCTCGTCCACCCGGACAGCGGGCTATTCGTCAGCGTAGCCGTCGGCGTGGTACTGACGCCCAGCACGTTGGTCCACTGCTTGACCATCTCGCCGAAGTTGTTGTAGCTGAGCGTGGCGTCGTTGGTGCCATGCCACAGCTGCATTTTCGGCCGCTTCCCGGTGTACCCCGGGTACCCGGCCCGTGCGATGTCGCCCCACTCCGCTCCTGTCTTCGACACTTGCCCGTTTGCACACGCACTGTTCCACATGGAGTCGCCGGCGAAACAGCCGAATGGTACACCGGCGAATCCGGCAACTCCTGCGAAAATGTCTGGGTACGCACCCGCCAGCACGTTGATCATCATCGCTCCGCTCGAGGTACCTGTGGGGGACGTGGATTAGAATTGGGGTGGAGCAAAGGATGGGAGGGGGGCTGCATACCGACAGCGAAGACACGACTGGTGTCCGCTGCGTAGGTCGAGATGGTGTACCGGACCATGTTCGCGATGGCGAGGGAGTCGCCGCCGCCGTTGTGCGTGAGCGTGCCAGTGCTGTGGACGTCCCAGCAGCCACCACTATCCATCCAATTGTCAACTCCCGTTCTCATCCCTCTCTTAGCTTGTGGGGTCACAACTAACCTGTCAGGCGCATCCGGGTACACAACGATGAACCCGTACTGGTCGGCGTAGGACTTGAACTGGGTGCCGGTGTAGTACGCATTGGCAGTTCCCGTGCAGTAGTGGATTGCGACGAGGATAGGAGGGTTGGAGGCCAGCTGGTCGGGCACGTAGATGTACATCTCTGCGCCGGTCGGGTTGGTGCCGAAGCTGGAGACTTTGGTCAGCGCCGCACCGAGCACGGTGGAGGCGCTGGCTAGGAAGGCCGTCAGGAGGGGGAAGAGGCGGGTCATCTCGTTCGCTTGCTTGCTTCAGTGCTGGGAGCTGGAGGTTGGTAGTTGGGAGCTTGGGGAACTGCATTTATATCAACAAATGGCGAGACCGTGTTTATACCATGCTCATATACATATCCATAGTGCCTACATGCTCTACTCCACTATCCACCACGAGATTGATCCTACACAAGTACCTAGATGCGCACACAATATGGCCATGGCCAAGCGAATTAATCTATCAACTCCTTCACGCTACCGGAGCCGTTGCCCTACAAATCCGTCGTCATTTACCATGTCCGGTTGTCCGGTTGTCGTTTAGGCTATCATATGCATAGATACATATCTCGACTCCCCCCAATAACCTCGAATGGTTAAGCTTTTTTCCCCGCATCCGCGTGGCGGATAAATGGTGGGCATTCTGCAGGAACAGGAACAGGAACAGTGGGATGATCCCGGGTGTGAAACGGTGGCGGTTCCTGTGATTTCTCGTTTAGAAAAGGTACCTAGGCACATTGAGGACGCCCTGAGGTTTTTAGACACGGACGGATGGATGGGAGGAAGTGGAGATGGTTTCACACAGCTCGGCTGCTGCGGGTAAACGTAATTCGCACTGCACAGAGCTGAGGTGGTTACACGATGGAGGGTATAATTTTCCATTCCGTTTAGATCAAGAGATATCACTCGTTGGCATTGGCCAGAACTGTATGGTTGCAGGCTTGCAGCTAATCCTTAGCACAGCCTGCCATAGTTTAGACAGGCCGTATGCAACAATGGATTGATGTTCTCTCACTCTCTCTCGCAGCTCGCCTGCTGGGAGAAATTACGCCGCCCTAGCCAGCAGGCTGAATTCGAGCAGCGAGTATGATCGAGCAAATAAAACCGTTGATAATCATAACCAAGCACAACCCACCAGGGCGAGATGAAGTAGGTACCTTGACTTCGGATATACGCCAGCTGCATAACAGGATCCAAGCAGAACATCCCCCGCCTACCAATTCGTAGGTAGTCGGATATACCCACTCTGCATCATGATTAGTAGAGTATGTGCATACACCTCCACAACTGCTCACAACTTTAGGCACTCACCTCCCACTAAAACAGACATCCGAAAAGTATCAACAAAACGTGCTCACTGTGATTACCCCTCGGAACCACCGGCCGACTGTGTGTGCCATGTGGCCGATTTTAGCCGTTACGAATACGAGCCCGGCATCTTCAGCAAATCATCCTCAAGAGTCAAGAGTCAAGAGTCATTACCGGTAGGAAGTATTTGCTTTCTTTGGGGATTGTGGCTTGCTCTGTCTCACGTCCCCGGACCAAATCGTCAGGATCTCCGCCGGATGTCAGGAATGTTGGCGAGTTCACCCGGATCTCATGCTGTAGTTATGCCTACTGATGTCTGTTATGTACCGTACCGAAATGAGATCCATGCAGACCCAACCACCCAACTACCCAACCGAGGAAGAGAAGAGAAGTTTTGAGCGATGAAATTCACAACTCGAGCAACAGCCAGAGTGTGAGGATTCCGTGTCGTGTTGTAGAGTCGACGCGAGGTGGAGAGGTATGGATATATGTGCACGGTGAAGTGGACGTAGCGTGCATAGCCGGGACTGGCCGCTGGCGCGACGGTCCGAAAGCTGGATGCTGGATGCCGTGCCGTGAATGCGATCCAGATGGCAGACCCTGCATGTTCGGCCCGCACTTTGGTCCCGACGATAAACTCCAACTTTATATTGATAGCGGGGAGGGTTAAACTTTAAATTGAATGCCGTTCGTCCGTAGAAACCCATTTCGGCTCCCATATGCTCTAGATACTGTGCGCGCGTTCTACAGCACCCAGCCGTCAGAGGCCGTTTTGGGCCTGTTCGGTTGCCAGCTGTATTTTCAAACCTTGGGTTTCTGACGAGTTGAAGGATACCGAAGCTGCAGCTGCAAACTCCCATTTCCCCCAATGACCCCATATATTCAACAGCACGCCACAGTTTTTATTTGTATCGTGTCTCAGTCGACAATATGCAGTTTCTCAGATTGTTAACTTGGGGTGGTGTGCCGAACGCTCACCCATCGCCCGGAATCTGAGGGTTTCAAACAGCAGATACCGAAGCAAGTACCTTTGGAGTAGTGGTGAAAGTGTGCCCATGAGGCCCAGAAGGTGGAGCTGGGCAGTCGAGGTCAGAGGCGGGAGTGAAGGAGAAGAACTCGGACCCCGTTGCGCTGCGTGTGCTAAACGCTTCCGGTACATAAACCCAACGTAACTGCTAAGCAGAATATCGCAGTGATCATGACAACCAAAGTCTCCCGAGGCATTATCTACTTCAGCCATTTCGCAGCAATTTATGGGTGTTGTGGGGTGTTATGGAAAAGTCGCGCCGCCAGATTAGCCACAATCTGTGACCAGAGATGGATTATGATCACATGATCTACGATCAGATAAACAATGCCAAGCCAATTAACCGCTTTCCCACAAGCCAACCCACCACCGCAGTCACAACAGCCCTACGCCCGCACACACGCACACCCAAGGCTTGGCGATTCTGCCGCACACTCCGGAGTTGTCGAAACCAGAAACCTAGCCAAATTTACACGCCCAACGCCCCAACGCCAACACCGACAGTCCACGCCCGATACGACAATCGAGATTCGACAACATGGCTGACACCGTTACCGTGAGGACCCGCAAATTCATGCGGAACGCCCTTTTGGCCCGCAAGCAGATGGTGGTGTACGTTTGTCCCCCGTCATTGGTGTGGATAGAAGGGGCGAGGAATGAGGGGACATTGGGAGGATGATACGATGGATTGGGGTCGATTGCGGGCGGAATTTCCACGGAATTCCGTCCGTTATCTGGAGTGTTTTGGTCGCGATGGATGTCGGTGGCGGATGGCGGATGGGATGAAGCTTTACATTGTGATGATCATGGAGGCTGACGAGCTTTTCGTTTTACAGTGACGTCCTCCACGAGGGCAAGGCCAGTATGTTACCACCCACCGAGCATACGCACTCATCACGCGAGCCGCGAACTGCAGACTGATCGATTTCCTTCGCAGACATCTCCAAGGACGACCTCCGCGCCAAGCTCGCTGAGACCTACAAGTCCGACAAGGATGCCGTTTCCGTCTTCGGTCTCCGCACCCACTTCGGAGGAGGAAAGACCACCGGTTTCGCCCTCATCTACGACTCTGTCGACAGCCTGAAGAAGTTCGAGCCCCACTACCGTCTGGTCCGTTACGGCCAGGCCTCCAAGATTGAGAAGCCCTCTCGCCAGCAACGTACGTTACTCCACCCGCAGCGACGATCACATCGCGAGCTGAATAAAGCTAACGTCCGTTCTCACAACAGGCAAGCAGAGGAAGAACAAGCAGAAGACTCTTCGTGGAACCGCGAAGGTCAAGGGTGCCAAGAAGAAGAAGGAGACGTAAATGTTGTCACCTTAGTTCGGCCTGGTTTGTCGGGGTCTTTGGTGTTCTTTTTTCTTTGGGCAATAAAAATATTCTCAACGGAACAATGGGAATACGGAGTTACTTGTTTTGCACAATTGTAGACTGTTTGCCACTTCCAGTGCTAGTGCCGAGATGGAGCCACCAGAGTAATGTTCGTCCGAAAGACATGTGCCGCCCGAAAGCCGTGTACCATCCAAAAGCTATTGGGTGTCTTCAGCACTACAGCCCTATCCAACGCTGTATTCCATCGTGAGCTGTTACCCAAATTTCGTGCAGTTGGTTATCTATAGTACCGCGTGTATGCCATTTCCATCATAAACATCTACCACTCCCCGCGCCCCGACACGCGTGAAGTCATTCGCAACAGGGCTGATCGGCTTACCGAACGAACTTGCCGTATATAGCGGGCCAAATATTCCAGCGCGTTAGATAGAATCGATGAGCTAAAATCGACATCGTCTTGTAGGGATCGACTGAGTGACAGAATATGAACCGTTGTGCTGAGCCTCATTGCCGCCAAGCCTCAACTAGTGTTTTGGGGCTTCACGTCGCGTTATTCTGTAGCTTATCCTCCACCAACATTCACGCCCACACCTGCTGAGACCCTCCTCCTTCATCACAACCCACCCTCCCCACCAATCTTGTAGGCATTGCTACCCCCTTGGATTTATTGAGACTGATTGCTAATTTTGCTTGTCGTCGCAGAACGCGCTCGCTCGTTCCCCACTCACTGCACACAACAACTTCAATATCATCCTCGCTCCATCCTTTCGACTATCGACAATCTGATCTTACGACCCCGTCCGTGCAACGTAAATACACCAAAGCGCCATGGCATCATTCGGATCAGGTGCTGGTGGTGGAGGCTTGTTCGGCGGTGCCGGCGGCGACAACAAGGATAACAAGCCCTCCGGCTTCAGTTTTGGAGCTCCCAACGGTGGAGCCCCAGCTGGCGGCAGTTTGTTCGGCGGTACACCTGCGAAGACCGGAACTAGTACACCTCTCTTTGGCGGTACGGGAACATCGACGCCGACGACGGCACCTAATGGCGGCTTTGCATTCGGTGGTGGTACTCCGGCAGCGAACCCTGGAATGGGTGGTGGTGGGGGCGGACTCTTCTCTAACAACAAGCCTGCTGGTGCTCCTACTGGTAGTCTCTTCGGCGCTTCGTCGACTCCTGCTGGTAACCCCATGGGTGCGCAACCCCCAAAGCCTCCGATGTTCGGTGGTGGTGGAGCGGCGCCTGGCGGCGGGCTGTTCGGGAGCAATGCTGGAGGTACTACCCCGACGGGTCAACCTGGGGCCGGTGGTGTGTTTGGCGGTGGCACGGGCATGAGCAAGCCAGCAGCGCCTGGTGGAGGCAATTTGTTTGGCGGCGCGTCAGCTACACCACCGTCTCCTGCTCCGACTGGAGGGCTATTCGGTGCGGCGCCTGCTACCACTACCACTCAGGCTCCATCTTCCGGTAGTCTTTTCGGTGGTGCCGGTGCATCCTCAGCTCCTGCCACTGGTGGATTGTTTGGAGGCGGCGCGAACACAAACACAACCACCACATCCCAAACTGCCGCTCCGTCGTTGTTTGGTGCGAAGCCTGCTGGTGCGCCTACCATTGGTGGTCCAATGTTTGGTGGTGCTGCCGGCACGACATCAGCCCCCGCGGCCAAACCATCCATGTTCGGAACAAACAACTGTAGGATTTGACATCCGAACGTAATATCGTATAAGTATCGCTGACACATGATCTTACAGCAACGACCCCACCGACACAACCGCCAGCTAACGGTGGTTCTCTTTTCGGCGGGGCTGCCAACAACAATGCCCCAAAGCCAGGAGGACTTTTCGGTGGAGCTCCCGCGACGACCCCCGCTACTTCGCAGGCGCCCCCGGCGGCTGCGAGTGGAGGAATGTTTGGAGGTGCAGGTGCCGCTGCGCCTACATCGACTTCGGCTCCTGCTACTAGCAATGCTACTACCCCTTCCCTGTTTGGTGGACCGAAGCCGGCGGAAAGCAAGCCTTCGCTCGGCGGCCTCTTCGGTGCTGCAACGCCAGCGACGAGCGCCACTCCTGCCGCTGGTGCCACCAGCACTGCAACCACCTCTGCGCCAACTGCGACTACTACCGCTCCTGCGACTGGCGGTCTCTTTAGTGGTGGTGCGACTTCTACCACTACCTCTGCTCCTACTAGCGGCGGTTTGTTCGGTGCAGCACCTGCGGCCACCCCAGGCTCAGCTGGAGCTCTCACCGCTGGTACGCCCTCTGGTGCTACAGCCGGAACGAGTGGCATGAAGGCCACCCAGCCGCCGCCTACCTCTCGCCTGAAGAACAAGTCCATGGAGGAGATCATCAACCGCTGGACCTCCGACCTCGAGCAGTACAAGGCCCAGTTTGTGACTCAGGCCGACGAGATCAAAAAGTACGACGAGGTTCTCATCTCCAACGGCGAGAAGATTGTCAATCTCCACACCAAGACGCAAGAGGCGGAAAAGACGCAGGCGAGAATGGATACGGTCCTTCAGCAGCTCGAGAACGAACAGGAGGAGCTCGGTGTCACTCTGGACTACTACGAGACTCAGATCACCAACTTCTTCGAGGCGCAGTTTGGGTCCGCCGAGGGCATGCAGCCGGCCGATCAGGAGAGGGAAAAGACCTACACGCTGGCCGAGAAGTTGAACGAGACACTGAGCGGAATGGAGTCCGATCTGGGAGAGATGATTAAGGCTATCAACAAGGCCGGCGCAACCATCAACAAGACTTCGAACGCGGATGATCCTGTAAGATTCGCTCCTCGATTCTCCTTCCTCCGTTATGCATACTAAGACTGTGGATATAGTTGTCTCAAATCGTCAAGATTTTGAACGAGCACCTGAGCTCCCTGCAGTGGATCGACACGCACACCACGCAGGTAGTCGAGAAAATACAGGAGGCGCAGGCGAAGAAGGGCTCCTCCAGCGGCGACCGCACGAACGCGTCCATGCTAGGCGGAGACAGCGATTTCTTCCCGAACATGTCGTACCGCTCCGCCATGAGGTGAAGAAGGGGGATCTCATCAGATGCTCATTATTGTATTTCAGTTTGAGGTTCTTTTTTTTTGTTTGTTTGATTCTCTTTTCATGGTGCCATACACTTTGTTTTGTCGTTGTAACAGCAACGGAATGGTTGTTTTGCGGGAGTGATTGATGGTTATCCGAGTGATGACTAATGCATAGTTAACCCGTGACTTGTTCGATAGCTGTGGGATGAATGATGTGCATAGATACGCAGCCGATCGATGTCACTCAATCAAGCTTACGTGTTCGGACGGGCTGCCGAGTGATAATCATGAGTGTTGCTAGGCGAGTGATAACCTTCCGCATCGAGGTTCACACCAGAGCAACGGGGAACATATACCCAAGTATGTTTACAAAGGCCCAACAGTCTACCTACCTATCCTATAGGAAAGTTCGACCGTGCCTGGTTATCGCATTGGTGCCATCGAGGGGGACAGAGTACGCCGAGACTGTCCGGTTCGGAGCAGGGTAAGGTGGGCTGGTATGCGGAAGTGGTTCACGATGACTCGGCGGTCGTATCTGTAGGTAGTATTCGATTTTTTGCTTCGGCCTTCAGGAAATCTCACTTCACGGTTGGTTCGATCGATGCTCGGATACGGTCGAATAACGTACCGTACCGAGTGATGAAACATTTGACAAACAGCCCTGGACGGATGGATCATGGATGGATGGATGGATGGTTGGATGGTTGGTTAGGCTTCTCAACGCTGGAATAGTCCGGCCGTGTACGGATCGGATAGCTTCTCCTAGGAGGGGGAGTTCAGTACTCTACCTATGGCTGGTCCCGTGGGTCGACAGCGTGTCAGCGAGCGAGCGTGCCGTGGCGGTGCGGGTGATCCGCCGTGTCTCGCGGCGAATCATCACGCGGAGAGGCAGTGAGTGGATCCCGACGGGACCGCCCCCCGCCCCTCCTCCCACCTTCTCGGCCCCTATCCACCCACCGCCACCCACCGCCACTCAAAGCCGCAGCCATAGCCACGTTCCGTCCGAACCCAGCAAACCCAGCAAACCCACTCAAGTCACACTCCGGAACAACCACCCCTCCCACCCCGCCCCCTACCATCCTATCTCACCCCACCGGTCCTCCCCCCGACTGACAAGAAAATCTCAACTTCCAAGAAACGAACGAGAGAGGCAAATATTTTTTCTTCCCAGTTCCAACCCCCAAACCAAACCAAACCAAACCAAACCGGGTCGCAAGTTCCCAACCTAACCCCCCAACCTTCTGGGACCTGGAGACGAGGCCCGTGCACGTGCGTCATGCATGTCCCGTCACCTCACCCGCTACATATCTAGGTCCAGCATAGCATAAGGAAATCAGTGAACGGTATGGAGGGTATGGTACAGCCGAAGTGTTTCAGAAGGAACGAGTACGAATGTATAGAAAAAAAATGAATGAAAATGTGGGAGGCCCGAACTGCCAGGTGAGGTGAGGTGAGATTTTCGCCTCCGGATTAACTACCTGTGTGTGTGTGTGTGTGGGTGGGTGGAAGAGATGGATGGTGTGCAGTGCGGTGGGAGCGGTGTGGACAGATTGCCGGTGGGTGCGGAGGGGCCAGGAGATGGAGATGGATATGTATGCGACATTTGCGACATATAGTAGAGTGCCAAGATTGCGAGCGGGCGGACGTGGATGGATGTTCCGAAGTATTTGCATTTGAGTGGATTTCGGATTTCATATCGGGCGCTCTGGATGTGGCTATAGGTATTATCTATAGGTGTCTTCGGGTGGTTTATGGTGGGGCGGGGCGGGGTGACTCGGTGCGGCGGGGTGAGTGAGGTGAGTGAGGTTCTGTGATGCCGGGCGGAAGGGAGTAGGTCCCTGGGTGGCTGTTTCCTTTCTGTCGCAGCTTGGAATCTCGCACGGTGAGACTGAATGGATGGTGAAATGGAGTGCATAGAGTCCACACAATGAGGCTGTAGATAGACATGGGTTGCGGTTTCGTGTGGTTATCTACTCTAGAGTATCTATCGCTTCGTCTCGTCTCGTGATAACTAGAGTATCGCACAGCCACTGTGGCTTGCGATCACGGTTCGGCCTGCAAGGCTGCAACAGGCTTCAACTACCCTCAGCCGTCCATTCAGCCTCGAGATATCCATTCAGCCATCGAGGAATCCCAGCACACAAGCGGGTTCTCTTCGATCCACTAAACCCACCGTCTTTCTACTCTTGACTCTCGAGGTTACATATTCAGGTTTGAAAGTTCAGATATCCCGTGACGTCTCGTCCAGCGCCACACACGTGAAGCTCTTCGAACTCGAGTGCAATCATCATTCATCAAAAGATGACGAAATCAAGACGCCCATCATCGACCATTCGCCAATGACCAAATTCCTTGTCGGATCCGATCCAGCCGCACGAAACTCCAGATATGCTACACACCCATCTCAGGATCATCGGCCACGGGGCGTCGGGGTTGTGTCAAGTTTCAACGGCTCCAAAACCGGACGCAAACAACGCCCCCCGTGAATACTAGTAAACAATCCCAACCCCGACCGCAACCCCAACCCCAACCACAACCTACTGCTTCATAGTCCGTATCGAGCACGCTGCATCCTCGCAAGTTGCAAGTTGCAACCATCTCCGTCGCTTTTTCCTTTTCCTTTTCCCCAGGCTCAGGCTCAGGCTCAAGCGTATTCCTTTTTTCCTACTCTATTCCTGCCTGGCGACCCACCATTCCCCCTCTCCAGGCCTCCCCACCCCGACCCACCCAGGCCCACCCCCGGCCTAGATATACAAATCGTGCAGTGCAGGACGTTTGTCTACCGTACGCTAGATACTCCATAGTATGTATGATAGTTATCTCGACTTCGGCCCGTATTTTGTTTTCCCCACTGCCCAGTGCCCACGCTGACGCTAAAAATAGTCGCCGATGTTGATGTTGATGTTCATTGTTGGGACTCGAGTCGCAGCCGTTGTTTGACGGTTGAGTCTTGACCTCAACATGCCAGATACCAGAGATGTCAGAGATGCGGCCGCGCAACGAGCGCGACGAGGAAATGGCCGTGGGGACTTCCGCACGGCGCACTGTGCACGCAAACGTGGCGGGCCACTTGCTACAGTTAATACCGTGTTTGCCGCGGGGGAGGGGGGGAGGGGGATGGAGGTAGGCACCATGTGCTACCTGTGATAGGTACAGCACATAAGATCAACACTTCCCGCGTCCCTCAGTCCCTCAGGGGGGGAGGTGATGGCGGGCTGCGGGGTGCATTAGCTGCTGCTGCTGTTGTTGGGTGGGCGGGCGGAATCGTAATAGGTGCTCTATCTAGGTGCTCTAGATACCTGGTTGCTTACCTATGATACATAGGTACCTCCACAGACCACACGCAAACCACTCCTCCGTCCGCCGTCCACCACCGCCCACCGTCCAACCCCGCACGCGCATCAAATCTCTCTTATCGTGCGACCCAGCCGGACCAGTGGTTCGTCCGCCCGCAGCCGGAAGATATCGCACCCCCGGATATCACACCTCGCACCTCCAGCCATCCATCCAGCCCGCAGCCATCCATCCAGCCAGCGAATGCGCGGATATTAAACACAGCAGCATCCATACATCTATCCAACCATCTATCCAACCATCCATCCAATCGCCCACGCGCCCGCAGAGGCCGCAGGGGGGGGCCGCAGGGGGACATCTGATCTTACCGGTGGCCGGTGGCCGCCTCAGCATGTTTCGGTAGAGAAACTGCCTACCTGCCTGCCTACCTATCACCGCCAGGCGCAGCACTTATTTTCCAGAACAAATGGAGTGTTTTCCCCTCTGCCCGCCTCCGCCGCGGGCACGCTGCGGCATCGCGCAAGTGCGCGGGGGATTGGGTGGAATGCATATTGTGTATCTACACGCACACATGTAGGTAGTATGATACATGTATGAGGGGGGAGGGGATGCACGGCGCAGATAATCTCCTAGGTACAGGACGGACGCAACGTCCGGGGAAGCACCTCTTCACCGCCGACGACGCCGTCGCAACGTCCACGTCTTCCCGACTGCCCCACCACTGCACGAGAGGGGCCAGTCGGTTTAGATGAGCGCGACAGCAGCAAACAGAAGTTGGAACGCAGAACGCAGACGTAGGTGGAGTAAGCACTCACTCGACTGCGTACCTTCCTACCTAACTGCCTACTCACCTATGATGCATATCGTAACCGAGAGTACTGTCGGTCTTATGTGCAGTAGTTGGACTGTGGGAGGTAAACCGTAGCGTAGCGTATTCCGAGTACATAGAATAGAGTATCTAGAGTAGGGATATCACGGCGCTTCGACCGTCCATCCACTTCCCCCCTCCACTCTACGTCCACTCTACGTCCACAGACCAAACCAGCGCAGCACTCGTATAGTTAATAGATTAGAGCACGGATGGTGACGGTGACGCTTGCCAGCGACGTCCCTCCATCGCTTCGAAACTCACTCCTCCCGCCCACTTGCCCGCCCAGCAAGCAGCGTCCACAGATACCGTATTGATATGGATATTAAACACCTCACCTCACCTCACCGCACCGCACCGCATCGCACCTCGCCGTCTAGAACGTCATTACCACTTCCCTCCCCCCCGCTCCCCTCGCTCTCACCGCTTCCCCCCCCCGCTTCACTCCCCCGTCCGTGCCGTTGCGCGTCCGTTGCGGATCCGTTGCGGAAGGCACGTGCTATCGTCGTCACCACGGGTTATCTCCCAACAAAATCCGAAAAAGCATTAAGCTCTAAGCACCAAGCAGGTACATTGAGTAGGCACATGCTGCGGGCCTGCGGCTCCGGTTCGCATAAGACTCGGTTTTGCTGACTCGCACATGGCATGTATGTACTCGAGTATGGTACATACCCGACCAGGGGAGCTAACGTCTTTACGTCTAACGTCTGTTGCGGGGTTTTCTTCTCTGCGTCCTGCGCGTCTTCGTCTTGCGTCCTGAAGTCCTCCGCTGTTCGGTGAAGCTCGCGCGGTAATTTTGCTTTGCCTATATATGCTCTGCTTTGCACGTCACCGTCGGGCGGTCGGGCGGTTGGTCAGTTGGTTGGTTGGGACTCGGCCATGCCATGCCGTGATATGAGATTTCCCGGAGGAACTCTGCACTGCACTGGAGCTGGGGCTGGAGGCAAGCAGGTACTATGTAGATATGTGGAGACTGCATGAGCATGAGCATGAGCATGAGCATGAGCGTGAGTATAGGAATGTATGGAGAGTATATAGCAACGAACGCCGGCAGAAGGGGCCGGAATAACCTTCGATTGGGGCGGGTGCTTTCCTGTTCTTCTCGAGAGTCGAGAGGTAGAAGCCCCACCATGACCATCACCACTACTGCTATCACCACTACTGCTATCACCACTACTGCTATCACCACTACTGCTATCACAATCACATGTCTCTCTCCCCCCCCCCCTCCCCCTTCCTCCATCCCCCCCTCCATTCCTTAGGAGGGGACACCTGCGAGGGGAGGGTGCACACTCCCTCCCTGAGCCCTCGCTATCTACCCCGCAACCGCCCATCCGTCCGTACATACCGTACCGTACAGAGCACCGTACCTACCTACCTGGAGCACCTACCTGGGTAGGTAAGCAAGTAGAAAGCACCACATGTACCGAAAGTACCTACACACCCAGAGTTTCTCCGGTTCAGAGCTCGCAGTCGCACCGAGCAGAGCACCGAGCAGAGTAGAGTAGTGAGCAAGCAGCTTGCAGAGGAAGCAAGCGACCCACAGGCGCCCCACCTCCCCTCATCCTTCCCTCCGCCCCCTCCCCCTCCACCCTTCCCTCCACCCCTCCCTCTCCCACGACGATATCGGCAACTAGTAGACCAACTACAGTAGTAGGTAGACTAGTAGATACATGTTTTTATCCAGCCCTTACCAGGGAATTAACTCAGCTGTGCTGGGCTGCTGGGGATTTTATTGAGCTTGGGAGGGGAGAGGTGGAGAGGTGGAGGGGTGGAGGGTGGAGGGGTGGAGGGGTGGAGAACAAGGTGGATGTGGAGGGGCAAGGGGATGGGGTGCGAGGTGGAGGGGGAGTACGACCGACAGACCGACCGACAGACCGACACATGAAAATCTACCGACACTCACACACACATTCACCCTCACACCTTTCTCTGCCACACACACACACACACATAAACACACACACACAAGCACCACACCACCATCACCGCATTCTCGATAACTAACCCCAACCCCATAGTTAACTCCATAACCCCATATCTACCCCCATAACCCCACCATACCAGCCGGCTCTGCTGCGGTCGCTGGACGGTGGACGGTCGGTCCGTCCGCATGGCATGGCATAGCATGGGCATCTAATTTCCACGGTGCACGACTCTACGGTGTCTACTTATACCGTCCACACACTTCCCCGTTAACCCAGTTAACCTCGGAAGCTCTCTCTCGAGGCGGGGGAAAACATGTAGTTAAAACACTTCGCAAACGAAACGGGAGCGGGAGAGCCTCTATGTAGAGAGCACGCGTCACGCGAAGTCCACTTTATGATGTATCCACGAGAAAATGTTTCGCCCTTGGTAAAGTATCGTATTCTGTAGAAACCACTCTGCCACTCAACCACACACTCCTCACAGCATAGCACAAGGAAAACGCAAAAAAAAACACCACCAGCCACCACCAGTACTACCAGCCGACCCCCATCATAATCATCCATCCCCAGCATCCATCATGCGCACAAAGCAAGGCCAAACAAACAAACAAACAAAGACATACAGATAGATAAACAACACAACAAAACACAACACATAAATCAGCAACAGAAAGGAAAGAGAAAGAAAGAAGAAAGAAACCGGCGTGTTCACTCAAAAACTAACTAGACTAGGTACTAATGATTATTGAGGACGTTAGATGGAAAGAAGACAACAAAAAACAAAGAGGTATATGAGAACAACGAGAAAGAGAAAACGAAATCATAAGAAGAAAAAATGAAATAACAAAAAAACGTGAGGATATAAACGTCAACTGGCCGGCCGGAGTGACACCCACAAATAGATGGCAGAAGAAAGAAAAGAAAAGGACCATTAGCAAGAAGATGCACGCAATGAGATCGCAAAAAAGCTCAACGGATATTCATGCAACAGGTGAAAAACAAAACAAAAAAGCAAAAATAAATAAAGACAACCATCCAACCGAAACCGACCTGTGTAAAGAAAATCCCGTTCACCGAAAACCCAACCAGTCTTAACCCATGCAGATGTAAAAAGGACAAAGTTCAAAAACAAAATATAAAACGCTCAATCCGATGCTTTCAAGACGCCTGAGAAAAAAAGAAAAAAGAAAAACCGAACCGCCCCCAAAAAAGCACAATATAGACAGAGTCGGTGATGGTGATGGTGGAGGGTCGAGGTATTGAACGCGGAAATGTCGATTGAGCGAAGAAACAAGGCTGAAAAGGAGAAACGTTTTGTTTTGGTCGTAAAGGTCATTAAATTAGGTAGTAGCGAAGGGAAAAAAGTGTCGTAGATTATTCAAGTTCGCTGCCCATGTCTTCGTCCATCTCTGGAGAAGACGAGGGAGAGGATGCCGAGGATGACAGCGTCAATCCGGCGTCGTCGTTGAGGGCCAGGGTGTGCGAGTGGATCTTGAACGATTCGCCCAAAAGACTGGTGACTCTGTGGACATTGTCAGTATTCTGCGATTGCGTGAATTCGATCTAGAGAGGATATCTTACCCCCAAACGACAACCTCGTCCACCATACCACCCCAGACGCGAGCGACGGCTGCACTGAGACGCGATCCGTACAGCTCAACCGAGTCCTCGTCGAAGAGCGACCGAATCTTGTCGAGCATCACCTGCTCCTCGGCGGTAGGAGGGATCGTCTCCGCCTCCTCCTCCATCTTGAAGAGCCACAGACTGAGCACCAGCATCAAGTCGAATCCGCAGAGCGGGTGCTCGACGCTCCAGTTCAATGCCGAGGTCCTTGCAACCCAACGGATACCCATCAACGCCGGGATCTGGAAGGACTCGAAGCACAACTGGATGACTTTCGTCATCGACTCGGAACGGACGATGATGTCGGCCGCAGCCGTCATGCCGGACGCGACCTCCTCGGGGCTGTGGTACCGCAGAGCCTCCTGAATCGGCATGAAGTCGACTTCGAGGCGCGCAGCAGTGCACCGGTACATGGCCATGGCGTTGAATACTAGCGGGTGCCCCTTCTGAGGTGCAGACATGGGCACGATCATGCTCTCCGTAGTGCAGGAATCCAGCGTTTGGTGCCACGTGTCTAGCGCGCCACTAAGCTTCGTTCGATACTCGGCTACAACCGCCTCAACGATCTCGGGACTTCGCTTGACACTCCAGACTTCCAGGAACAGAGCGTTGATCAGGACACGGCAACCAAAGGCGCTGCACTGCGGGGCTTCGCCCCTGAACAGACTGGTGTGTGCGTCGGCAAAGGTCGGGGTGGCCTCGTTGATGTAGTTTTCGCGCCACATCTGTTCGTCGGATACGTCGGAATTCCACAAGGTTTCCGAGCATGGCAGCATTATCGCATCGAACTCGTTGTAGCTGATGGCCGGAGTGTAGTTGAAGGTCATGGTGAGAAGGCCAAAGAAGATGTATACAGCAAAGTACGTTCGCTTGCTGCCCTCATCTGCGATCCACTCCTCACGGGTGGGAAGTCTGCCTCCACGCTTCTCGACTCTCTGCTGAAGCTCATAACGACCACCGGCAACCATCTGTCGATCCGATCAGTAAACGTCCTAAAAATAAAATAAAATAAAAAACTGCGATCACTTACGTTGACGAGCAACGACTTGATGGAGTGCGCCCATTCAAGGCCCTTCGCATCACCGCTCCAGCTGGCAAAGACCATGTTCAGGAGCAGGGTCTGAGTGGTCCACAATGGGCAATTGAGCGAGCTGAACTCCTGGTTTCTGTGCAGGAAGTTGTTGACCAAAACCTTTGAGGAAAGGTGTAAAGTGTAACTGAAGTTTTTGTTAGACAATGGGTACGTGAATAAAAATTTGGAGCGATAAGCCTTACGCTTGCTCCTTCTCAAAGGTGTAGAGTGCGCCGATCGACAGAACCGCCAAAAGCAATGGTGGGGCGATGGTGCCAGGAGTGAACGACGACAGGCGCAAGAAAGGGAGATGATGATGGAACAGATTGAAGTATGCCGTCAGGTATCTGTTCAAGCCGCTCCTACTAGGCAGACGGAACCTGTCCAGGACAGCGCGTTCGGCGTCGATCTCCTTGATGTTATCCAGAATCTGGACGCGTTCGTCGTCGGACTGGACAGCCGGTGGTGGGGGAGGCGGGGTTGCGTGGGTGGGGAGTCCCGATGGAGACGCGAAACCAGCGAAGTAAGGATTGGGCGACGCAGCGTACGACCTCGGCTCCGCAGAGAAGGATCGCTCCATAGAAGTGGGGTGGCCCGAGGGCAACTGCAAAGTGTTTGCATTCCAGTCTTGGGTGTCGAGCTTGGGCAGGTGGAGATCGGGACCGGTGCACGACGAAGGGGTAGGTGGGTCCCAGGTGGACATGTTCTGTACGGGAATCGCGCCCGAGGGGTATGGAACGGAGGGATCGAAATCCGACGACATGGAACGACGGGAGTTCTCGCGCATCTGCATCTGCTCCTGGTCTACCATGGCGGCAGCCGCAGCTTGGTGAAGTTCAGTCATCAGAGCAGCCGCGGTCTCCATGTCCACCATACCATCGTTACCATCTTCGATCGCTGGTTCAATAGCGATCTTGGGTTTCGACGGGCCAGCGGCGGAATTCTTTGTAGAGCGGCGCTTTACTTCGCTGTGCAAAGGAATTCCTCCATCTTTGGCGTGGACGGTTCTGTCGTGTCGCAACAGAAGATCTCTCCGTACGAAGGTGCTTCGGCATTTCATGCACTTGAACGGGCGCTCTTTGGTATCTGAGTCGCGCGCGCTGAGGTTAGCATTTGACGCGCGTGCGCCGAAGCGGCGCCGGCCGGCCGAGCGAAGTAAGTACTTACGTGATCTCTCATGCCTGCTCCTGTGTTCCGATCTGCTGAACGCTCTCGCGCAATATTCGCACTTGTATTTACGTTCCTGTACGATCGGCGTCTTCTTTACGAATTGCGTCTGCGCAGTCATGACTTCAGGCATTATTTGTTATGTGGGTGGTGTTGACCTGTGGGTGAAGGAGCGAAGTTGGGATCGGTCCTTTTGGGGGGGAAATGTATTTGGGGGGCTGGGTGGGTAGTGTTGTATCGGGGGGGCCGGTTTGGCTGGGTTTAGCAGTTGAATCCGGTTACGAACTACTTTTCATTGACAGCAGGCTGTTGTGGAGGTGTAAGTGGTGTTGTTGTATACGCGGATGGTCAGGTCGCGGGTGACTCGGGGAGGAGTTCGATGTGTTCGTGTCGGTATGGGGATATGCCTCGGGTATAGGTGATGGCAGGTGGTGGATGGTATATAGGAAGTCGACGATGGGGGAGTAGCTCCAGCTATAGGGATCGCGACAAGCTTCGTATGGACGGTGGGGTGGTGGGGAGGGACAGACAGAACGAGAGACAGAAAGAATTACAGAAGGGAGAGAGGGGCATAGAATAAAAGGGGGGCGAGAGTGAGGAGGAGGGAGAAGTGGGAGAGATGGAGGGGCTTGGGGGGGTAATAGGCAAAGGGCAAAAAATTAAAGGCCTTCGCTTTCCCGAGAGGTCGAGGGGTAGCGGGGGGGGTGGTGGGGATTGGGGGGGGGGGGGGGTGTGATGGAGGGGGGGGGGGGGTGGAGGGGGAGAGAGTGGGAGATCGAGTGGTGGTGAATGAGAACGAAAGGGGGAGAGTGAGACTCAAGAGGGAGAGTGAGCGAGTGAGCGAGAGCGAATGGGCTGTGGCAGGTGGTGGGAAGTAACAAGCTGGGATAGGTAGAGTAGCAGTTTAGAGTGAGCTTCCCACCACCTCCACCGCCTGCTCCTCCTCCTACTCCTCCTCGTCCTCCTCCACCTCCACCTCCACACCCCTCCACCACTCACCACCCACCACCGCGAGCGCGAGCATCACCACCACCACCATCTCCTCCACCAACAACAACTGCCACTACCCCCAGCACAGCAACAATAACAGCAACAACAACAACAACAACAACACGCTCGCACCGCACGGATCTCTTGCGATCGTGGATGCGTTCAACCACCGGCACTAATGCGGAGTCCAATCGGGCTTAGAGGGGCTGTCCTCCCTAGCCCAAACCGCACAAAGCCCATAGGCCTCTCCCCCACCACCCACACCCACAAGACGCGGCGAAGGAAAGAAGGAAGGAACGGAGGCGGGTGGATGGATGCATGATGATGATGCATGGGTGGAGAGTGGTGGGTGGATGGGTTGTGGGTGGGTGGGTGGCTGCTGAGCCATCGATGGCTCGTACGGACGAGGGAGGGTGGGAAGGCCAGGGAGGGAGGGAGGGAGCAGAATAGTTAATTGCTGGGGCAGCAAGGAGAGCGTGAGATGTGGATGGTCGGCCGGTCGCCCACACCCGTGGTGCGACGAGCCTGAGTTCGGGTCTCACACGCAGTGGCCACTGTGGGTGGTGGGTAGAGTTGTAGTGGTGGTGGTGGGTGGTGGGTGGTGGGTAGTGGGTGGTGGGTGGTGGGTGGTGGGTGGTGGGTGGTGAGTGAGAGGCAGAGACAACTGTGGGCCATCCAGATTCCATCGTCGAGTCCAGTCGAGCAAAGCAGGAAGCACCACGCAGAAAAAGCTACCAACCGAGAAGGGGGTGTCCTGCCCCTCTACCCACAACACACGTTGTAAAGGAGTTAGACGTTATAACTACGTGCAGAGCTTAACTCTACACAACGCAGAACCCACAACATCCCGAAGAGTTGCAAGGGATGCTGTGGGTTATCTACCGCAGCCCACCACCCCCCAGTGAAGCAATTTACCGCCGTCCTCTGCTTCTTCTTCTTCTTCTCGCCCTAACCCGCGTGGATAGGAAGGAAAGAAAAAGAAAGGAAAAAAAGTGAACGAGTAGCCATCGCCGACATCCCCTGCCAAACCTGAGTTTTGTGTTATGGCTAGTAGTCTCACGAGGTGGTGTGGTGCTGTCGGAAGTTGCCCGTCATGGCCGTCGCGATGGTGGTGGCAGTGGAATCCACGGCCGTGTCGGCCGCGGCGATGGTGGTGGTGGTGGTGGTGGTGGTGGGGAAGCAGAGCATCATCATCTTGCTTGATGCAAAAATAATATCCCGCCTGTTCCCCACAGATATGTGTCCTCTCCTGCTGCCCTGCCTGCCGCTGCGCCGCGAAATTATCGCCGGCCAAACAAATCGCATCTTAAACCTCTCCTCCACCACCACCACCACCACCACCACCACCACCACCACCACCACCACCACCATCACCACCACCACCGCCACGACGGCCAACACCGCCCGCGCCCTCGGCAGCCACCGTCACGGCGACTGGCTGACTAGCTACACAGGAATTATCGTATCGCATCCAGCAACTCTTGTGCGCCCTTAAACTTACTCAAGTCGTCGCACCGGCTGGTTGGCCAACATGACATGCAACCTCACGCGCGCCTCGCCGTCAGACTTCCTCGACACGGCCACACCAAGAACCGGTCACCATCGTCCTACTCTACCTACTCTACACACCGCCACCCAGCGCCCCCCCTCCCCCCCCGCACACACGACGACTACGACGACGACGCCCTGCGACCGACAACACAACCTGGTTCTTGCTTGCTTGCTTGCTTGCTTGCCTGCCTGCCGCCTCAATCAAGATGATGATGACAGACCGCAGGTGTCTTGAGTTTTCCGGTCCGAGCGCTCGAGGGAATCGCCGCCGCCGCCGCCTTGTTCTCGATCTCTCTCTTCTCTTGTGACCGGTCGCAGTGCAAAAGAGGCAGCACTTGCTTATGTATGGGAGCTTGTGAGCTTCGGCTGTTGGACCAAGCGAGGTCTACTTTACGGAACGAACGAGCGAACGAAACCCCACAAGGATTCGTTCCACAGAATCCGACCCTCCCCCTCCACCCCCTCCATCCCTCCACCTCCATCCATCCCCACGCCCTTGCCCCAACTGGCAAAGTTTCGTCCATCCGCCACAGATAAATGCGACCCTAGGTACTAGTAGTTGCCAGGTTTGTCCCTGATATTTGGCCCATGCTTCTCCCAAAACTCTCTACTCCGGATTCATCTACATACTATTATTCCTCTCTGCAGTACCCAACTCCTCCCCCAGGTTCTTTGCATAGATTTCCTCTACATATCTGATCTTTTTTCCTTTCTCGTCCTATCCATATGATAGCAACGCTTTTCCTTGCTATGTATCCGAATCTGGTGTTTTGCGGTGGTGGTGGTGGTGGCGGTGGTGGAGGATGATGAAGATACCTAGCGCCCTCGGGTCTCCCCCGGACCCAGGCGAACCAGCTTCTTGGCGGGCGGGCGGCATCGCTTACGACGGCGGCGCCGGCACTCGCATCCTTCTCCCTCTCTCTCGAGTCTTTCTCGTGAGCTGGCAACGAACGAAGTACTGGACGTGACTAGAGTAGGAGGCAGCTTACCTACGCGCGCAAGCAAGCATCTCCCATTCAACCCATTCAACCACCGCAAGCAGACCCCATGGCCTACCGTAGTTATCCTATCCTATGTATCCTACCCTACCCTACCCTAGAGTATGTACCGTACGCCGACTGACTGCCCACCGCCTTCGTCACTCGACGAGCGACGGATCACATCCCGCCGGAATGTCCGAGGCCGGTCGGCCGGGTATTTTCTATTCTCGTTGGCAGCGAGCAAACAGCAGCGGCAGCAGTAACCAAGCAGCAGCACACAAGGGAGCAGCAGGCGAGTAGCAGGCAGGAAAGTAGTAGGCAGGAAAGCAGCAGGAAAGTAAAGCGCATGTTCACGTCTTGTGACGGATCTGCACTTGTGCCCAATTCCTATTGCTTTTCGACTTCGACGCCGCATCTCTTATGTACCGGCGCTGCTGGATGGGTGAAAAGTCCTTCCTGTACCATCATGTACATTATGTATGTACGAGTACCTAGAGGACCGCTTGCTTGCTTCGAAATCTAACGCCGTGGTTGGCGCATAAGCGTGGAGAAAAGAGAAGAGAGGGAAAGAGAAGAGAAGGCGCCCGGAATATGTGCATCGGTCGGCTGGGCTGGTTGGGATTCTCCGACCCTGCGGAAACGGCAAAAGGCACATCGGAGCAGGAAAAACGAGCAGTTCCTGACTTCGTGACTTCCTTGTTTCGAGGGCAGAGAATATGCCTAGGATCTGTCTTTCCTGCCTCGGGGACTACCATGATAGATACAGACACCCGCGACCGGGCTGGCGGTTTCGGGCTTTGCTTAAAGCGAGTGGAAGGGAGTGGGAGTGGCGGTGGGATCATGTGCCCGCTAGTTATCTACTCGTACCGTGCTCTACTTACATAGCGCTTTATTTGTTTTCTATCTTTTCTTCTTCGCTTCTTTCTTGCATTTCTTGCTTGCCTTTCTTGCTTGCCTTTCTTGCTTGCATTTCTTGCTTGCCTTTCTTGCTTGCCTTTCTTGCTTGCATTTCTCTTCTTTCCTTCCTTTCTTCCTTCCTTCCTTTTCCCCTTCTTTCCCTCCCACCCACCCGCCATGACGACGCGGATTCCTCGCCAGGAACGTCCATCGATGTTTTGTTTCGAAACAGGGGGCGGGGGGCGGGGGGCGGGGGGCGGGGGGTGGGGGTTGGGGGTTGGAGGGGCAAGGGGAAATTGGAAGTTGCTGCTGCTGCTGCTGCGACTACATGTGTGGCTGGGGAGGGGGAGGGGGACGGTCTGCAGCTGGCCATCGGTGTGGATGGATGTGTGGGGTGGGGGGGGAGGGGGGGAATTTTTCTCCTAGAAAAATCGAAGGAAGGGAAGGAAAGGAAGGAAGGAAGGAAAGAACCTTCTCTCGTCTCTCGGGTGGACTTCGGTGCAGAACCGAAATGCTGGCCAGCCCAACCGGCAATCAGAAATACGGTACCCTGCTACTACCGTGGTATGTAGACTGGTAGTAGTGGGTGGACACCTCATAGGTTCTACTTACTCTGCATAGAGTACGGTAGAGTACTCTATTCAAGCTATGTACCGGCAGAAAGTCGAGGAGAGTTGAGGAGACTCGAGTCCAGTCGAATCGGCTCGTTTGGTTGCGAATTGCGGGTTGCTTGCGGGTTGCTTGCTGGATGCTGGTTATCATACTTCCTGGTTGCTACATAGTTGCCTCCTAGTTGCTTCCTGGTTGCTGGATGCTGGACCGTGCATGCCATGCACGCCTGCAGTGCAGAAAAGAAACCTCAACTCTGTCCGTCGTCCGTCGTCC